TACACGCGACCTCCAGTGTCATGAAATCGCATGTATACAAGTAAGACGCTTCATATCACAGCTGCAGACAACGGAAAGAAGAAGAGTTGAGTCGCAATTGAAATGGAAACTCGTCGCCGCATATTGGCCGGATCTCGTGGTGGATTGCGGGTCCGCCTGTCCTGGCTGTATTGGACACAAAGCGGCGACCCCGCCAGCCAGACATTATCTAAATATACGTACTACTCAAATTAGACAATTGCAGCCAAGCTCTTGGTGAACGAATATTCATCTTCAGGTTTACATATGAAGATGGTCCTCTTTGGTTGCGCTGCCCGAGCATTCATGTCTTGTCTGTCTCTGCATTAGTCCTCGTGATGTGCTGCAAGCTGCTGTTACACAGTTAAAGCAATACAGCAGCCAGACCAATAAGGCTGGGAAGAACCGCCCGACTGGAATGAGCTCCCGCCGATCACTTCTCGGAACCCTCCCCATCGTCTCCAGGCGTGGGTAGATCACCCGCTACGGATTGGTTTCGATCTGGTGAACGTTGGCCAGTTTCAAGGCTTACGAAAACCACTTAACAGCAGTGATCTAGCAGCAGTAATCTAGCAGCAGTATATACTGAGCGCCCACTGAAGTCTACTTCATTGGACAAAGTATAAACATATATATCTGGATATACGAGGCCAGTCCTGTTGTGCTCTGTGAAGAGTATCTCTTCAGGAACAAATATCTTTCTGCCAGGGGGCCACTCGCTTGCTTTGTGGGATTGTATCTGGTATGGACAGTCAGCAGTCAGCACGAACAGCCATTTCACGCGATAAAGTGGCAGTGCCAGTATATTTGCAACCGAAGCAGAGGGAGAAAAAAAAAGGGGGCGAGGATCAGCACCTTATTTAAACGAATTGGCTTTTGCCTGAGCTGAACAGTAGCTGTACCTGGCTCATCTACCTATTTCGTACATAGAGCTCTGCTGTGCATGCCCAATGTGTGTCTTTGGCACGATCAAACAACATATCCTCATTCGAGGGTGACGTAGGGACTCCATTATTCGCGGTAGCACACGTGGACTTGATACTAGTCATGTACTGTAGGTTTTGATAATTCCTACTGTTGGCCAATCTACCTCGATTACGATACTGTGTAGGAATATGATTCAATAGCAAAGGCAATGGGGGGTTTCTTCAGGTGCCCGCGTTGAGCTTGCCTCACATAAAACCAATGCTACAATTACTGTGTATATCTCGTGGAGATACCATGGCGGATAGCTGACAACGTTATTCAGAGAGCACCGCCCGTTCTCCGTATCCACATATGGAGACGTACTCAGGCAGACCTGGTCAAAGAAATGCAGATGTGGTACCTGGCATTCCATACCGGACAGAGACTTCAGACATCAATCAATTGAATGGCGACTTTTAGAATCAAACTAGTACATGGGACCGACCTCTGGATTCTCTAACGGCCGAGCTTCTGATGCAGCAGGACAGATTTGTGTGAATAGAGGATATACCGGTACAGATGGATAGGGCATTTTCGAACACTGATTGGACCGGACCAATCGGTTCTTGGAAACCGCCGCTGTTCCCCTTGAAGCTTGTCCATCCAGATTATGGCTAGTACTTACCTCCCCTAGCTTGGCTGCTGCTTGTTGGACTGTGCCGTGCCTAGAAGCTACTGCGCATGTTCTAGTGTAGTGCGACGGCAGGTAATGAATGTCATGTAATAATAAATTCTTGCAAATCGAATCTGCAACCGAACATCCCACCTCGAAAAGGCAATCAGGAAGCTGCATTTTTGCCACCCACGAGGAAGCATTGGCGAACAGCCTGGCAGCTGAGAATAGCTATGCGTGGGCATTAGCCTCTCGGACTGTGCATAAACCGTATAGCGATCGACTGCATATCCTCTGGCAGCAACGTCATGCCAGAAGAGCGCAGAGAAAAAAAAAAGCGACAGAGGGATGAATTCCAAAAGAGCCTCTTACCCACGTACCAAAGTGAAGACGCACGTTCCTACCTTGGCTCTGGCACTACACTTTTCTGGCTCGCACTGCGTAATGTACCTGACGTATAATCATTACATACGTACCTGGGCGCAGTCAGCACCAGCATCGCCTTGTCCGTTGTCAATCTTCCCACAGTGGGGCCTCGACTTGGCTTTCGACCGCAGAACCCACACCCGTGGACAAGGAGAGAAAGCCCAAGAGGCCCCGGCCCCAGGCCAGAAACCCGCCAGCCGCCTGTCGCTGCGTCCTTGCTTCTTTGTCCAGTCGCCTGCAATCCCAGTTGGAACGATGCTAATGTTGCTGGCTGGGCGGCCGGTACATTCACTGTATTTTGTTGTCTCGAATGGCGCCCCTCCCGCCGTACCCACGCTGCAGGCTTACAGGCTAAGGTGCAGCAGCCATGGCGGCTTTGATTTTGGGTTTCTTGTTTTCTTGTTCTCTCTGATCCTGCCCATCCACTGACACACAAAGTATCTCTTCAAAGTAAACATTCAACTGTTTGATATTGATGTGGGAAAATGTTCCTGCGCATGCTGTTATCCTCTACCCTCGTATACAGGAATTATATAGACCGGATCTGTGCTCGCAAGTGGACGCTCCCGCAGAGTATCGATCTGCTGTGACATCAGCGAAGACAAGGGTTTTGCAAAAAGTCGCCGTCCCCATCGAGAATGATACCAAAGAAACAGGAAGGGCACTTTTAGCTGCAAGCCTACCTGTCTACATAGCTGCCCAGCCTACATACAGTACCTATCGTGAATAACTGACACAGTTTACGGGTGCATCATGTATGCCAGATACTAGGCGCGGCAGGCAGATAATAAGAATAACAATAAAAATACCCGAAGAGAAGGTAGCCTCATCTTGTATTGCGCCCTTGATTCCCTTATTTCCTTTTTTTGGTCTTTCATTCTTGTCGACCATAATTTTTTTTCTTATTCCCCTGGAATTTCTCTCGTGTGCTCTTTATGCCAAGCATACCAAGTCACCCAGTGCCTGAATTGATGATTAATGTTTGACAACCAGACCCGAGCTGCCACCGGGACCTCAGGTTCAAGTTCCTGACCACTGCCACCAAACGGACTCCTCCTGCATCCAGCTTCTTTCCCACCCCCCCTAGTCCTGCTGGCTAAACCTTACCCTTGACCTGCCCTCCACTACGACGGCGGCGTGTTGCGCGATTGAACTGGGGGTCGTACTGGGTCTGGCTGTGTACGTACCTACTTACGGTACCTACCTACATTACCTACCCAACTACCTTGCCTTGCCTACATTACCTTACCTCACAGTGGTGTAGCCTGTCTACGTTGTCGTTGACACCAGCGTACGCACGGAGCTAGTACCAAGGTCTTCCATGCCCACTGTCTACGCTGACCGTCGTTCCACCAACATATCGCCCACAGTTCATCAAGTCCTTTCCACGGGCCCCAAACTCTACCTCTCTCCACCTCGCACACAACACCGTCGTCGTGTCTGATCCGCTCGCTCGCTCGCTATTGAAATTTTTTCCTCCTTCGTTTTCCTCTTCCTCTTCCTCTCTCTCTCTTGTCTCTTGTATTTCTGGGCGTTTCCTTTTTTTTCATCTTCACCTAATGTGCTGGGCGAACCGAGAAACAAGAGAAATAAGACCTGTTGCGCAAAAGTCTCGGGGTGACAAGAAAGATTAAAGACAACAGAAGAACCCCATCAGAGTACGGATACTCTCTTCTCTCGCCTGCGGACTTTCGCTAGTTTCTAGTTGGACTACCTTTCAATAGTACGACCGGCCCCTAATCCGAACAAATAGAGCTCAGTAGTGTGTACTGTCTGTACCTTCTTTCTCTGTACCATAACCTCCTACGCCAGAAGCAGACCCCAAAAAGCCCATCCCGAAAAACAACTCGATCACTATTACCACGTTCGTTACATTGGTTCATCTCTGGGGGTGGCTTTTATTTGTTTAAACACTGGCAGCATCTTTCTGCGACTTGCTTCCGGTGTGGAACTCGACTGCAGAAGGCTACACAGCTAGCCGTTTGTTGCATGACGGCATTGCTCATTGTCATCCTCCCGCCCCGTTCGACTCAACGCCACCAAAGGAAAGCCCTCTCAACGCTGCCGACAGCATCCCCAACGGGCTACTCCATCGCACGGCACTTTACTGCCTTGCCGAAAGGTCGAACCGTGATCCCAAGACATCTCCCGACGTTCTGTAGGCGGAAGGACTCGAACAAGACCCCAGAACCAGTCACTCGTTTGGTTGGTTGGCCGAGAAAAGAACACAAAAAGAGAAGGGCGGCCGAATTCAAGCTCGAGCAAAAGCAATAGCTGAATCTGCCCTGCTATCTTTGGAGGGTCTGGCGTGTGACAATCACTGGCCACTTGTCGCATCACTACCGCGCCTGTCGACCGCGGTCTCCATTCTGCGGCCACATCAAAGTGGTACAGGGGGGCTACATTGCTTCGCTCCCACGCCGTCGTAAGAGCGCACACAGAGTGCACCGTCACCAGTCAAGCGCCCGTCCGGCAAGTCTTCTAATCTTGACCTTTTACGGTCCGCAGCCATCATGGCACCCATGACACCGAGACTAAGGATTCTCTCAGGTAAGGGCCAATTTCCAACTTCCTCGTCAGCGCCAGCAGTTAGCAGCACGCTACGCCGTCACTGCTGCCGCTGCCGCTGCTAATCCCAATACCACTAAGCGCCCCCTTCCGGAGTCCTCTGTTACATACCTCTTGTCATCCTGTATAACTTTTTTTTTTTTTTTCTTTCCCACCCTAAATCATCGCATTGGCCAAGGCGTGCCTTTTCCCTCGTTTTAGCAGACCTGTTCCTTGGTATACGCGCCGGGAAGAATCGAAGAATTGTTATCCTTCGGATATCGGAACACTTTCACTCAACCACTTAAACTATATTTCAGCTCCTTGTCTCGAGCATCCCCCTTCTCTTTTTTCACACGTTTCCCACATCTCGAGCTCCTTGAAGGAGTTGGCTTCCGGCACATGTGTCGTGTTGTTGCCGTATCTCACCATGGCTGACGTTGAGCTAATTCGGGTGTGTACAGTCGGAGGCAATGCTGTATCCGCATTCCTGTCCTGGAGACTCCAAGCCACCAATGCTTGTGACGTGACGTTGGTATGGAAGACAGGCTTTGAAGCTGTCCACCAATATGGCATATCCTTCAAGTTAGTTCAGCAGCACTTGGTTTGTGGTCGGAAGGGAATGCAGTTTACTGATCACTCGGAGTAGATCTGCCTCGTTTGGCAATGAGCGCTTCAAGCCTCGACATGGTACGTCTTTTTCTCTCCCCAAGTCGGTTCCCAAGTGACCATTCTGACCTCGCAATTTTCTTTTTAGTCGTCCGGGCACCGGAAGAAGCTGGCAGTACCAAGGATGGCCCCTTTGACTATGTCATTCTCTGTGTGAAAGCTCTTCCCGACGTGTACGATCTTGCTTCAGTTATCGACTCGGTAGTCACACCGCAGCACACATGTATTCTAATCAACACAACCGCCACTTTGGGCATTGAAGCACTTATCGAGGAGCGGTATCCCACAAACGTTGTCTTGTCACTCGTTTCGAACGCCGAGATTACTCAGATTGGGACCAGTGAATTTGAGCACAAGGGATCGACCGAGGTTTGGGTTGGCCCTGCCAATAAAAACAGCAACATTCCCTCAGCGATACAAGAAGATATGGCTCAAGCTCTCGCCATGACATTGAGCACTGGCAGGGTAGACTGCAAGGTATCATCCAATATTCGGCAACAACAATTTGAGCGAGTAATCGGGTATGTTTTGTTCTCTGACAACCGCATTCGACGTTCTGCTCACTGACCCTGTGTGCAATGTAGTCCGATCGCATTTCACCCTGCCAGCGTCATATTCGAAACCTCTTCGCATACTGCTTTATTAGAAAAGACGGGTGTTCGACAACTGGTTTCGGATATCATTGACGAGTTGATTGAGCTGGCCAAAACCCAGGGTTGCACACTGAGTGCCGATTTCAAGGAGAACACCATCAAGGAGCAGTGCCAGACACAGGAAAGCAGCATCATGTGGCAAGACTATGTCGCACGCCGGCCAATGGAAGTAGAAACGTACCTGGGATCGCCCATCAAGCTCGCCAAGGCTGCCAACATCAGCCTACCGCGCATCGAGACGCTGTATGCCGTTTTCCACCACCTCAATGTCGTCAATCAGTCGCGACCCAAGGAGATGAATGGAGTGCCTCCGCCTCACGGATCGCCTTCCGGACCAATGCCAGGCCCGCGGATGTCGTCTAATGGGCCGCCGCGCAGTGTCTCTAACGGAATACCTAACGGAATGGGCAGAGCACGGCCTCGGAACTCATCCAACTTCAGTGGTCCTCCTCCTGGCATGCGGCGCCCTCCTCCTGGTGGTCCTAACGGCTTCAGAGGCCCTTCGGGTCAGTACGGACCACAATCTCGGCAACCTTCGCGGCGTGGATCCATGGAAGAGACAGATCTCGGCGAGTTTAGCCACTTAGTGCTGTATGATGACATTCCCGAGGGAGGTGATGGTGGCTTCCCTCTCGACAATGGAGGAGATCTCGATATCCGCGAAAGAGAATTGCAATTGCGGCAGCGCGAAATGGCTCTCAAGGAGCAGGAAATGCGCATGAGGCGCAACGGCCCCCCTGGGCCCAGACGCCGCCCTCCCCCTCGTACCGCCGGCGGAGTGTATGACGACGACGACGATGAGGAAGGCGATTACTTTGACCCCGATGCCTTGGTTACACCGTCCGTTGATCCCGACAAGGTTGACATGATGAGCATGACATCCAGGAAAAACCGTATCAAGGCTCCTAGTCAGAGTCAGATCAGAAACGATCCTGAGATGGGAGCTGCAAGTGGTGCGCCCCCGGCGCGCAACAGCAGATGGGGCCGGCCATCCTTTGGCAGCAGAAACCGCTCGAGTCAGATTATGAACAACTCGGTGCCCAACCTGCACAGCAATATTATGGACGACCCGCTTCTCGGCTACTCCTCCAACCGCTACGGCAATGTCGACCGCGGGCAAATGCACCACGCGGCTAGTTCCAGAGCGAACTCACTGACTGCTCAACATCTTGACCAGCTGAATGGACCTGGAGGCATGGGTGGCCCTTATCCAAGGCGTGCTAGTCAATCACCTGGAAACCCATACAGTCCATCGATTCGGGGAGGCAATGGCCGGCCCTCCCCTCCAAACGGATTTGCTGGACCTGGCGGTCCTCAAGGGCGACCGTCACCTCCCAACGGAATGAGGCAACCGGTACCGCGGTACCCTCCGGGGCAGGGAAACTCCGTCGCACCGCAGCAGGTAGAACAACGTGTCGGGGTGAGCTCCCTCCAACCACCCAGAGCCAAGAACGTACGCAGTCTGACCGGCAGTGCGAGCGCTAGCGCGGGGAGTGGTGATTCCACCAACACCGAGTCTGAACCCTCTGCGCATAGTAGCCAGAGCAGTCTCGGCCCCCAGGTTGCCATTGGTGTCCAATAAGGACGCCACGACCACCCCAAACAGCCGACATTGGTCTGACCAATACTCGAAATATATCAATATTCGTTGATGGTCATTTTCAGAGTGGGTATCTACTTGTGTGATAGGTCGAGTGATTCACAGCATCACTCGACGTGGACTATTGACATGAAGACTGTAGTTTTACCGTCTCGGGACCAGGTCTGCAAGGTGCAGATCATGTATACAACAAGGACTAGAACGGCAACTTGGTTATCACTTTTCTACGACATAACACATAATCTTAGTTGGCTCCGTCGCAAATGGGGGCTCACGTACATAGCACTTGGAACGACGAGCAGGTATTATTCTCTTCTGTAATTTTGCATTGGGTTGCAGCGGGTGTCTGTCGTATTTCAGCACATAAACGAACTCTTCTGACGGCTCTCGAACCATGCTACGGGCACTGAACCAATCGATCATTTGGCAACACTTATGACTGAGGCGCGGCAATGAGTCTTCACGATTTGCCATAACACCATTACCCGGGTACGCTGGCGGGCTCTGCAAAAGCTTTGCCTAACTACATCACACATCACGACCACCAAGACGTGTACAAATCTCGGTCACGAATTTCCTTGTCCTCACATTCGAAACGTTACTTCTTACTTCCCGGCTCTCCGCCATCGCCATGGGAAACTAGTCGAATACCAAATTTCGCCGCCAAGCTCCAAAGGCCGCGACCCCAAATGTTTACGATAATAGACGAGAAAGCTTGAGCCAGTCATGATCTGCACCGACACGCACCGACGTGTTCTCGACAGCATGGGTTTGAATACAACCAGCAGCCTCAACGCTATGAAAGGATTAATAGAAGGAGATGGTCCTGAGGCCACAACAATACCGCACACACGAAAGGTCCACGGGACCTGTTATTTTCCTTGCCTCATTATCATTTCTGGATTTTAGTCTTAATATTGCTCTTTCCTTTTTTTTCATTTATCACAAAAGCTGGCATACGACTGAGGCCTGCACTCTGGCTAAGATGGGCGGGTAGAAAGAAACGCGGGCAAGGATATTGTGGTTTCGCAAAGAGAGAAGACATGATAAGCAGAGTGGGATTCCCTGGGACCGGTTGAGAACTTGGGAAGCTCAGGTCGGTCAGAAGGCAATAGAGACTATTTGGGTGACGAACAGACAAGTAGGGCAGACTTTAATGAGGGGCCCCTTATTCGCGACGCAACATGAATGCAATATGACAACGTGAACCTGATACAACATGTGCACCCTTCGTGGTAAATACCAACAACTGCCCAAAACGTCTGTCTCGTCTTTCCGTTTCATGAATAATGGTAGGGCGATTCCATGATGTTCAGTCTTCCTATCTACCTACCTAGGCGAGGCGGCAAGGCTGTGTCAGATAAATATATTATAAATGGGGAAAGAAAAAAAGATTGGCTCTTGAGGTGTCAGTGCAATAGCTTTCAGAGATAAAAATTACCTAACCTAGGTGCATTGGCTGGCACCAACGGCATGTACAATATATGTCTAGGTAGCTATTTGGGGACCTAGCAACAATCGAAAGACCGCTATCGTTTGGGCAGTCAAGTGGGCTGTAGCGCACATGCGTCAATCTTCCCGTCCGCCCCGCCCCGCAACTCAGAGGTTAAGACAACAGTGTGTAGGCTCTACGTCTCCGCTGGCGCTAGGTACCAAGTTCGCTATCTCACAACAGAAAGTTGCACGTGGAGCTGCACTAACTTGGCCAACAACAACAACAACATCAATCTGTCTGCGAACTGAACGACGCCGAAAAGGAGCTGGGATTGCATCCACACTCTGCTGCTGTTGCTGAAGCAGGCAGATATCCGCACGAGTATCACTCACCAAGGTCTCTCTATTCGCAGCGGAAATAATTGAGACGGGATTTGCCCAAATCTTTTGGGGAGCATACAGAGGACAAATCCGGCACGCGCCAAGCATAAAACATCACCAGCCTTGTCCTCATCCCATCTTGTGAAGAACTTGTGCTCATACTCATCTACTAAATCACTGCTCCTGAATTGGTGTTATCTCCCAAGAACGTCATTGGAAGTGATATTACATTGCGCACGCAAGCCCAAAGGCTGTGCCAAATCAACAAACAAGAGGACAGCGCACAGAAAGAACCCCAATCTTCTGTCCCATAGTACGGGGTCATTTCGATTTGGTTTTCCATTGTAATCACGGCAGAACGGTTGTTCCGAGTCAGAAGCAGGGCAAGGGGATTTATAAGATTAAAAAAAAAAATGGCGACGAGAAGCACCAACTTTGGATCAGGTTCCATGGCGAGACCATCCATGGCGCCGCAGGGCTCATCGGGCTCGGGAAGCGCCGTCAAGGCTCGTCAGTTGGTAAGTTTCTGATTTCTTCTTTAAGCTCTCTCTCTCTTTATCTCTCACTAACTATTGAAAACCCCTTGAAAAAAGGCACACCTTCATTCCCAGCTCGCACAGCTGTCGTCCAACTTGTCCGATACTGAGAACCTGCTCCGCATGACGGCCGTTCAGGCTGAAGCTATGAGGGGTCTTGGTGCCTGGCATGGCGGCATGTAAGTTTTTCCTAGACCGCGTTCCTTTTCTTTTCTTTTCCGATATAGGCACTCCTGGTGCTCTTCAGGAGCAGGAATTATACTGACTCTTCTCTTCCGCCGGATAGGTTCATGGCTGCGAGCAAGGTCCTGGGCGAGGAGTCGGTCAAGGAGCAGCCGCCGCAGAAGTGAAGACGGCCAAGCTAACCATGAAGGGAAAACCAGTCCGAGACGGCATCGCAGCAGCGACTCATGTGTGGCTTTAGATATGAGTATCTCGAGCGATGCCCCCCCAAGAGCGAGGTGATGCCCACGCGGAGGACGTAGGCAGACATTTAAATGCCGTGCTTGAATTCTATGGAGAGGCAGGAAGAACAAGCACGAGTTATGGCGGTTTCCGGTCACAGGCTTTGCTGATAACACCGTGTAATTCTAGAATGGTCAACATTGATCATCTCATATTCGAAAATTCGCAATTTAGACCAATAGTGGTTTGCATTTATGGAATTATATATGAGTACTATGAATCACATCATCCTGGCAAGTCTCTTCCTCTTCCCGACAATGTCAACGAGCTCCGTCGTGGGCTCCAGGTAAGGCTTGATGGTGTTCCTTACTAGAGTCCGCTGCTCAAAGGCGTAGGCGAGCCCAATCAGCTTCTCCTCGCTGAAGCGCTCGGCGAGAAAAGAAATGCCAAAGGGCACGTTGGGCGCCGTGGCATTGAGGTTGCCAAAGCTGTTGGGGATCACCGTCTGGTTGTTGGGGTATCGGCCGAGGGGCACCGTAACAATGGGCGAGCCAATGACGGCGGCCAGCGTCGAGGCAAACGTCGTGGGCAGAATCAGCGCGTCGAGCGAATAATTGGTCAGCGCGCCGGTGAGGCCCAGCAGACCGCCGTAGTACAGCTGGGCCGTGTAATTGGACCAGAACTCTGGGCTCGTGTTGTCGTAGCCGAGGTCCAGCGCCGACTGCCATATCTCGGTGTCGCGCTCTGGCCAGTCCTCGGCGGGGAATGACTGGGTAAAGTCCTGGAGCTCCTGCAAGTTGGTCACATTATTCGGGTTGACCGTCAGGTCGGCCAAGTAAGTGGCCAGGTTGACGATGAAATCCGCCTTGAGGACATTCAATTCATAATCCGACGTTGCGAGCGCCTCCCAGCCCTCGAGAAAGATGTCGTCGACAATCTCGGTACCGGCCTCGCGAAACACGTCCAGCGAGGCGTTGAAGGCGGCGATCACGGCTCCATACTGCTCCTCGGCACCGGTGATGTCAAAGACGTTTCGGGGGATGCCGATGCGCTTCCCCTGCAGCGCAAAGTAGTCGCAGGCCGCAGCGTAGTCGGGAATCGTGTCAAAGGGAATGGCGCTGGTGTAGTTGTCATTTGGGTCCTTGCCGGCAATGGCGGAAAGGATGTAGGCGGCGTCCTTGACGCTCCTGGCCATGGGGCCGACAGTGTCCTGGTGTTCCGAGATGGGGATCACGAGATACCGAGACGTGAGGCCGACGCTGGGCTTGATGCCCACGAGATTGTTGACATCCGATGGGGAGACGATGGATCCGTCAGTCTCGGTGCCCAGAGCCGCGAGCGCCAGCCCGAGTGAGCTGGACACGCCACTGCCCGAGCTGGACCCGGAGGGATCTTGACCTGGATAGTAGGCTGCTTCCGTCTGGCCGCCGTCGGCCGTCCACCCGTTGCTGGTGTTGTCACTACGCCAATTGGCCCACTGGGACAGATTGGCCTTGCCCAACAAGATGGCTCCGGCCTGGCGCAGCTTTGCAGCAACCGTGCTGTCCGTGGGCACCTCGGCTCCATGTAGGGCGTACGAGCCCGCCGTGTTTGACTGCGAGTCATTGGTGGCAATGTTGTTCTTGATCAAGAGCGGAATCCCGTGCAGAGGCCCCAGAATCGTGCCCTGGGCCCGGAGCGCGTCGGCCGCGGCGGCGACGGAGAGCGCATCCGGGTTCAAGTAGGTGACCATTTTGAGCGTCGAGTTGACCTCGAGAATGCGGGCCGTGTAGGCATTGACGAGGTCGACGCTCGTGAACAAGCCCGACTCGAGACCAGAGACCAAATCCTCCAACATTGCCTCAATCAGAGGCGGAAATGGCTTCCCGTCAATCGAGGTGCTCGAGTTTGTACACGCCGACAATGCGACGGAAAAGGCCGTCAAGGCAAATGTGCAGTACGTCTTGAGAGACACCATCTTGAAATACTCAAAGCCGCTCAATTGGGCTTGGCTGGCTTGGCTGTTGCAGGATATAAGTACGAAAAGGAAAGACGATTATGATCTCCAGCCCCCCGACTTGTCAAGGTCGAATATGGGCAATTGAGGGAATGGAAAACTCACGGCTCAGCAGGTTGCATATACTGACTACATGAGGGCGCAAAGTCTTGACCCCAACCCGCGCCGAACATGGTACACTTATTATACGAGCCCTGCAGCCCGGCTTCCAGCACCCGAGGCTGCGATTGTGGGAGATGCAGTCTAGTCAAGAGAGATAAGTTACTCCTCATTCATTGCTTGGAGACAGATACCATGCGGAATTGTCAGCGTCATCGACCTCGAGAATACATGGGCTTACCTTCCAATCCCAGTACCGAGTAGGATCGGCCTTGTAGGGATCTTATCGCGGGGGGTGATTTAATCTTTTTTTTGGAGCTCATGGGAATTTTTGGGGGGACGGGGGAACGATGCTGTCTGTAATCAAAGCAATGAGTAATTGTTTGGGAAATGAAAGTCAACCCCCCCAATGACGAGCGCCGATTAGTACCGTATACCCTGGTCATTGCATTGGCGTGGTTCATATCAGGACGACGCCCTGGCTCAGATACCTGCTCGGCGGCGCTCAAGCGTCAGAAGGGAATGGCATTGATACATTTACTTAAGAAAGCACAGTATACTCGTCCCAAAGTGGACAAATTTGGCTCGGGTATAGCTGGTTGCACAAGACTTGTCTGACAGTTCTGCAATTGGTAAGTGGGTGGGCGCAATGCACGAGTCATTGGTTGGACCTACCTTGACGGTTCATCACACAGCCTTGACTCCACCACTGAGTGCTATGCTGCCGTTGAACAGATTCAGGATCACAAGATTGCAACTTTGAGGGATATCCTACGCCATCATCAATTTCATGATTTTTGGGCAGGACCTATTTTCCCACGCAAACATATTCTTTGGGGAAGCCTATGAGAATGTCACCAACCACAGACTGGACAAAAAGAACCTGGCGTCTACGAAAGGCATCTTTGATACTTGCGACCGTGGAACAAGCTTCATACTTGGACTATTAATAGTAAAATCGTTCTATATGTTCAAGTGTTGAGGTGGCAAACAGGCGCGGACATTGGGAGCCTGCTTGTCTTGTTAGTCGACTGTGTACCCAACAGTAAGGGGGGAAATGATGAGCCTTTCACAACTTTCATTCCGCATCGTGGGTTTAAAAACGACTATGAAGCAAAGAAATGAGAAGAATTTTATATTGTGAGTGGTGCATGAGCAAACATGCGTCTGTGTATACATCTTAACTACATCCTCCGTGCCATTGTCCTCATCTGACTGACAGGCACGGGGAGTACCTGAGTAGCCTCCCGAGTAGCTGTAGGCTGCCTTCTTAATGTAATCACAGCTGATAGTCATCTAGTTTTGTTTTTTTCAAGTAGAGGAGCAACCTCCTGCACCACACTGACACCATGGGTTCGATCTTGCCTTGTTCAATCGTTCTAGAGTTTCATAGAGTCAGTCAACTGACCAGACTAGCGACTTCCCTCTGGTTTGTTTCCTCATCAGCCGAGTTGCCTCGTGACTCAAACCTCCAGGCAGTCATTCAATTCCATAATCACTGTAAATGATCTACGACTTCTTCTTCTTCCTACAAGCGAAGACACAGATACGCTCAAGTTTCTTCACACAAGACACACAGATTCAATGCCCCATTAGGCCAGTGGTTTAGGCCGTCGGTCCCCGAAACCGAATGTCGCGAGTTCGAATCTCGCATGGGGCTCAATTTTTTCTCTCTTTTGTTTGTTCTTCCAAAGTTTGAGGTTCTTATTGTTTTGCTCTCTCCATAGAAACTTGAAACTGTCTGCACCTGGAGTTTGATTAGCCACAAGGTGCATTTATCATGTCGACTTTTTGATTGAATGCCGAATGATAGGGTCTGGCAAAATTTAACCATCAATAAAAGGTTGAATCTTGAACAGTCCATCGTGATATAGTCACATTTTCTCGACGATGCACATGAGGCAAGTATAAGTGTCCGCTGTGATACAGCATAGGCAATGTCTACGGCACTTCTGCTACCGTCTTGATTCAAATTTTGCAGTTTGGATGCAGCGTTTGCAGTATCGAGTATTAATTGAATCCATTTCATTACTGGGCAGTGGATACTATTATTTTATGTAAGCTTGGCTGATTTTCGTTGGAATGGTTGTCTGCAAGTAGGCACTTTGCTTGCCGCCGTCTCTGAACACCACAACATGAATTATTGGGTTGAACTTGACAGGTTGCTTTGTATCAGATACGCGAAGGCGAGTATAAATATAAAATTTGAATAGTCTTCATCATTCACCATGCATAATTAATTTGCGGACACAAGATATGGTAATAACGCAATTCCGTATCACGATTCAAGTACAGTGTCTAGTACAGTGCCACGTGTCATTATGTAGCTGTCTGTGATGTGCTCGTACTGTAGAAGATAGGTTTTGAACCTCTTACCGCCGGCGCCGGACCCCTCCAAAATTGGCGGCAATCTTTTTCTACCTGGCGCAGAGAGAATCTACATTAATTCCTCGGCTACAAATTTACAAGCACTGGACAAAGGAATAAACTTCCTTTCTAAATCGCCAAAAATGCACATGGCTCAGCAAAACGACCCTCAAGATGAGGATCTCCGGATCCAAATCATGTCTGCAGGCGAACCTCCGCGTCCTGCCGTCATCGAGGAGGATTTTCTAGATGATGTATTTGGCTCTGATGCAGGATCCGCCGTCTTTGATGGCTCGGAACACGGCGCCGAGGCTAGAGAATCCCACCCGTCCGACACCCGGCGGCTGCAAGCAGAGCACACGACGGCTGGTTATCGCGACGGCATCACCGCAGCCAAGGCCAAGAGCATCCAGGCGGGATTCGACGAGGGGTTCGGTCTGGGTGCCAACATTGGGCTCAAGGCTGGGCAGGTCCTAGGATTCTTGGAGGGCATCACGAGCGCGCTGCGGGCCGCTGATCGTGACGATGGCGGCGGCGGCGATGACTACCGCGAGGCTCAGCGACATCTCGAAGAGGCGCGGAAAGAGCTGAGCACAGATTCAATCTACGATGAAAAGTACTGGCTACCCGACGGCACCTGGAGGTTCGAGTTGCCGTCTGCCACGGCCGAGGGCGACGTGGTGTTCGAGGACATTGCCGGCGCTCACCCGCTCGTGCGCAAGTGGAACGACGTCGTCAAGGAGCAGCTCAGCAAGTGGTCGGTCGACGTGCAGATCCTTCAGCACGCTGACGAGATCGGCGCCGCCCCCGCCCCGGAGAAAAAGGAAATCAAGCTCGAGCAACAGGCTCGCGTGCAACTCGATTGGTAAAGTCGTGTCATCTGCATTGCTACAAGTTCTGCAACCTCACCACCGGCACCCGCCCCCCCTCGCTTTGTGCCGGTATTACTTTGCAGGTTACAACTGCTTTCCTTCATGGCCCAGTGGCATGGCGACGGCTGGGGAGGCCTTGGTGCTGGCCTTGGCCACCTCCGCCACATGAGATCGTCGGGCGGCAGTTGCACAGAAGGAATAGCCGTGTTCTTCTTCTTCCAAGTGCGCGCAAAAAAATACGGCATATCAAGATGGGACAAGATGTAGGTTTCAAAGCTACATATTGCGGCTGAATGGCGATTATTCGTTTTTTAATTTTTATTTTTCTCAATTGTGCCTTCTTCTAACAGCCTCATAGGCACTCCAGACGTTTGCGATGAGAATGTCTCAAAGCATACGGGTAGATTGAGGGAATTTCCCAAAATGGTACGATTGGACGGTCACTTCTCATTTGGACTGTCAGAGGGGCGTCACATTTTGCATGCAAGTTGAGCTTTTCGTCCAACGAGGAAAGCCTCGATCGTCATCGTCCCCAGAGAAAGGCTTTCCCGTGAGGCTGCATGGTTTGTCAGACAGACGCAGGGCACCACACAGCGATGGTTGTTGGATGGTGGGGTGGCTGCGCTGGATACGAGAATGCAATCTGGAGGTGGTGTGTGTGTGACAGGCAGACAGACGGTCCATCCCATCTCAACTCACCCAACCTATGCCTACCCACCATTCACAAAGACGATGATGGACATCTGCATGCTGCAGCGCGACTTGATCCAGCACCATTGCATACGTGTGTAGCCTCTCTTTCTCACTCTGTACATAGGCTGTGCCTGTCAGCCAGTCGGTATCGGGATGTTCTCGAGAACGTTAATAAAGTAACATTCCGAGTCTGCCGGTCTTCCAGTCAATCAGTCATTTGCTCCTCTGCGACCGGCCAGCACAGACTCTAGCACTCTTCCTGAAACGCGACAACACCAGAGGATTGTCATTGGCGATGTAAATCAACCCATGATTTGCTGGCCATGTTGTAGCACCGAGACAACTCTAAAATTTGACTCGCGGGCTCAGCTGCAGGAACACAGCATTAATTTGCCTTTTGGGTTGCGTTTTCGCTCATGGAGGGTGACAGTGAACATCATAGGCTCTGGATTCATTGGACCGCGCGCCATGATTTCCAAGGACAACAACATTTCTCCTCTGCTGCAAGTCTAGAAATGCGCTGTGACCTGGCTCTTACTCCGCCATTGCTGGCCCAATCACATGGGCGCAGTCTCTTGATGAACATCTATACCCCCCTGCTTTTGACGCCTTGGCCCGAGACATGGGGCTCATAAGGACCTTACCTATTCGGCACTATAACCGCTGCTCCGGCCTACTGCAAATGGTCGCGACTTGCCATTTCTTCTTGGATGCCGACCACTTCGTCAGCCCACAGCCTGAATGCGCGATACGTTGTCCCATCAACGTACTATAAGAGTCACTGCGAGAACCCTGTATGACTGGCTCTGACTTCCTTGCTTCCTGCCTCCCAGGTTTACCGTCCCAACATTCAGGGCTTAATATCGAAAGGTTATTGATCGCCTTTACATTCGTTTTTTCTTTTAAACAAAAAACCCGCTCGTTCAACTATCTTAATACAAGATACTCCCACTGTCGTTTTCTCGCCTCTGACCTTTACTTGTACTCTTCTCCCTCCCAAGGACTTGAGTCATTTCTATAATTATTCTTTCCGGCCAAGTTATAATAATTACCGGCGACAACAAGACAAGATGAGAACTTACACTTTTGCTCTCTTGGCTCTGGCCACTGGTGCTCTGGCCCACGGCGGCGGCGGCGAGGGCGGCGGTGACCACGGCCACCCGCCGCCACCTCCTCCCGACTGCACCGATGACCAGCCGGCGCCGACGTACCCGGCCGAGACCACATACTACACCGTCTCGACCACCACGACCGAGTGCGAGGAGAGCTCCACCGCCCCGGTAGAGACATACCCTACCTATACCGAGATCAGCAGCACCGCCCCGGTCGAGACGTACCCGACCTACAGCGCCAGCACCCCGGTGGAGCCCTATCCTACCTACACCGAGATCAGCACCGCCCCCGTGGAGACGTATCCCACCATCTCGGAGACGTACCCCGCGGAGACCACGACGACGAGCGTGACCCTGCCCTCGGAGACGTACCCGGGCACGTACCCGGTCGAGACCACGTCCTCCACCGAGGCCGTCTCCTCGTCGTCTTCGTACCCCGTGGTCCCGTACCCCACCTCGTCCTGGACCACCTCGGCCTCGTACCCCACGACCAAGGTCACGTCGGTCGGCACCACCAGCGTCACGACCACCAAGGCCACCTCGGCCACCGAGGCCGTGCCCACCACCTCGGTCCCCGTCACGGCCGGCGCTGCGGTTCACCACGTCCAGGGTGCCGGAGCTGTCCTGGCTGCCGCTGCTTTTGCCCTTTTCATCTAAATTTTTCCCATGCCTTGTTTTTTTCCTCTTTTTACCCCCCTTACACCACCAAATGCATTTGTTTGCTTGTCGGAGGAGTTTGCTCTGCTGGGGGAGGATACTTGACGTGGTTTAGCATGATTGGGAAGGGGCGGAAAGAGTATTTCTCTGCAAATGTCTAATAATAGATGGGTACCGTACGCACGTATGATTTGAGTGCGCGTGCCTTGCCGCACAACAAGCAGATTTTACCTCGATCAAGCTTCTGGAAAAAAAGGGAGGCGGGGGGTTCCATATAATTGACATCTTTAGTATCAAAATAAGGCATTGGACAAAAGGGGTCGAGCTTATAGGTTATCTTTCAAAGCAAATTTCTTGTACACTTTATATTCCACAATTCAGACATTCATAAACTTTTGAACTTCATTGACTGCTTACTTGTTGTATTTTTATATTGGACTAAGGTAACTTATCATCTGATTTTGGGCCTGTCACCTTCGAGTACGTAGCTGTATTTCATAGTGTTCAGGTTGTGACATGCCTAGGCCATGAAGTGGCTGATCAGTACGTGTAATACTAGCCTCAGTCAAATGGACGAACTCGTACAATACAGTAGCATGGCAAATACTGCATCACAGCCAATTCTACCAAGTAGCCTGTTCGGTTGCCGTCGTCGAAGGTACCGAGCCAGGAGCAGTGGTATTCCATCTACGACATGCTCGAGGTGTCGACTAGATGACTGCCAGTCCACATGTGATGTAAGAGAATTCCACAGCCAAATGTAGTCAAAATAACTTTAGTTTTCATCGACTGTGCCATCCACTGTTCATCTCGCCCAAGTGGATTGGAAGCACGGGCAGGTGTTTCGTGTTGGCAGTGAATCGTTTATGATTCGATTTGCGGCAAAGCTTCCTGTTGATGACCATCTGTCGCACTGTGTCGACTTTGACTTGCGAAGTTATGTTAGTATCAACTATTTTTGGGTGTTCGAGATCGGCTTCGCAAACGATCCCGCCACGGCTCGATGACGACTGTCGTGCTTTCTGGATTCTGTGAACGATTTGAAGGTATTTCCGACTGCTGCGAGGTATTTTGTTCTGAACTCTGCTCCAGAATTCTGGGCGTGGAAAGTTCGGTCATCTAAACACGTCTCTTGTGATCCGTCTTCTCTGGATGAGGATTGAGGTGGCGGACAAGATCCTGAATATGAGTGCTGCCGCCGAGCAGCTCCCGAACTCTCCGTCGGTCCCTCTCGTTCCCAGCCTGCACAGCAACCTTTGCAATCTTGCCGTCGTCATCCATGACCAGGCGTCCGACGCGGCCATCCTCCCACTCCAGTCTGACCTGTTTGGCTTCTGCGTCCACGGCACTAATGTCTGTAATGGCTACTGCCTCGTCCCCGTGCCGCTTGGTACTGCTATTTCCCAGACCGGCTGCCTTTCTAAGATCGCCTATGGTCGTAATACGGTTCTGATACCTCACCAGCTCTCGTCTAAGTGCCCGGGCAAAACGTGGCAGGTCTTGATGATGCGTCTCCTGGCCGTCCTTGTCCAATTTCGAGGCCGGCAAGTGTCGAGCCGCAAGTCCAGAGATGGCGATGCAAGGCGGTACCGTATGACGATGGATGCGCAAGTGCTGCGACTTTGCGTATGGGCGGTTCAACATGACATAGTAGGGGCGAATGAACCTTGATCGGGACATGACCTCGAAACGTAGACCTAGAACATTTCCTTTATCGACGGCATTCGGGTCTGGGTCACGAATCTTCAATGCAGTAATAGATGCGCAGGCTCTGTAGAGTGACTGCCGCTGATGGGCGACTTGCTTGTCCGACTCGGTCAACAGTCTAGACCTGGCAGACGCATCAAGCCCACGAACGTCGGTGTTGTCATCCTGGAGAATGCGTCGCGTTGAGTCGGATGCAAGTAAAGTGGCCGTTTGTAGCCTCAACTCATTCTTTAATGATTCAACTAGGCGTAACGTCAATATATATATGCCTGGAGAATAAAAGCAACAAGATCTCACGCAGCATAGAATGACACGGGGAAAGAAGAGGCCGATCACCTACCTTGAGCCCTCAACTTTGCGATTTCATCGTCTAACCTGTCAGCCACAGACAAGTCTGGCGAAAGAGAGTCTCTAGATGTCATTTCCTCTTTTCATATGGCGTGGAGTCAGGTCATTGGTCTTGATTCGCTATTTGTGCTTGCTCAACGCTGATGGCCCTTTGAATATAATATATGGTTGCGATCTGATGGGTAAAGAAAGGCTCCAATTAGGACGCGACTAAACAAACAACCCTTGGCGCGTCAAGTCTGCTGCTGCTTGGGGGCCCGTTAAGCCTCCAGTTCCAGCTACGTGCTAGTCTGTAGTGGGTGCCGCCCTCTTATCACCGATAGTGCCGGCTCGGGGTCAAGATATGGCCTAGCAAGAACCTGGCTAGCCTGCAGCTTAGGAGGCTAGCGGACGTTTCGGTCCCTGTGAAAGGAAACCTTGCCCCTGAAGCGGATCTGATCTCTGCCTTGACGGGCCTACCATAGCTCTGGAAAGCACCCAAAAGACACAGAATTGCACCGCTGTCCTCTTCGTTTTCGGCCCCAGTTACCGCAGCTACTATTCGACGGGCCGGACAGTCAAGAGGGGCACGTTTCTCGTATCTTAATAATGCAATGTAAGTGCTGCTGCCTTTTGACTCGCACCAGAAAACTTCCCACGATTCGAGTCGCTCAACCTCCTTGATAATTCTGATTCGTACGAGGCTCCTCTTTGCCGGTTTGCCACTTATCTAAATCTTTTTCCCTTTTCCTCCAACGCTACGTACTACTATCTTTTGAGCCGTCAAGTTCCAAAGACCACGGTTGCGTTCTTGCCCTCTCTATTCTTTTTGTTGTGTGTCATTGGACTACATCCAACTATTCAGTCGCATCGCTCTTTGTCCACGAGTAGATACTCGATTCTTGCCTGACTCGAGGTTCTTCTCACACATACCAAGATTGTACTTGTCTTGCATTGATCTTACCTGGGAGATCTCTCTTTTATCCAATCTCTATCTTTTCCGTCACAATCTTTTGTTGAACGAATCTGCATCTACAAGCATCGGCCGTGCTTCTTTCAGATCTACATCTGCCTGCCCAATCTTTTTTTTATTACGAACAGCCACAGGCAGCCCCGATTTTAAACTTCCGTGCGACCGTCTTTTATAACACCACGTCTCAAACCCCTCCGGTCCCGCTTCCAACCAACCGACTTCTCCTATGGGTGTCAAAACACGCCGTTCCAAATCGCCGAAACGAGACGGACTCTCCATCTCGACGAGCGGCCGTGAGAACGGTTCCCTAAACGGCGACATGGATAACACCGAATACCGCCGCAAGACGGCCCAGAAACTCGACTCGAGCCAGATCGCTGGCAACCTCATTGCGCGCGAATCCTTTACTCTCGACGATCCCGTTCCCAAGACCCCGACCGTGAATAACCATGGCTTCTGGGAGCTCCCCAAGCAAGACCAAAAGAACTTTGGGCTGCTCGTCCTGCTCTACTTTTTGCAGGGCATTCCCATGGGCCTGGCGCATGGCTCCGTGCCATTTCTCCTGAAAGAGCACTTGTCCTATGGCGAAATCGGAATTTTCAGCTTGGCCGGCTACCCATACTCGCTCAAGCTGCTATGGAGTCCCATTGTGGACGCTTGGTGGTCCCCAAAGGTCGGCAGAAGAAAGAGTTGGATCCTGCCTATACAGCTCATCTCTGGTCTGGGAATGCTGGTGCTGGGCTCGGTGATTGAGGACTGGATGGCGACAACTGGCAAGCCTGGTGGCCCGACCGTCTGGAACTTTACTTGGTGGTGGTTCTTTCTGGTTTTCACTTGCGCCACTCAAGATATCGCCGTGGATGGATGGGCCTTGACACTTCTCACCCCCGGCAACGTCTCTTATGCATCGACTGCGCAGACCGTGGGCTTGACCGCCGGCCAATTCTTGTCGTACACGGTTTTCCTGGCGTTCAACTCGGCGGATTTTGCCAACAAATGGTTCCGATCTGAACCCCTCGAGTCGGGCCTCTTGAGCCTCGGAGGCTACCTGACGTTCTGGGGCTGGGCTTATCTCTTTGTCACCCTCGGCCTTGCTCTTCTAAAGCGCGAGGAGAAGACCAAGAATGAAGACGGCATCTGGGATGTCTACAAGATCATGTGGGGAGTCCTCAAACTCAAGAATATCCAGACCATCATCATTGTCCACCTCATTGCCAAGATTGGGTTCCAAGCCAACGACGGTGTCACCAACCTCAAGCTCTTGGACAAGGGATTTGGCAAGGAGAATATGGCCCTGACAGTTCTGATTGACTTTCCTTTTGAAATCGGCCTAGGTTACTATGCCGGCAAGTGGTCGCAAGAGTACACTCCCATGAAGCTGTGGTGCTGGGGATTCATGGGTCGACTGGTTGCCGCTGTGCTCGCCCAGTTCACCGTCATGATATTCCCTGCTGGCGGAGTTACATCCTGGTACATGCTCGTCGTCATTGCCGAGCACATTTTCTCAACCTTTACCAATACCGTCATGTTTGTTGCGGTTTCTGCTTTCCATGCCCGCGTTGCCGATCCCGTGATTGGCGGCACTTACATGACCCTTCTCGCAACGTAAGTGGTTATTCCCATCTTCGGCCCCCTTTTTATGGTAGTATTCCAAATCGAAGACTAACATGCATTAACTACAGCGTCTCCAACCTGGGAGGAACCTTTCCCAAATTCTTTGTCCTTCGCCTCGTCGATTACTTTACCGAGGCTGTCTGCCACCCACCCACGAGTAAAGTCGATGCCTCCCTCCTAAAGTCCCCCCTCGTCACGGCGCCCTTTTCCTGCGCCATGCAGGGTGACAAGGAACTGTGCGTCAACGGCGGCGGCTCGTGCGAGCTCACGCGTGACGGTTACTACATTGTCAACATTATTTGCGTCCTGGTCGGCCTCTTTACATTTACCATGTACATTCGGCCCAAGGTCCTGCACTTGCAGAGCTTGCCGTTGCGGGCTTGGAGGTTAGCTGGGGGCAAATAAACCCCGTCGGCGTGTTGAGGAATTATCGATAGAAAATCAAGACCATGAGTAGAGAATAATATCAATAAATAGATTCAGTCGGCCAACATTGACGACTCCATTTGTAATCATTCCAAACATGGATTCAGTGCTGTCATGTGTTGATGCTTAATCAGTCAAATTGTACCTTGGTTTGCTCTTCGTGTCATGTACGTTCCTAGGTATTTGTATACATTATCTAGGGGAACCATCCTCATAATTTCAAACCCTAACGCAACGCCTATGCTACCGTTTTGTTGCAACTGAACCGCATATAATTCCTCGTATAAAACATGAACGCTTCCCGAAAGCACCAGAGGCAGGCCTGACTAACGTCGCTCCCACATTCCCACATTACATCAAATTTTGGACATGCGTATCAAACACTTCATTCTTCCAGCCGCCCTGCTCGTATTCCTCGACACGTTCACCGGCTCTCGCGGCTTCCTCGTTCCAAATCTTGACAATACTGCCTGGAGCATAGACACCCTTGAAGACACCCTCGCCGGGCTGTGCCACGCCGACTCTGGTGTACAAATCAGGATCCTCTTCAGGGACAAGACGCGATGCCACAGCCTTGACAAAGGTCCAGATATCCTGAGGCTCTGCAATCCTGGTGGCGCGGAGTCGTTCTCGAGCATAGAGAATCTCACGGTTGCCGGCACGAAGGAGATCGGCAATGGCAGTAGCTAGTTGGATCTCCATCGTAGTCTTGAGAATTGGTCGGAGTAGTGGCTTGAAAAGCCAGCCGAGCCATGAGAATCTGCTCTTGCGTAGCTTGTAGTCAAGCTTGTGTACTCGAACTCTGACACCCCGCAACGTCAGAATCTGCTCCATTCTCTCGCGGCATATTTCCACCTCGAGGTGCACGTCGATACCGCGCTCATCAAGGGCGAAACTGGCAATTCCCTCGTCGGCCAGACGAAGTAGCCCACTATGGGCACGCAGCCAGAAGCCTATTTCATCAGCCTTGGCCGACAAGCCGTCGATTTTGATGAGAACCAGGTTCTTGGATGTTGTGGCAGTGCGGAACCGTGCCTTGCGTATCTCCAAGTCGTTGTAGGTTTCAATCTTCAGCCGATATGGCAAAAACGAGGTTTGATTGACCGTAACACCAGGCTCTATGATGAGATTTTCCAAGAGGAGATCGATTGCGGGCGTACTAACTTCGAGACGGGGAATTGGCAGATATTGAATGGCACTGATTGCCAATGGAATGAATACATGCAGCGCATCTTGGACAAGTTCAGGATTGGTTGCACTGTTGGTGGGAGAGAGAACGCCGAATATTCGCATCGTGGTTGTGATCAAATTGTGAACATCTTCATCGCGCAGGACACTCTGGAATGTGACAGCCAATTGTTGAAGTAAATCGTCCACGTCCTGTCGCAAGGTGCTTTCTGTGCCAACCTTTTTGCTCTTTTCCCTGAGCTCACGCAACTTCTCATCGGCATTCATGAAGAAGTCGGGGTCAGTCAGGAGTCTCTGTAGACTGTTTCCAATGTCTTGCATGAAGTTCTCAAACTCGGGGTCGCTGTCCTTGTGTGCCAGAACCTTTTTAAACAGTACCTCGCATTTCTCCCATTCCTTCTTGTCGCCAAAGCTGTTGACAAACTCCCACATGTTTACAAGAGCTTTGTCCGTCTCGGGGTTCTCATAGACATCTTGCTGTGCAACCTCGGCAATCTCCTCTGCAGCACGTGAGTAGACCATGGCATATCGCTTGATGAGAAGGGACAGGGTGGAGACCGAGTCCGAGTAATCTCTCCGCTTGCGAAGATTGAGAACGACTTGCTGCAAACGTTTCAGCAAAGTGTGGCCCTCATCGCCAGACAGCTTGTCCTTGGCACTCTCCAACGTGGCCCCGGCGACCTCGGCAGTCTCTTGCGCGACGATTTTGGAGACATCTTGCACGTCTTTTCCTAGATCGCTCCCAGTTGGCGCCTTGCCGTTCGTATTGCCATTGGAGTGGGCTACCGCTTGCTGCTCGGCCTCGGATGGTTCCAGCCGTTTTCCAGCGTCTTCAGCAGCATGACTCAAGGCCAGGGCCGAGTCCTTGAAAATCTCCCGTCCAACAGTGTTGAGGTCTCCGAGGAAGACGCGGAAGTCTGAATTTGTAAAGAGCAGGGAGCCAACAGTCTGTAGGCTCTTGTAAGCAGCTGCAGCGTCGGCCGAGGCCTTTGATTTCTTTGCGCGATGTTGAAGGTCCTCAACGTCGACTGAGATTCTACTCTTGGTAAGGAACCAAATGAGATCTTGTAACTGGTCCTTGTCGTTCTTGTTCTTCAACAGAGTGATGAACTGGTGTAGCCATTGCTTGGTGAGACGGACCAGGCGCCGGCCGCTGTCGGATAGGTCAGGGTTGTCAGGACTGAGAAAATCGGCGGCCAGCAGAGTGCGAAGATTGATGATAGTTTGTTCAGTCGTGGGCATGTATCCCTTACCCAAGGCCCGGAGCATCTGATAGCTGTGGAGCTTGCGATAGAGCTCGCGCTGTAGGTGAGTGTCCTGCTCATATCGAGGCAGGAGAGGTTCCTGGTCTTCATCGCGGGACCCGCCGCAGCCGAAACAAGACGAGAGCATCTTTTGATAATGTACAGTGTTGTATATTTATTTACTCGTTATTTCGAGCGATGCATGATAGTGCTCGTAGAATGGTCGATGTTGATCTTACTATTATGGTACACAGGCAGTCACTTACATGGGAAACTAAAGTGATGCAATCCACCTGTCACAGACGGGAGCTTGGGCACTTGTAGGTCAGGAATGACGTCGTCGTCGTTGGTCCAGCACAACCGACAGGGGGGGACCCCATGTGATCTTCGCGGGGTTTAGCCAGGAATGCTCCCAGCCTGTACAGTGTAGTGTCCAGTACGGAGTCCTACACATATTACACGGTTCCAAGCATACAGACCAAAGTAAAGTAATGTCGATATTTACCTTGTTGTGCATCAACTGAAACTGTATTATTTAATTTGAGAATTCAACTCGCAGCTAAATCAACACTACTACTCTGAGTGAACTATGACCTGTTGACGCGTGCCATATGTTAGGCCCATTGAAAGTAGAAAGTAGCAGTCGGACGACCAAGCTGCGAAAGCGACTGCGTGCACCTCTGAGAGTATCACGTTGTACTGCTTCAGTTCCTCCCATACTGCCTACACATGTACATGCATCTTTTGAATGTATATGTATGCATTCAAAAAAAAAAAAAAAAAAAAAAACCTAGCTGCAACTGCACTCCAGAATCTTCTTAAGGCAAGTGCAACGTGGGAGTAAGTTTACTTCCATCGTAGGCACCCAGAGTGGCTACTCATAATGATATTATTTGAAAGGTAGGCAGTTGCATCTCTCCAGCATCCGTCCACGCAGACTTGCATGAGGACCGCGAATTCTATGTAAGTGACAGGCAATCAGAGTTTAGTACAGATATGCCTCATTTAACCTTATTGAGAAATATAACTTGAATCTTGAAAGACTGTCAAATGAAATGGGGGAGGCTGCAGCCATTTTGTAATAAATACCTACCTAAACAGCATTGGGCTCACTGTTCCTTCCAACTGTGGTGACTGGTTGCTGTTGAGCCTAGCAGTCCGTTTCCCCAGGCCACAGCACGGGGCCACTCTGGTGTAACTGCTGCCAGTGCCCAGGTTGCCAGGGCGCGTCGTTGCCCACCCGCGCTTTTTGTAGCCCTGCCGCTGAGGCAGTGACCGCCTGGCAGAAATCTGGCGGGCTCCACTTTGCACTCTATAAATGTCTGGCCATCCTCCCCCCATTTGCCTGTTTTCTCCTTTTCTTCTTCATACTTACCTTCTCGCAAAAGGCTTCGATCAAGCATGAGGTCTTTTAGAGGGTGGAATCTGCATTGCACAGCGTGGTATTCCGCCTTCTCTACTATCCTTCGGGGTCGTAGGTGGGGCAATTTTTGATTTAACCCAAACCTTTGTTTTCAATGTGTACGGTTGCCTTGAGCATCGTCATGAGGAAGATGAATTACTGTTTTGCTCCCACGACTCGGTGTTGTCAATGCTGTTCGTGTCAATTGTCTCGACCGAGCTCTGGACTGCTGTTCCACCAACCATTCTGGGGTCCATGTCTATTTACTGCCTTCCAGCATGCCACAAGCTCTGTGGTTTGAGAACATCGGGCAAGCAATTCAAATTTTGAACACTTGCGTTCAGTCGAGAAGCCTGTGATCTGCATGTGATTGAGCATATCCAGGCAAGACCTTCAAGCTTCACCAAGGGCACTACAGATGGCAGCTTCGGTGGACGTCGAGCTTGTTTGATCAACACCAACATTGATGACCGCTTTCAACGACAACGAAAACGACGACGATGATGACTGTCGCCGACCAGGGAAAAAAAAAAAAAAAGGCAAGATTTCTGTGAAAGAGCATGCCATCAAAGACTACACGAGGGTCTAGCATTTATTTTGCATTGTTTTCTTGTCTATCTATGAAGGGAATGTCCTATCTTATACTACCGAAGATATTCTAGCCAAGGGCGAGTCCTGCTGCTGGTCCTTCATGCTCTCCTTCTTCACACTTTTCCACTCCATGAATGAAGCCCCGATTATCATGAAGCATGACAGAGCAATGCAAACGATAAAGGACTGCCTCAGAGCTGCATTGTAAGCTTTCAAAACACCATTGATGGCAGCTGATCCGTACGTTTTCGTGATAAACGAAGAAAGATCAGACACGCCATTGGCAAGGACAGCAGCCGGATCAACGTCCGAAGCATCAGCAACCAGAGCGCTGACCAAGTTTGTCTGGAACAAGTTCTGCCCAACGGCCAAGAATACGGTTCCGCTCAAGGTCTGAGCTAGAACCACGACAGAGGTGCCAATGGCAATGTCGCTGCCCTTTAGAACAGTTTGCACAGCAGTCAAAGGCATTTGTAAACCCATGCCGGTTCCAAAGCCAAACATCACCAGCGTTCCAGCCCTAGCCACTTGTCAGAAAAAGAAAAAAAGAGAACTACACGAAAAAAGTTGCAACGCAGCAGATGACTTACCAATAAGCAGTCGTTGTATCGAGATTGTAACGATAAATCAGCCCAGCGGCAATTGACATTATGATGGAGCTGCCAAACATTTGGGGCACATAGTATCCGATTCCAGACGTCTGTGGTCTTGTTAGACGCGGTTCTCGTATGAACGGCGCAAGGGGTGGGAGATACTCACCAAAGCTCCGCTGAGTACAGCGCCAACTGTCATGGCTCCCGATGCTGCGAGAAAGTTGATGCCAGATTTTTCCGCCGATGCCCCCTTGACCGATTGGAACCAGATGGGAACGTAATACGTGATGACAAAGAGCGCGCCCGAGGCACCAAGAACGTACACCATGCCGCTGGCAACCGATCGCTGTGTCACGATGCGAAGGGGGAGGGTGCCGCGGTCACCTTTGACATATTGGACATAGAGCCAAACCAGGAATAGGACGACGAACAAGCAAAGACACAGGATGATGCGCCAGTTGCTCCAGGCATACGTCAAGCCACCCCATTCCAATGCCAGTAGGAGACAGATGATGCAAGGCATAAAGATGGCGGTACCTTCGAGGTCGAGTTTCTTGAAGATTCCAGTGTGGTCCTCTTGCTTCTTTTGCGGTGGGAGACGGACAAAGAATAGGACCACCACGGCAGTGACCGCGCCGAGCGGCAGGTTGATCCAGAAACACCACCGCCAAGTGGCTCGGTCAGTCAGAACTCCTGTACAGAAGTATTCAAATCAGTTTCAACGAAACCAGTAACTTGGTCAGGAGAGATGAGGAAGACCCACCACCGAGTGTCGGAGCAATGATTTGTGCAATACCACTAGTTGCGCCAATGACACCAGTATACATTGGTCGAACGTGCAATGGTACACTCTGGGCGATGATGGTGAGCGCACCGGTCATGACGCCGGCACAGCCAATACCCTGAATCGCTCGACCGATGATGAGGGCAACAGAATTCGGAGCGCAGCCACAGACCAAGGAGCCAATCTCGAAAAGGGCCAGGGCAACCAGGAAGACCCAATTGACCTTGAACTCGACGTACAGTTTGCCAAACATGAGCTGGAAGCAGCACGTTGTTAGTAGGTAGGCCGAGCCATACCAGGCTACATCTTCGAGGGAATTGAAGTCGTTTGTGATTTTCGGAATCGCCGTGGTAATGATGGATCGGTCCTAGCAAAATGGCATGCAAGTCAGCAAGTATTTCCTTTGCCGGACTGTACTTTTGAGCAACTCACAAGACCAAGGCAAAATACTGCGAGCACCAGACCCAAGGAAATCAGGATAAGTGGTACGCCTGAAGCATATGTTGTCGATTGTTGTTGAGTACTAGAGCTGGCATGTTCAGGCTCCGTGTCCGACTGGAGTTTCTCGGTTTGCATGGAAGCAGTCGTATCATGATCTGAAGTCGTCGGGACACTCATTGTTGCTGGATTGAAGATGTGAAATGCCTAAGTGTCTGCAACACAGAGTAAGGGGATGGGCCACCTGAAGAAATCATAAAAGACCTGACAGAAGCTCTAGCCCAGATATATATCAACATCTGTTGACTCTTCCTTTCAGCGCGACTCGGGTCCGGGTGCTTTGTGCGGAAACTTGACGGGTGCCTAGGACACCGAGAACTAGCCTAGTCATCATTTCCTTGCAAGATAACGATTCAATCTGTACTTGTATCAAAACTCTGAGAATTTCTCTTCCATGTGTAGGCAGATTTGCGGAATGGACTTCGGGCGTCCTATAGCTGCCATCGGCATCGGAGCTTACAGATGACATAGCGCCCGGCGCTTGCATAGAAATCTGCGTTATGTCGGTGCCTTTTAGACTTCATTTGCCGCCAAGTCCAATGAAAACCCCTTATTTGCACCCCACTTATACCCAAAGGATCGGGCATGTAGAAGACCAAATGACCCCCGATCCGATTCGTCCTCCCGCCTACTATCGTCATTCAACAATAAGCCACACTGACTTGATTCCCTCACTGCCATTATTAAATCCGAGCTCCGTCATTGGTTTGGGAAGTGCTATGAAAAGAAAGGCTTAAGCACTAATGACGGACCCCAGGCTGCGAGCATGTTCCAACTGCGCCCGCTCAAAGACAAAGTGTGTGTGGACAGACAATGCTGCTTGCCAAAGGTGCGGACCCCATCCTCTTTGCTGCCCGTAGCATCATATATATCTAACGGGGATCTTGACAGATGCGCAAGAACACATTCACTGTGCTCAGTTCCACAATCAAGTTCGGGCAAGAAGCAGCGGGTGAAACGGAGGTAAGCAATGTTGTCACCTTGTATACACTGCCAATCAGCTTCTTGGTCACCGTCAAATGTCGATGGAAAGGGCAAAAAATGATCATTGACAAACGCGTTCCAAAAATAGCCGTGTCGGACAGCTTGAGCAAAAGGTTGATGGATTACTCTCTATGCTGGCTGCCGGCCAGTCGCCTTCCGGTGCCGCAACAAATGAGAGAAATGTACAGTCTAATGATGCCACGACGCCTGCCAATAATACTCCTGGATCTAGGATAACTCCATCTACATTACCACTCACATCTCAACCATCGGGCACTGCCCTCGCACAGACTGCAGCCATCTCTGAAGAAACTATCGAGATTGTGCCTGGCTTCTGTGTATCATTCTTAGAGGCAGACCAGATACTGGAAGATTACCGCTCGAATATGCTCTCGCAGTTTCCCTTCGTCCCAATACCCTTTACCAAATCACAGGACATATACCATAGCCAACCCTTGCTGGTAAAGGCCATCATCTATGCCTCTCGACCACAAAATGCTCCCATGACCGACAAGGTCAATCGATGGTTCCGAGAATACTTTGCACACCATATTGTAGTACTCAATGAGAAAAGCCTCGAAATACTACAAGCTATTCTCGTCTTCCTCGCATGGTGGGTGTCTCCCCACCTGCATCAATATCTGTTTGTCTCCTCTATCTGACTCCAATCACTTCGCAGGCGCGAGGTCGAGTTCTTCATCAATGCATACGACACAAGCTTGCTACATCTTGCTTTAGGCCTTGTTGGAGATTTGGGAATGAACAGGTTTCCAGAAGACCAGACTATACCTTCCTATCCAGAGTCCATTGCCGATGCCGGTTTAACGACTGCGGTCAGAGGATTCAATGTGCGTGTCGTACACACTCATGCTCACCGCCGAGCTATGCTCGGACTGTTTTATATAACCTCAAAGTAAGCTAAAGTCATGAAGGGAAAGGTCTTTCTAATCATGACATAGTATCTGGACACTTTTTCGACGGACAGAGCCCCCCGGGTATACAGATTATGCTGAAAAATGCTGTCTGGAGTTGAAGCAGACCCCAGAATACTCCTCAGATCAACTTTTAACTGGAATGGTCGACTTGCAACGCTTAGTGCTCCAAGCTTGCGTATTGGGATCAAAGATGACAACTACCACTCGACAGGAGGTTCTGGATACACCCCGTAATATGCTGGTTTCCAGTCAACAAAACTGGATCGAGGAGACTTTTACCAAACTTCCACAAAACATCAGGTTCAATCGTGAGTGCCCGCAGAAATCGTGAGTGCTCAAGTGAAACACCGGCTAATATTGCTAGATGTCATACGGAGTCACTACTACACAGCCCTCATCCGTCTGCACGAGTCCACCATCTACCTAAAGCCTTCAAACGCTCCCGACGGCCCGCTCACGAGGACCCAATCTTTATGGGCCTGTCTCGAAAACGCAAATCTCCTGCTAACTTCGGCCCCGTCTACACCCGTCGACGTCTTTTCCAAATCCCTCTTCTCAATGACGGCCCACGTGGCCTTTGCGCACCTGACGCTCACGCGTCTGCTCTTTCTCAACGACGCGTGCTGGGATGCGGCCGCAGCTAGAAAATCTATTGATTATCCCGGGCTGGTGGAGCGTTTGGCGGATTACTTTGACACGGCGGACCGGGCACGGGGTGGGAGGCAGCAGACGGCGGTACATGAACATGCAGAGGCACAATCGCAGCATGGCAAGAAAACCCTCAGCCGGGCCGAAAGGTTGAGGTGGGCTAGGACTTGGTACTTGTCCAAATCACCGATCCACGAGACGGCAACAACGTCCATGTTGGGATCCGCCATGAATGAACCGCCTTCTACGGCTTATCTGGAAGCTTGGGGCACAAGCGTCGCGTCTACATATTGGCAGACGCTGTTTGACACGGATTTTGGAATATGACAGAAGGCAGAAGAGGAGTTACTGCTGCACGTGGCAGCGGACATTTCGCAAATTGATGACGCTTATTTTAAATGTGTAAATTCTATTCTTGCAGTCGAAATTTCCCCTCGCTCTATTCCCCCTTTACATCGAACATTCCTACTCGCAGATGTACATGAAATAAGACAAAAAGAAGTACGACAACTATATAACAAGAAGTGAATAACAATGTACCCAAAAAAACCCCCCCATTTACAAATGAAGCATGATACTCTTGGTTACAGAGTCGTGCAAAAAGAGTATCTTGATACGTTTACCAATCCTCCAAGCCGTCACAATTAACACCCAGCTCTTCGCACGTGCAGCAAGGATAATCCGCGCACGGTAACGTGGAACTAGCCCTGCCATTCAGGTTGTAGGCCCGATTATTAATGTTCGCCTGATCATAATGACAGATGGGGATCTTGAATAAGCCCGGCGTTGCAATTCCTTGCTCGTACTGGAAAACCGTGCCCGTGTCGTCGCTGTCGCCGTTGGGATAAGTTGCATCTTGAAAGATTGGCATGTTAGTTTTGGGGGCTCAAGCACGGGGGAAAGCAATCATTGCTTTCTGGATCGGGGCAACTTACATCCGTTCTTGTTTCCATTAAGCTTATATCCATCCCAAGCCGACTTGACCAGGTCCTCGGTACTGATGGCTTCCCAACCACCGTCGTCGGGGTTCTCGCCCGTGAGCGACTCGATGCCCTTGAGCATCATAAAGTCGTACACTTGTATGTTGTTGCCCGGTGAGGTACAGAAACGTTGGCCCTGATAAGCCCCCCAGCTCTGGCACTTTACGCCGCCAACGAGCCAAAACGTCTTGCCGTCATAGTTGAAGCGAACCGACTCGGCCTCTTCGGCACTGAGGGACTCCTCTTGGCCCGGATTCAGCTTCGTACCCTGGGCTCCGGGTATCTGACGGAACGGATTTGACGTGTCGTCGGCATCCTCGGACATGATGAGCACGGGCGAGTGGTAGGCGCTGTTGGCCCAGTAATAATTAATCAGGTACTCCCACATAAAGACAGCACTGCGGTTGCCAATAGCGCCCAAGGTATCGACGGCGCCGGCGTGCCACACCCCGACGTTGAGTTGGTACACGAGCTCGTCCAGGTTGGGCGTGCTGTCCGCGGGATAGTCTGGACCGTTGAAGATAAAGTCCATGTAGTCGGCGATGCCTTGGCGCTGACCGCTGAAAAAGGCGAGCATGGTGGCCTCGATTTCCGAGTTCTCGGGCGTCTCTGCCACGTCGGACAGGTCATCGTCGATAACCTCCATGAGCTTGTCTTGGCCCATGCCCCAGTATGTCTTGGCCTCGGTCGTGAGGCCCTCGCTCAGCTTCAATTTGCCAGCGAGGCCGTCAAACACGTTGCCCAGCGTGTAGCCCATGACCGTGTCGACAAGCCACTGACCAAATTGATCGGCGAACGACTGCTCAACGGGCGGCGTGAAGAGCTCGGCGAAGTCGGATATCCTGCCGATGCTGGTGACTGACTCTGCCAAGAGCGCATCGCGCCATGCTACCAGGAAGGACCTCAGGTTAAAGACACCATCAAGAATGACGACACCGGCCAGAGAAATAGTGTCCGAGGACTGGCACGCAACCGAGCCCGTGCATGCACTGTTGGTGTCATCGGCGCAGTTGACATTCGCGCTGTAGTCGAAGAAGCTGGCCAGTGCCATGGTCAGAACGTCTCTGGAGGCTCCCAGACTTTCTCTATTAGCAGTGTACCACGTCACAAAGTCCTTGAGGGAATCTGCAGCTCCACTGCTCTTCCATTGCTCATCCGGGTAGTACTGAGGGTTGAGCTTGTCATGATCTGTTTCACACGTGGTGCATTCCCACTCGGAATCTCCGACAGGGGCACTGCAAGTAGGCTGGAGGAACGAGGAAGATTAGAAAAATCACATGGTAGGGTGACGGAACGGAAGTAAAACTTACGGGATCAACAATGAATATGCCTCCCGACACTACATACTCTTTACAAATATTGTCAGGACCTGTATCCGGATTAGCACTGAGATACCCAAAAGTGATGACCAAACAGGTCAAGGGGAATTCATACAGTAGCCATGCTGGCAAGAGAAGGCGCACATATCGCTGACAATATCATTGGTGATGAGCAGCCCTGTAGCATATCCAGATGTATTGGGAATCTCGTCGGGCAGTTCCTCAATAGCTTGTTTGCCGTACTCGGTGCAAACACAAACCTGTTCGGGGCACAAGTTGAAGGTACAAGTGAACTGGCAGAGAATAGACATGTCTACTCCGCGGATATCGCCAATCTCATCGCCCTTGATACAGATATCGTCGGCATCGGGGTCCGGCACCGGGTCGCCGCCCGTCGTGGGAGGGTCAGGGTTTGGCAGGCCTGGATCTGTGATGGGACCGTCATCACCCGTCACGTCAGTCAAGCCGCAGCGATTGAACCACGTGTATGCCTGGTTACTAATTGACAAGAAGATGTCAGCAGAGTGCTCCGAGAATGCAGGGAATAAACAAAGAGTTGCAGACTTACGTCCAAGTACCAATGATGGAGTGTAAATCCGCACGTCCATCACCATCGAGATCTGGCAAATACTGACAAGTGCCCGCGTAGCCGCCCTGGTAAACGGGGTCCGTGATCTTCTCCCAGTGGAACGATGATCCAGAGAGCTCCGCAGGGTCTCCGCGTCCCCGGTTATAGAAGACGGTGCCGTCGCCGGTGAACTTGTCGATCCAAACCATGTCGTCGGCACCGTCACCGTTAACGTCTGACCACCGCAGGTTGGCGCGGTCCATGCCGTCGGCAAACTTGATCTGTCCTACGTTCTCCCAGCTGTCGTCACTGTTGTGCACAAAGCCGGAAACTCGACCATCCTTTTCGATACACAGATAGTCGCCTCGGCCGTTGCCGGAGATGTCTCCAAAGCGGACCGGAAGATCGTGAATACCCAGGCCACGAGATTGAGCACACGTGAGAGCTGGAGCAGGGTCGGCGTGATAATCCCACGTCCAGGTCGAGGTTGTCGGGTATCTAGAGAGCATGTTAATATGAAAAAAAGACGAATAGGATGCTCATAATGCAAAAAGACTCACTTGTTGATCCACAGCGATACGTGGTTGTTGTTATCCGGATCAACCCAGACGATATCACAAGCGCCATCACCATCCCAATCGACCAAGTGGAGATCTCGGCGGTCCAAGTTCTTGCCAATGAGGGTTACTGGATCCCAGATGTCGTTCTCGACGGGCCCCCAGAATGATTCATCGCCGATGATCTGTTTCAGACCATTGTTGGGATACAGCCTCACTGTACGGAATTTGGGTCAGTCCACAGTATTTACAAATAGGATAAGAGTCCATATGAGTTCTGGAGTGCGATACGTACTGTTGCCGGTAGAAAGGGTCCAAACATAATCCATTCTACCATCAGAGTAACCCTTCATATTACAATACTTGTTACCGTCCGCTACGAATCGAGTGTTAGTGACCGAGCCTTGTGAAATTCTGATATGCATCAAGATTTTGAATTCACTTACCTTCAAGTTTCGTGCTGCCGTATCCAATATTCTTCCAAACCCGCATCTTGAATGTGTGCGAGCCACTGGTTTCAGCAACGTGCTCCATGAAGACGTAATCTTGCTTGCCCAGGAGACCAAAGGCCTGGGGTTCACCAAAGATGCGTGCAAAATGGATGCGGTCGCGGAGGTACGTCTCCGTGTCGGTGACAAAGTCGGCCATGCCCATATGCGTCGGACCCGAGGTCTGGCCCTTGAGGAAGCCCTGGCGCCACGCCACGTTGAGACCGTCGCCCAGGACGCCGGCCGCGCAACTCCGCGCGTTGGTCCAGGTAGTCGTTTGACCTACATCGCTGACCCAAAGCCAGTCGTCGCGTCCCTTGTTCATGTCAGTAACAAAGCTGGGGGATTAACCAGACCAAAGAGGTATGAACCTACATCACCGTTGATATCCTCGAAGCGGACACCTCGAATATCACCCATGCCCTTGGCGGTAAAGCGGAGACCCAAAGCCTGCCAGTAGGCTGGGACGTCGTCTGGGAGTTTCGTATGTGAGTATATCTTTCATCGCCATGGATATTGCAAGGGGCAAACAACATACCGACCCAGCCATTTCTCCAGCACCACACATTACCGCTATCATCGATGATGCAATAGTCGGCTCGACCGTCACCATCAATGTCAGCCAGTCTGACTCGATCTTGAGCCCAGCCCTCGGTGGCTTTGATCAAACCAATGTCCTTGAAAGTAGGGGGAGTCGTGGCCGTTCCGTCTTTTTGGTTGATACCGGCGTACATGTTTCCCTCGGCATTAATGCAGACAAAGTCATCATAGCCATCGGCATTCAGATCAATGAAATGGACGCCCTGTGGAATACAATACGAGGATGCCGTCTGGTGAGCCGAGATATGTTAGCTTCTGAAATCTTTTTTTCTGAATCGGGTGGAAATTTCCAGCAGGTTTTAATATAACTTACCATGTCGGCAATCTTGTCAAACTTGGCGGTATTGTAGTCGCCATTGTTCTTCCAGACGCCATAGTGCTGCGAGCCGTCGGTGGCATTGAACCAGCCCACCAGGTCGTCGCGGCCGCGCCCGTACAGGCGGGCAAAGAACCACTGCCCGCGGTCAAAGGCGCTGCTAATGGTGAGCACCACGTCCTTGCCCTCGGACTCGTGGTAGTAGATGCCGTCGCCGACGCCCGAGCCGCGCTGGGTCAGGCCGCCCGCGTAGGTACCGGAGCCGTACTCCTTGTCGCACGTGTTGGAGCTCACCGTGTCCATGTCGCCGGCCGCCGAGATCAGGCCGTCAATGGCGGCCTCCTCAATGGCGGTCCACCAGACGTTGGCCATCTTGACGTAGCCGTAGTCGGTGGGGTGGGTGCCGTCCTGGAGATCGTCCAAGTCTATGTAGTCCATACTTATGATGGAAATTGGCCTGCCTTGCGATCGCAACGTCTGGGCGAGACTGTTGTACTGTGCGTTGATGGTGACCCTGTTCTGTGTGCAGGTTCCGTCTGCATTTTTTAGGACTTGAGAAAGCAGGATGAGAGTGTTTTCCATTCCATCGGCAGCCCAAATATCGTTGATGAGTGAGGACATGCGTTCACCAATACTTTGGATATCAATGCTGCGCGTACAGTCATTGGTGCCTGCATTGATCAGGACCACATTGGGTTTGAAACCATAGGAGAGCTTGGAACGCTCGTGGACCTGGTCGACAATATCACCTGGAGTGGCTTCAACATTCTGGTATGGGCATTAGTAAATGACGTGACTGTAAGAGTGATATCAATTTATGGGGAAAAGGATGACTGACATTATCAACCATGTCTCCATTCCTCTTGCTTCCAACCATGTTGACTTCCCAGCCTCTGTACCTCAGTTGGTCTCGAAGCTTCTTACGGAAACTGAGATGCGATTATTAGCTCCGTATTCATTTTGAGAAAAGACCGTGAATCAGATGTGAGGCCCTAAATGGACAATGACGTACCCATTATTATCCGAGGATGCATAACCATAGACGATAGAAGCCCCGAGAGGCAAAATACGCAGAGGCACCGAGCCCACAGCCTGACGTCTCAAGAGATCCGGGTGTAAGTCAATGGGAGAAATAGGACCGGTCAAGTTGTGATTGGGGACAAGTAGATCCTCTCGAACGTAGCCACCATGAGGCACGGCCACAGCAGATGAACTGAGCAAGCTCCATGCCACGAAGGCGGACTGGAATAAAGACACGCCCAACATCTTGACTTGGATCCAAGCCCAGACCTTGAACGATTATGCCTTTGAAACGAATGTTGGCACTGGTGGTGAAATAATCTATCACTGTAGGATGTTATTGAGTCTTATATACTTCTTCCTCCATGATACATCAACCGGCCTGCTCCGGCCCCCAGGCAGACTCTTGTTGGTAGTCCGCGAACTGTTCATCGCTTCGAGTTAGCAGAGTTTACAACTCAAGGGTCATATCGTTATTCTCTCCATTGGTGGAGACACAGAAGCTCCTCTTGAAATTGGAATTCTCTCTGATGAACCCTGACCAAATGCCAAGAGGTGCTCATATTCAAGGGTTGAGTTGTCACGAGTAGCACATCTGTATTCCAAACGGAGAGCAGAAACATGGAAAAGACGGCAACGATTGCGGCGTATTCAACGACGATATTTCTGGCCTAAACCATGTCTCTCACGGCCAATATCACAAAGCAGGTAAGGCCTCTCATGCGCTGGGGTGGGAAATTATCTTGGTATCGGTTGACTAGCAGAGCTTGACTCCCAATTGAGCCTCGTCAAGTCACGAGACCGAACTTGGGAGAAAACCGAGCCCTGCTGCTTAAGTAAATGGACAAATCACAACAAGAGGTTTGCCTGGCGCTCTGCGAGTCACTAGCCCGATCGTGGTATAGTATGCAAGGTACGAAAGGAGATTTGGCCCCCCCCGTTTCCACGTTTTTGGACCAGTCTCTCACGACGCCGCCTCCTTCACCCTTGTCACGGCGATCCTATATGCTATTATTAGTTAGCCATAAAGTATAGAGAGATATATCCAGCTGCTCGGGATGATATGATGATATGATCCTGCTGATGGTAACGCAAAGCCTGTCTAATCTCTAGCAATCTAATCTTTTTCTGCGAAGGAACCTTCTGTGCATAAATCCAACACGGAGCAGAAAAGAAACGGGCGATGCGCGTCCCACGCGAGCGAAGCGAGTCTAGAGACATTACTATCAGATCATACATTATTGTCAGATCATATAACAGGCCTAAGTTTGCAAGCGCGCGGCCTTTTGAAATTAGCGCGAATCCGCCAACCTGATGTTATAATTGCTTTCACAGTGAAACCCAGCGGCGCAGACAGTTTGTTTTCAGCATCACAGGGTGTATCGAGATGTATGCAAGGGACAAGCCATATCTGTGTAAGCCACGCGCCATGCAGCATGATCGACTATCGATTATTTGACATGACAAGTGCCAGGCTCACAGATGCCGAAGAACCGAGTCAGTCAAATGAGGACTAATTGTTAAGGAAAAGGAAAACTGAGCAAAAAGAATTGACTCAATAGTTTGGTTTTTTTGACATGCTTCCTCTGACTCCGTCGGTCTTCTTTCAAGTATTCCCGTTCCAGATGGGCCCATTTGCGACTACCCGTCTCGTGATACCTCGGAGTAAACCTTTAGGTCCGTCGCTCCAAACAAAGCTGATAAGCAAAGTTAACCAGGGTCAAGTCGGGTCTTCCGGAGTGGGCCGCTGGGTAGAGTAGAATTCAACCTTACAGTCAAGCTTAAATGCCAAGACCCGTGCCTTAGACCTGTGCCACAAAAATGCAGCAGAAATGAGCTGAAGAATTACCGATAAAGCGCTTTGCTAACCCTGCAGATAGCCCATAAAGTCGTATGACTTGGGGTCTCGAGAGCTGCTGTATTTCTTCCACTGCGTACTTTTTTGGACTCAAGCCTTTGGAGTTATGCTCGCAGATTGCCAAGCATTCAATCGGCGGAATATTCAAGCTTGACTGCTTTTGAATTATTTAAAGCAGCTGTCATTCAAAGGTCGTATCCACTACCAAGACATGCCACTGGTCGTTTGACCCCGCCGACCCATGGTAATGGTTCTCCTATCAAAATGGTCACTGATTCCATGATATGTAATAAATACAACAAGACGGTTGGAATACCTGATTGATCTCGTAGAAAATAATACAATATTCACCATGAGACTTGGCAATATTTGCTCATATCGCCGGAAACTGGTTCTCATGTTGTGATTTACACAATCACTCTCGTGGTAGTTAGCGCAGGGTCTATGAGACTCTATAGGTATATATTGCTTATGAACATGCGACTTTTGGTCGAGCCAAGCTAATACGTGCAGCAATACAAACCCCCTTAGATATAATCTGGATTCATGACTTTTGATTGTATTTGCCTCGAGTGATTGTCCCCAGGCGCTGAGACGGTCCGAATCGCCAACAAGCATGAATTCGATAATTGAAAAAAAAAAAAAAAACTCCTGCTCTGTGTTCCGCGGCGTTACGAAGCCGAGTTCCCAAGGGCACGAGTGCGCGCAATAACTCAGGACAAGGACGGCGGCCAGATCTTTCCACGCAAGGGATCAATCAGAAGCCAGAACGGTCCATCATGGGCATTTGTAGCTAGATTGATTTATTAGTGTACCGTTATGGTGGATGCTATAGTAAAGTGGGCCATCCAATAGCGGCCTAGGTAACCAATGCACCATAACTGTTGGTTCTACGAGTAAGTGCAAGGCTAATTCTTGCCAAGAAAACTTGTGATATTAGGGTAGACGAACAGGAAGCAAACTAATTCATGCGGCAATACCAAATTTTGAACAACAGTCCTTACTATATTGTGTTCGAGACCCAGTAAATAACCACTGACTTTGGACTACAGCGTCCTCTGAGCGGCTACCAGATCCGTGGGATCAAGGGAAAATGGCTACGGTCATCTCAGACAGCGGCCATGCCGGCCGAGGGCAGCAGCGCACACTAATACCGCACATGGTTGACAAGCTGGCTAGCACCAACCCGAATACAATCTTTGGCATGTGGCCTGTGATGCCTGCCTCGTACGAAGCTGGCTATCGGACCATCTCCTACGCCGAGCTGGCCAACATGGTGAATGGCCTGGCCTGGTGGCTCGTCCAGAACCTCGGGCCCGGCCAGGACTGCGAGACGTTGGCCTATGTCGGGCCCAACGATGTACGCATTCCCGCTCTGCTACTGGCGGCCATCAAGGCAGGATACGGTGTGAGTAAACGCGTACCGAGAGAGCGGAATGTTGAGTATTCATGAAGAAGCTTACCTCAAAGGTGGGCAGCTTTTTCTAACGTCGCCGCGGAACAGCGCTGCGGCACACCGGGCGCTGTTTGATGCGATCGAGTGCAAAACCCTCATCACTTCAGAACCAACACCGCAGCCTGCTCTTGCCATAATCGAGGCTGTTGAGCCACGCCACCTGAAAGTGCCAAGTCTCGATGAGTTGTACCAAACAAACTTTGCTCCATTCGTATATTACAAGACTTTAGAGGATGGACGCCGCGACCCTCTAATGATCATGTGCGTGTCGAGTTGAGACTTCTGTCCTATGATATTATTGGCTCTGTTCCGGAGCATTACGTTCTGACATGGCACGTTTCCAGACACACATCCGGATCGACGGGCATACCGAAACCGCTGATATGGACCCAGGAGACGGGATTCAGACACCACCAATCTTCTGCTTGTCCAGCCCCCACTGGTATTCCCTCCCTTGAGAGCCTTTACCTTGGCAAGCGTGTTCTAGTGACTGTTCCACCGTTCCATGTACGATCCTTCCCCTTCTTTAACCGTACTCCTAAGCAGCTGCTAACACTTCACCAGGGTGCTGGTCTCGGGCAATCGCACCTGTACGCTATACCTTTCGGCAACACCATCATCGCCCCAGCAGCGACGGGAATCGTATCGGCCGAGAGTCTTGTGGAAGCCCTCGGCCACGCGCCCGCCGATGTGGCGCTCTTGGTGCCGTCCGTGGTTGCGGAGTTAGCCAAGAATCCCGCCTTGCTGCACTACTGCGCCCAGCACCTAAGGTTGATTGTCTACATTGGAGGCGATCTGCCCCAGGATGTGGGAGACATTGTGGCGGCCGAGATTCCTTTGCGTTGTCAGTGGGGTGCATCAGAAGTCGGCATGCCTCAGCAATTGATCCCTCGGGATCTGGATCCTTGCAAGGACTGGCGTTATGTTCGCTTCCATCCATGTGCGGGTGCCGTGTTTGACAAAGTTGCCGAGGGCATTTTTGAATTGGTGATACGACGCCAACCCTCACTCGAGCATACGCAGACGGCATTCTCTATTCGAGGCCAGGAAAATCTCGTCGAGTATCGTACCGGTGATCTTTTTGCACCTCACCCGACTGTTGCTGATGCATGGTCATGGAAGGCCAGAGCGGACGACATCATTGTTTTCCTCAATGGGGAGAAAACGAATCCGGTTTCGATGGAGCAGCATATTACAGCCCGGAATGCTAAATTATTGAGTGGAGCCATTGTGATTGGAACCAAGCGCTTCCAGGCTGCATTGCTCATTGAGCCTATTAAGGCAATCGAGACCACCGCTCAAGAAGCCGCCTTGATTGAACGAGTTTGGCCGAGTATCGAAGAAGCCAACCGTGATGCCCCTGCCCATGCCCGTGTGGAGAAGTCTCTAGTATTTGCTACAGCCCCGGACCGACCCCTGGTTCGTGCCGGCAAAGGCACGCTGCAGAGGACTGCCAGTCTTGCGCAATACCAGGCTGAAATCGATGAAATGTATGAAAGGCAAGAGATGTTGCAAGACACTGAAGAACTAGCAGATGTGGAAGGTTTCAGCGATGCAAGTGATGTTGTTCAGCGCATCCGACATGTCATTCGTAGTATTGCTGGCTGGCCAAATCTTGATGACTCGACCGATATCTTCGAACGTGGGTTTGACTCGCTACAAGCACTTCGATTGACACGAGCCTTGCGCAAGGCTCTCCATCGACCCGATCTTGGGCTGTCTATGATTTATCAGAACCATACAGTGTCGACATTAGCCGCCGCCGCCATGGCGCAGACTCAACACGGCAACGACCAAGAAACCATGGAATCATTGCTGGCCACTTATTCCCAACTGATCCGACAGATACCTGTGCCCAAGGCAAATGACGGTCCATTAAAGGAAACGCCGTTGAATATCATCTTGACTGGCTCTACCGGAACACTGGGCACCATGATCTTGCGTACACTACTTGAGCGAAAAGACATTGGGCATATCTATTGCCTAAATCGTGACATGGACGGAGGACATGCAAGCCAATCCAAGCGCTTTGTCATGCTCAATTTAGAGGAGAAACTCGACAGTGGTGTCACCTTCATTCGGGCAGACCTGGCGCATCCGAGACTCGGCCTCGACGATGCAATGTACGAGACTCTGTGCAAGAATGCTCACTATATAGTTCACAATGCCTGGCCGGTGAATTTCAACTTGGCCTTTTTATCGTTTCGTCCGCAACTAGCTGGCATGGTCAACTTGTTCTCACTAGCCGCTGCTGGAGCTACTCCCATGAGATTTTTTTTCATCTCTTCGGTTGGAGCCGTAGCAGGTCTACGATCCAAGGCAGGAATGGTGCCAGAAGCCATTGTCAAGTCACTCGATGCGGCTCACACCAATGGGTATTCCCAAAGCAAACTCGTGTCCGAGATCCTCTGCGACGTCGCCGGCCAACATTTGGCTATGCCGGTCAGAATCGCACGAGTAGGTCAGGTGGCCGGGCCGGTAGGCGTAGGAACGTGGAACCGCACCGAATGGCTCCCCAGCCTCGTCATCAGCTCCTTTCATCTGGGCTGCGTACCACAAGACCTGGGTCAACGGTTCTCCGCGGTGGATTGGATACCGTCCGATGCATTGGCCGAGATCGTGGTGGACCTTGTTGCCACATCGCGTTCCTCGCGGAAGCTTGAGACTCTAGACACCCAAAGTAATGGCGTCGAGGTCTTCAACCTTCGAAACCCAAGCACCACAACATGGAGTGCGCTCCAGCCTGCGCTACAAGAGGCAGCCTCGGTGCATCTCCACAAGCCACTCGATATTGTGCCATCCTTCACTTGGCTCGAGCGATTGCAAAAGAGCAGTGAGTCTGACACGGACGACATGGCTGCGTTGGTAGCAGCAAATCCAGCCATCAAGTTGCTAGCCTTTTATCGCAATGGTTTGTGGGCCGAGGAGCTCGCCGTCGAGCCCATGTCGGTCGACAGAGCAGTTGCCGAGAGCCCGACACTTCGAGATTTACCACCCGTTCGGGGCGAGTGGATGCGGAAATGGGTCGAGGATTGGATGGCTTGACGGCACAAGAAGAAGGTGCCGGTACCTCGGGACCTGGGATAGACACCAGCTCGCCATATAGTATAGGAGTTGACCCGTGATTATGCAGTGTGAGTGCCGCACGAGTAGAGCAATTCGTAATGTATTAGCACCAACTTCTTGCAACGTTTCCCAATGCCACGGCATATTCAGAGCGTTGCATACGCATTCTATCATGTATGTATTGATTTTTGGGAGGTCAGATGCATCCCACCTGGGAGATGATCGACTTGGCTTGCATAGCTTATGCAGGTCAGCGATCGGTACCTGGCCTTGGCTGGCTGAGCCGTAAGCTTGGAATTGAGAACCCATGCAAAGCACTCTTGGCTTTTACCGGCAGTGGGCCGCACGTTCTGCTGCGAGAGATGCACGGCACAAGCATCTTGGCTGTAAAGACGCTGTTATGGGCAAGTTCTTCCGACGTCTATTTCCAGGCCTGAATCATGGGAATTGGAATATAATATCGGCTACAAATACATATATTGCAGCCATCTATGCCAAATAAACCTCTCCCCAATTGCTTGGTGCTGCCTCATGATAAATTCAGGCATGTAGCAAAGTAGGGATAAGGGAAAGCATCTCATCGCTGGGGGTGTTTTTCATGACCCAAGGATTGTCTAGTGTGTACAACTGTTTCTTTTCATCTCTTCTGCTCCTCTTCCAAGTCGTTTACTTCTGGGCCACTTTCGCTTTGAACTCCTCCACGTGCTTGTCGTGTAATTCCTGCACGGCGGGGATGATCAGGCTCTCAATCTCCATGCCCGGCTCCCCCTCGGGAAGGGTCGCGGGGTCCATGGGCTTGTCCTGGATCCACTCGCTGTCGGCGGCGCCGACGAGCTCCTCGTTGCCGCTCGCCGACTTGCGCCTGCGCGTCCGGGGCACCCGGATCCACCGGTCCCGCTGGCCGGGGGCGACGAATACGACTTCCCACTTGCGCGTCGTGAGCAGGTTGCCAATGACGAGGTGGTGCTGATACCGGTCCAGCGAGTACTTTGCCTTGTGGACCAGGATAGCCGGGTCCGTCTCCAGCTTGAATGAAACAATCATGCCCTCGGGCGCCCAGCCGTCGACCAGGTTCTTGAGAAACTTGGGCACGGGGTCGAGATCGATTATGAGTCTCTTGCTGCGCGGCACACTTGGCGATGAGTCGAAATTGTCAAAGGCCTCCTCGTCCTGGATCTTTGTGGCCGTCGATGCTTCAGGTGACAGGGCATCCGTGGCGTTGGTGCTCTGAATCTTGTGCTCGGCCATGCGGTCTGAGGGAACGAAAAAGTCCGACACGGCAGCGGCAAGGTAAAGCAGACCATTGGGTCCGAGGGGGTGCATCAGCTGCGCTATCGACCGCAGCTCGTGCAGGTAGTCGGTAATGGTCACAAAGGGCAGCATGAGCAACATGCGGTTCCTCTTGGCCGAGTTGTACTTTCGCAGCACTCTGAGCATCTTCTCCTGGTGCTCCGTGTTGGCAACGACGCTGCCGTTGTCGCCCTCGGACATGAAGTCCAGGAAGCAGTCGGTGGAGTGGCTGTAATGCCGACTGTACGGTAGCAGCGAGAACTGTCGGTGCATGAAGATGACGGCATAGCCGGCTTCCAGAAAGTACTCGGCCGAGGTGGCACCTCTGGTACCGGCGCTGAAGTTGTCAATGAAACGGACCGTCTGCTTCTCCAGAGGCACAGTGGTACCACCCGAGGTGATCAAAACGACACGCCGGTTACCCTCGGCGTGGTAGTTGATAAACTCTCGCGCCAGAGCGACATGGTTTGCCAGGGTTTTGGTGGCAGGGTTGGCCGCGAAATAGGCATTCTCTTCCTGTATGGAGGTGGACGTGCCCTGTGTCGAGGCGGTTGCCATGGTGTCTTGCGATGCCACTGACGAGACTGATGAAGACCTTGACGAAGGCCTGTTTTGTGTGAGTTTAAATGAGAGACTGAGAGCAGGTGTCTGACTCTCGTGTGGTGGCGAGGCAGGGGATTGGGGGGACTGTTGCTGTGCCATATTGTGTAAGTGCAAGTGATTAAAAGTGGGAGTATAATGATGATAGCACTCGAGAAGACAATCTTTTTCTTTTTATTTCTTCATGTCCTTGTTTTGCAGATTTAAAGGTGCGAATCGAAGATCAAAGGGGACTATGAGGGTAGTGGGAAAGATGCAGGTTGTATAAAAGGATGGAATGGCAATTTGCCTTGGGCGTGCAGCTGTATGATCAATCCCCTCCGTGGGTGACCGGTACCCGGAGCCGCTATTTTTGCCCAGGGACCTCGGTACCGGCTGCGCTCGCCCGGGGTCTTGGGGATACAGTGCGGAAAGTCTGACTGGGAACCCGGAAGCTAAAGGAAGGGGGGAAAGACACTGGCGAGGGGGAGAAAGTGGTGGAATTAGGAAATCAGCTCACCTGTTTGGTCGGAGGGGAAATTCAGTGCTGGACTTGTTTCTTCATGTGCAACTCATCCAATGCTGATCACCAGTAGAATTTTCCACTTGCGTCATGGGTTTCGGGTTTTTAGGAAGGTAAATAAATATATGTGTGAATGAATAGATGTAGGATTTCCGATTGCCCGGATGAAGGGGGAAACTTTAGAAAGTGGTCAGTCGGTTGGTCATATTAGCTGATGAAGGCCAATCGTGGCCCGTGCGACCCCGCCCAGCGCAGGAAAAAAAATAGAGCAGAAGTGCGCACAAATACGCAGTATATATCATCACGAGCTGTGAGTGAGCCATGAGAGAAGAGGATTCCCACCCGGAATGCGGCAAATTCGGGTGCCGAGTGAGCGTTAATGTCTCATTTAATCAGGCCAGATAATCAAGATGCGACATGGGACTTTTGGTGAGAGATTTTCATGGATTCTGTACACCAGAAAAGGAATATCCAAGCCGAGAATCATGATGAGTGAGACGACTCGTACAGTCTGGGACAACTTCCACTTACTGTACAATAGTAGTATACCTAGGTAAGCATCATAACTGGTCACAACCACAACCACAACAAATTCATATTCATATCAACCACAAGACACCAAGAGCATGACTTTACTTTGTACACTGTGATGAATTGTGTTATCCAAAGCGAGTTAGAATTAACCTGAATGTTTCCCGTTTTTTTATCCAGTGCCAGCAAACCCCCCCATCCAATGATGACAAGTAAAGACCTCGACGTAATCAGGTAGGTACCGTAATAGGCAAATCCAATAAATAATTGAACGGAAAACGCCATTGCCTCATATTCGTTAATCCATGGCCACGTGCGCGCCCAAACTACAAAATTAGAGCCATGCCAACCACAAAGCCCAAAGCAAGTCCACACATGCTCGTAACGATACCGCCCTCGTGCCCACCACCACCAAGCCTCATGGGGGCTGCGGCAGCATTGGCAGTAGAGCTGGCCGAACCCGCGACGAGGCCCAGCGTCTGAGTCGTCGTAACATCGCCACTGACTGCAGCCGCCACGGTAGCCATGCCGGTGATGACGGTGACATCATTCTTGCCATTATCGGCCACCGTGGTCGTGTACGTGACGGTGGCCGTGCTCGCGGGACCCTGCGACCAGCCCGACCCCCAGCCCACCCAGCCGTTGAAGCCGCCGTAGTTGTTCCAGCCGCCGCCCGGCCCCGCGAACCACGGCGAGCCGTCGCCCACGCACCCCGTCACCGTGAAGACGCCGCCCGTCCACGTGTGCGCCCCGCCGCTCTGCTGCGCCGCCGAGGCCCACTGCGACCACAGCGACGAGCCTCCGTCGCTGCCCCAGCCGCCCGGTGGTCCTCCCGGGTGGTCACCGGCTCCGGCATGACTGCCGGGCCCCCAACCATTGTTGGTTCCTCCTCCTCCCCAACCGTTCGTAGGCCAGCCTCCTGGCGCGCCCCACGTCACTGTACCGGATGGGACCGTAATGGTGTGGACGCCGGTGCTTCCGGCCGAGGTGCACGAGGCCCACTGGGCGCAGATCGAAGACGACAGGGCCTGGTACGAAGACCAGGCCGTGGACGTGGCCGAGCAGCTGTTGCTTAGGCATGCGCCAACATTGTTCCCATTGTTTTGATCGCAATAGTCTGTCTGAGAGGGCCAGTTGGCCGACGTGGCTGATGCGTTACCTCCATATGCGGAAGAAAGACAAGATTGCTGGGACTTTGGTCAGTTTCTCTGTTTGTATAATTTGTATAAGAGGGTGGCAATGGTAAGGTATGTTGTATCAATAATGACTCTGAGCATGTGACCTAACTTGGTCCCAGGTGCATGTCTAATGTATATGACAGGGGGAGAGAGAGGTAAGGGAAACTTACGGCACAGCCTGGAGCTCCTGCCCACCATTGTGCTGAAGCAAAAGCTGGTGCCAGAACGGCTGCTACAGCTGAGTACTTCATGATGAAGAAGATTGGGTCACCCAATTCCTGAAATTGCTCCTATGTTTCTCTCCTGGGGACCACAGAGTGAGTAGAACCAGTAGAATATAAGTCTTGACAACAATGTATCATGTATGACCTGTGCGATAACAAGAAGCATGCAAGATAAGCAAGATGAGAAATTTATGGTCAAGGCAGAGAGAGCTTATCTGTCTGTACTTATATATGCAGGCCTGACCGTTTGAATGGGGCTCCACCGGACTTGCATGTACAAGAAAGAAGGCGGACCGGTGAAAGTGTCAGATGTGTCCCAAGTAAAGACCGACACCGAAGAGAAGGGGTGAGAGACTAATGTGAACGCCGTTTGGGTCGCCCGGAACGACGAACAGCCCAACCCAGAAAAAGAAAACGTAAACATGAGGGGCTAGAGAAACCAGACAGACGAGACAAGCAGGAGAAAGCCCGGGGAAACGTGCGCGTCTACGTCAAAACACACATAGACTTTTGCTGACCACTTGCAAAGAAAGAAGAGAAAAGCTTATAGGTAGTACGTTCCTCTGGAACTTTGCCCCCAATCAGGGAGTGCAGATCACATTGGCTGGTAAGAGAAGGGTAAGACAGCTCTCACTGCTGGGGATCCTGAGAATCGCCCATCCCCTTCTTACGCATGATGGACGCGTGTGTCTGTATGTGCAATGCTGTAGGAGTGCTGTTTCCAAAGAAGGACTTCTCGCCGCCTTTGATCTCGCCAAACAAGTGCACCATCCGCGCTTCTGCATAGTTAGATGGCTATGAGCTGCGAGCCGCGCGTTTGTGGCTGGCAGCTATGTACGCCGTCTATGGAATGAACCGCGAACCTGACAGTAGTCGAAGGGTAGTATGGACTCAAATGTCTGTCGAGCTTGCAACCAAGTCGGTGAAGACTGGCCCCGATGTCCGTGATGCTGTCGTCTCCAGCCAGCCAGCTCTGTCCATTCTCGCGTGTGACAGGCGCGAACAAACAAGCAAGCCATTACTGCAACATCGGGGATCTGGCATTAGCGGGTATTGACACGCAAGCCTACCATCGCATTTAATGGCTGTAGTCATGGCGACTGGCTGCTGGACTCGGTGGTGTTGAGATTGAGCTGAAGTATAAAACCGACACGGGGAGTAAGTTGGGGTAGTCCGACACAGGATTCGGTTCCGAAAGTCTGACAGCCAGCTTTTTGATTGACCAAAATCTGGCACTCACACAATACAAAAAAACGCTCCTTGCAATGCTCTTGGTCCAATTGTAATCCTTTAAGTTCAACGCAGTAAGCACTTTCTCATCCTGTGCCGACTAAACACAAACCACGATGCGAACCAATCCATCGGGGTTTGGTACAGAGAAGCGAGCCAGAACTTGTTATATTTAGTATCGAATGCCTCAGTCTAGCGTAAAAGAACCACGACTGGGCCACGGAAATGATGTGGGCAGGCACTCCAGCTGATACAAACGTCACAATATGATTTGCTCGGATTGGATTTGGGGGATGATTGGTATTCACCGTGGTGTCCGAAACATGCGTGTAAGTCGAGGAACCACGAAAATCATCTCACAAGACACAACATAGCAGACATGGTAGCACAAGCATGAGGAAAACATGGAAGGAATATGAGAGAAAAAAAAATAATTTACACTTATTTATTGATCAAAGCAGGACATCTTGTTCCGGTATGCCATCACGCGGCACGATGGCATTCATTACCCTTGAGCCCCCCCTTCTGGAAAATGTGTATCAACCAAGCACGTCCTCATATGCTATCCTGTGGAGTTTCCGTCCCATCGTCTCCTTAAACTCCAAATCATTATGCATGTGCCAATCAAAACCAAAGACTGACCAGAAAGGGCTTTGGCTGCAAACTTTCCAGCAGCCATGTCTTGTCTCAATCCCTTGCCCCCTATAACTGTCAAACAAGAAAACGGCTGAACCCTGCTAATCCCACACTTGCTCTGCCTGCCCCCCCACAAAACTCGTCAATGGCCGCCTGCCCTATAGCATCGTGCCAAAGCCATCGTCTTTGGGTATCGGTTTCCGAGGAGTTCCATCCTCGGTGGTGGGCTTGCGATGACGGAACGTGAAACCGACAAACAATGACTTGGCCATTTCGTCATCGCGATCTGCCATAGTCTCAAGGGCCTGTTGTTTCTCATGGACCTCTTTGTACTTGGCCATGTCAGCTTCATTTGTAAAGTCATCGAAATAGCCGGCGTCCATCTCCGAGTCCAACTCGGGGACGAAGGGTGCCTTTGTCTGCCGGAGCATGTTCCAATCAACCTCGCTAAAGTATTGATGCTCGTAGATATCCTTGATATTCGAGAATCGCTTTGATCGCGAGTTGATACAACTATACACATGCAACATGTTAGTTTTTGTTTGAACCAAAGCAGAGGACAAGGTGTGTTGCAAAGTGCGACTTACGTTGTGATGAAAGACCAGGTGCGGTTGCTGAGAAAGTAGTTGGGATCCTCCCAGACGGGGCGCTTGAGCACATCCTTCCAATGCTTGAGGTTTCTCCAAGTCTCGTCGGCAGTAGAACCGGCAAAGGGAGGAAATCCCGTAAGTGCCTCAAACAACATGCATCCCAGACTCCAATAGTCAACTGTGAAGTCATACTCGTCTCCTCGCAAGACCTCGGGAGCCATGTAATCAGGCGATCCTACTATGGACTTGGCGTAATTCACGTCCTTCTCACGCATCGATCGGTAACCGTCCCGGCGCTCTGCTACAGTGCGCTGTTCCATGGGCTTACCGAAGGGAACTTTGGTCTCAGACGCCTTTTCAAGCTTGATGCGCATCGATTCAACTCGTGCCGGAGCCAGCATACCGGCCGCCAGTCCAAAATCTGTCAGCTTGACATGGCCGGTCGAATCAACCAAGAAGTTCTCTGGCTTGAGATCTCTGTGGATGTAACCTAGCTGGTGCAGAGCATCCACACAGCAGAACATCTCGGCAATGTAGAAGCGGGCATGGCGGTTCGAGAGAACGCCAGTGTTGTTGAGCAACGTTCTGAAGTCACCACCGGGGACGTACTCCATGGCAAGGTATATGCTCTTGTCGTCCTGGAACGAATACAAGAGGCGAACCAGCCATTCGCTCTTGGCAGTCGTGAGAATGTCTCGTTCGGTCAGGACATGGCGCACCTCATCCAGTTTGAAGAGCAGTCGCTTGCTCATGACCTTCAAAGCACACACCTCCTTAGTATCCTTCTTTTGAGCGAGGTATACCTGACCGTAGCCGCCTTGTCCAATCTGTGTAAGGATCTGGAAATCGCCATGTCGAAGACGAACGCGACGTTTGCGCAGGTTTGCGCGCTCTCGACCACAATACTTCTTCCACAAGTCTCTGTACGTCTCGTCGTTGCCGTCCTCGGGAGCTGGGTTCTCCTCTCGAAAGGCGTTAAGGCGGTTCTGTCGTGCGCCGACATAGGTGATCTGATCAAAGTAGTAATCGAGAAAGTACAACTGCGTGACATTGACCATGCGGCGAACGTTGGGCTTCTTCAACGTCTCTAGCTCCTCGGGTGTAAGGCCTCTGTTTGTGTTGAACTTTTTGTTTGAGCTGGGAGACGGCCTGTTGAGTTGGTAGAGTTCGTGTCTGGAAATGGCGGCTTGGTTGTGCGTGTATGGAGAGTTGGAACCAATAACGGGAATGCGCGAGGGCGGTGTGTTCTCTTGGCCCTGCTTCTTCAGAGGACTGCCGGTCGATGCCATGGTCTTGGTCTTGTGGATGACGCTTTGGTCGAGAGGCGGCGAAGAGGTGCCAAAATAGTCATCATCTAGAGATTGTAAGTTGCTCTTGGTTGGTGACAAGGGAGCGGCCAGAGTCTGAGGCCGCAGCTTCAAGGGACTCTCAAGTCCAGTGGTAGCGCCAAGTTTCATGGAACTTTCAAAGGCGACAGGAAGATCATTGGCGCCTGGAGGAATAGTCCGCTTGCTTGGGCTGCCCAGAGGAGTGGAGGGCGGCTCAATGAAGCTGTTCCGAATCGGAGTGCCAGGTCGCTCCCCAAGAGGGGACTTGGCCTCTTTTGCCCCGCTACCTGGAAACATGTTGGCGATGAAGCTTGCCATCATTGGGTTTTCCGCGAGTGAAATGGGGCTGAGACCAATTATTTTCCGGTACTCGGAGAAGGGGGTTGAAGATGCGGTGTCCAAAGTGCCTGGCCAGGCCTAACGACTATGTGGATGCAGTCTGCGTGCTGGTCATGCAGCTGGAGAGACGGTTTGTTTTTGGATGCGCGCGATAGGTGGGCAAGGTAACAACACAGGTGATTGACCCAGTCTGATGGAGATGGAGACAAAAGATGTACTGTGAACAGAGAAATGGATGCACACGAGTCGCGGCGGCGAGTCGCAGCAGTGAATGAAAGAAAAGAATGCCAAATAACCTGCCGTCCCTGACTTCTCCCGAGAAAAATCTAGTGTTTGATTTCGCCCAGAAGTGATGCTTGGGTTTATGAAGGTTACTACTTGGGCGTCGTTGGTGGGGACTAGAGGGTGCCGCCGATATGGTGGGGTCAATAGATTGCCTACCCAAGCATTTACCTGCCCAACGTCACAGTCAACACCCGTCGCCCCAGCAGCGGCCCCTGGGGACGCATCTTCGTTCCACGATCTCGCTAAGCTCTCTAACCGCATTAGTGACTAGCCCTGGGCAAAACACGTTATGACCCCTGTTCCTCAAGCTCGGGCTCACTGAGCTCAGATCCCACAGTGCTCCTAACAATACCAACGGGCGACGATTTCGAAGCACTAAATAAAGCACTAGGTTCACGTTGTATTGTCTTCTTTGATGTCCTGCGAACAATATTCCGTACTCGAATGACTTTAAGCTGAATTTGAGATTCCAGTGACGGCATTGGATGTCCACGGGAAATTACAGGCACTTGTTGTGCTCGCAAGCTCGGTCTGCCCGCATTTGTTATACCTAGTAATCGGGTTGAGCAGCTGCTAGTATACCTAGTGGAACAAGCACAACTGTTGTTCGCATTCTTCACATTGAATAACCAGGCCATTTCTAGGTTCTTCAATCAGTAACCTAAGCCATGAAGAAAAGTCAATACTGCTCGGGATAATCATAGCAGTCACAACATGATTTGTGCACCTAGGTAGCTATGATAGGTACAAAACAATAGGCATTGTTTACATGCCATGTACAGTGTACGAATGCAACATGCATACAGTAACAGCTCCCCACTGACAAGAAGCAAAAAGGCTCCGCAGCCAGTCGGGTTTTATTTGGTCAGCCTTGGCTCATGGAAGGATCGTCCGATCTCTATCGGAAAAGCTTATCGTAGAGAGCTTCACCCTTACTGTTTTGCGACGTCATCTTCTGTTCCTCTCAACCCCAATTTACTTGCTGCATCCCGGATAACCCACCATGCCGAAAGAGCGCAACTTCAATCCCGTCCAGGCCCAGCGCAAAGCCGACAAGGCCAAGGAAATCAAGAAGGGTACGTGACTTGGATGCAATTTCTTTGCTGCTCAAATCAACGACCTACTGACCGACGCGTCTTGACAACAGGAAAGGCTGAAGCCTCAGCTCGCAGGAATGAAAAGCTCGCCAAGCGCAACCCGGAACGCATACAGAAACAAATCGAAGACCTCAAGAAGATCACCTCTAGCGGCGGCAAGCTCACAAAACATGAAGAATCGCTACTGGAAAGCCTCGAGCGAGACCTGAAGCAGGTCAAGAAGGCCCGGGAGGCGCTCGGCGACCAAGCACCCACTTTCGGTCGTAATGGCCCGAGGCCTGGAGGCCAGGGCGTACTGGGCAAAAGACGACGCGACCAGGAGGACGTAACCAGCGACGAAGACGATGTGCCCGAGGACGTGAAAAGAATACCCATGCCGCGGGACACACCCCCACCGATTCCCAAGGAGATACTGGACCAGTGGTGGGCAAAGAGGCGGGCGAGACGAGCAAATGCCAACGACATACCTTTAGGAGAAGGTAGAGGAGGCGGGGAGCGCCAAGCTACCAAAGAGCCCTCTGCTCCTGCAGCCCCGGTCGCAGCACAAACAGTATATGAAGCCAAGCCAGTCATTCGTGACCTCAAGAAGGAAGCAGTCAGCGCATTCATGCCGACAGCAGTGCGAATGAAGATGGAGAAGAGCAAAGGCCGATCTGGACTTATGGAGCCCGACGAAGCAGATCGCTTGGAGCAGGAGGGCTATCTTGGCACAACTACAGCAACACCGGCGGCACCAGGTCCACGGACAGTGACGATGGAAGAAGTGGACGACGAGGACGAAGAATGATCTCTTCATATGGCCGACAACATGAACTCTTTGGTCCCCTTCCTGCTTCAGCACACATGCTCAATGTTATTGTCCATGGACTATGAATATGATACCCAGGCCTACAAACCTAAACGTTTTCAGACCAGATCAAACCAGCGGCTTACTAAAGTCAGTCCTTGTCCCTGGTGCTGCCTATTCTGTATTGATCCTTGCAATCGCCGAAGGATTTTCAAGGCGATCAGCTGTGAGATCATCGACTTGACGCTCTCGAGGCTGACCAACCATGTCTTGTAATAGGCCATTTTCAGAAAAAAAAAAAAAAGTTAGTGTATAATGTAAACTCGCAAGCTATTGGCCAGGGGAAATTTATTTGCATCATCTTGTCGGAGTTGCACGATTTGCCAGGATGTGGTGCAGACTCTCGGAAACCGAAGAGATGCCTGTACAAGCATGGCTGTACGTAATGGCATTCGAACATTTTATCTTGAGGATTCCAAACCCCCACCCCAGGATCGCGACGAGCTTTCTGCAGTGGATATCCGCCAGACTGTGGAGTGCGGAGGCGTGCATTAGCCCTAGGACATAACTCCTCCAAGGTGCGCCGACCCCGGACGGAAGCTATTCCTGGGGCCAAGCCGAAGCCGAACTCTCGGTTAGTGATCCGACAAGGTCTCGAACAATCCTGGAGAAATTCTTTTCTCTGCTCGTCGCCCTTTCTAAGAATGCGCCTTCTAGTCCAGCCACCAGTCCAACCGGCCTGGGACAAGTCACGATCGTTTACGCTGAACGGGTCCGTCTTTTGAGATCGTCCAGACGCCCTTGCGGTTCTTAGTCCTTCTCAATATCATGGAAGAAAAAGGGCAAGTTAGCACTGAGCCCCAGAAGGCGGCTGTGGAGAGCCTCTCAAAGCTTCACGCTGATCAAACTAAAGAGCGACAGACTGATGACCACATCAATGTCAACCCGCAATTATTCGAGGTGCAAGGCGAGCCTGAAGCGATTGGCAACACTTCCGATGCGGCTTCCGACCCGCAAGCCTTGTTGCAAGATGAGACCTATCCGGAGGGTGGCCTAGAGGCGTGGCTCGTGGTTTTCGGCGCATGGTGCGGACTTGTGAGCTCCCTGGGAGTCATGAATACCATTGCCGTCCTCCAGACATACAATGCAGAACACCAACTATCGGACTATAATGAAGGTACCATAGGCTGGATATACTCGATATACACATTTCTGGCTTTTGGAGGTGGCGTCTATATTGGACCATTGTTTGACAAGTATGGTCCTAGATGGCTCATCATACCTGGAGGCCTGGGGAGCGTTGCTAGTCTGATGCTTATGAGCATTTGCACTCGTAAGTTTCTATGAATGTTTTCCAATTTATCTTGCAGCAGTCGTGCAAAAATGTTTGGGCACAATGATCAAAGCTAATAAATGTCTCCAGAGTATTGGCACTTTGTCCTCGTCTTCTCTCTGCTTAATGGCATCTGTACCTCGCTCGTCTTCACTCCATGTTTTACAGCTGTCGGCCACTTCTTCAAAGCCAGGCGTGGGCTGGCTACTGGCATCGCGAGTTCAGGCGGCGGCGTCGGCGGTGTGATCTTCCCCCTCATCTTGCAGCGCCTCTTTGATCGTCTGGGCTGGGCGTGGGGACTTCGGATTGTTGGTTTCATCTGCCTCTTTCTCTCGGCCATATGCAACCTGCTCGTCCATCGGCGACTGCCCGCCGCCCGCAATTCGAGCATTCACCCCGACTTCAAGATCTTCAAGGACAAGGCTTTTCTGTTCACCACGATTGGCGTATTCATGCTCGAGTTTGCCCTCTTCATTCCTATTGCCTATATCTCGTCCTATGCGCTGTACGCCGGCTTCGACCAGGGTATCAGCTTCTACATTCTGACAATCCTGAACGCGTCCTCGGTAGTTGGACGGCTATTGCCGGGCTACTGGGCCGACCGGATCGGTCCCTTCAATAGCAACATGATATCCGTTTTCATCACCATTGTGGCCTCGCTCGGCATCTGGCTGCCTGCCGGCAAGACTCTGCCCGGCCTGGTGATTTTCGCCATTCTATTTGGCTTTGGCACCGGCAGTAATATTTCCATCACGCCCGTGTGCGTTGGGCAGCTGTGCCATACCCAGCAGTACGGCCGCTATTATGCCACTTGCTACACCATCGCTAGTTTTGCATGCCTCATTGGTATCCCCATTGGCGGCAGCCTTGTCACGGCCTGTGGTGGTAGCTACTGGGGTGTCATAATCTTTACTGGACTCATTGAGGTGCTGAGTTTGATTAGCTTTCAAATTGCCAAGGGATCCTGCGTCGGATGGAATCCTTGGGTCAAGTTTTGAGCGACCTCATACATTACTGTAGGATTAAGGTGTACATATTATATTAATGAGAACAAGCCACATACACAAAATACGAGACAAAAACGCTTTACCTGCCGGATGATTTCGTGAACCGAATGCTCGGACTTTATATTTTTGCAACTATTCAGGGCTCCTATGCTGTGGGTGCTGCTCAACCTGCAAATATTGGACGTCAACCGACTCGGTGACACCTCGTTGCAGTAACTTGCAAAATATAGCAAGATACTCTCCTTGACTAGGAGATATCTCCTCAGTATGATACAATCCATTGGTTCTTTGACCTCCTCCATTGAGGGCTCGTGAGGTATTCATCCCTAAGACATTGCATTTGGGGCGTCGAAAGGTCTGCGTCCAGACAACAATATCGTGTCATCTTCGTGTCAAACACCCTTGTGGTGCTCAGTTAACACCCCTTTCATAGTCTTCTCTCTATCTGCATCTTCATCTCCATTATTGTCCCCGTGATTTCTTCTCTTACAAAGTCGGGGGACGATACATGCTGATACGATCAGCCGACTCCTTGCCCATGCCGCTGTCGGCAGTCATGGTGCTGTCGGCCTTGGTGGGGTGGTGAGAAAGAATCAAGTCATCGTGTCCAGCAGCTGCCGTGGCACCGCCGCCGTCATTGATGAACTCGTGCTCGACGGTCGTGACCACATCGAGCTGGATGCCCGTCTCGGGAGGGGGAGGGGTGACGCGGATCTCGCGGTGCAGGGACTGCTGGCTCGTGTTGCGCGAGTGGGCGCCCTTCCAGCGCGTCTGGCCGCCAAGGTTCCACCACCACCATCCACCACCGTGAGAGGATGTGCCGACGACGCCGTCAAGTCCACTGGCGTTATTGGTGGTGCGCCTGCTGGCGGGGCCATTGATGTGGACAATGTTGCCGTAGCGGCGCGTGATTGGGGTCCGGATGAAAGAAAACTGGTCAAGGCCCGTGTTGCGCATGTCCTCGGGCGTGCTGAATAGCATTGTGGTCGACCATAGAATGGTATTCCAAAAGCCGTTGGTGCCCAGGGTCAGACCGGCAATGCAGTAGTATGTCACACTGGGACTGCCTCCGGCAACCGTGATGAGACGCGCAATGGCCAAGGGGCTGGTACAGGCAATGTAGATGAAGGGATACACCAGAAATGCCGGATGATGACCCGAAGGAAGATTGGGCTCGTGGAGCGGTAAGTGTCTTCTAGGCAGGTGTCTTGATGATCTATTCTCGCGCCAGAGAGACCAGAAGACCATGGTGTAAAGTATGATGGTGATGGGGATAGATGCGAGGATCCAGGCCCACTCGGCCCAAAGGCGTGCTGAGGCGTACTGAGAGTTGACCCAACACTAAGAGACGAGTTGTTAGCCTTTTATTTCTCCCACGTTGATCAAATAAATGAGAAATGAGTATGCCTTACCCAGGTATTGGCTCTGACATACCAGCCTCCTGCATCTCGTCCATTGTTTGTGGCAATGATACCACCAGAGGTGAGAAAGACTGACAAAAGCCAGCAGAACGTAATCCAGGTTAATATGAACCATTGAGGTGGTCGCCAGCCTTGGACGACCGAGAGATATGTGTTGATGGAGATGGACACGAAGAAGATGCTGCTGCTCAAAATACCAATGTTGTTCAGCCAGCCCTGAGCCCAACAGGTGCTCGTGCCGACGTAGATGCCATCGCGAATCACCCACTCAAGGTTGAGGGTGTATCCAAGAGCGGTTTGCATCTCGGCCAGCAACAAGTTGTAGATGAGCAGAGGAAAAGGATTGCGAGCTCTCTTCTCAGAGGAGGTGGTCATGGGAACTGTGTCCGACTTGGAGTCATGACCAACGACAGACTCGTGCATAGAATAGTGTCTGTCACCCAGGTCGATGCTCTGCTCAATAGAGCCGCGTTGCCGCTGACGTGGGTGACTCCATCTGTCGACGAGATCAGCCAGGAGCTTGTATGTAAGGAAGAGAAATAGGCCGGTGGTCGAGATGAATGAAATCAGGGCGGCGGTTCCTACGGCAATGAGACCGGTCCTGTGAACATTGGGCAGATGGTATAGGGTGTCGCTCTCGGGCGGCAACGGCGCATAGCCACCATCAGATGCCATTGTGACGGATATGGATACTAATGGTGTTGTGTATCGCTACTGTTGTTCAAAGCTCCCACAGCAGGTGTGATATCTCAGCTGGCTGGGATGATGATCTTATGTCAACATTTGATGGAATATTGCCGACTTCCGAGTCGCGAGTCGATAATCGGGATCAGTCGTGCACGATGCCCATCAGTTGAAGATTTGTGGGGGTTTTGGAGATCAAGACTGGTATGTCCAAGTGAAAGCTTGTTTGCGGTTCGGTGCGCCTTGTTTATGAACGAGCTCTTGGTACTAATTCCCTAACTTTGGCGGGGGAGGGCATCACCTGGCCTAGCAGCCACCGTCGAAAGTTTATGGATGTGGGATGGTTGTGAATTCGTAGGCCAAGAAATCCGAGTAAGTTGCTGCTGAACAAAAGGGAATGGTTGAATGAAATGACAGAATGTGTGAAAAGGCTGACTGGCGCCGGTCGCGATACACTTCGGTGCAGCCTTGGTATCGAGTCGCCAAAGATTGAGGAAGAGAAGTCGCAGAGAGGTGGGAAACAGATAGCGTGTCCCTTTTGATGAAAGAAAGATTGCAAAAGCAGGAAGAAACCCTGATGAAAAATTATGTCGAAGACTTCTAGAAAACTTAAAAATAGTTGTGAAAACGATTTTTGGGTTGGCGTAGATGTTGTAAAGCTTTTCTGGTCCCTTCACACGTGGGCTGACTGCGTTTGCAACTTGACGCGTTCGTGGATTTTCTGAAAGTCCTTGGTGACTCTGCTGCTGCTGCCGCCGCTGGGACAAGAACCTGAAACGAGACTAAAGATTTCTTGGTAAACGGATGACCAAAAATGTTTACTCCGAAAGTTAATGGTCTCATCCTTTTGTGGAAGTCATTGATCAAACCATCTGGTGGATTTTGGGCGGCAAGTTTGCTGCCTTTGTCTTTCCTTGGATGTGAAAGTGTTCCTTCCTGTTGAACCGCCGGGTCTAGAGTTGCACAAATGAACACAGCTTAGTATTCATCTATTGAGGCCAAGGCTCATTGCCAGTGACTTTAGTCAAACGGACCGACATGTTCTTGACTATGCGCTCGTTTACTCTCGCTGTCTCCTTTATGCTGACCATGAGTGTAATCAAATACCGTGCCTGTCAGCCATTGACGGTGTTACGATGTCTACGCCGCCGCCACAAGGCCTGGAACTATTGGTATCTTTTCCTTTTCACCAGGATTCAGCTCGTCACTCTGGTTTCTACGTGTCACATGAAAAATCAAATATAACTACTCCTCTTGATCATCTAGTCCACCACATGCGCCATCTGATCAACAACAGCCAAGTCGGACAAGCCCGATCGTGTTGCAATCAATCGCTCTGTTTCTGGCATGTCTGGAGTACCAGATGCCTCAATCGGTGATCCGCGCTTTAAGGCATCTTGCAAACAATCCAATTTGTCACACTCGGCTCCCAGTATGATCTCAGCTGCCTTTTTTCCATGTCCTGTTCCTTCTCTTGCATGGCTACTTTGCATCTTGTGTAAAATTGGCAGCCAAGCTTCCTGCACTTACGAAACCACTGTATATGCATACCTTTCTTGTATGTAGTTCTCATGTATACCCTCAATCATTTTGCAATGGTTGAGTACATGAAACTATATCTCCCTTGCCCACGTTTTCGAGCCATCCGCCCCGTGGCAAGGCCGAGCCGCATTGACATGGCCCATCATCCGGGCCTTCTTTCTTTCCGTCACCTGTCGTGGCAGCCGGGAAGACATGTCGCCTGCATCGGTCAGCCAGTGATGCGTGACGTCGTACAAGGTGGGCTGTAGAACCGACGCTTCTGTCAAGGCAAACAAATAACGTGTCAGTAAGCAGGGACTCTGGCCTTGACCCAGCATGATTGTGGACAGTTCCGATGTGTAGTTCGAGCAAGGTATTGAGATGTCGTATCTCAAGTGCCATCTGCACCTAAACTAGGATACAAAATTACACTCCGCAATATTTCTGACCAAAGTCTCGAAAAACGTGATCCACTTTGCAGTGACGAGGGTCAACCTGTGGACGACAATGAATTATAAGAATATTTGATGAGGTCAGGGAGCCGTCCTTTCCACAATGCAGACTTGTCAACAGCAAGCGATAGGTAGGCATCCAACAGCCACAAGGGTACAATGTTTTGAGTCTTGATGTGTATATTGAAATGCTCACTACCAAGCTATTTCTTTTCAGAGCGCTGGTATCCTCAACTCACTATTCCGCGGACGTGCCGCCGTCGAATGATCATGAGACCACGTCTCCTGCTGGGAATAGCAGACAAATTACGAATCATCCTAGGAATGTAGCACAATGCTCCTCCCATGACTTTGTCATATTATATGCCAAGCTGGCATCTTTTCTCATGTCGCCGTCGTTATTCTGCCTTCGCAATGTCTCCGCAGCAATAAGAACTGACCGATGTCATTGGCAGGCGTCGACTCGTTGGCAAATGTACCAAAACAGCACAGATCTATGTGCCGAACTGCTAACATTGGGTATCGATGCATGCTGGCAAACCAATATCATCCACCTCTTTTCATGAAAATGCTTCAATGCATAAACTATGCCGCAAGGCAGAAAGAGCTGGGCATAATGCGTATATGAGGAAGGGTTGGTACCACGTCCGCCTAAGACGCGTCCAGGAAATGAGAGGCTTTTGTGAAAGCCAGAAAAATAATACTACAAGGCGACGAGTATGTGCAATTGCCGCTTTCTTGTTGCAAAGTTAGTTGAGGGGAAAGCTTGCCTAGATAACAATATCGTTCAAAGGCAGAATCTTGCTCTTGTCTCCCAAGAAGTCGGCCCGGTAATCCATAAGAGCCTTGGTGATGCTCTCGAAATCTTTGATTTTACGAGTCTTTAGGTCTTGCAGAACCTTCTTAAGGCCTTCGATGAACCGGTCTTTCTGCTCGCCTGTGTATGTTGCTGTAGATCCTAGCTCTGCAATAATGGCCGGTTCTGGTGGAAAGGGGAGCAATGGTCAGCTTTTCAAAAGGGGGAAGAACAATGCAGAATACAGTTTTACAAGGTAGTTGTGCCAACGGGAAGCGAATACTTACCTGAAAGTACCATCTTCTCAAAATGCTGAAACTCACAGTCAGGTCCCTTTGGGCACTGACCGCCATCAAGCACAAAAGGGCAGATGGGCCGAGACGTGTCGATTTTGGAACTGTAAGTCATTGATTTCAAGCCGCCTGCCACATTCTCCATGTACTGAGGATGAAATTTGTAGGCATGGAAATATCTGAGAGGGCTCTGATAGGACAGCAGATCCTTTGCAGACAACTCGTTTTGAGATTTAGCCTGCTCCGTTGTCAGTAAAGGATGCTCTTTTCCAGAGCGACTTTGTGCATCGCCAGCTGTGGCATTCGTGGCATTCGATGCCGTTTGCGTGGTTGGTTCTGCTACTTGCGATGGACTCGGTTCATAGGGCTCTTCGTCGGGAATCTGCTCTTGGATGAGTACAGGTTTCCTCACTATGTGAGTCGGAATTACCTCATCTGCTGTTCCACTAGTCCCGTAAGCTTGGACTGTATCAGAGATGTGGGGTGGTTGTGGCTCATAATCCTCATCTTCCGCGTCTGATATCTGCATTGGGACATCAAGTTCCGTTGAAGGCTGTTCCTGAGGCACATCGCCAAGTACTGCCGTGGTCGACTGATCCTGCGGCTCAGCATCAACTACGACACCAACTGACAATGACGCAGATTCTTGTCGCGTAGGAGACTCGGCCGGTTCAGGACCTGGAGGGCTGGTTGCCACTGATGGAAGATCGACTTGTGAGGGCATCTCAGCTGTAACAATCGCCGTTGCTGTAACTCTACCACTACTGGCAGAATCTGATTCGATTTCCATCGAAGTGTTGTTTGGTGATGATGCGGCGGATCCGTCTTTTCCAGAAGATACCTTAGAATCAATATTGCTGCTGACCTCTGTTGGATTTGGCTCTGGGACTACAGCGGCGACGTGCGCCTCGCCCGTATGAGCTGGTTCAGGAGCGGCTACTTTGCAAATCAGTAATAAGGACTGCAATCCAAAGACTTCACATACCTTGTGGGAACGCTTCCAATGAACCGTTGAGCTGTGGAGATGTGGGCTTGGCAATGTCAGGACTATCCATCTCTATTGTCAATTGCTGTCTTGCATCCAACGTTGCTTTGACCTCGATTTCGAGTTGAGCAGCTTCCTCTTGCAGCCGCCTGAGCCTCTCCTGCTTTTCCCTAAGCGCAGCATCGAGGACAGGGATATGGTAGGCAGTGATTCTATCCCGCCTTTCACCTTGTGCTGTCTGCGGTGGCTTTGCCAGTGCAGGTGCCTGTGGATCTGGAGTATTGGCAGGTGACTGTGCCAAGGGCGTGGGTTCACCATTTGACCTGCTTGCCTTCTTGGCTTCAGCCTCCGCAATCCTCCTTCTTGCTTCTTGGATCTGCTGAGTCAGTAAATCCAGTTTCTGGCCATGGCCAGAGGGCGTCTGTGCAGCTGGCGTCGCAGAGTTAGATTTGGGGCCATGCCAACTGCGTGAATGAGTCAGCGGCGGGTGTGAGGCCAATACATTTGTTCGCAGGCCAGAGATGCTGTCCTGAATTGCACTGCTGGAAGGCTCTGTGGGAGATCCCAAGTCCATCTCCACATCTTCATCGTCACTGACGTCAATAATCAACGTTTCTTGGGTGCGATTGCGCTTGAATGCACTGCTAGTGGAGGAATAGCCGTCAAAGTCTGAAGCTATAGGTCTCTTCATGTTTCGACTCGTTGGAGCTGGGTGCGGAGACGACGAAACAGAATGAACCTGACCTCCAGATGCAGATGACGCATCAGGCTCAACCACGGGTGGTTTCGGATCGACTGATTGCTTGGCTGAAGTTGCAGTGCTTGTGGAAACGACCGGAAGTTCGGATTTATTCACCGGAGCGACTGGGGTGCTTGGCTGCTGTCCAGGCTCCGGCTTTGTGCCCTGCTGTTTCTTGAGCGCAGCGAGCTTTTCCAACAATTTTTGGTTGTTTTGAGCCCTAAGCTTGGATTTAGCAGCCTCGGTGATCTCAGAAGAGGTGGCGGGAATGGCTGCAGGAGGTACCTTCGGAGAAGGCACAGTTGGAGAAGATACAACTGCAGGTGGAGGCTGAGCTGCAGTCTTTTTGCTTTTCTCCGCAAGCATGCGGGCAATCTTATCTTTGCGTTCCTCCTGGGCTGATTTTTTCTGCTCCGTTTTGGGCTCTTGGCCAGTACTTGCCAGGTTCGCAGCTGGCTTTGCCTGGTCTGATAGAGCAGGCGGTAGAGCGGAAGCTTTGGTTGATGATTGAGATTGTGCTGAATCTGCTAGCTGTGGAATTGGTGGTTTCGTGGTAGAGATAGCTGACACAGTAGCAGGCTTGGGCGAAGAAGCGTCCAGGCCCAATTCCTTGAAGAGACTTTTGACTGTTTGGGGATCGAGGCCCTCGTCAAGGTAGTCTTGATACCGCACCTTGAAAGGCCATAGTCCGAGAATAGCTTCTTGGGCCTTCTTCTTTGCTTCTGATAACGACTTGTAAGGAGGTGAAGGGGAAGTCGGTGTCATCTTCTGATTGATAGATGATGGTGCTTTTCTGCTTTCATTCAAAGACTTTTGACCATTCAGATATTCTGGTTCAGTTGCAGTACCTATATGAGATGAGCAAAGACTTGAAGTAGGGAAAGAAGAAAAAAAGTAAGAAGGGATTGGCTCACCTTGCCCATTGGAAGCTGCGTGTGTACCTGCAGGAACCGCAGACCGTGCTTCCTTGGGTGAGAGGCGTGGCGAATATGAACCCGACTTCTCTCTAGGATGATATTCTGGCTCATATTCGCCCGGCTCGTAGTCGTCGTCCTCGTCAAACCCAGGTTGCGACGCCGAAGTACTATCAATCACCATATCCTCCTGAGCCGATCCCGTATCATATATCGATGAGCCATCAGCATCTCCAGGGCTGCCAGTAGCTTGATCGTTGGCACCAGAAGGTTGAGTTTGCTGTGTTGGAGGATGAGATACCACGTGAGGGCCTTTTGGGTCGTAGATATCTTCAAGTTCGCCCTCGCTCAATTCTCCTTCCTCTAATGCATCCTTGGAACGTGTAGGCGCTGCCTGTGCAATGGCTGGTTGGGAAGAGCGCCCTTGCTCCATTCCAAGGCCTGGAAGAGATCCCTCAGCTTCACGAGGGTGTGCCGCAAAGCTTCCATGGCCCCAGCTCATGCCCAATCCAGGAATCCTACTTCCATTGTATTCAAACGAGCCGTTGATGGAAGCAAAGTTGCTGGCAGTGTTTGTAGGGATAGGACCTGGGGGAGTCGTGTAGAAAGACGAGGCGGATTGAATATTCGGTGCCGTGCTTAAAGGGTATGGATGCTGTGGATGTTGGCCCGGAAAATGGGCATGGTCGTTCGGTATCCGAGACATGGTGAACAGCTCTTGTTGCAGTCGGACTCGACTCGGACTGAGAAGGATCAGGTCTGTTCGTGCGGCAGCAAGCTGCTGACAATCTTACGAAACAACAGTTACTCAAATCAAAACATCGCCAGCAACATATCGGCGACGCGTTTGATGTGGGAAGTGTTGTTTTTGTTCTTTGTAGTGTACAAGTCAAAGACGCTAATGACGGTCTTTATTAAGTGTTTGATTGGAGGCGACCAGTGCAATCAGGATCATTGCGAGGCCTGATATACCAAAAAAACGATTACTCAATACAGTCGCGCAATGCTGCGAGACAGTGAACTAGCCTGCAAGGGAAGAGATAGAAGCCAGCGGCTGTTCTTGGACCTTGCAAGCAAAACCACCAGAGCTGTTGAAACGATGGAGTTGCAGTACGAGTACGCGCTCAGCTCTTTGATATGAAAAGGTGATTTCAGAGCTTTTCGAGTCGGCGGAAGACTGCTGGTTGTTTCGCTCCAAGGCTTGCTGCGGGGAGAACGCGCACAGCAATAATGTAGTGATTTGGGCAGGAGTGTTTGATGATTCTAATTATTCACGGAGGCGATTGAAATTGATCGGCGCTTCAGTCGCGACCCTAACGCCTGTTTGGGACTTTTGGTGCTTTCAGTCCAGCCCCAGTCAACCTTGGAAGTTCAATCGCACCAAAAAGTGAACGGGGCACGCAACAAGGTAATTCCGACCTCTGGGTTATCCAGCGCATCGGGACCAAGCTGCTGGCAACAAAAGCCCATGACCCGTCTGGGACTAGTTCCTCAAAAGAGCCACCCGGCCCACGCCCACGGCAACCACGTCTCTGGGGCTAACCAGTTTGGTGATTGCGGAGAAGCCGCTAGCGAGTTTCCCGCTGCCCGATCACTGTGGGCTCGTCTGGATCGCCTTACAGATAAAGCCAGCCCACTGTGGAAGCCCAGCGTCATACCTAAATGGCCTGTGCTTCAGGGCTGTCGCGGTCTCGTCTGTTTACATTGGTACAGCAACCGCAAGTAAACAAATCGAGGACCAGTTGCCCATTCTTATTGACTTGTGCATCCCAAAATGGACCTCAATTGAGACACACTTCTTCTGCACACGACCACGACCATGATGAACGTGACGATTAATGCTATTCTCTTTTGAAACATACGTCCTTTTCTTTTTGGGGGGAGCAACAGTCTATTTTCAAGTTCAATTTCATGGCATCTAGAACTTCTTGCCATAATACATCCTGATAATCCCACAACTCCACGGCCGTCGCAGCCAGCAATACTCGCTGTGCAGCGCATGAGCGAAGCTGCTCCTACACAAAGCTCATACTCGGGGGACAGTATTGCATCGCAATAGCACATTATGGAACCTGCGCGCACCATGTCGCAACGGCGGAATCCTTTCTCTCGCTCTGGCTCACCCTCTACCGGTCCCAATGGCCCTGCTCTAGCGAGCCGACCCAAATCCGCCATTCTTACTTCCCCGTCGCCTTTGTCGAGCGTGACGACCTCACCCACTCACAACCGCAATAACTCTGTTGCATCAATAGCTGCAAACTTGGCTCCTGCCTCAGGCGCAGGCTCCAAACATCACCGGAACGATTCGAAAAGCAGCGCCCCGAACTCTTCAACATTTGCTCCTTCTTTCATCAAGACTGAAGACCTGCGTCGAAGCATAGATGTCGTCAAAGGTATAGAGGGTGAAAATGACTTCTCCGGCAAGAGATATGTCTGGCTTAGAGACCCCGAGACCGCCTTTGTCAAGGGATGGGTTGTCGAGGAGCTTGCCAATGGCAATATACTTGTGCAGTGTGACGATGGAACCGTGAGTTTGACTGCAGCCCCTCAAAAACTTTCAAATCACTAACCTGTGGTAAATCACTAACCTGTGGTATCAATAGCAACGAGAGGTCGAGTCCGAGAGTGTCGACAAAGTTAATCCCGCCAAATTCGACAAAGCGAACGACATGGCAGAACTGACCCATCTCAACGAGGCTTCTGTTGTGCATAATCTCCACATGAGATATCAAGCAGATCTGATATATACATACTCGGGACTTTTCTTGGTGACCGTCAATCCGTACTGCCCATTGCCTATTTATACCAACGAGTACATCAACATGTACAAAGGGCGAAACCGAGAGGACACCAAGCCGCATATCTTTGCCATGGCTGATGAGGCATTCAGGAACTTGGTCGACGAGGGTCAAAACCAGAGCATTCTTGTCACGGGTGAGTCTGGTGCTGGAAAGACTGAAAACACCAAAAAGGTCATCCAATATCTGGCAGCCGTGGCTCGCACCGAGTCACAGACCAAGGGTAGAGGACAACACTCCAACTTGTCACAACAAATCCTTCGAGCGAACCCGATTTTGGAAGCTTTTGGTAACGCACAGACTGTGAGGAATAATAACTCCTCCCGATTTGGAAAGTTCATCAGGATTGAGTTCAGCAATGCCGGTGCTATCGCTGGAGCTTTCATTGACTGGTATCTCCTCGAGAAATCTAGAGTGGTTCATATCAATGCTCAGGAGCGCAACTACCACATCTTTTACCAATTGCTCGCTGGAGCTGATCGCCAGATGAGACAGAACTACCTTCTAGGTGACATGGAAGTCGACGATTTCTCATACACTCGCGATGGCCACGATACAATAGTTGGCGTCTCCGACGTCGACGAGTGGAGTTCTTTGCTCGATGCTTTCGGCGTCATGGGCTTCTCGGAGAAAGAGCAAGACTCTATTCTACGTACTGTCGCTGCTGTGCTTCATCTTGGAAATATCAGCGTTGTCAAAGAGAGTCGCATGGCAGACCAGGCTCGCCTATCCCCGGATTCCAAGGATGTCGCAGCAAAGGTATGTCAGCTACTTGGTATCCCTCTGGAACCTTTCTTGCAAGGTCTCCTGCATCCAAAGGTCAAGGCCGGCAGAGAATGGGTCACAAAGGAGCAGACGCCAGATCAGGTACGCCTTGGTATTGATGCTCTTGCCAAGGGTATCTACGAGCGCGGCTTCGGTGACTTGGTGTCCATGATCAATCGGCAACTCGACCGCAATGGAATGGGCTTGGATGACTCTCATTTCATCGGTGTCCTCGATATCGCTGGATTCGAAATCTTCGAGGAAAACAGCTTTGAACAATTATGCATCAACTACACCAACGAGAAGCTCCAGCAATTCTTTAATCATCACATGTTTGTGTTAGAACAAGAGGAGTACGCCCGAGAACAGATCGAATGGCAATTTATTGACTTTGGCCGAGATTTGCAACCAACTATTGATCTGATTGAACTGCCCAATCCCATTGGTATCTTCTCCTGTCTCGACGAGGACAGTGTCATGCCAAAAGCAACTGACAAGTCATTTACCGAGAAACTCAATTCCTTGTGGGATAAGAAGTCCAACAAATATCGTCCATCACGGCCAGGTCCCAAGCACGGTTTTATCTTGACCCACTATGCTGCTGAAGTCGAATACTCCACCGAAGGTTGGCTAGAGAAGAACAAAGACCCTCTGAATGACAATATTACTCGCCTCCTCGCTTCCTCCAGCGACAAACATGTTGCCAGCCTATTCTCAGACTGCGCAGACAACGAAGATGATACGGGCGGAAGCCGCAGCCGCGTCAAGAAGGGCCTCTTCCGAACTGTCGCGCAAAGGCACAAGGAACAGCTTTCCAGTCTGATGAGCCAGCTGCATTCAACACATCCGCACTTTGTGCGATGTATCCTTCCAAATCACAAGAAACGCCCAAAGCAATTCAATGCACTTTTGGTCCTTGACCAGTTGAGATGTAATGGTGTACTTGAAGGAATCCGTATTGCCCGAACAGGCTTCCCGAACAGACTTCCTTTCTCAGAGTTCCGCCAGCGATATGAGGTCCTCTGTCGCGACATTCCCAAAGGTTACCTTGAGGGACAAGCGGCAGCCTCTCTAATTCTCGACAAACTCGGGCTGGACAAATCCCTCTACCGTGTCGGTCTGACTAAAGTGTTCTTTCGAGCTGGCGTCTTGGCCGAATTGGAAGAGCAACGTGATGCATTGATTGCCGAGATCATGTCTCGCTTTCAGTCTGTGGCTCGTGGGTACATTCAGCGCCGTTCTGCTTTCAAGAGGCTCTATCGTGCAGAAGCAACTCGTGTCATTCAGCGCAATTTCAATGTCTATCTTGATCTCTGCGAGAATCCCTGGTGGCAGCTTCTTATCAAGATGAAGCCACTTTTGGGTGCTACTCGAACAGCAACCGAAGTCAAGCGCAGGGACGAAAAGATCAAGGAGCTGAACGAACAAATGCGCCTCGAGGCAGAGAACCGTCAACGACTAGAGGATGAACGACGTAACACTCATACTGAGCTGATGCGCATACAACAAACTCTTGAGAGCGAAAGAGCGCTTGCTCTTGACAAGGAAGAGATCTTCAAGCGTTTGCAGCAACGGGAAGCCGAGCTGGAAGACAAGCTTGCTGGTGCTATCGACGACCAGGAAAGACTTGAGGACCAGCTAGACGATCTCCTGGACGCAAAGAAACGTGCTGAAAACGAAGTCGAGAAGTATCGAACACAACTAGAACAGGCTGCGGGTTTCATTGCTCGTCTCGAAGATGAAAAGAGGGAACTGGACGCTCGAGCGTCTGAACTCGGGCAAGAAATTGAGGAAATTTCTCGCAAGCAAGCCGACCGAAGCGCACAGGAGGATGCATTAGCAGAGGAAGTCAAGATGCTCCAAAGTCAACTTTCGCTCAAGGATCGAAAGGTGCGAGACATGGAGGCCAAGCTTCTTCAAGTCGACCAAGATGCCGACATCAAGTTGGCCGCTGCTCACAAAGAGTTGCAAAGTCTCAAAACTCGGGAACAAGTCCTCAGCCGGGAGAACCGTGATGTGCAACAACAACTGTCCCAGCTGTCAAAAACTTCGACGGACTATGAAGATCTGGTACGCAAGAAAGAGAGTGAACTGGCCATTCTTCGCGGAGACAACAAGAAACTACAAATCGATCAGCGCAATTTCGAAGAGCAAAGGAACTCTCTCAACGCTGAGAAGACCAAGATCGCAGATCGACTCCGCGAGGTACAAGCGGAAATGGTGGCGATGAAATCACAACAGGCTCAGCTCCAACGAGAAGCTGCAGATGCAAAGCAGTTGCTCGAGGCACGTCTCACAGAGGATGCTCAAGCTAGTCAGAACCGTCAAGTTCTCGAAGCACAAATCAACGACGTCAAGGATCAACTTTTCAAAGTTCAGACGGACCTGAGCCGGGAACGCCAATCCCGAGACGATGTTGCTCTTCTAGCCGAGCACAAGTACCAGGAGCTGCAGACCGAGCATGATGAACTTAAGGAGCTCAAAATCACAATCGAGAAGGAACTCTATCTGCAGCAGGATACTTTGCGTCGGACTAAGGAGGCCCGCGACACGGCTGAGAAGGAACGTGATGAAGCACGCGAAGAGATTCGAAAACTACGCGTCGCAAAATCACAAGCTGAGGAAGCCCGCATGGCTGCCGAGGAGGCCGGAGAACGACTTGCCAGTAAAGCTGCGCGCGAGAGGGAAGCTAGCCTCGAGCGAGACCTTGAAGCCACTCAGGAACGACTCAGGTGGTTTGAATCCGAATGCGAGAAGTTGAACCATCAAATTGAGGACCTCAATAAGTTCATGATTGAGTCTGGAGAATATGGTCTGAAGAATGACCAGGCCAAGGAACGTCTTGAACGTGAGCTTGTCACCGTCAAAGGTCGGCTGGCTGCCTCGGAGAATGACAATCGCGCTTTATTGAACAAACTCCAGCAGAAGGGGCTCGAGATCGCACGGTCAAGCTCGAGAGCCAACGAAGCATCAAGAGGGCAAGTCTTGAGCCTGCAGCGTGAAAAAGCTCGTCTCGAAGAGCTCAACACCAAGCTCAACAAGCAACTTGGTGAATCACAGCTCAATACTGCTTCACTAGAGAAGAGACTTGAGAAAATGCAACTTAGCATGGAAGATCTCAACCATGAAGTTGCTCGTGAAGTACAGTCCAATAGGAACGCTGAAAAGTTGTCGTCTCAGTCCACTGTCCAGCTCGCAGAGGCCACTCGGAATCTGGAATCAGAACGGCAATTGCGCACTCAGGCCCAGGCAACAGCACGCACTCTACAAGCTACCATAGATTCTCGCGGCAAGGAGTTGGATGAGCTGCGAGCACAGCTCCTTAGAGTGCTCAAGGCGGTGGATCCAGAGGTCCCGGTTCCCATCCAACCCACTGATAACCATGAGAAAATGATGAGCAAGAACTTCGAGATGATCAGGAAGATTGAAGAGCTTCAGCAGAATCTCCGAATCCAGACAGCTGGCCGTGCCAATGCTGAGGCCCACTTGAGTGAGCTCCGAGCTTCGAGAGGAGAGTCACCTGCGCGTCCGAGACTGGAAGAAATCAACCCTAATGAGGCCCCCTTCACTGGATCTCCCACGCAGAGGCGAGGCAAGCACAACAGGCGCCTGAGTTCCGCCAATACGACACCAACACGTCGCTTTGGCAACGAAAATGATCAAGTCCCTGACTCTGTCAGATCTGATAAGACTGCAGACTTGCTCAGCTTCAACAACCGTCAAGATCTGAAGGCAGAGGTTGAAGAACTTCAGAACCAGCTGCAGCTCGCTCAGATGCAGAACCGTCATCTCCAGAGCCAGATTGAGAGATCAACCCCTGCTCGCGACTTGACTCCATTCGATGACAACCCGTCCTTCCTTCGCATGCAAAAGCTTGAAAAGGCGAATAGTCGACTCCATGACATGCTTGACGACTCAGCCAAGAAGATGTCCCACCTGGAAAAGTCCATGCGAAGCGGCGAGCTCTCCCTCCGGGATATTCAAGCGAAGTCTCATGAAGAGATTTTGGAACTGCTCAACAGCCAGGAGGAATCGCGGAGATCTCTGCTTCACGACCACAACGATGCTGTTGCCGAGTTGACGGACGTGAAGGAGCACTTTGAGAAGATTAGACGCGACCGGGCGACTCTCGAGGTCGAGCTCCGTGATTCAAGATCTGATCTTCAGGAAATGACTCTTGCACGAGAGCAGGAAGCTGCTAGTCGCAATCAGCTGCTGCAAGAGTTTGCGGACCTGCAGATTCGCCTCGATGCTGAAACCTCCAAGCTGGCAGATGTTACATCTAACCTGAATTTGTACAAGAGTCGATCCGATGAGTACTTCAGCAAACTGGAGCAAGCAGAGATTGCCGTATTGAAGGCCACCCGAGCTGAACAGTTCGCCAAGTCTCAGGCCAGGGAGGCCGAAGAGCAATGCGCAGAGATCATGACTGACCGCAAGAACGCTGACGGTGTGGTTGAAGATCTTCAACGACAGAACCAGCGGCTTGAAGAGAAGCTCGAGGACCTATCTACAGACTTGGCTGCCGTCACACAAGCTAAGAAGCGACTGCAACATGAGCTTGAGGACTACAGAAACCAACGAGCTATTGATATCGAGGACAAGGAGTCAAGCATGGAGCAGACGCGAAAGAAGTATCAGGCCGAGTTCGCCACCCTCACAAAAGAGCTGGACATTGCTCGTGAGGAGAAGCTGTATAAGCAATCAGAGATCACTCGCCTGAGAGAGGAGCTTGACGACCTGCGATGCAAGTGGGACGATGAGGTCCTCAACAGCTCGACATGGTCTAAGGAGAAGGCACGCTTGGAAAGCACCCTTTCGGACGTGGTTGCATCCCGGGACGAGGCTGTCAATGCTCACAACGAAGCACAGGGTAAAGTCGTGTCGCTGCTGTCACAAGTCCGCAGTCTCCGAACCGCCGTCGACGACGTCACTGCCGAGCGTGACGCCTTGGACCGCGAGAAGCGAAGCGTCGAGGCAAGACTCAAGGAGGCAAAGGCTGGTCTCGAGGACCTGGCCAACAGTGAAAGCCCAACATTGCGCAACGCGGCCAGCACCGACAAGGAAATTCTTGAACTCAAGTCCAGCCTTGCACAGCAGCAGGACATTGCTGCCGCTGCCGTGGAAAAGATGAGGCGTTCAGAGTCACTTACCAATGAGTTGCAGAAAGAGATGATTGTTGAACGAGAGATAGGCGCTGAGTTATCCAAACAGAAGGCAGCGCTGGAGAAGAGCCTCAACGAGTTGCAAGTCCGTCTTGTAGATTTGGAGACCAAGGGCTATTCCAACACAAGCCATGATGTCAAGTTCTTGCACAAGCGAATCCAGGAGGTCAGTTCACCTTCTTCTTCTACTGATGAGACAGATGCCGGGACCAAGGAAAACCACCGTCTCTCACTTCCACAGTCTAGAGCACCCGGTCATCCCATCTCATCTCTGATACGCAGACTCACCAAACGGAACTCCAATACTAATAAGGATGTCGCACAGCTTGAATCACAACTTGAAACCCAGGAAACAGAACGCTCAAAGTCCAATCGTGAGGTCCGCAACGTTGATCGGATCGTCAAGGATATGCAGGCCCAGATTGAGCGCAAGGACAGACAGGCTTCCCAGGCTGCAGAGGATGCGACGCGTCAACGTGACAAGGTTGAGAAGCTCCTCAAGGCGATTGAAGAACTCCAGGCATCCGAAAGCGACAGCCAGCTGTCTACCAGACGTGCTGAGCGTGAGCTGAGGGAGGAGAGAGAAAAGACACTCAAGCTTGAACGCGAGCTAGAAGGCTTGAGGCTGACCCGGGCAGAGAAGGGCGGCTTCAGATTTGGCAGTCCAGCCCTCGATGGTTCTGGTGTGCGACGACTGAGTGGCTACAGGGGAACCATCGACGGTGTTCTTGATGATGCGTCAAGTCTCAGTGGCGGATCTATCGAGGTGCCGCAGCGGAAGAGCAGCCTTAGTCGGGCCCCAAGCTTGACGAAAGGTTTCTTGTGATGAATTGATGAGTGGGAGGAGTGAAAGACACGAAGCATGATCATGGTAAATCAAAGGGTTTGAAAGATTGCCATGGAGTTTGGGCGTTTCAATCTTGTTTGCCGGAATCCATAGGTACATGTTTAATAGGGTTGGCGCGATAGATGGTGTCTTGGACAAGACCGTGTATAGTACTCAGCTAATATGTCTCTTTATGGGCCAAGAACCAAGGCGATTATCTGCAAAGCACGGAATTCGTAAATGGTATTGATTTGTCTTGGAATTGCTGGACTGACTGGGAACCTTGTTTGTATTGCACCAGTAGTGATGCAAGACCTAACACAGAGTTGTCCAACAAACAAGCCTGCGATGACTCATGTGGGAACACCAACAACGCCCGACTTTACCGGCATGCAACCTGCGTACAAGATTCTCAGTTTTACATTGAAGCAACCACACCTGTACACAACTTGGTGGTTTGCTGCATGTTGAAGCTGTCGTATTGGTCAGATTGGTCTTGTTTGTGTTGTTTTGTTATTCTCAAATTTATCCACGTAGCACCCGAGCAAACGAGATATACTATATAGAGTGATTGGAGGAGGAGAAGGTATTTAGTCAACGAAGAAATCCAAAAACCGCGTGCAATTTCCCTCCGAGAAGCCAATACATAGGTAAAGCATCAGTTTATGAGTGATTTTCCCGCAACATCATTCTACAATTCACAGTCCAATCTTAAACCACCCTCGGTCAAGGACGTTTTTATGTGAAGTGGGGAGAGCTCTATGATAGGGTTTTGTAGCCGTCTCGTAGTTGCGCTGAACAAGCACCAAGATAGGATTCGATGGCCCAGTTCTTCAAAGCCTTATTCCTGGGCGCTGATGACAGTGGTCACATGAAAAGAAGGAAGCGCAAGGCATCCAAGCATGATAATGGCATCATAGGATACTCTAGACCAAAGGGCAAGGCAAGTCCCACTCCCGTGCCACTATTTTGGTGACTTCATAATTTGCATTTTGTTGCAAGTCTGAGTGACTAATATTCTCCGCACCAGTCGAACACGGCGTTTTGGACATATGCCTATGCCCCCGACGTCGACCTGAGTCGACTACCGCGAGTAATTGACGGTATTCCTACCCGGCCTTGTAAACATCATGAAAATTCCAAAGAGGGGAGAAAGAAGCATGCTTGGGCTACAACGCCTAGCACTCATACGGGACATCATGTCTGCTCCGGAGACAACGGCCATCTGCAATGGCCGAACCCGACCCTGCCTTCAAGATTCCCAGCTTCAAGGCGACAGGGACAAAAGCGTGTCCATTTTGAGGAGCCGCCCATTGTGGAGTCTGATGAGTACGAAGTTGAATGTAAGGATGTACGCAGGATGCCTCGCTGCTCGAGCTCAGCTGAGCAGAGACACAATATTGAGGAATGCATCGATAACAAGAGAGGAAATGTGAGTAGAATTTTTCAAGTTCCTCTCAAGAACACTCCCCCAAAGCGTCCAGGCTTTTTCAGTCGTCTTTTTGGACAGCAGGAAAGAGCCCACAGTCATCAATCACTACGGGATCTACCAGCCCACAATCCCGAGGAATACCCACCTGTATGGCCCGATTCAATACCATGGATGACATCGGGTCGTGGTCAACTGGTAGTTGAGCAACAGAATACCCATGGCACGAGGCTGGATGAGGATTGTGAGCGTAGCCATGATGAGCCAGAAAGGTGATTGACTCTCATCCCTGACGACTTTGCAAGCCCCAACTGAGAAACATCCATTTGACTAACCAATGGTTGGCAATAAGGTCCAGATGTACAGAGCGATCGACTTTCATGAGCAATTTCAGACCGAGATCACGCAGTCCTTTATACATTATTCCCTCGCATCCGCATCTACCGTTCTGGTTGGACAAAAGCGACTTTGAGCCACCTCGTGACCAGAGGAAGCGGCATCGATATTCAGACCCTGCATCAGAGTCGCCGTCCTCTTCATCTTCGTCTGAGTCGGAGTCATCATCTGAACCAGATTCGTCTTCAGAGCCTGATTCATCATCTGATGGTGATGACTATGATGACAGTTCTGATGGTAAGATGGCATTTGTCCCAAACCACGCTGGTCAATATGACAAGATCAAACGCTAATTGAAAATTGCACAAAGAAAGCATCGAGAGTTAGTGCATTGTTATATACCAGAGTAAACATGGGGTCCATTTCTCGGCTCCCATGTCTTGAGGTACAGAAACCCCCCTCCTCAAATACAACGACCATGTCTCCTGGATTCCCACATACCACTTCATACTAAGTGCTCACCCCTCCTTCTTTGATTCGATTCATGATGTCCTCCTCGGCCTTGAAGAACCCAGCCACCGAACTCCCTTCGCCACTTGGCGGGTCGGCATTGAACATGGGGACGACCCGCTGATGATTCTTGTTCACCTCGAGAATGGTTCCATTTCCATACTCTGGATTTTCGCAGAGTTCTAGCATCCCCTGTGCGATCTCTGCTGGATCTATTAGAACACTCTTCTCGGGTCCTTCTAGCATGGCAGCCTTTTGCGGATCTTCTGACCACATTGGAGTCTGAGGGCTTGCGATATTAGCAAATGGCACCATCAAAGTTCTGAAACAGATTTGCAAGCACAAGAAAAGAATTACGGAAATGAAATCTACAAATGCACTCACCTGAACTGCACCAGGCGCAACGGCGCTGACACGTATTCCCACCTCATCCCTCAGACTCCCGAGCGCCCTCACGAAACCATTCAAACCGTGCTTGGTGGCATAATAGATGGGTGTGCCGATACTGGCGCCCTGCCCCGCCTGAGAAGAAACGTGCACCAGACAGCCAGGCATGCGCAGCTTGGACCAGTAGCTGATGCCCAGCTGGCTCAGGCGGATGGGGTGGGTCAGGTTGACGTCGAGGGTGGCATACGTGTTGACCAGGCTGGGCGACACGTCGGCCGGGTCTCGCGACGGCGAGTCCGGGTTGGTCGCCGTCCGCGGTGGATACCAAAAGTTGGACGAGAGGGGCTCAAAGAGGCCCGCGCCGGGGCAGATGATGTCGAGCCGGGGAAACGTGTCCAGGCCCCGGGAGAAGAGCGACGAGAGCTGTGGCCAGGAGCGCACGTCGGTCGGGTGGAAGACGGCTGACGGTTGCTGTCCAGACGAGGAGGAGGAGGAGGCGGGAGAAGAAGATGGTGAGTGCGGATATTCAGCCATGAGCTTCTCTGCTTCTGGGCGCAGGGCCCGGTCGCCGATTATGACTGAACAGCCCCGTGACAGGAGCAGTCGAGCAAATGCGAGATTGATGCCTACATGATATTCTAGTTAGATCATGATTTGTTCGTTGCAATACAGGAACTCGCAGAGGTGCAAGTGCGTCGTCTTACCTGAACCGCCTCCAGTTATGAGTGCATATTTTCCTGCTACCGATAGTGACATATTTGGAAGATATTAATGAAATTGATACTGAGTGAATTGAATAAGGCTGAATCGGCCATGCAAAATTTCGATAGTTCAGATCCTTTGAAACGACCTCTTTGATTGCGATATCTCTTTGCGCCAACCTCAACTAGTATTTGACATTGAATACTGAAAGTGATGGCGTTCAACGACAATATCATGCGGGTTCGGCTAATTTTACTTTACAAAGTCACGAATAATGTCGGTGGTAGCGGTGCGACAGCTATATAACCATGTAAATCGATCCTGTCTGCCTTCATATGCAATCTGGATTGCGCGGATATACTGTTCCATAGAAGCGCCTGCCAAAGTGGACGAACTAAGGTAGAGGGAGTGGGACGGAACATGGGGATGTTGGCGTGTGAGGGGAATCGTTTACCATTTGTACGCATTTATTTCGCTCCTTACAGACACTTTTTAGATATTTTAAATCCAAGCTGTCCGCCAGAAAGAACATCTTGAACTCATACATAATAGACTGGAAGTCATGCAAGATGAGCGATTGTGCAGCGCATTCTCGGCATGTGTACCATTATGATGCATGCATAATGCGCTGACCATGGAATGTATAATCGTTCACCACTAACTTCACAGTGGGTAGGTTCCACTGGGATCATATTGCTTACTCCAAACCCCAACAACTCGGCTCAGCATATTCCGCATCAAAGCCGAACAAGCAATTCAGCGGGTTCATTATTACGCTATGCTGCAGGTACATTTGAACTGGACAGTATATAGATCCGACATCAACAATCGCAAGTTGTTGGCGTTCTTTCGGTCAGGGAGTGTTGGTCTTCAAGGCTACTTTCCTACATTTACGTGAGTGTCTAGGGAGTGGATGCGCTTTTCCAGGAAGGGAAACATCGTCTATTTTTTTTTTTTTTTTTTGTCTAATAAAGAGAATAAGCTAAAACCTGATAAAGGAAGAGAAATCAAACGTCTCCTTTATTCGACTTTGGAGAAAAGAAGCATCCCCTCTTGATATGTGACCTGTGCTTTCATCTCTTTCGCTCGGACCGCCATATCCTCGTGATTACTAAATACCATTTCTGAACTGTCCCATCCGTCCACCTTGTGGAACAGTAATGCCAAACTCGAGTTTCTCCAAGGCGGTAGACCACGGGCGTGGTTGGTCATGATGACCACGAGAAGCAAGGCAAATGTCAGAACCGTAACAGAGATTGGAAGCACAAGCCACGCCCAGCGAATGACAATAAATACTTCGCTCTGCTTGGCCACGCCGCTCGTGGCTGAGCTGTTGACCGAGGTGCGAATCTCCTCGGTCAGGCTGTCGGCAACTTGGCTCACGAGTGTCGATACATCATCAACTTTGCCGAGTTGCATGCCGACGTTGGGTACAAATTTCAACGTTGTATTGACACCACAGCGCGAATCATCCACGACACCCTTGCTATCCATGGCCACATTAAACAAAGAATACAGGTAACTCGCGAGCTGAGCATACTCGCAATAGTTGAATTGGAAAGTCGTGTTGGTTGGCATTAGAACATCGCTCCCGGAGCCCAGATTGAGAGACATTAGAGTTCCATGCGTACTTTCTGCAAACACCTTGTCATTGATGATGAGGGGTGCTTGTGGACCCGTGAGATTGCTTGCTGTAAAGTTCCCATAGTAAGGTGTTTCAAAGGTTTTGGCACATAACTGCATGGTGCACTGCCCAGCTTGCTTGACAGGCGGAGTCGAGCTCGAGGTGAAGTTGTCCCATGAACCCGGATCGCGTGGAAGATAGTCCCTCAAATGCATATCCGAGTCGAACTGTACAAACGCGAATTTGCTAATGACGGCTGGTTGTGACGGTAATTTGATCGGTTCATCTTCTCCAACATATTCGGGAATAGAAGTCCAAACAGTAAAGTGCGCCCCTGTCTTGCTAATACTGCCAACCCCAACCCCATCCCCATCCCCATTATCAAACCCAGCCTTGAACGTTTTGTTGATCGTCTGGAGAGTATAATTACATTTGAGATCATAATCACTCTTCGAAGGGCTGAAGTGACATGTAGATGCAATCGTCGTCCTCAAGTCGATGCAATGGCTACAAACTCCCAATGTAGTTATCGTGGGCCATTCACACCTTTCAACGCTGCATGGGAGAAGCGGCTCCTTTATTGCATTGTAAATTGGCCTAAGCACGGCCGCTTGCAAGTCGTTATTAAGCGGGTTATGGCACTCCTGATAAAAGCTCTCCGAGGATGGATTGTATATCTGACTCGATAGGATTGGAGGGTTGATCTCTGATATTGGCGTCAAGATGCTAGGAAACTGAAAGACGGACTGGATAAAGGGATCGATGAGCAACGAGGCTATGGTTATAATGGAAGCGGATGTTGCTAGGAGGGTTCTAAGATTCTTGCGAAGGGCCAGTTGAAGTGCGCCCCAGGGCCCACGGCTTGCCTCGTCAAATAACTGCAGGTCGTTGAGCTCCTGCGGGCTATTGTGAAAATGCAGCCACTTCAACTGCGACACGATTTCGGCAACGGCGACGAGACAAGCAGATTTCGCCAAGGCGCCGAGGAATGAGACCACCACGTTTGGGGAGAGGTATCTCTGGCCCAACCCCCATTGACTCAGGGGTTTGTTCTGTTCGTGTATCAAGACCCCGACGACAGAGGCGATGCAAGCAATTCCAAGTATCGAAGCTGAGATCTCCCAGGCCCAGTATCGATGAGCCGAAAACGTGCTCTTGCATGCCTCAACCCTTACAGGTGCCGCTTCGGGGGACCGAGGATGGTTCATCGGAGGTTCCACGATGGTATCTGATTGGGAAGCAGAGACTGAAGACAGTGGCTGCGAAGCCATGCTCTCCTGACCTCCTAGTAAACACCTTCTCGAATTATCGTCTTGCTTTGTAAATCCATACTCGGGATTGGTGATCTGGCATTCCAAGCGAAACTCTTCGTTCGATTGAGCAGCCAAAGGAGTCCACAAACTTCCCAATACCGAAGTCGTCGGGAGCGGGTCAGGTGAAGGCTGTAGTGACTTGAAGGTTCTCGGATGGGCACGGGAGGCCTCGTATCCAAATGGCTGTAACTTCAGCTCATCGTTGTCACTTTCTTTTGAGCTATTCATTGATTGGCTCAAGTATTGAGTATAGTCGTTTGACGTCTTTGATGGTTTATCGTCGTCGTGCGTGACAGAATCATTATGGTACGCCATGACAATGGTGAGAGGTAATGGAAGAGAACTTTAACAAGAGCCTGCAATCGGCCCAGTCGGATCTTGAAGTTTTTCCTCAACAGCACAAGCAAGCCTGGGTATATTCACTGTTTATCACCACCATAGGTACCATGGAAGGTAGTTCCTCGCCATGCATCGATTGCAAAAGGCGTCCAAAACGTGCCAAGAAGGTTATTCATTTCAATTAAATACAGATCGGGCCCTTCTGGCTATTTTGACATGCGCAGTGATGCCGACTGGCGTTTCATTAGCCACACGTACACCTATGACTGCATCTTGCCAAAAAGAATTGCAGCAAGAACCATGTCTTGTGCAGCATTTTCAAGTAGCTGAAATTGTAGAATTGGAAAAGGCCGTGGACTCTGGTATCGAACCCAGCCATTGATGTCAGAAGGAACGTTCAGTATTCATTACATTGACCAGCAATACTACCCTGTAAGAGCCTATAAGAAAACGCGGAAGGGCTCCAACTATATATAGCAGCGCTATGGGTTGCACCCAGCTACCGTATTCTAACGAATCACATTAGCTGCTCATGTCACGAAACCTCACCGAAGAAGCGTCTGGTAGTCTTTTGCCATATCGAAGGATCGGAGGACGACGCAACATCACGCTATGGTCCTTCACTGGTCTCTTGACACAAGGAAACTTATGGACGATCAAATAGTTATTCCTGCTTTGAGGAGAAGAGCTATAGGTCAGGTAATCCCACCACTTGTACCGCTGAGGTTTTCATTTACCATGAACGTTGCGTACCTGCGTGACCTCAACTTAACCCTGACTAGGAACCTAACCTACCTAACCTAGGTACTACGTAGGTGACAAACCCCACGCAGGGCCGACGCTTATCTTATCGCGATTAGATTAAAGCTATCCTAGTAACGTTTGTATCCAAGAATTCAGAACAATCATCCATCTCTCACTGCTGCATACAATCATATAGTGAAGCATAGAAATGCGAACAATGCTTCTGTGCACCACGAAATGATGTCTACATTAATCATATTTCTCGTATAGACATCCCCAACTCGATATACAGCATGGCAACGACGTTGAAAGCGGCTGCGTCGACCGCAGCTACCGTGGTGGCGGCGACAACGGCAACCTCATCATCGACCACCTCTTCAGCCAAGTTCATCCCGCGCCAGACTTTCGACGTCTCTTCGTCCATTGTGCGGTCCTACTTCTTGGGTCACCACCGCGGCGCCTTGTCTGCCATGCAGCGCATCCTGTCCAACATTTCCCTCATTGTCGAATGCCGCGACAGTCGCGTCCCGTTGACCTCGACGAACCCGCTGCTCGAATCCTCCCTCGCCGGCCGCGATCGCATCATTGTCTACACAAAGTCGGATCTCGCCTTTGACGGGGAACAGAGCCGCTTCAAGGAGAAGCAGCAATTGCTACTGAATAAATGGCACATGGCGCGTCAAGGGAAAGGCAGCTTTCCAGCAGACGGTAAGCAGACGGCCACGCCTGGCGGGCTGGGCAATAATACCGATGTCGTCTTCACCGACGAGGGCAAGGCCAAGTCCATTGGCAAGCTCCTAGAGCTGATCAAGCAGCGCGCCGAGCACTTGGACTCGCTGACGGGTATGCGCGCCCTCGTCGTCGGCATGCCCAACGCCGGCAAGAGCACGCTGCTCAACGCCATGCGCCGCGTCGGCATGCACCTGGGCAAGGCCGCCAAGACGGGCGGACAGCCAGGCGTGACGCGCAAGCTGGGAACCCCCGTCCGCATCATTGCCGAGGACGAGAAGCGCGGCATTGAGCAAGGCGTCTACGTCGTCGACACCCCGGGCGTCTTTATCCCCTACGTCGGCGACGTGGGCGCCATGCTCAAGCTCTCCCTCGTCGGCTGCGTCAAGGACGGCGTCGTCCCCGTCGAGACCCTGGCCGATTACCTGCTCTACCTCGTCAACCAGCGCGATCCGCGACTCTATGAAGAGTTTTCCGAACCCACAAACGACGTCAACGAGTGGCTCGACCGCATCGCCCTGCGCAACGGCAAGTTGCTCAAGGGCGGCGAGCCCGCCCGTGAGCAAGCCGCCACCTTTGTCGTACAGCAGTGGCGCAAGGGTCTCCTCGGCCGCTTTACCCTCGATGAGGTCAATGAGGAAACCCTGCGGGTGTGGTCCAGAAAGGGACTTCCCGGTGGCGAGGACGAGCCCCTCTCCATGAACCAGGCCCGCAAGAGGGAGAAGGAAGCCAGGAAGCAGCGGAGTCTTGCCAAGCGGGCTGCGGCCGCGGATAGCGGTTGAAATTTGTAATGCGACGAAGCATTCACAACAGCGTCCGTACCATTTTGAGCAGTCCGCGAGTTCGACGGCGGAGGTTGCTGCTGTCACGCCGTCACTCATCATCTATGATGGTGTGTTCGTTGGATCTAATGACTCGAAAAGCCCTCGACCACTTGGTGGCTCACACTTGCATAACACGAACCGAAATAGGCGAGCCTAGGACATCATCATAGGTCTGGTCTGTCATAAGGATGATCTTCATAGTCCTGGCAGGTCAATTCAACCCAAAACGCCAGGCCGATGGTCGCCCCAGTGGATGTTTGGACCTCTATATTAACAAGGTATTGATTCTCTGGAGCAATCGCCCTCGTCCAAGCCATAACAGAAGGGGCACTGGCATCTTTGTCCCAAAATACAAAGCGATTACAAATGTATCCCAACTCCAAAGTCACCTGTATATACATTCAACTAAGGATTCAACACCAGATCCCCCTGCCGGAATATGTATGTTAGCATGAAATAGAAAAGTTAAAACACTCCGCATGTTAAATCTAGAGTATAAGCCATGCGGAGACGATAAAGGCGAATAATGGCGATCTTTGCAGTCTCCTTCCCATCTTGATAATAATTTTATTATTCATATATTGACATTAAATATTCGTGTTTCTCCTCTCTAGACTCCTCCGGGTGAAAAGAGTAAACGCCGCGCCGTGCGCGTAAGCAGGGGTATTCTCGTCTTTTTGTGCACACCTTTCCATGATAAAAACGCTAAGAAATGCGGCTAGGTACCGCCGAATGGTAATATGAATAGCTTCCAATATGCAAAATTAAAGTCAATTTTGTGATGCGTCGCTCGCAAGCACAAGACCCATCCACGAAAAACAGAATAATCAATCAAGGCGGCAACGCTTCCCATGAAATAGCGTGTGACGTATCCAAAATCAGTTAACCGCTCCCAAACGGTTGGTGTAGAAAATATGTGGTAGAAACATCAGGCCAAGGCTCGTGTACATAACTGGGCATGCACTAATCGTCCAATCTGAACATCTTGCGCAACGCACCAAATTTCTTCTTCTTCTTGGGGGAGGAGTCAGGACCCTCAATGATAGCCTCGGAACCGAGATTATGACCATTGGGCTGCTGTGCAGGCATCATACCAAGACTGGTGCTCCGGCGACCCTGAAAGTCTGGCCTCTCAACTTTTGCTCCATTTACCCGCCCACCGGCAGTACTGGGTCTCACATCGTCCGTTGGTTCGGGGAGCGGCCAACTATCGCCTCTTGTGAGAGCATTCTTCTTCTGCAACTTCGGGCTGTGGGGTCTCTGGTCGCTGCGGAGATTCCGAAGCTCGTCCGTGTTGCGCTCGAGTTTGGTATCCCTTCTGGCTGCGCTCTCCGTCAGCTCAGGCCTTGAGATTTTGCCGGCATTATCTGCCTTCTTGTTTCTTCGGAGAATGCTGCTCATGAACGAAGACCTGCGCTCACGTGTAACGACGGGCGCTGTGACCGACGTTGCAAGAGTTCCAGGTCCAGATCGCTGACGATTCAGAGTCGTGGTGCCAATTCCAGAGTTGGTACGTTGGCTGATGTCTGGTCGGAAGGCAGGTGCTGCATTTCCAGGGCTTCTCAGTGGACTCGGGAATTGGGTCGATGGATCATCATCATCAGAATCGGGGAGATCAGGGGAGGCCTCTTCCTCCTCGGGTACAGGGGCCGCAACTTTGATATTTGCTGGCGCAGTAGCCGAGGCCCTCAATGTGCCCTTGGACATGGGACGTGACGATGACCCAGGTCTGGCGTCTTCTTCATCGCTCGAATCGTCAAATCGACTTCGAAATCTTGAAGCAGGCTCGTCCTCGTCGCTAGAATCGCCAAAGCGACTGGTGCCCGCTTTTGTCTTCTTGCCAGCGGCTTTACCAGAAGCACGTCCGAATGATGGGAACTGCAAGGATGCACGCTTCGAGTCTTTGCTTGAATCGCTACCTGAACGTAGACTGCGGCGCATGCCCATGGTCGTTGGTGGGCCAGCTACAGACGAGCGACGGAAGGTCGAGCCCGAAGGTGACAGAGATCTAAGGCTGAATCTACTCGAACCCTTGACAGCCTCCGGCGGTGAACGGGGCCTCGCTGGAACCATGTCCTGCCTCTCCTGCCTCAATGTTCGGCGGAAAGCCATGGAATCTGATGGTGCTGCCCGAGTTCGTTTGAAGCTGCTATCGCTGGCATCAGAGCCCCGACGTTGCGGTGCAGGTTTACTAGTTTTCGAAAACGCAGTGGCAGCAGAAGCCGCAACCGCAACTGACGCAGCCTTGTTGTGTCGGACGGCTTGATCATCTTGGCCGCCGGCTGTGCGAGGTCTCGTAATTCGTGGCGAAGCAACGCGTTCTGGGGGTGCCGATGCGCGGTGCGAGGCGTTTCCGTCGGTAAATGGATCAGATCTCATGGATTTGCGCATGTGCACTTCTCCCGGGTCTCTCTTTGTGAGCGTGCCTGTTCTCGCAGGTTGCGGTTGTTGTCCCCGCATCGACATCCGCATATGTCCAGACTGCCGTACAGGACTCAGAGGCTCGTGATTAGCCTTTGATCCGGGCTGGATCATGTAAGTCCGCTCAGCATCAACTGGTCTCATCTGTTTCTGTTTTGCCTTCTCTGGTGGAGTCGTTTGGGCATGGGCTGCTTGAGCTACAGCTGTCGCCTGTCTCTGCCCAGCCGTTTTCTTCGTCCTGTTACTTAATTTACGGGTTGGGGTCTGCATCTCTTCGTGGTCGCCATCCGCTCCTGCATCCTCCATAGCTTCCAACTCCAGCTGTCGTCTCTTCTCGGCAGTTAAACTGCGCCAGAATGATTTCGCATGCTCCCAGTCATTTCCTGGTGCTTCTCTACTGGCGGCAGGCGCGAAAACAGTATTGTTCCGATTTGTTGGTTCCATCTCCTCGTATTTGGTATTTCCAGCCGCAGTGGTCTCAGGTGCGTGGCTAGAAATTGACGACTTCGTGACCGGGCTTTCAACCACTGCATCCATTGACTGGAATCCATCACCGTCGACATCTGAGATATCCTCGTAGGCATCGCTGTAAATGGAAGCATTCGAGTCATCGTCATCTGTCGCAGCCTCGGGTTGCGCGGCCTGAGGCGTGGTAGCCAGAGTCGTCTGTGGCAGGACTTGAGTCTGAGAAGGTATTACAACAGCTTCTGGTTCTTTCATTGCGTCTGCGGTTGATGAGGGAAATGAAGTCGTCTGCTGTGGAGCTGGGCTCTCATCCGAGTTGTCATCTGGGAACATTCCGGGAATATCGAAATACTGTTGCGTCGTTTGCTTGACTTCAGTGAGGCCTGGGCTGGGCTGGGTGATGCTAATGCCGGGCACTGTCTCAGATCGCTCCTCAAATCTTGGCTGTGAAGGTAGCGTAGACGCAGGAACTGCTTCAGCTAGAGGTTGCTCTGGCTGCACCGGTATCTTCTCTTCTAATATTGTGGAGTTGATCTGGGAGTTGGGCTGAGACTCCAACACTGTAGCAGCTGTAGTCTGACTAGCTTGCAGTCCGCCGTCGCTGTCATCACCCGCACTGTTGAAAGAATCATGTTCGTCATCTGAGCTATTCAAACTGTCAGACAAATCATCCCTGCCGTCAACAGATGTGACGACAGGAGGTAGCGGTTCACGGAACCTTGAGATATTAGCCTCATTCCGTGCTGCGTTATCTTGGGCCTGCGAAAGTGCTGTGCCAATGGCGTAATCGCTCGATAAACCGGTGTCCATGGAGCTCTCCGTCGCCATTTGCGGGCTGTAGGTTCTTGCCACAGTTGTAGCTGGGACATCCTGGGGGCGAATGAGCGGGCGTTCTTGTTCTTCTGTGTCGCGAACCTTCTTCTCACGAACGCTTCCAAAGCTGGGTAGAGCGGGCCGCGGCTTCATGACCTCATCTTCTTCGAGATCGAGCGATGTATCCTTCTTCCTATTCCGACCGATCCCGCTATACCAAGGTCGCCGAGTCGTTTGTGGGCTTGGCATAATTGGTGAATCTGTATCGGCGACGGGACCGTGAGACTCGCCAACAATGACAGGGCTTCTATCATCAAAGCTGACCCTGGCCGACTTTTTACGTGGTAGAGATGCATCTCGATCGGGTGAAGAAAAACGAGCTCTTGCGGCGTCAGAAGTACTAGTATCTGATGGCGATGCATCTCGTGGCGACGGGCTATGCTTGAGTGCCGATTTAATTGGTGATGCTGATCTTCCTGGTGGCGTATGTCTGACAACCAAGTTATCTGATGGTGATGACGCGAAACGGGCCTGGCGAGCAGGACTCTGCGAAAGTGATCGTTGTGGGACATTCGCGGACTGTGCCACGCTCACAGCCAGGTGCCTTGGAATTTGTTCCTGCTCCCTTGACTCCAGTGTACTAGCTAGACTCTCGGGATTTCCGTCAGATCCTTCAAATGTCGAGTAGTCGGCAAGCTCGGATTCTGCTGCCAATGTGGTTTGTTGTTCACCGGCAGGCTCGTAAAGTGTTTGGCGGGTCGGTACGCTATCGAGAGCACCATAGATATCACGAGAAGGGATGTGAATATCTTCCGCGCCGGATTCATCCTCAGACTCCTCTCTGACCATAGAAGGTTTCCTACCCATCTGTGCAACGGGCCGAGGGCTCAAGAGGCGTTGCGGTTCCTGGGGAAGCGGTGACGTGCCCGATTTTCTTGGCTCGTACTGTTCTGAGGTTGATACGTGACCCTTATTGTATCCATCAATCGGTACCCCAGCGACGGATTCTACCTCGGTATTCTGTAATGTCCGTGGTTCATCTTTTATAGCACGGGAAGTCTGTGTTGATGATGGTTCGTGACTTCGGAGTTCTCGAGTGTTTCCATTGGTCTCCACAAGACTCCCTCTTGTTCTGCCCACTGTGCCCTTTGCTAGATGACTTCCAGATCTGGACACACCAGATTGACTTTTCTTACTCTTTGGTTGCTTTTCTGAAGCTGCTTGCACCTGGTAGGCAATTGCGTCCAAGTCTGCCTTTGGAACCATTCTTCTTGAGTTTGGGTCGTAGACGAGTGTTTGATCTGGTTTGGTAGTAACAGTACTGGAAGCAACTGAGGATCGCTTGGATTTCTTCGATGTTTGTCGCGGCGACTCGGTCCACTCATCATTTTGATCCACGACTGGCGAAGCTGGCGGCGACTGCGCCCGAGAGCGACCTGGATAGGAAAAGTTGACGGATGAGCTTCGACTATCCGGTCGTTGCGGAACCGAGGTTAGGTGCTCTGGTATTGGTTTCGTCATGGGCGCATCTGATGTTCGCAGATTGCTAATATCTCCTTGTGGTTGCGTATACCAAGATGGCAGTCCAGTTTCCATCTTCTGAGAGGCAGTCTTGAAATTCTGCATGCCCACGCCAGCTGAACTCGTACTCCTTGACACCTTGTGACTGGATGGAATGGCTGGTACTGGCGGGTGATCCGGTTCGAGCGGCTTTCGATCTCCATGCGGCGAAGGACTCCGAAAGGTGCGTTCCGACATGCTACTTGAACTGCCTTTCCTCTCCAAGCGCGGTTGCTGTGAGCTTCTCCTGGCGGCAGCTGAAGCTGCGCTACCGACTGACGACACAGAGGGACTGCGGCGCATCGTCCGTTTCGTCTGGACGTCGGCGACATTGGTCGGAGTCTGCGGACGGGCACGAAGCGCCGCCGCGGCAGCGGCGGACGACAAGGCCCGATTCGGGTTTTGCGTGCCTGATGCCATAAAGGCGGCGGCGGCGGCAGTCGAGGCGTTGGGGTTTGTGATACTCCTTGTGACCTGCTGTACAACAAGAGAAGAGTCAACAACAAGATCCCAAACTTCGAAATAGGTTTCCCAAGAGAAGTAAAACCAGAATCCGGGCCAAGCGCAGATCAAAATACAAGTCACGTCATCATAGCAAGGCGAATGTGCCGCTTGGCCTGAGATAGCTTCACCAGCTAAGATGATCTGGCTCTAGCTCGGCCTACGGCTGGCGTAGTTCATCCGTTGGAGCAATGAGCAAATCTGCGGAAGCGCGCAGGCACTAACCAGAGACACGCTGTAATCGGCAGACAAATATCCCAATGAGGACAAAGAACAAGCAATAGCTGGCGCGAAACCGAGGGAACGGGCAAGACAGGTTGGGCACACGTACCGGAATTGGCTGCTGCCGGCTGCGTCTTCTCGAGCTCCCAAACATGCCGGCGTTTGCGATGATAGGACCCAACGCCTGTCCTCTTTCTTGCTAGTTATGAGACTTTTGCGAGCTTTTCCGGCTTGAGCCGGTGCGAATAACTATGAAATGCTCATTCGCGACGTTTGAAAATCATTGCGATTTAATTGTCCTATGGGCGCAATCGGTCGATATGTTTGATGATGTAAGAAGGGTAAGCGTTAGAATAGCGCCCCTGCGGCAGCTGAAGTCTAGAGCCGGCAAGAGAGACAAACAAGAGCTGGTGTCGATTTGTTGTTTAACTGCCGAGACGATCGCCGGATTCCTAAGAAGCCCGAGAGGGAAAAACAAAAATGTATTTTGTGTGAATGACGCTCTGGTCGCTCTGAACAGACGAAGGAATGTAAGGTGTAATCTTCTCTTACCAGACCCTGTCGCCCAAGCCACGCTCAATCAATCAATCTCGCCGAAGCTGTGCATCGGCATGACAATGACAGGCTGCATTCAGTAAAGCGGGTGGGGGCATATTGCTGCAAGCTGTGAGCTTCAACTCCAGCGCTCATTCACCCAGAGTCCCACCCAAGCCACCCTCAAGGGGCCCCCTGTGGGATGAGGATCTTGTGGGACTCGGGCATCTCGCACAACGGAGCCAGCAGGCCAGGCACGCCAGGTAAAGCAACTGGCGGGCCCCGCTTTGAACCCGGGGTGCGCGTGCTGGAACCGTACCCCATTACTCAGCCAGTAACGAAGCCACAATTACATCATTGATTGTGGCTCACCACTAGACATTCTACGAAAGTACGCGCCAACGCGGCGCCTAGCCAGCCTCACTCAATTCTAAATTCAATTGTCACTTTCAGAGTAGCAGGGAGTCGAACAATATAATCATAAAAATTATAGCGACTTTGAACACGTGGAAATTGTTGATTATTCACACGAATGTATGTCTGTTTTTGGGACGACAATGCATTCTTGCACTATGAATAGATATATGGTTGTGGATTCGACCAAATGTGGAAGGAAGTAAACCTCTCAGGTACCGAGTCTAAATGCCAATTCATGCCAAAGAAACATCGCAGCCGAAAAAATCAAACTTATGGGACACGACCTGTTGGCCTGTATCTGGACTCGCAACCTAATTTGGATGTTCTCCCCAGAACTGAAATGTCTGGCGGTCCGCGAATATTTAGTGCGTATGGAGAGACACTGATGAGATCCAGTGGAAATCCCGGAGACGTGCGCGGAGCCGGAGGCTACCGTCACAGATCCGAAGATGCGTCCCGCCGATAAGCCATTCGGGTGTCCCACTCCAAGTCGGGTATGAATATGCAGCCGAAATCAATTCAAATAGTGGCCTGTCTATGAATTTATGATGAGATTGTCTCAGTAGTTGCTCTGTGAAGAAGATTTCAGTCAAACAGATCGGGTCTGCTGCTTAATCCAGTTTCGAGATTCGATTAGCCGCCTTTTCTTCAATACATCTATCTATACTCCTAGACTTTCGCTCAATGTTAACACCATGACACTAGATATCAGGGAAATCAACCTTGTGGAGGCTTCCATTGAAGAGCTGCAAAAGGCGCTCGACTCGGGGCATGTAACCAGTGTTGAGCTGGTAGCACGCTACCTCCGACGAATCAGCACATACGACTGTCAGAACCTTGCCCTCAATGCCATCCCCGTGCTGAATAATTCCGTGTTCGCCGAGGCTGCTGCTTCAGATGATAGGCGAGCCGCTGGCAAGAAAGTGTTGCCTCTCGACGGGATTCCATACACGATTAAAGATAGCTTCAAAGCCAAGGGCATGACTGCTGCTGCAGGCTCGCCGGCATTCAAGGATCTGGTCAGCAATGAGGACGCAGCAATAGTCGCGTCCATTCGTGCCAGCGGCGGCGTCCTTCTCGGACGAACCAACATGCCTGCCATGGCCTGCGGAGGCATGCAGAGAGGCATTTATGGCCGTGCTGAGAATCCATACAACCCAGAATATCTGGCAGCAGCCTTTGCATCCGGGTCTTCCAATGGTTCGGCGGCCTCTACGGCAGCAAGCTTTGCCGCCTTTGGCCTTGGTGGCGAGACCGTGTCTTCTGGCAGATCACCGGCCTCGAACAATGCTCTTGTCGCTTATACCCCGTCGAGAGGTTGGTTGTCTGGCCGGGGCAGCTGGCCTTTATACCCGACTTGCGACGTCCCGGTTCCGCACACCAGAAGTATTCGCGATCTCCTCTGTTTGTTGGACGTGATTGCGGTGGAAGATCCAATCAAAGAAGGCGACTTTTGGCGCGAGCAGACTTTCGTAAAGCTCCCTGATCCGTGGCAGGATCGACCTCTCGAGTCGTTCAAAGAAATATCTGCATCTAAGTCACTGTCTGGCTTGCGCATTGCCGTGCCTCGGATGTATGTCGGCGGCCCAACTCCACCGGGCGCTACTACAGTGCATACAAACCCAACAGTCATTGAGTTATTCGAAAGAGCACAGAAGGATATTGAAGCCCTTGGCGCAGAAATTGTCTCGACGCCAGACTTTCCAGCAGTCACAGCCTACGAAAACGATGATCTTCTGCCCGCCGGCTGTCCTCGGCGGCCGGCCAATTGGGGAGCCATGGAACGAGGTCCTCTGATTGCGCATGCGTGGAATGATTTTATCAAGAATTTCCATGACGAGACGCTGCCGGATCTCTTTGCCGTAGATACGTCTCAGATATACCCCGATTGGCTTCGAACAGAGCCCGAGCTAAGGCATTTTGAAACGGCCAATGGAATCATGTATCATACACTGAAAGAGTCATTGCACAGAGGAAGCCATCGCCATTCTCCAGGTTATTCTACAGTAGACGAACTCGAGGAAGCGCTTCTTGCTCTGGAAGGCATGCGTCGACACCTTTTAGACGACTGGTTGACTGACCTTGGCTGCGACTGCGTCCTGTTTCCGGCGGTTGGAGACGTTGGCCGCGCAGACTCGGATTCAAACTTTGAAAGTGCTGCCCACACGTGGCGCAATGGCGTACGCTACAGTAATGGCAATAGAGCTATTCGGCATCTAGGCATACCGACAGTATCAGTTCCCATGGGGGTTATGTCTGATACGCATGTACCGGTCAACTTGACATTCGCTGGGCGGGCGGGTAGCGATGTGCAATTGCTAAAGTGGGCGAATGCATTCGAGTTCAAGACACACCATCGAGTCGCACCTCCGCATACGCCAGCGCTCGAGTCTGACCGCATTGTAATTCCCAAGGGTCCGAATCACTCTTTCTACGAGCCACGCCCAGAACTGACCGTTGAGAAAGCCAAGATAACCGACCAAAGTGACTCGGCGCTTTGCTTTACTCTGTGTGGCTCTGTTGCTGTGGAACCTTCCACAACAACATGCCCAGTGGTGGATATCACTATCAACGCCCTACCTGTCCCACTTGGCATGATTGAGACAGATTCGAGCCCGCAGCTTATAGCTGGCAAAAAGGTTTTTGGATTCCGCGTAAGTCAGGTTGTGAACATGGCTACTACCAAGGCTGGGCTGGTGAAGACATGGGCTCCCACTGCCCGTGACAAGACAATGGTGGTGATTTTGGCAAGAAACTCTCCGAGCAGTCGACCTACTGGTTGGCTTGGGTTGTTGTAGAACCCAGCTTCCTTGGTTGAAACCACAGACATAAAGAGCATTGGTTGCAGCCCTCTTTTTTGGCATAAAATGTGGGTTTTACTATCTCGAACCTATCTTATCGTGCTTGCATTTGTCACAGACTCGCGTTAAATTTTCGAATCATTGATTCATGAGTAGACCAATGAATATGGGTTTGCAATATAGAGCTATGGGATGCGAGGAATTGCGATCTTTGAGACCATCAAGTCTCGAGCGAACCATGACTATATATTCGCGCCATTGTATTGTTTGTCTGAACATTGCTCGTCCGTTTGTATACGCACGCCTCTTTCACCAAACATTCCATCTACAGCCTGACTTAGCACGGCCATGTCAAGTGGATGGCATGAACACTGCGAACAATATTGTCGAGCACCAGAAGGCAGTTCATCACTTCTGTGTTATCCATTTTGATTGGTCGATCTTCAGCAATGCGGCAAATGCCGGACCAGTCATAAGCGATAGCACGAGCGTGCTCAGCTGGGCACGAGGCTGCGGTAAAGTTGTTTTTGATTGCACTCGACACAACCACTTTCACGAAGTGAATGCATGACAAGTAAACCGATAGATGTGAAGCGTCAACACACTATCGCGTCTTCTAATTTGGCACTGTCAGTCGTTGGGGCAGGCAGTCGCGTGAGTCTGGTACCTACTACCGACACTGCGCCGCACTCGCCCAGACTCAAAGAATGAACCGTCTGACAGCAGACGTATCAGACTCCACTTGACATTTCTTCCACCTCCTCAGGTGACGCGAGTTTGGATTTACCGGACTATAACTTGGTCGTCGAACAAGCTTCCCTAGCGAAGACTTGGAGATATCTTGACAACATTTTCGAACCACCAGTCTGTGAAAGCTCCTTGTCAAAATAGCCGACTCTCCAAATTCTCAAGTACTAGAGAAATCACTACACATTTTCAGCATGTTTCCACCGAGTACGTCACTGTGGCAGGCACAAACTGCACAGATCATGGCTGGAGACCATGCGGACGGCAATTCTCACCACGTTGGTTCACGACCGATCCTAGAGACACCGACATTGACAACGACACAAAGGCTTCCCGAAAAAGGGAATACATCTCGATCAGAAAAGCGTAAGAACGTGAGTTCTAACGTTGAGATGGAACACCGCGGCTCCAGTGAGGGTGGCATGACTGGTCAGGAAAAGCTGCGTCCAATACAAAATGGATCTTTCTTTGGCGCCGAAGCTTTCTCATCCGTCGTGGGCCGCACAAAATTCCCATCAAAAGGCCCTTCATACCCGCCACGCCAAAACTACCCGCCTCTCAATCCTGCGGATCAGAACCCGCCTTGCAATACCCTCTATGTGGGCAACTTGCCCATTGATACGTCTGAGGAAGAGCTGAAGGCCATGTTCTCCAAGCAGCGTGGCTATAAGCGACTGTGCTTTCGAACCAAGCAGAACGGCCCGATGTGCTTTGTTGAATTCGAGGATATCTTCTTCGCAACTAAGGCACTCCACGAGCTCTATGGTCAACTTTTGCACAATAGCGTTAAGGGAGGCATTCGTTTGAGCTTCTCCAAGAACCCACTTGGCGTCCGTTCAGGGCCAGGTCAACGAATTACCACTCCCAAGGACGGATTAAGCAAGCTGATATCGAGCGCTAGTGGGCGCGTCATGACAGTCGATGAGGGTGACATATCTCGGAACAAGCCCATGAAACCAAGATGTGACTCTAACGACTCTGGGTTTGAATCTTTGCCTCCCCAACAAGGGTTACCAAATGCACTGCATGCTAATGAAGGAATTCCGGCACCTACATCCGACTTGCCAACTTCAAGTACATCTGCCACTGAGAGCAATGTAGGGACTGTGCCTTCAGTGGGCACGACCATGCTTTCAGACATAGTCCAAGAGTCTATCGCACATATTTGCGAGGACTTATACCATAAGCTAGAGCCTGAAATCTGTCCAACAAGTTTCGGAGCAATGATCGGCAATTTCGGAGAGCTAATCAAAGCCTTCGCTATCCAACTTGGCCTCGATCAATCACATCATATGGGACCTAGTATCATGTACTTTGTGTACAAGCACCATAAGTGAGTCATCCATGCTGTAGTTTCCTCTAGTTAAACAGTTGCGCTGATGCCCTCCGTTAGCGAGATTTGTGCTCTGCTGAAGGGAAAATTCATGGGTGGAGACGAGAACGGCCCAGAATCACCACAAGGCAGACGTGGGAACATGTCCCTCGCAGAGAAAATGGAAATGTGGCATCAAGAGTTCTCTCAAGAGCACTCTGTTTTTCGAGAAGATGCTCCCTCGAAGTTTGAGGGAGTTGATGACTTGGAAGATGACGACCCGGTATCGAATTCGGAGCTTTCATTGTACAGCAAAATCATCTTGAAGAGTTCTGCATACAGATGGCTTGTGTCGACTCTCCAAACCCAGGCTTCATTGTGCTACGGGGATGGTCATTCCACAATGGCAGGCGATGAGATACGGCAAATGGTCCTCAAGCAGCTTCAGACCGGCACTATCAGTAAGAAACAGCCTCCTCGGACATTTGCGACTTGTTTCGTGCTCCCTGGATACTGGAACACTCTAAGATCAAGGTTGAACTTTTATGATGCCAATGGTCAGACCATCAGACTGCAAAACATTGTCGTCCTGAGCGTTTCGTCAGATACAGATGCTCAAATAGCAACTGCGGGACATTACATGCGTCAGATGTGGCAAGATGCTGGAACTCTGCTATTGCAAGGCTTCCAAGACTTGGTAGACGGAAGGATTGGGGAATGTATTGAAGGTAAGATCTGAAAGACAGCTCCTGCTCCACTCAAACGGCACTTCACATGCTCAAGGCAATCTAGTTCAAGTACATGACACCGCATACATCAAGATACAAATCATTGGATCTGATGTTAATGTCGTTTGCCATGGTCCAGCGTATTTTGCAGCGCAATGCGCTGCACAACTGTGCTGGATTGATTGTGCTATTCAACCTAATCGCCCTCTCCCAGTTGTCCGTACTCCCTGTCTAACACAAATTGGGGCGGCCAAGTTTCTCATCTCCTCGCTTGACGAAACCACAAAAAGACACAAGGTTCTTGCTCATATAGAACGAACAAATACGTGTTGGCAGCGGTTTGACCCGCTAGTCTGCGTTTGGGGGTTTCCTATAGCTCGGCGTCCAGAAGGCTTCTCGGGAGTCGAATTACCGCTTAGCCCTGCCAACAATTCACTGTTCCTGTCGCCAGATCTATCCCTCGAATGGCCTGTCAAAAGATTGGTCCTCAATCAATGGGCTGCTACATTATGCTGCGTTGGAAGAATCAACTCTAGCTGGCTCTGGCATCTTGAGCGTACCTGTACTTGCTCCGCCGAGTGGATGGAGAACTACAGCGGTGATCTGCACAGACTCACCATTGACGACATTGCTCGTGATCAACATATTCTAGGTTACTGCAATGAGACCAGCGGACTTCTCAACAATAGGCAGGACGAAACTGCCAGAGGCCAAGAATCAAATTCAAACAAAGAATCCATTGAAACGGTGATCAATACTCCATTGATGAAATCCCTGGATTGCAATTCTTTTACAACGCATGATGCTCAGTCTGACTCAGTTGACACTGATCTTTTGTCCATATCAAGTTTTTCGTGCGACATAGACGACGACGCTCTACAATTGGACAAATGTGCAACCCCCATTATCGATATCGTTGCTCTTCAGCTTGTCTCCAAAATTGCTTGCCGACAGGCTCCTACGTTGGAAAAACCACTATGCGATCAGGAATCTATGAGCAACGCTCAAGGCACTGCGAGCATCTCGACTCAGGGTATACAACGCGGAAGCCCAAACTCGGCTCCGAACCCAGGAAAAAGAAAAGCAAGTGACCAAGACGAAGGGGATGATGGAGAAGAACCGTCGCAGAATCGTCGGCCTGAGAAGCGCTCGGCTAGAGGGGAAGGTTCGTCAAGACAACAAACATTTGCCTGTCCATTCTGGAAGCGCGACCCTATTAAGCATCGGACTTGCTTTCACGCAAAATTACTCACTAGTTCGCGTGTCAAACAACATCTAAGTCGCAGTCACACACCTCGGTTCTACTGTCAACTTTGTTTTGCCGTTTTCAAGGAGGAGCAAGCACAAGAACAACACGTTATTCAGCGCTCCTGCATCAGGGTGCCAGGCATGCAACTTGACGGCATCTCGCCCGACCAGCAGTTACAGCTATCCAGAAAGCCTAAACTGACGTTGACAGAAGAGGAAAGGTGGTACCGGATCTGGGACATAGTCCTACCCCATGATCCACGCCCCAAATCACCCTACATTGACAGCCAACTTTCCGACTGCTGTGCGCGCTTCCGTGAACACTGGCAAAACCTTGGACCAGAGCTGCTGTTGAGGGAGATTCAGTCTAGCGGAGTTCTAGCATCTGCTGCCATGGATGAAGCCACCACAGCTCGGTTGCTGAGAAGGATTCTGGCAAGAGGACTTGATATGATTTGGGAATCTTGGGCGCCGCCCTCCAGCTCTATAATTCAGCAAAATCTGCTGCAGCAGCTTCCTGCCACACCTGCATATACTCAAGAGCATAACTCGCTCGGTCCAGTGAGCAGTACAACCTCAACTAGCTCCATCGTGGACGTGGCGCCCGAGATACATGGAAATTTACACATCACTCCATGGGTGGGCACACACCATCAAAGAGTCCCTGAAACCCCAGATTTGAGCACGACGGGTACATATACAGTGTCTCAAATGGTGTTCTCCAATCCCAGTGCCTCTGAAATGGTACAAAGGCTTGAACAAACGATAGAATCTACCAACATGCTTGACTTTGATGACGCGGACATCTTAGACAGCAGTCATGATTTTGGAGCAGACATAGGAGACATTGGTAGCTGGGTCGATCTGTAACTCAAGTAGAACATCAATGATCGGATTGAATTGGTTATGATGATGATGATGGAAGACTCCAAGACCATGTTCGCAAGAATTGATACCAATCGATGAAAAGTGACTATTAAATTGTCATCTTGACGGATTCAATCATTGCTAGTGCCAAAATGGGAAGGCTCTTGACCCTCAACGAAAGCAATCAGCTCATTCGTTCCATCCATCAGGTGCGCAACATCGCCATGTCCCATGTCAATACTAGGCTCTGCACCAAGGATCTCTACAGAGCTTTGTGCTGAATTTTGATCATGGCTACTTCCTGTAACCATGTTTATAATCATGTTTTCGTAATCATAAAGGCCGAGGCCGTCCTTGAGCATTTGCCGGATGGCCACATTGCCTTCCGACGGGAGCGGTCGTGGGTTGGATTGCTCCGCGCTGCCCGACAGTAGATGGTCCAGACTCTCCTTGAGCTCTTCAAAGGCATCGCGATATCTCGTCGCTGTTGGTAGTCTCTCGACTATAATGTAAAGAATGACGTTGCAGGCGTTCAGAGCATTGGACACGCGATGTGGTGCAAGACTGTCTCGCTGGATCCACGTTGTGTAAATGAGAGTCAGGCCTTGAGTTCAAGTCTGTCAGCCACTTCTTCATCCCACAAAGTCGACAAGTTTTCGGTCTACAGCGCCACTTACCGGCCAGAAAAACTGTTTGGAGGGCCCAGAGTGAGTACCCTACAACCGAGTTTCGATGTAGCTTCTTGAAAGTATCACACACGCCCACACACGCTTCAGCGCATTCCTTGACATATCTTGGGCTTTTGGACATGATCATTGGCAGATAGAGCTGTCGCTGACAATTGTAGTAGAAATGCAACTATAAATGGGGACGACCACGGATTAGTCTCGTCGTCTTGCTGATGAAGAAGAGGTCAAGAGCCATACGTAATAATCATATCCATCGTAGGGACGACCGCCAAAAGCTGGAGCGATATCACACGGTGGTGGAATCGACTCTTTCCAATCCGAAAGACGTTTTTGGAACCAGGATATGGTCGCCTCGGGGACTTGACTGGGATCTCGGTCCAACGAGTACAGTGTGCCAGTGATCCAAGATTCAAGTTGTCGAATTCTGATTGTATGTCGAAAACAGGCCATCGTGGTGGGCCCTTCGTGGTCAGAAGTTGTCAAATCCAGTGACTCTTCGTTGACGTCCAATGGGAGCTGCAAAGTTAGAAACGGGTTGCGCCTAAAACTTTTGTAACCAGGTACACATGAGGCTTACCTCTGCATCTATGTCCCGATCCGCAAGCGCAAATGGCCGACCGAGTGCTACCGAGGTTTGTCGATCAAGCACATATGCTGACCAAAAGACTCTGCGAGCGAGTTCAGTCTCGAGGGTCCTGGCTTCATTTGGCCGCGAACGTCTATGTAGGCCGAGTTCGATGCATGTCCGTATAGCCAATCCAACAAAGTTCCTGCGTCGGGTTTTCGATGATTAGACTTTTTCAGCTCTTGCAAAGAGGTTGGCTCATCTTACCAAGCGCCAGGTGCTTTGGGAGCTCTCAGTGAATAGATGCCAAGTAATAGTAATACCTGTACGGCGACAATATCTCGCCTCGCCACAATATAGTCTAAAGCTTGTGTAGCAGCATATAATGTCGCTCGGGGACAAAGGCCAACTTCTCCCCCGTCGTCTCAAGGTATCGTGCCCCATTGGCGTAGATCAGGTGCAGGATCATTTTGTCTCTAAAGTCGACCAGCTCGTCCTTGTGGCAGTGCAGTTCAGCGATGTGAGGCGTGTGCAGAAGAGGCCAGCGAGTGGAAATGTGTTGGAGATAGCCCAGGTACATTCGATCAGCGAGGTCTTGTTCCACATCTACCAGCTTGATGGTTCTATTCTCTGCAGCAAAGGGGGTAGGTGAGTGTCCCTCCACATGCTCTTCCTGCGACAGGGAGTGTGGACTTCCCTTGACCTTACCGAGGAGTGCAGAGACGGCCTTGCCCATGAAGATGCTAGAAGATGCGCCAACGTATATGCCTCCAGAGTCGCATGATATGTCTCTTAGGAGCGAGGTGAAATGATCTGTCCCTCCTGGTGGCGTACGGCCTTCGCTGCCATCGAGCACTACTGGTGAATTGGGTGAATTTTGTTCAAAGATCGGCGGCGCCTCTTGCTGCCTGGCATTTGCTCCAGATTCAGTCCGAGCAAGACGACTTTCCAACTCAACAATATGATCCTCAAGCGCATGTATATAGCGCGACTTGCTCAGTTGCTGTCTTGGCTTGGGAGGATATTGGCACTCGACAGAGGCAGCGAGACATGCTCGGCAGGATGGATGCGTGCCGTTACATTTTGACTTGCGCGCCTATCATGTTTTATTCCCATGTCAGATAAGTGATGCAGCTACTAGACTTCAGTATTCAGTGTCAAAGACAACTACCTGCCTTGCATCGAAAACAGGCCAAAGCCACTCTTGTCCGCCGCGAAAAGTGCTTTGAAAAGATGATGGGCTGCGAAGGATTCCCACCAGGCTCAGACACGCGGCTCGACTGTTCCCGCGTCGCATCCATCGGGCTGTCTACCATGGAATGAGGTCGAGACACTGACTGTACGGTGCCGGACACAAGATGTGAAGGGCTGAATCCATACAGTCTCTCGGAGGCGATAAGAGGCCATCGTCCCAAGATCGGGATGGCCCCGAGACCCGCTTTTCAGATCATCTCTAGTATCTCCTATATTATTCCCCACTGCCTATAATGATGCAGATCTCGCGTGGACGAGCTGGGAGCCGAATCGGATGCCTTGGCGAGACCCAACAGACTAGCATAGCGCATCGGGAATCTGGTAGCTTCCGGCATCGGGAAGTGAAAGTTGCCGCCTTGGAAGCTCTACTATGTAAACCTTTGACAAGCTATATCATACAACTATGAAGTCTAATGGGACTGACACAAGGTCTCACAAACTCAAATGCTCGCTTTGCGTTGAATAGAACTACTCGCTAGAATTCATACATGTGAATTATATTACGGTTTGGCAGAAATCTCTACTTCTGCCTCATACCTGTCGTATTTGAATTTGCTGCCATAATGGTCATCCCGGAGCCTGCTCATTCCCGGCACCCCATTCATGTTCTCACGAAGAGTACCACCTGGAACAGCATAGTCGTCCCAGTACATGCCGCGCCGTTGTAGTTCAGGGACTAGTAGTTCGACAATATCCTCAAAGCTGCTGGGGTTGCTCGTGTAAGAAAGGTTGAAACCGTCCACATCCGCAATATCCACCCATTCTTGCATCTTGTCGGCAATCATGGCCGCCGTACCAACGGGGGCTGGGTGCAAGCCGCCAAAGCACATGCATTCTCCGAGGCGACGGGGCGTCCAGACCTCGGAGCCATCGTCTCCGGCACCGCCCTGAAAATCCCGTATCAGAGACTGAACCGTGTTCTCGTCAGGCTTTCCAGTAAGCTGAAAGGGCTCGTCGAGCGGGTACTTGGACAGATCCAGTCCGGTGAAGCCACCAAACTGGGCCAATGCACCGACAATGTCGGCGTTCTGGAGTGCTCTCTGGTACTTGGCTTCCGCTTCCTCGAGCGTGCGACCTAGGATTGGGTTCATGGAGGCAAAGATCTTGATGGAGTTGGGATCCCGGCCAATCTCTTTCGCCGAGAGACGAATTTGCCTCACAGCCTCAGTCGTGTGCTTGGGGATCAATCCGCCAATGAAGATGGCCTCGGCATGCTTCGAGGCAAAACCTTGCCCGGCCTTGGATGAACCGGCCTGGAAAATCAATGGCGTTCGCTGGGGAGATGGGTGGGTTTGATGAGCCCCTTCAATGTCAAAGTATTTGCCCTTGTGGTGAATCGTGCGAATCTTGGCCGGGTCATAGGCGACACGGCGTTCTGCGTCCCACACTTGCGCGTCATTGGCCCAGCAGCTTTCCCAAAGCTTGTAACAGACATCCATGTATTCGTGAGCTACAGCATATCGTTCGTCATGGGGAACGACATCTTGCTGTCCCAAAGCCCGGGCTGCGCTCTTGGACCAGCTTGTAACCACGTTCCAGGCAACGCGACCGTTGGACAAGTGATCCATGCCACTGTACGTCCTCGCCAATATATAAGGGTTGAGGTAGCTTGTGCTTCCGGTGATGCCAAAGGAGACGGACTTTGTGACTGCGGCCATGGCTGGCACGAGGATCATGGGGTCGAACTGGGCCACTTGTGTTCCAGAGGCAAAAATGGCGTCGGAATTGCTGCCATAGATGGTGTGTTGACCGTAGGCGTCGGCGAAGAAGACGGCGAGTATCTTGCCCTTTTCAGCGAGTCGTGCCACGTTTTGCCAATACTCAATCCGGTCTTTCGAGCGCGAGTTATCATTTGGGTCCCTGTTGTAATTAATGTATGTCAATATCCATTTTGATTTGGTCGAAAGAAAGACGGAATCAATGAAGTGAAAAAATTATCATAACTTTTTACCTCCATTGTCCGGGGCTCAAATGATTCCCTGTACATGCTGTTTCAAAGAAACACAGTTTGATCTGTTTTGAAGGATGATGCATCTTGTCTGAATGGCAATAGATATGCGTGGCAATTTTGTAGAGGTCACTGGAGGAGGGAAAAATAAATAAATAGTAAAGAATTCGATGATCCGCTGATGGAGTTGAGTGAAAAGAGAGACTATGAAGCGGTGAATGTTCAGAAACTTATAAGAAGATCTCTACTGGACCTTACCAGTGAGTTTCAATTTCAAAGCAACGCAGTCTAGCGGATGGATACTCGCAGTCATCGGTAATGCATATTACCCGCTTTGGCCTTTCCCGGCAGCATTCTCAAACTCTTGCGGCGGATCGGCCGAGACAACGACGATATAATCTTTGCGCCTGATACAAACTTCCTGCAATGTTAGGATGTCATTTCCCGAAAAGAAACAGGCCCACTAGAAGCTCAACGGCGTTTGCAGTCGACTTCGGCACTTGACCATGTCCCGTTCGGATCTAGACGTTTGCCGCTTCATGCTATCGACGTACTTACCACACCAACCAATGTTCACACAAGTTCAATGCTTGACCCACCAGAAGTGTTGCAAACTAGACTGTTGGAGAGCAATAATCGTGGTACTCAGACCCAATGTTACTGTCAATGGCTTGTCGGCTCGAATACCTTATATACCCAGCTGGAGGGAACCGGTCCATTTGTCTAAATTTGTCCCTTTAGCAAATCTGATCCCCCCCCCCTTTCAACAGAGTATATATGACAAGTCTGTTTCTATCCATCCATCATGTCTACTCAACCGCCAATGCCTGCAGAAAAGGCGGAAAAGCAACAAGCAACAACGTCTCCTGCCGATGAATCATCGGTATCTCAAAATGCCGACTTCGACTATTCAGAAGGGGCTTCATCAGAAGAGGGCAAGAAGCATCTCACGCGCAAATTAGATGCCCGTCTTATCCCAACCATGATGATGATGTATTTGTTGAGTTTCCTTGATCGAGGTGAGATTCGTCATGCAATTCGTACACGTGGACGTGCCTACTCACTCATACAAACGCAGTCAACATCGGTAATGCTAGACTATATGGTCTAGAGGAAGACCTGGGTCTCACGAGTAACCAGTATCAAGTCTGCGTTTCAATATTGTTTGTCACTTATTGTGTAAGCCCCCGGCGGAATTGAAACGAAGGCTATTTCTTGAACCACAGCTCATCAAAGACCCTTTTTCACATTCTAGCTTTTCGAAGTACCCTCCAATCTAGTGCTGAAGAAAATCCGACCCCACAGATATCTCGCCGGGCTCTGCTTTGCCTGGGGCATTCTCGCCACCCTCACAGGCATCGTTCAGGGCTACCACGGCCTCATTGCCATCCGCCTCGTACTCGGCGTCGTCGAAGCCGGGCTGTTCCCCGGCATGGTCATGTATCTCACCATGTTCTATCCGCGCAACCAACTCGCGGTGAGAATCGGCTATCTCTTCATCGCGTCTGCCATTGCGGGGGCCGTCGGCGGCATGATTGCCTATGGCATCGGCTTCATGGACGACCTGGCGGGCTTGAGAGCATGGAGATGGTTGATGATCCTCGAAGGTGGGGGTCCTTCTACTGGGCTGTCGACTGATATTGGGCTGATGAACAGTCTCTAGGCATCCCATCTGTTTTGCTAAGCATAGTCGTGTATTTGATCTTGCCGGCGAGCCTCGCGGAAGCGCGTTTTCTGACTCCTCAGGAGCGCGATCAAATTGTCCATGAGCGCCATGAAGAAATCGGTCAGACCTTCGAGTCGGAAAAGTTTCACTGGAAGGACGTTGTTGAGGGTATTCTGGACTGGCATGTATGGGTATTCAGTTTGGCGGGCTTCACAAATGATATCATGTTTTATGGTACGTCCAGTCCTCAAAATCTGGGTTGTCGTTATCCTACGCTCCCCTCTCATGCTAAGACGGAATGTAGGCTTCAGCACATTCCTACCAACAATCATCAGCAGTTTAGGAACCTGGTCAACGGTCGAATCTCAAGCGCTCACAGTCCCCGTGTATGCGCTCGGAACTGGCGTCTACATTGCCATCGCCAGCTTCAGCGACAAGAAACAGCGCCGTGGAATCTACGCGGCCGCATTTGGCTGCATCACCTTGATTGGGTACATCATGCTCGCGGTCAACAAGGGCCCCGCTGTCAGCTATACGGGCACCTTTGTCGTTGCTGCTGGGCTCTATGTCATGGTCGGACTCCCCCTGGCCTGGCTTCCTGGGAACAAGCCGCGGTACGCAAAGCGAGCTCTTGCCACGGGTATGCAGTATACCATTGGTAATACTGCCGGTATTGCCATGCCGTGGCTCTTTCGGAAAGAGGATGCGCCCAAATTCAGAACTGGATACAACGTTTCTATTGCAGCAACCTGCACGTCTATTTTCATTTTCCTGTTCATGTCCTGGTACTATCGCAGGGTAAACAAGAGAAGGGCAGAAGGCTTGGAAGACTGGAAGCTCGAGGGAAAGACTGAAGCGGAAATTCAGGAACTTGGTGATTGGTCTCCGCGATACGTATATTCTACTTGATACCACGAGAGAGATTCGCGACCATGCCAAAACTCTAGAGTAAAGACCAGAACATGTATGTTATTGGCTGCAATAACAAAGGGCGACGCTTTCATATCTAGTCGCCAGCTTATGATGGGGTGCCCTTCCTGCCTGGAAGCTGTAAGTGACCATCGTTGAACAGAAAAAAAAAAAAAGGAAAAATAAGAAGAAAAACAAAAAGAAGCAGTCATCACAACTCTGTACTTATTTGCAGTCTCCAGAGAGAGAACTTGTGCAGGATAGGTCTTGTCTTGTCAAGCCCCCGAGCGACATAATGTGTTACTGAATTTCAACCGTAATGCAGACACGATGTTGGATAAATGCATTAAGCTAGGCACAAAATCTGAATCTTTGGCACGAGGCAACAATTTGTAAAGGGGGGTGGTTTTGCATTTTCTATCTGTCTATTGGTAATGCAATTACTTCTGAAACTAGTCATGACTGATAGTGTCTACCACGGATTCAGACACTTCGCTTGCTTGAACCTCTCATCGTGAGCCTTGACATAGGCCTCGAATGGATCAGACACCTCTCCAGGCCAGGATCTAGTGGCAGCTTGAAACACATAGTGAGACCGCGGGGTTCTGCGAAGGAGGTAATGTGCTTTTCGGTATCAAATCGGACCGGGAACGTGTTGTCAAACCATCAAGTAAGTTATTGCCAAATAGACAATGATCTGTGATATCTTTTGGTGGAATAGGTGGAGAACCAAGGCCAACATTGTTCCCACCAACAAGTTGGCCCTGACTTTCCGAGTATTTGCGTGGAAGACAAGTCCATACAAAGTGAGTGCAGGGAGGCTCACGTTGTTAATCGACGTCTCCATCATCAAGGTGTTGTAGCGAGCTCGTGACGTCTGACAGCATCTCAAGGAGGCGTTGCTCGGTTTGGCGAAAGAGGCTACGCGCTTCCTAGATGGCAGTACCTGTATCATCATAGTCCGTACTTTCAAAGGCACCGCTTTCATGAGTTCCACAGTCGTGTCCAGAAGCCCGAGCTGGGCAGTGTTCATCATGAATATCGTCCTCATAGTAGTCTTCCTCTTCAAAATCCTCACTGTGGGTTTCCTGACCAGGCTCATGCTCCATAGAAGCATGGTGTTGTCCAGCAGATGGTGCTGCATTGAGGTCGTGCGCAGTGTTGTTCTTGGGTGGAAGCTTGCCGGGTTTCTTTCCCTTCCTGGATTTGTTCTTCGCTTTCTCTATGTGCTTCCTACGTTGAGTTTCCGCGTTTCGACGTTGACGATCCTTTTCCTCGTATTGGCGGATGAGACCCACAGGAGGCTGGCCAAAGATTCTTTCGTACTCGCAGAATTCACATATCCAGAGGTCTCCAGGGGCCGGGGGGTTGATTTTGTTCTTGTACTCTTGTTCCCGACGTCGTTGCTTGGCAGCCCGTGCAAGTGAGTCTGCACGACGCCTATGCTTCTTTGGAGCTCCAGTGCCGGGTGCAGGACCCTTGGCTGTACCATCGGCTGAAACAGAAGGGCCACCTTGGCCACTGGTTGATCCAGGCGGAGCGGGCTGTGAGTGTGGTGTTGATCGAGTATTTCCGCCGTAGTATGAGTCGGAATAGCTCCCGTGAGATGTGTGGTTGTGATTGTTCTCAGCCATATGTGCTGTGGGTGATTCGGAGCCTGGCCACGGAACTGTACCAGATACTTGGGAATCAAATGTGAAAGTGAACTGTGAGGAAACAGGACTCGCTTTGGCCTGCTGTTGCAAGAGGCTGATGTTCTCCTGGCCTTGAGGGATTGGGAGCTTTCCGGCACTCGCGATGGCGTTCGAGATGATTCCAGTTTTCTCGCCTAAATTAAAACAAAAGTATATTAGAACTTGATGCTGGAAAATACCAAAATCAAGAGTGTGGAAGATGATACGAAGGGGAAAGTAACCGATAGAAGAAGTCGGAAAGTCATGGAATGGAAAAACAGATGTCGGGAGCTTTCCCCTACTGAATCCCAGTACAGGAAGGCTCTATCGCGACAAAGGGTAAAATCAAGCAGGTACGACGACTTACCGAGAGGCGCCGAATATTGGCCATCAGACCGCGACCGCGAATTCTTGATAGGCCAACTCGAGTTCGTATCTGGAACTTGCCTCAACGGGCTCCGGCCGTTGCGAACACGCCCATAGCGTCCTCTGCCGGGGCCAGATATGCCCTGGACAGGTGAGCCAGTCACACCAGTATAAGGATACGGCGATGGAGTAGCTGCCAAGGCATCGCCAGGGCCCCCATCCCCAGTTGTGGGGGGCGACGGAACACCCAAAATACCAGAATCAGCCATTACGTGGTTTCCGTTCAATAGCCCGTCTCCCGCGGTGGGTATCTTCCTCTTTTTCTTGTTATTGGTGTTTTCGAAAGAGTCGTACCCGTCAGCAGATGACGCTGTTGATGGAGGAGCCTGCGGGGTGTGACGCCGCCCTTGGCCGGTTCTTGGTGGAGTGCGCAGGACGTTTCCTGGAGCATCTTGGCTTGGTCGTGAAGCAAGCGGCCTCCCGCCCCGCTGGATCATTCCTTCGTCATCACGATCTGCGCCCAAACCATAGCGTCGCAGCCCAGCTTCATGGACTGGATCGAGGCTATTCTCTCGAATCATTGCATTCGGTGCATCAAGACCGGCTGACCCCGCCTCAGCTTTCAAGTTATACGGGTAATAGAACAATGGCGCATTACTCTGAGGCTCAAGCGGGTATTTGATGGTATCGGCAACGTCGGGGGACAGTCGTTCGCGCAGACGGCGCTTTGGCAGCGGCCGTATAGGTCGATCCGGAAAAAGTGAGGACACAGAATCTGGAGACATTTTTCTGCTCGGTCCTGAAGCTCGACCAAGTCGAGAAAAGGTCAGCCACAAAGCACATGGTGCAACCAAAAAGGTCATGATTATGATGGCGGGCTTTGAAGTCAGGGCTGTCCATCCATCAAAGCCCAAAGGCTTGAATGTCCAGAGTCGGAAAACGGGAGCCATCGCAAACGACTGGAGAGTGGATGAAAATCGGGGAGGCCATGAAGACCGAAATGAAAGACTGGAGATCGGATGAAAGGTGCACTCCGGAAAGAAAATGATAGACATCGGCAGGTGCATATGGCGGTTGGTGGCGAGGCAACAAGAGAGACTCTTGTGATGCAACAGCTGGCAATGGGCCTCCCTCAAATTTCGTGCAATGCAGCCAGGGAAAGAACGTACCCATCACATATCGGGGGCCAGCATGTGCTATTTCACGGCCTAGCTGCCGATATTATACCGCTCTTCCTTTTCTCCTGATTCTGCCTGAGCGAACGCAACTCGTACTGAAGATACGGCGTAAAATGGTGAGGGACGAGGAGGGTGGTCCAAGATGGATGCCGGGCCTGAGGTTGCTACCTTGACACACTGATCGGCGTCACTTTGGGCGATTTTATTGTATCCAAGACTGCGAAAAGTCAGCCGACATGCAAAGCCAAGATGTTTGTTTTACGATTGGGAGCGAATTTCCACCAGAGAGGGCAAGGGAAATGCGGAGTCCCTGCTGCCCATGTTCCCGATTGACAAACAGATTGCCAGGAGGATCGATAGCAGCGGAGTTGTCTTGACTTCTCGCCAGCAGAGTGTCATTCGAATCCACTGTTGCGGGGAGGTAGTTGTTAGTAGCGGGTTTACGGGCAGCTTACAGTGCAAGGAGTCGCAGGATACAGCAGAGAAGCCAGATCGTAATGGCTGCAGAGGCGTGGCAAGAGAGAGAGTGGGTGAGGGCGAGCAATATGAGGTAGATGAGTTGCAGATGGATGACCAATACGTAAGTCGTGGTAGTCAGCAGCAGCAGCAGCAGCAGCAGCAGCACATGTAAACCAAAGCAAAGCAATCCGTCCTATCCTAGGCCCCTAATCCTGCCGGGCCGGTCTGGTCTTAAAGCCCTCGGTTTGGGTTGCGTGGGCTGGCGTTTGAACAGCTAGGTGGTAACTGAGGTAGGTAACGGAGGGCCGGTTGGTGGGCAGCTCATATATGTACGTGCAGGCGCGCAGAGGAGGTGGGTGACGGTGAAGCCACAACAAGCTCGGGGAGGGAAACGTGTCGCCAGCCGGTGGCGTTGCGCTGTCAGCGAGCAGCTTCAAACACTCTCAAACATCAACATCAACAGTCGCAAATGTGTTGAATCACAGATTAGGTCTGCCAATTCCATGACAGGTCTCGGAACGGATTGTGTCGCTGGGCTGCGATAATGGGGGGTTGACGCAGTGCGTCTTAGTGGGTCATTTGGGGGAGACGCCAGGGCCAGTAGCAGGTCTTGTACCCTGTCCTGTCATTGAATTCATTCTCCAGCCACTCATTGGGTCATGATCTGGGGAGCAATCTGTATTATCATAAACCTTACCCAACGAATAGCTGCAAATCCAAATGTTTTGGTTTATCCTTGGGCACCTTCAAAAAATTACACGACTTTGGCAAGCATCAGCACCAGAGGATTCATGAGATGAGATGATTTATTGGCTGGTCCACAAGCATAATCTGTCCGTCTAATTACCAATATATCCTATGTATATAGTCCCATCACTTGCCGGGACTTGAGAGAAATGATTCATTTGGTACTACTGTGACCAGAGGATATGGATTGACTTTGTGGAAAATGCATAAAGCCGTCAGTGGTAACAACCAGCCATGATAATGATGATGCCATGCTGTTCGTTGTCGCCCTGCCCCGCGTGTAACATCTACTATCAGAAAAGGTGTGAGATTGGGTTCATCTTGAAAAGGTACCCTGTTTAAGGCGGGGTGGGGTTTCCTTCAGCTGCGTCGGGCGTCTGCGTCTGTTGTGTCTTTTGTCTGTTCGTCAATGTTCATTCCCTCCGATGAGGAACAGAAATTGCACAACTTTGCTTGCATTCAAGATCGCTACACCCAAGCCCGACCATTTTCCCCTTCACCGTTGACTACATACGAAACTGCGATATCGCATCATTTTTGCACCTCGCACGCGACAGGATCGTATCTTTCAACAATCAGTTTCACTATTTTTCTTCCCCCCAGCATTATCATATCCACGAGTGGGAATATCCCATCCTAGATCCTCATTGGCAATAAGTTTTGACTCAATGGTCGTGCTTTTTGGCAACGCCCAAGAATTGGGTGATGAGCCACTCAACCACCCCGCGCAGTACCACACTTTGTGCCTGCCTCTCTTGTCCCGTTCCAGCTGTGGGCCGCCGTCTATGGTAGGCGGGCAAGGCGGGCAATGACCTCAGCTTTTACGGGTGCGCAGAACCTCTACCTACCAAACGGGAATAGAACACTCAATGCCAGCAACTGGATGTCGGAACATGTCCGGCCCGCAACGAGTCACACGCACTGAGCATGCCCAGGACCCCCAGCTGCGCGACAGTTGCCCACGGTACTATGCGAATTGAGGGAGATGGGACGAATTTAGCATGACCAACTCAACTGACCCCTCGGCGTTTTGGTCAGCAAGCGCCGATGCGATGCGCGCCTTGTGAACCTGGACCCCTGTCGGGTTGCTTTCTCTCCAAAAATGTCAAGGCCGATTTTGAGTTCGTAGCGGAACGCTGAGCAGCAGCAGAGCAGTGATCAGTCCAGCAATGGGAAAATGTCCCCGCTCACATCTACTCTACCATCACCTTACCACTTGCTTTCCCTGCCTACAATCTCTTCCGCGTCTTTCGCAATTACTTCAATGCCATTCTGTTTCTCGGTATTCGGTCTAGAAATGCTACACGTCCATTCTTACCGTTACTTACAGCAGTCTTCTTCTTAGTCGCGAGGACGCCCCAATCCAGCTCGTCCGTCCGTCCTCGGGAGCTCCCTCGACTTTCTCGATCTTCCTCGAACCGCCCAACCTCACTTCCCAGTACGCACGAAGACAATAATCTCTAGACAGCTTTTCTACAACTTTGAGACGAGCGTTTCAACGACCGTCTCTCTTGGAACGCAATTTCCTCCACGCTTTTCGACCTCTGTCGAGTCTTTCTCTGCCAGGAAATGGCCGGCAATTCTCCCACTCGACGGTCTTCTCGGGCGCGAACAACTCAACCACAACCACAGCTACCATCCGCTGCCTCCAGCCTATCTGGCCGTGGAGAGCGATCATCTAGATCACTCGTCAAGGCAGGCTCTCCCCAGAAGTCCTCAGGCAGCGGCTCGTTGTCCTCAGAGCCGCCAGAGGACTCGACCGCAACCACCGCAAGCAGTGACGACAATCCCCTCCTCCGTCGACGAAGCACTCGGAACCGAGACGACGATCGTGATAAGGAACCCAAACAGGAAACGTCCGAGATGGCCATTGTGAGCGATGAAAATGAGATTCAGGAGGACGACGAGGCCGTCCGCTGCGTCTGTGGATACGACGATTACCCCGGTCTCCCACTGCTGGACGAGGAAACCAAGAAACACGCGCTCAAAGATGCGATTGACGTGGAGCAAATCTTTTCAATTGAGCTCACAGATGATTTGGCTGGATTTTTCGTCCAATGTGACGTATGCAAAGTCTGGGAACATGGTCTCTGCATGGGTATAGTGAACGAGGACCTCATACCCGATGACTACTACTGCGAGCTTTGTCGCAAGGATTTACACAAAATCTATGCTGCAAGCAATGGGTAAGCCTTTCAATTCTGCACGATTTACAACTCTCATTTATTTTCTCGCGTTTCGCGCAATACTTGCCAACCCTTCGGTGCTTGTTGTTGGGGGTTGGCTGTGCCGTGGTGGCATGCTTGCTCGGTCGCAGCAGGCACATACGACCGTCGATCGTCCCCTTTCGATCGAGCCCTCGCTTGTTTCCCCGCGATGGCTGTCCCAACCTGCCCGCAGCCTGCCTGCAGGCCACTCACTACATGCACTACATCGATCAGGTGCCTTCATGCCACGACCATGATGCTGACACGATGCCATCACGTAGACAAAAATATTCCATTTACCTACCCCTTCATCGACCTTCCCGAGCGACTTCTAGAGCAACCTCGGCCACAAAAGAAGGCGCTCGGTCGCCAAAGCCCGGCGATCGCAAGAGCTCGAGGGCCTCTGCCGCAGCAGCTGCAGCGGCGCAAAGCATGGCAAAACGAAGATCGACTATGAATAGTCGCGATGCAGCCTATGACGAAGAGCAGCTCAGAAAAGCGATTGAAATCAGCCAGAAAGAGCTCTTCCCAGAGGAGGCAGATGGAGTCCAAACCAGACGGCCAAAGAGGAATAGAGATGATGATGATGAGTGAGTACGGAGATGACTTAGGGAAGAACCAAGCTAACAACAACGTCAGACAAACGGAGATCAAAAGACAGAGGACAAACTCCAAGTCTCCATCACCTGACGAGATGGCCATCGCCAGTCGGGAGGAGTCTGAAGACGACTCAAATCCTCGCAATGGGGCAACCAAGAAGTCAGCGCGGAACGCTGCCCGTACGCAACGCGAGAAGACAGAACGCGAAGAACGCAGAGAGGAGCAAGAACGCAAGCGAGCTGAGGCAGCTAACAAGCGTAAAGGCAGGGCTGAGCGCCGAAGGGCTGAGGGTAATGTCAAGCCTCTCCCGGCCATCATGAAATATTTGCTAACCAGTACAAAGACTCTCCATCAGAAGAAGCACCTTTGGCAACTCGTGTTGCTGCAACTCGCAGCGCCGACACAGCACAGACAGCTCCTGATCCTCCAGCTTCATCGCAACCTGTACCAGATACTCCGCCAGCTGATCAAGCTCCTGCAGCTTCTATAAAAAAGAAGAGCACCGTACATCCCAAAAAGAAGGGGCGGAATCAATACACTAAAGACAGAGACAACCATCTGCAAGATGATTCACCAGCGAGATCCATGTCACGAGATATAGGCCGCGACAAGGACGAGTCGCATTCGAAACACGAAGGGAGTACGAAACACTCCCGGTCAAAGGGCGCCATGAACTCCAAGATTACCATGACGGACCTTAAGAGAAGAGCCAATAATCTAATGGAGTTTATCACCCGGACACAAGTCGAGTTGGCCAATGAACCTCTTTCTGAGCGTAATAGCCCACGCCAACCGGCTAGCGAAGATGGTAGTGGTGATGGGTCTGCATCGCGTTCCATCGGCAGTAAAGCCTCGGCGGACCACGTCGGGGCTTCCAATGGAGCTCCTACACCGCCCATCAAGGACTTTAAAGACATGAGCTGCGTGGAGATGATGGATACACTGACGAGGGATCTCGTCAAGTGGCAGCAGGAATTTGCATCATGACTGCGGTAGATGTTCTACCCATGTCACTGGCGTTTTTAGGGAACTCACTGGACTCTCTCATGGGATTTGGATCTCGGTACCATGCCAGATTCTTTTTATTAATGGTGTTATTGCATTGCTTGGGCGTTCATTTGTACATTAGGGACACTTGGCCATGGTGGTCGGCCATAGTACTTTTGCGTAAAGGCGCGGAACCGGAATAGAGCTGCATCTATTTCCAAATATACCAACCTGGCATATTCATTTGGACATTTTCTTTGGTTCACAAATGTTCGTGTTATACAAAATCGCTGTTACCGTACTTGTTGTAACTCGGCGCCTGATTGTTTATATATTCGATAAGAAGTACCGCTGTCTTCCCGAGAAGTCCAGGTGATCTCGGAAGACGGAGATGTGGTGGACTCTTCTCATAAGCTCAATGGAGAAGTAGACACTCTACCATCATTTAATCTGTTGCGGAACACGTTCAACTCAAAATATCCCTTTCAACCCACGAAGTTTCATCATTACTGCCGATAGAGCTGTGTAGGCATTTTCCGTGTTATACTTGGGATCAAGTAACTCACGAAGATGAGAGGAAGGAAGCTAGCAGTATTGTCACCATACTGCCATGATAATTTCAACGTTACATGAATCTCGATGTTAGTAATATCACGAATCATCGGTGAGTCGACATGACCTAAATCACACTGCCAAGATTCGAAGAAGTCTGATGCTCGAGTGTTACATTTCATATCTACACACCACACACAACAATCAGCTCTCCTCCTTCTTGGGCCTCATGGTCTTGGCAGCCTGCTCGAGCGCCTTCTCCCGAGCCACCTCATTGGAATCACGAACAAACCCGCCGAGGTACTCTGGCAGGGCGGCGACGCGATTATCCGGAGCGGGCAACGGCTCGCCAAAGTGCGACCAGGCAGGCACGACGCCGGTCCAGACGCGGGCCCGGAGCTCGGCGTCGTCGAGGTCGTGGCGGTCGTCGGACGGCATGCCGCTGCGGATCTTTGCGCTGCCGGCCGCGACCGCCACGCGCAGCACGCCCGTGCTGGCCTGCTCCCCCGCCGTCGGCGGCAGGCGGCTCTGGCGCCAGCGGTCCGGCACCACGCCGTTGGTGATGAGCTCCATGGCCCACAGCCGCTCGGCGGGGTCCGTCACGGGCACGGCGCGCCCAAAGAGCACCGCGCTGCGGTAATTGTAAGAGTGGCTGTTGGGCGTCAGGGATAGGACGAGGCCGTCTACGTGCGTGGCCGAGACGGTAATGGCAAGTCCTTCTTCTTTTTCTTTCTCCTGGTCGCCGCCGTTGCTGTCCGTGTTGTTGTTGCTGCTGCTCCGCGACGTATTGAGCAGTCGGGAAGAAATGTAGCCGTGCAGATATAGATCCAAGACGTCGCCCGTGTCTGCGCTGGGTCGGGTAAACGAGCCCATTTGCCCAATCATGGGGATGGTGACGGGAAAGGGCGAGGTTGGGTCCGTAAACGATACATTGACAAAGTGCGTCGTGTTTATAATCTGGTGAATCTGCTGTAAGGAGTATGAGGCTAAGTGAATGTTTGTTAGCCTCAAACTGGCAAGACAGTATGAACCGAAGATTGTGACATGTAATGGGATCTGGGGATGGATTTGTGCATACCTCGATTGTTGTATCGATTCACGGTGCTGAAAGGCTGCTTTGGATATTCGAGTTCGTATGATGGCATCTTGTATAGTCTTGATTCTCGAGCATGAACTAGTGACAAGGCGTTGACTCGAACGGACGATTTCTCAATACAAGGACTGGGACCAGAACAGATCTTATACTTGCGAGTATATGAGTAAGTCAAGGCGTGCCAAGTATTTCGGCCAGGTTTGATGGACTGGACCCCCTGCAAATAAAACCACCGTATGGAATCGGGTCAGGTGAATTGTTATACTCGTGCACTGACGGCATCAAGAGTCTCGGAATGTGTCCCCATTGGTTAATCATGCGCATGTCCAGAGCCGATGCCTGATAAACAACTTCAAACGGAAGGACAATCATTGGCCAAACATGTAAGGCAGGGAAAAAGGCGGGGATGACATGGAGAAGGTTGCATATTGCGATACCTCAATGGTTTCTACTTCTGGCAAGTACACGCGATTGTTATAGCTGCATTGCATCCTAGCGGGACATTAATCCCTAGGTGGTTGAGTGTGGAAGATAAGCTTCGACTCGGTCCCGTAGGATCAATCGCTGAGTCATCCATGAAGAGATCGGCCACTTGTCACCACGACGTTACAGAGGTGAAAACATAAATGTACTTTCAATTCGGTGTACGATGTTTCTAATACTGATGTTCGGCTAGGCTGTATATAAAACTAGGATTGAAAGAATCAAACAATTTTACTGCTTTCGGGATCTCGATAGCCCTGCAAACTAGGACTCCTGAGGAAAGAAGATGGGCTCCGTACCTTTCCAGGCTTGAGCGTCACCGTTACCGTGCTTCTCTCGTTGTTGCCAGTACTTGCCATTCCACTTCCAGTATTCCTCGCCCGTAATCGGATGCTTGTCCTTGGTGAACCAGGGTGACACGTATTCCTCACCCTTGGCTTCGCGTTCTTTCCTCCGCTGTCGTTGCTCATTCTCCAGACGCTCCTTTTCAGTAGCGGCATGGTCGTATTCACCATCCTCCATGGCACGTTGGTCAGGGCGGTGACGGGAGTCTGTGGGCGCGATCCACTTGCGAAGACTGTCATCAATGTGGTTGAACGTGAGAACGAACGGCGTCAGGTTGAATGGAATGTCCTTTGGACGATCATTGGCTTGCCAGATGAGGAAGGCCTTGGTGGTGTCACTGATATTTCCCTTGTGGAACGAACCACCATCGGCAGGTTCGTCGACTGTGGCTTCATAACCAGGCGTATAACGCGCGTAGAGCTTAGAGTTCCAGCGCCCGCCAATGCTGACACGTGGGCGACCATCTGCATCTAGGATCTTGCCAGCAATCTGGTATGCACTCGAAGCCTTCCAACCGCGCTGCTTGAAGTCAAGTTGACAGACTTCACCAGTGGTCCAGTTCTTGATTTCTACAAGACCATAGTTGTCGACGACAGGGTTACCCGTGATAATACCCACAACTTGAGAGTTGGGCTTTCTCCATGAATAAAAGTCGGGCTTACCACCAGACTTTGGACGGATTTCCACACACCACGTGCCAAGATGGGCAATATCGAAGGACTTGCCATAAAACTTGGACCGAACATTGGATTCTCCGTAGTATGACCATGAAGCAGACTCGGCATGCACTGCACCGATTGGAGGGTGATGACTGACTTGTTCGGTGAAGAAACGATACCCCTTGTCAGGTCTGACGTATTCAAATGTCTCGCCCAGCATGGGGTTGAAGGGTTTCGCGACACGGCCAATGGTTGAGGCAAATTCACTTGCGGTGAAAGCTGCAACATACAACATGCGCTCGATAGAATCGCTGCGTTCGGCGGCATGGTCAAGCAGGTCAGCGTACTCCATGTCCTCACCAGCTCGGAAGAGCATAGAAGTTGGCTCGTTGAAGGACACTGGCAGAGTCATCTTGGTCATATCTTTTCCAATCATGGATTTCAGGATACCCTATTCATAAGTTAGTAGCTGCTACCCACGGGTTTTCAATCAGACTTACCCAGAGGGAAATCTTCGGCCGGTCATCATTGTCAAGCTTGAGCCGTTTTCTGATTCCATTTTCGTAACCCTTGTACGAGTCGCTAATGTCCAAAGCTCCTGATACAACCACTTCCTGGGCGCTATCCGCTGAGACAACCTCTGCAGGTGGCAGTGGCTCTACCTCGACTTGACCAGCATCAACCGCATCAAAAAACTCATCCTCATCTGTCTCTCCGCCATCGGATAGGTCATCGACGACTTGAGCAAGGGCGGTGGGCTTCCGGCTCAGGCTCGCTGGTGACTTTGGTTCCAGGGCGGGTTGTCCTTCGTTGGCACTCGAAGACTCTGGGGGATGGACCACGGAGCTGTATGCACTGACAGGACGCCCGTCCTGCTCCATAACTTCACGAAGGGCTCGTTTGGTCATCTTGTGCTTCAACTCGGCCCGTCCAACGCGCTCTTCCAGCACTTCCTGCTCCTTGGCCACCTTGGCCATGGATTCTTCCCACATCTGCCGCATCTCAATCTCTTGATCCAGACGGTATTGCCAGTGAGCGTCTCTATCTTTCGATATTCTGAGAAGGTCTCCCATAAGTCCCTTCAGACTCTTGATAGCTGCGTCGTAGGTGGCTAATGCTTGTGCCGCCTTGGGATCGACGAGCGACAGGTTTGGATTCCTGTTAGCCTCGGCTTGTAGAGCAGTGCTGACCTGAGCCATTGTGTCGAGCTGTAGTTTGGCAGACTGAGCTGTAATGTTGAAGGCATCCTTGGAAGCAGTTGGCCTCTCACCGCCACTCGACTCATCGTCATCGTCATCCACGTCGCCGGGTACTGACAGAGCGCCGTTACGCTTGGATCGTGCTTCTGAGGCTCCGGCGTCAACAAACTCATCATCGATACTATCGTTTGTACTAGCGCGAGACAATCCATGCTTGGACATGGAACCCTTGGTCGGCAATCTGGAAAGCGAAACACTATTTCTTCCAGCATCGGTGACACTGGCGGCTTCGCTGTGGACATCGGCAGTAGAACCATCCGTGCTCTTTGCGGCGAGATGAGCCTGGCGTAGGTACTCGGCTGTGTTTGCCTTTTGTTTCTCTTCCTCTTTGGCTTGGTCCTTCATCCACTGGATCGCGTTGTTGAGAGCCCAGTACCAACGCTTGGCCTCGACTTCGTGGTTTGCCTTCAAGGTGTATTTGACAGAAGACTTGCCAATAATTTCAAACTTGGTCTTTTCGTCTGTGCTCATGTGAAGCTTTGCAATGCGCATACTGATGGCACCACGGCAGGCGTTCTCTGCATCATCCTGGTGCTTGTAATAACTCAGCACTCCGTTCTCGAGGACAAACCATCTCAACTGATAGCCCTTGCGATAGTTGGTCCACTTCTTCAAGTACCCCTTCATCGTAGGTTCTCGGCCACCGACGGGCTCGCCAGCAGCAACAGGAGTTGCAGCGCTCGTAGCGGCCGCGTGTCCCAAGACTGCCTTCTCCTGAATGCCTCTCTGAGCTGCAACCGCTGCTGGGGATCGTTTGAGCATGGCTCGCGTGACATCGTCCTTGGTCACATCTTGAGGAAGCTTGCCCTTGCGATCGCGCTGGAAGGGGTCTGCACCATGAAGAAGCAGCGTTTGGATGAGCTTCGTGTCTTTTCTCCGGGCAGCCTCGTGCAGCAGATTGCCACCTGACTGCACGGTCTCGAGATCCGAGGGCAGCTCAGTGCTATTAATATCCAAAATGGTCTTGACGCGGGGCTCCTCCAGCACCTGCCCGAGGGTCTCGTAGGTTCCTTTTCTAACGAGGTCTTGGACCTGCTTCACCTTGTCCTGGACAAACAAAGTCCGAGATAGTTGTAGCTGCTGGAAGATTTCCGGGTTGCGGGCAACGTCGAGGGGCAGTTTGCCTTGGTTGTTTGCAATGGCATCATTGATGTCCTTTTGTTCTAGTAGAAGACGAACGATATGGCCACGACCAGAAGTGGCTGCAACGTGGAGCGCAGTGTTACCATCCTTGTCTCGTGCATTGACATCGACGTAGTTGACTCCGTCGGAGAGGACATATTCGACAACATCGTTCTCGGCGCATTGTATGGCGAGGTGGAGGACGGTAGTGTCGTCGAGCGGGCCGTAGCTGGCGGCATTTATGGACGAGATGCTCGCTCTGTTGGCATTGTCGGACGTTTCACGGATCGCCCTGGAAATGGCGGCTGTATTTCCGCTCTTGAGCGCCTCGACATAGCGGAACTTGCGGACAGCCTGTTCGAGTGTTGAACCCCTCTCACCGCTGACGGAGATGCTTGCCCGCGAGGGCGCAGGTGCAGCAGCGCTGGAAGGCTGCTGTTGCTGTTGAGAGGTGACGCGGCCGAGGGACATTCTGGAGGATGAGTTCTGGCCTTTGGCGGATGGGGCAATGTGCGAGCCGTCCTCGGAGAGAGCGTCGTCGTCGTCTGCGATGGTGCTGGCAGCGCGGCCCTCCTTGTCTTTGTCCTTATCCTTTCGGCGGAGCAGGTTGAGGGCAGAGGACCTCGATCGCTTATGTGTACTGTTGTTGTCGGCGCAACGTGAATTAGCTTTCGTTTCTTACATATGTAAACGTGGCTTGCATAAAAAAGAAAGGGGACCTCGTTTGTAGCTTCACGGCCCCTCCACTTAATTTGCTCGTGCTCCCAGACACCTCAGAGGTGGTCCAGAAACTTGGCGGGTGGGTGTGGGAAGCGAGGAGGGGCGCACGGCTCAACTTACCTATCGCCCGTGTCCGACATGGTGCGCGACTACGACGGAGGGTGGGAGAGGCGGAGAGAAAGAGAGGGAGATGTCACGATGGGGAGAAAAAGGAAAGAATACAAAAACTTCAAATGCGACTGATTATTAGAAAGAATCTTGGGCAATAATAGTGGTGGAAGCCATCAAAGGTAGACTGGCCTTAGGGGTAGTTAAATGTGGATGCGGGAGCGATCCCATTCTTTAGGTTCATCGAGACACTTGTTGGACTCGTTCGTTCTTCTACTTCTTCTTTGCCGCTATCTATTATCACTCACTCACTCACTTCTCTCTTCTTCTTCTTGCCCCCCCTCGACGAAAATGACATAACGTCTCTGCACGGGCCATGGCACTGATAAAAAAGCAACACAAAGGGCCTTCTCCCAATACTAGGCTCAAAAGAGACTGAACAAGAGAAAAGACAATGGGCTGTGTGCTGTGCCTTGGATTAGACACGACCTTGGCGCATGTGATCCTGGCAGAGCGACGTGTGAGTATCTTCTTTCAGTGGTCTCCTACCAAGTACCCAAAGCTTAAAAACCTAACACAACTCGATTGTGGGGTTCGGGACTACAGATCTGCAAGGTATGAGATGAGTTGACTTGCGCTGCTTGGTACACCAAAAAAGACACTGGTAAAAGTGCAAACTGTGGTGCAAATCCCCTAGTCAACCATTAGGTTTGTACATCTTCGGTCATCTTTTGTGCTTACTTGGCTCTGTTCCCCATGAAGAGATGGACTTGCATTAACTTTGGCCAGCGCAAGACATGGACTATTTTTATAAACACTTTTTGAGTGAATCACAATGGTATATATCAAAAGTATCCAGTATCCATCTGCACCCCTTGTCGCACTACGCTAAGCACTAATATCATACTGGGACCCCGCGGCTCCTCCTTCGATCGCACCATCTCCTATGCGCACGTCTCTCATTGGTCACCGTGACCCAGTGCATTTCAACTGACATCATTTGGCGCATTGTCGATCCAATGGTTCGTCGGTGCGGGAAACATTTTTAAAAATCCATACGTAGGTAGTAAGGATTCGGGATGTACGTCTTCCGGGAAAGGTAACCGCGATTAGGATTTGAGCCGATCATAGCCTTGGATATTGATAAATGGTCGGCATTTGTCCCTTTTGGTTATGTGTCAAATCTGCGCAGAGTATAAAACAAAATGTAGCTAGGCATGCGACACCGATTTGGATAGTAGACATTCTCGAGTCATGGCTAGCTGTCTACATTGACGTTGACTCGAGCCGACGTATGGAAATAGGTTTGCGATATGTACACGTTCACGCTCTTGAATCAATTCTAGTATACTGGTGATTTACATTCTGAAAACACCAAATCTTGTATCGCCATGCTTGACTTCGTTCTTGCCCGACAACGCCGCTCTCAAGCCCAAGCCCAGATATCTCCTTGTATGTTGTGGTGGGATCACACCGTCGTCCTATTATGATATATCAGTGCTTCTGTCCTATAGCGCATATGGGAATTCCCTTTAATACTTACCCAAAGTCGGGCAGACGAATACACTGCATCGCTCTCCCGTTCGATACGGTCTCGCAACTCGGGGTCTGCCTTTTGTCCTACCGTCTCCATCACATTGGCCAGCTGCTCGCCGCCCATGACACCTACGCGGGCGTTTGGCCACATCCACAAGAATCTCGGGCTGTATGCACGACCACACATGCCGTAGTTGCCTGCACCATAGCTGCCACCTACTACGACGGTAAACTTGGGAACGTCGGCGCATGCTACAGCCGTCACAAGTTTGGCTCCATGTTTAGCAATGCCCTCCCGCTCGGCCTCTTTACCGACCATGAAACCACTAATGTTCTGCAAGAACACAAGAGGAATTCCTCGCTGCGCACAGAGTTCAATAAAGTGAGCGCCCTTTTGAGACGAGGTGCCGAACAGGATACCGTTGTTAGCCACTATGCCGACCTTGTATCCATAGATGCTGGCGAATCCAGTCACCAATGTTGAACCAAAGTCGCGCTTAAACTCGGAAAAGTGAGAGCCGTCTACGATTCGTGCAATGACTTCATGAATGGGCAGCGGCTTGCGCAGATTGGTAGATGCAATTCCCAAGAGTTCAGACTCGGGATAAAGTGGCTCGGCGATCGAGGCTGCTGGGGGATCTGCCTTTTTGGGCCAATTCAGGTTACTGATGCATCTCCGTGCAAGAACAATGGCGTGCGCGTCGTCCACAGCCAGATAGTCTGATACACCCGATACCGAAGTATGCATCTCGCCGCCGCCAAGTTCTTCCGCAGAGACTACTTCACCGGTAGCTGCTTTCACCAGTGGTGGTCCAGCCAGGAAGATGTTACCCTGCTTCTCGACAATGATGTTTTCGTCACTCATGGCGGGCACATAAGCACCACCGGCAGTGCAGAGTCCCATGACCACTGATACCTGAGGAATACCCTGAGAACTCATCCGCGCCTGGTTGTAAAAGATGCGGCCAAAGTGGTTCTGGTCTGGGAATACATCGGACTGATGGGGCAGGTTTGCGCCGCCCGAGTCTACGAGGTATATACAGCTGTGGGTCTGTTAGCTAGCTTCGATTTACTATAAAAGTATTTGGTGGTAGTAATAGTCGCGGACGGGGGGTTAGGACCCACGGTAGCTTGTTCTCCTGCGCGACAGCCTGTGCCCGCAAGTGTTTCTTGACCGTGATGGGGTAGTATGTGCCACCTTTCACTGTGCTGTCGTTGGCGACAATCACGCAGGTGACGCCCTCCACCACGCCGACGCCGGTGATAATACCTGCCGCGGGCACATCGGCTTCCGGGTATAGCTCGTGGCCGGCCAATGGCGACAGCTCCATAAAGGTTGTGCCTGGGTCAATCAGGGCTGTCACTCTGTCTCTGGGCAGCATCTTCTTGCGGGCAAGATGTTTTTCTCTAGCTTTCGCAGAGCCTCCCTGCTGGGCGGTCCGCGTCAGCTTCTCCAATCTCGCCATTGCTTCGTCCATGAGCTTTTGGTTTTCCTTGAACTCGTCGCTCGTCGCATCGACATTGCTTTGGATCACCGATATGGCATTGGCCTGGTACGGCGCCGTGTAAGAGGCAACGGCTCGCGAGGATGTTCGTGGCAGCAGGACATGGCGGGGAATGTTTGGTCTCGACACTCGGTTCAATTGGCGGGACAGGGAGAGCAGGTCTCTCGAGGACCTTGAAATCGACATTGCGTATACAGAAACAGCCAAACTACAGCAGATGAAGCATGGGAAAATCACTGGAGAAGAGAATAGAAAAAGGAGCTGACCGACCCAAATCTATGCGAGTCTGTGCAAGCTGATCAATGCCCCCGAAGCCCGCGTGACGTCCATTCCAGTGAGGGCAGGTCAAGCTGCGTGAGCCGTGTGGAGCCGCCGTTTGCCGCTGAACCGAGGACGGGATGTCAGACCCGCGACCATCTGCAACATGAACCGTAGAAGTAAAAAAGTAAACATCTCACTTTTTACTTGCAATTCTTACACGATATCTGCTTTTTTAAAACCATTGATTAATAGACATAAACCAAAATGGCAAGCGTACGTTCTTTGAGATGTTTGGCCACGCCAACCAGGCAAGCAATAACTGCATCCCCTAAAAGAGTGCTCCCTGCTCTCCAAGTCCGCCACCACTCCTCAAAGCATCCCAAAGGCTTTGAACCACCGTCGGCGGCCGACCTCTCAGAGCTCCGCGACAGGGTGCAAGAGTTTACGCGCCGTGAGATCACAGAGGAGGTGGCAGCTCACACGGACAAGTCCAATGCCTTTCCCAACGACATGTGGCCTAAACTGGGTGAGGCGGGGTTCCTGGGCATGACGGCCGACGAGGACTATGGCGGCCTGGCCATGGGTTACCAGGCACACTGCATCGTGCTCGAGGAGATCTCGCGGGCCAGCGGCTCCATCGGCCTGAGCTACGCGGCACACTCACAGCTTTGCGTCAACCAGCTGCAGCTGAATGGCAGCCCGGCGCAAAAGGAAAAGTATCTCCCGGGGCTCATTGCAGGTACGAGCATCGGTGCGCTGGCCATGTCCGAGTCGGGAGCGGGGAGTGACGTTGTGAGCATGCGGACCACGGCCAAAAAGGTAGACGGCGGCTACCTTCTCAATGGCACCAAGATGTGGATCACCAACGGCCCAGATGCCCAGGTCATAGTAGTGTACGCAAAGACGGAGCCAGAGAAGGGCTCCAAGGGCATGACTGCGTTCTTGCTCGAGACAGGCTTCAAGGGTTTCAGCTGCGCGCGAAAGCTGGACAAGATGGGTATGCGCGGCAGCAACACTGGAGAACTTGTCTTTGAAGATGTCTTCATACCCGAGGAGAACGTGCTCGGCCAGATCAATGGTGGTGTAAGGGTTTTGATGGAAGGTCTCGACCTTGAGCGACTAGTTCTAAGTGCCGGGCCTCTCGGTCTCATGCAAGCTGCTCTGGATATCGCCTTGCCATTTTCACATCAAAGAAAGCAGTTTGGCCAGCCTATTGCGCACAATCAATTTGTTCAGGGCAAGCTGGCAGACATGTACACCAAACTCCAAGCATCTCGGGCATACACATATGCAACAGCCAAGGCTGTAGACGAAGAGGGTATCATCAAGACGCAAGACTGCGCTGGAGCTATTCTGTATGCTGCAGAGAGAGCGACCGAGTGCAGCTTGGATGCCATTCAGCTTCTAGGTGGTATGGGTTACACGGAAGAGATGCCTGCTTCCAGAATATTAAGAGAGTGAGTCGTTGCCCGCCACTGGAGATTCAGCGATACATTGAGACTAACAGACGATAGTGCAAAACTCTATGAAATCGGCGCGGGAACGTCTGAGATTAGAAGAATGGTTATTGGTAGAGCTTTCAACAAAGAGTATGCAAATGCATAAAGGGGACATTAAGTGGACTGAGGACCAATAGCAATTGCTTGTGCGACTCGAAGCTTGATAGAGAAATCTTAACATAGTGTATTTGGTGTATCCCATAGAAGAAAACATATCAATAACCTTTCACAAGTACCCTTTCATACAAGTGGTGTTCCTAGCTAATTGCATTGCTTTTGGGGGACAACGGTATGGCTCCTAGATACGCTCTACGGTTATAACTTATGGAGCTACTGCAAAAAGGCGAAGAATGCTGCGCCGCCGCCATCGGCTTCGTATTCATCTGACCCTGTCTGGAACGGCCTCTATCGAACATCGAACAGTGTGAGCTCTTGATTCCTGGCGATAGGGCTGACAACGCCACTGCTTCTCCGCACTTTCAAGGTGGCATTGTTATTCTTTTTGCAACTAGATATATTTTCTTCGGGTGTTTCTTGGCTCACAAGAACCCGAGAATAGAACCTATTGACAAACATGGCTAGATTGCAGGATTGAATCATTCTTCTGGTCAAAATTCTACATATTTCCGATTCATCCGCTTTGGAATAGATTGCAAAACACAGTCTGCCACAAAAGAAGTAAAAAGTCCATCTCCTTCTAGAAAAAGCTGGAGGCGAGCTGTCCTTGTCACCGGGGTGCTGTTTGTTCACCTAGCTCAGACCCACTGCCAGGGTCTAGATCATCGTGGACGATCAGGTCAATCTGCACCCGAATAGTCAGCCGCGGGCGGGAATCCCACTGTAAACTCGCCATTTCTAGTATAGAAAGATGGTGGGGGAAACCCAAGAGGCTTGAGGGGGAAGAGTTGCCGTCCAATGGATCTCGTCCGTTTCTTCCCCGGCAAACTACCATTAGTTGGGAATTCCCCCACATGTAGAGTTTCAGAGAAGGACATTGGTCACAGCTTGACTTCCCCAAGGTTTTGCCCATACTATGTAGCTTGTAGGGAGTGCAGATTTCCCCACCAGAGCTCCCAGCTTGCCAGCAAGCGAACACATAACACGGGCTGGACGGACGGGGGAATGACAGCCAGCTTGCCAGATTTGATAGTTGCAGGGGGGCGTTTTTCTTTTTTTTGCGACAGGCTTTGAAGGGTCTTGTGATCAGCCGGAACCGGAGGCGAGGCCAAGCTCTGGGCGGTTCGAGGTCGAGGTCCAAGGTCTGTATGTACATGTATCAGCAAGCAAAAATTTGATGAGATCGTGACAGTTTGTCCTGGCCATTCGAGCTAGATCAGGGGGTGGTTTTTCTTATTATTCTGTCTCCTAGACCGTAGTTTTGTAGCTTAAAGACATCTGGGCACCCTCCCAAACGATCAGCCTCTGCTTTTTCTCTTTTTCCTCTTCCTTTTCCCTCTTTCTCCTGTCAATCTATAATCCATTCGTTCGGAAGTCATCTTCCAAACGACCTCAACAACAATAAAGGTGCACTCTCTACACCGTCAGCGCTAATAGACTCGGCGGACTAATAAGAACGAACCACAAACGCATCGACTTGGGCACCTATTATCCCTTCCCGCAATCCGCCACACTAAAGACAGACAGGTACCCAATTGAGGTACGGGACCCGTTGGACAATCGGAAGCTCCTATAACACCCTTCTACGTCATCCGAGACCCTTTTTGGGGGAAGTCACGAAAGCTTTCGAAAGCTACACTTGTTCTATAGAATCCTTTTTTTTTTCCCCCATTGTACCAGCCTTGTTCTTTCCATTGCTGGGAGCTGTCTTCTCTTTTCTTCTTTCGTGCCATTTGCACATAGAAAAGGAATCGCGGCGTTTGCCACCTTTTTAATTCTTTTCAATCATACTTTCACAACATACTTGCACATTCCACAATGCTATCGCGAAACATTCTCCGAGCCCCCATTGGAGCAGCTGTGCGCTCTGCAGCTCCTCGAGTCGCCGGCAGAGCTTCAGCATTTCACACCGGCCGTCTTCTCATGAACAAGAAGGAACCGACAGCAGCGCCTGGATCCTTTGCCCGAACTGACGACTCCATCACCGTCGAGTACCCCGAGGACCATGAACTTCCCTCTAGCAAATTCGTTCAGGGCCGCGGCGGTCAGCACATGAAGCGAACCCTCGCTGCTTTTTCACTCGAGGGCAAGGTTGGCGTTGTCACTGGAGGTGCCAGAGGTCTCGGACTGGTAATGGGCCAGGGCATGGTCATCTCGGGCGCCAACTTGGCCATTGTCGATATGAACAGTGAGTCGAGTCCCTTTGTTTCTAATCACCGACCAGATACGAGGACAATGTCTCAGACGGAAGGTTTTCCATCGTTTCACTGAGAATCATTGTGATTTTGATCATCATACCAAGATGCTATTATTTGGCAGCTGCTATTTTCTTCGCGCATAGCCACAAAATTCCAGCTACTGAAGAACAAGAGCTAACCATTTTTCACTCTCTACAGAAGATGAAGCCGAGAAGCAGGCTGCCGCCCTAGTTGAGACATTCCGCAGGGAGAACCCAGGATCAGCCCGTACACCCAAAGTCACTGCTCACTATGCTGATGTCTCCGACTCGGATAGCGTCCAAGCTTGTATTGATGATGTTGTAAGGGAGCACGGCAAGATTGACCACCTGGTCACCAGCGCGGGTTTCACCGAGAACTACAAGGCTATCGACTATCCCATTGATCGCATGCGCAAGCTGTGGAGCGTCAATGTGGACGGAACCTACCTGTTCGCCACCGCCGTCGCCAGACACCTCATGGAGCGCAAGTCTCCCGGAAGCATGGTGTTTATTGGAAGCATGAGTGGAAGCATTGTTAATGTTCCCCAGCCCCAGGCGTAAGTGCCACTTGTTTTTCAAAATGGCAGAGGAAAACGTCTAACCTTGAAGACAATAGACCTTACAACGGTGCGAAAGCAGCCGTTCGACACCTGGCTGCATCCCTGGCGGTCGAGTGGGCCGAGGCTGGAATCAGAGTCAACTGCATCTCGCCTGGCTACATGCTGACTGCTCTGTGAGTATCTCATGTTGCGATACATGACTCCGCATACGCTAATGTACTACACAAATCAGGACCGAGAAGATTCTAGACGATAACCCCGATCTAAAGCGCCAGTGGACTTCTTTGATCCCTCAAGGAAAGATGGGCCAGCCTGTCGATCTGATGGGCCCAGTCACATTCCTTCTTTCCGATGCCTCGCAATACGTCACTGGAGCAGACTTGCGTGTCGATGGCGGTTACACCGTCACCTAGAGCAGTTTGCCTGGTTCACTTGAGTGTTTGCAATTACGGCGTTCCATAAATCAGGGGCATGTTTTGTTTGATAGATGGCAAAGAGCGGAAAATTGGTTGCGATGTGAGACCTGGGCGAGGATGGAGCTATTCATGATATGAAAAGACATGTCACAAGTTCAATTTGCTAGATAAAGGAAAAATCACATTCACATTAAACATCTGTCAAGTCGAAGGAGGGGGGGAAATGTTTTGACTGATGAATCGCCATTGATCTGGGAGCATGACGATCAAATTGTTACCAAGTCTGCTAAGAGAGCCTTTTGACACAATCCCCCTAGACTGGCTATCGGAACTGTGCATTTCCAGCCTTCGAATGCCTTCTTTCAACACAACATCTTACAGGCCTGATTTAGATGACGAGTCCTTTTCCTTGTTCTTTTTCTTGGTCTTGAACATTGTGGAAAAGATGGCGAAAACAAGATGTTCAATCTATGACATTCTATAAACTGGAGAGAAAAGGGGTGCCCCATCAATGTTTGAGGGGGTCCCTCACTAACAGAACAAAATAAGATCACCTGGGTAATCACATCATTGGCAACAAGACTAAAAGTGCCCCATACGGACCGCACCGCACACCGTTGAGGGGCTTCTAGAAACTGGATAATGGAAGGACCTAATTGGAACTTGGGGTAAGCAAAAACGGGTAAGACAATCCAGGATTAAAAAAAAAAATCCGCAAAATTCTTTCCTCTCGGCATCAAGCAGAGGACTTGCCGTTTATATCCTTTACATGGTACCTTGCTTGGGTACCTGGAACAAGACTAACCACGGATTTGGGAATTTTCTAGAGAAAGAAGCGAGATATGCGATGAGAAGGGGCGAGTCATGTTTAGATCTCGAACCCCGTGGGGTTTCAGAAAGGTACATGATGAATCCCTCGCCAGGTATATATATATGAATCCTACTAAATGTACCTCAGAAGGCTGAAAGCCAAGAGGGGCGTGGGGGGGCGCCTGAATCATAAGACTCGTGATATGTATGGTCTCATTCATTTTTATTCTCTCTCATTGCTGTGTGTAGTGCAATGATTACGAGCTTACATGATACAGTGACCCGCGTATGGACGAGCAGATTGGGATCTGTGTAAAAAGAGAAGCGACAAGAGATGACGAGGTGAAGAATTACTCTCGCATTGAGCGGGAATAATGTTATAAATCGGCGACAAGCCTGAGATCCAAAATGACGGTCAAATGAATCTCACACCGGTGAGGAAGCCCGGTGAGAGTCGGACATTGGCACTGCATGTTTTCCTCTTGACGGGAACAAGAGTTTCCTGCTGCGTTGCATTTTTCTCGTTGGGGGAGGATGGCGTCAGATCTTGTCCTTCCCATACATCTGCACTATAATTCAAAGAGGAGTGATACACAAATGAGAAGAAAAAGGTGAGAGAGGAAGGAAATTGCGCGAAAAGGGTTCAATCGTGCCTGTATCCGGGTATAGGATTGGCAATATCCGGGGTCCCGATGGATGGGGTACGGAGTTCTTGACGGATGTGGGGGGATCAACATCTAGCAATTGACGGGGAAGAGTGGGGGGTTTATTTCTTCGTTATGTTTCCTACCTACACATCAAAGCAGAACGTGGGAGGGCAAAACTGAAAAGTGATAACAAGGTCTCGGAAAGGGGAATCTATGGTCCCTGAAGAGCCGCCCGAAACGGAAGGGGGGCTAGAATACGGATTGCCCAGAACAGGTATATTTAAAAACCAAAAAAAAAAGAAAAAAAGGACAAGGTGCCAAGGTCAAGCTTGTCTGGGGGGATCCATTTGTTTTGCGTGCTATGCAGAATTCGCTGACCGAGTTCAACTACAACAGTACATAGTATGCGAGATGCATGCAATGGTAACCACGTGCGTTGGAGGATCGCCAACTATGGGCGAATGAAGATGCTTTGGTGTCGCAGTCGTATTCCCTCTCTCTCACCCTCCTCGTAAGGGGCAGCTCCGACAGGCTGGACAAGCGTAAACCAAACGGCAGCGTCCCCAAGCAGGCATCATCCCTCATCATTGGATTACTATCTCACGAATAATCCATGAATCGATCGTGATATGTCATCTCTTGCTCCGCGTATCCTCGCATGGGGGTGGAGAGGATAGAAGATACCTATGTAGGTACGTAGGATGAAAACTTTGGTTCAGCAGCGCAGTTTGCGCCATGTTCTCCACAACCTTGGGAGTGTTACGAAATATTGTCTCCATAACAAAACTTTCTTGATACCTGATTTTTGGAGCCAACACAAATGGCATGTGACTGACGGCAGCAGTCAAAAGAAAACCAAAAGGAAACCGTTGTGCTATCGGAAGGGGCCGCATATATACCTATACCTCCTCAGGGATTGGAAATATTAGCGTTATACAAGCCCCATAATACGAGGAGTTCTTACGTATATGCTCCGCATATTATATAATATAATTTCCCATATAATTTATTAAAAATAATATATTTTATATACATTTTATAATTAGACTTTAGCATTATTAATTTCGATAATTTAACGTAGTCGACGCGGCATCGATCGTAAAAATATATCTAAAAGTTTTTCGGGAATAGCCTCCTACGCAGCCTGGATCGCAGCACGCAAATATACGCTATTTAAAGTCTAAATATCGTAATATAAATTAATCCAGCCTTTTATCTAACTTTATACGTTCTCGATTAAATTAAAATCCGGATTACTAAATGGCCACGGTATAACGGGGATATCCATTCTTTTTATCGCAGCTTAAATTAATTTTACCTTATAAGAGGGTGCATTATCGTATTAAAAATAAAAATTACGTAAAAACGGGCGCTAATACCGTTAAACTTTAAAAAAAATATACTAAATATACTTCTCGGCGCCGATGCCACCTATTTCTTTTTCTTAAAAAAAGCAAAGGCCTTTACGGCGTTCCGTAAACGATACCTAAAATATTTAGCCGTAGCCCTTTTTATAAAAAACAGCCCAAATATCGTCGTTTTCTACGTCGTAAATCGTAATCTATTGCTTTCCCGTAAGTTAATTCGTTACCTAAATCTTATCGGACCACAGGATATTCGGGGACGGATTAACTTAATCCTTTTCGTCCGGCTATTATTTAAGCGCCTATTTAGCGAACTTAACTCTCTTCTTTTTCGTTATAACAATTAATCGAAATTTGCGTTTGCGTATACGACGTTAAAATCCGAGCTTTTTTATTATAAATGCGACGGCGTTCTCGCCGTAATTCTAGAAACCAAAGATCAAAAACCTAAGATCATGTTACAAACATGCACCCTCGCATACGGCAGACAGAGGATGTTGGCGCTTAAGAAGACAATATGCGGGGCTCAGGACCGAAGTCCGCAATATTCCAGACAAGGACCAGGCCAGCACCCTTGCCAGCTGTCAACGGCTGTTGACAGGCTCACCACTAGATTAGTGATCCAAGGGTGAGACTCATAATAGGATTAGTGAGCCAGACGTGAGCATCACCACCACGATGGTGACCCAGGAACATCAGTGAGGGAATGAATGGATATATATTACAGAAGGATTTCCTACATAGACAGTCATTACCTTAGTGATTAATCTAAGCATCTATTTTACCTATAAGTGAAGCATTTAATACGCTTTGACGATTATATTTGTGACATCAGTTTAGGATCATCTTTATTACTCTTTGCTCAGCTTAGTATCTTGTTTAACGTTCCCTGTTAGCATAAACCCTAACACCCTTTATACTCAGGTTTATTCTAGAAACCCGTAATATAGTCGTTATAAATCACGCTATGGAACTTTGCGGAGGAAGCGATCGTTATTAAGGTATTATTTAAATCGATCGCGTTCGGCAGCTATAATAATTATATAGCATAATGCCTTTAATGCTTTACGTAATATAAGGGGATTCTTTATTACGTATTAAATTTAACGATACGTATATTTATCGTCGAATTTATCTTTTAAAACGTCGTATTCCTATTTAATCTTTTTATAAAAAGTTTTAATTTTTAAACGATCGTTTTAGGTTAGCTCGGCTGCTTTGGCATTACGCTATTATACCGGCTTTTCCTCCCGTTATATCTAAATCCGGTAAAAACGTTCGGCAAAAGGGGAATCGTAAATCGGCTAATGGTTAATAAGCTATTCTACGTCCATTATTATTAATTAAGGTGGTGCTTTCCTATTAGAGTTTAAATTAATCTGATATGGGTGTTAATTATGTGATGTATTAATTTATGTTCTGCGCCTTTTAGTTTTAATGAGGTGTACGCTTATTTGGGTGGCCCCGGCTAATCCCCGGGAGGTCCCGTACATCTATCTAAACACTATGGGGTTGATCCGTGTGCTCAAGCACACCCCAGTGTATGGGAACCATAATCCACCATCTGACAATTATCTAGTCGGGAGAGTGGTATCTAGTGTAATATGGCATTTCGTATTAATCGACGATAATTATTAATTACTAAAAAAAACGAAAATTAACGGGAATAGCCTATTATACGGTTAAAAAAAGGGAATTCATATATAATGCAATAGCAAATTGCCGTATAACTTCATTTTCAACTTTTGGAATCGATATATTATTACAGCCAATTTATATAGGAAAATACATACGGAGCAATTTACGTCAAAAACAGCCTGTTATGTGGGCTTGTATCGCACTAACATTTCTAATCCCTGAGGAGGTATACATTGCTGAATGGCCCGTGAACGGTTTGCGACGGCTCTTTTACCACGTGCGATCGGAGGATCCTTGGGTTTTTTTTTTTCTTGAATCCCAGCTTGCCAGCAGCCTAGTCAGACCAGCCTCCAGCAAAGACAAGAGACAAAATAATTTGGGGGTTTCGAATCATCTCCGAGTCTGGACCACTTGCCGTGACCTGTCACGTTGCTGGTGACAGGGATTTGTGGGAGCCACAGCGGTTAGAAGCCCTTGCTTGGGCGGAGCTCCAAAACGACAGGGTCTATCTAATCCATGGCGGCCAACTCCGCTCAAGCTTCTTCCTCTCTCTCACCCTTTGATGACGAAGCACGACTGACAGCATTCTTCCATGAGGTTGGGTGTCTTGTAGGGCTCTCGATATGAGGGGGGAGAAAAAATTGGTCTGGGCCAGGAATGCTTTCCCCAGCCTGCAAGTATTTGTCCGCGAATATGGTATAGAACTACGTACTATGAGCTGTCGTAATCAAACAACGCTGAACATTGAAATGTTCTGTCAACGCCTATGCAATGCTGTCAATGAGGACACCTTAAATGCTCCAATATCCTATTCCACAGCGATGAATCCCCTCTAGACCCTCTTTCCATGATAAAAAGCACAATGCAATGGGGAACTTTTATTTTTCACACCCGCTGACCGACGGCCCTGATGAATGACACTGAATGAAATGACAAAACAAAAATATGCGGAAAAGAAAAACGCAAGATGAAAAAAGTATAGCTAACAAGCTAGGCCTAGCCACTGAAGGGGATCTAACATCAAGAGAACTAGCGTCGATGTTTTTTATCGCCTTGTCGTTCAAGAAGAAGGGTAAGCTGGCTCTTTGAGCGGCCAAGGGGCACGCTCGGAGTATTGCTTGGTGCCGTAGGCGTCAGTGTTGTCGTTGATTCTGACCTACGGGGTCTCATTGCCGCCATGTCATCTTGTATTGAACTTGCAAACCTCGCTGTTGCATCATTGTCATCGAATTCAATGATGGTACCCTGGGCGGCCACATTCGAAGTCGTCGCTACGCTCGATGATGTCAGACCCTGAAAAGGCCCTGCTTTACGAGGTTTTATCTCGCGAATGGGCGTCCTGAAGGCGTCACCACTGGATTTGGAACGAACCATTGGCGAAGCAATAGCTCCAGGTTGCACGTGACTTTGTGTGCTGCTGCCAGCGTGTTGAGGCGTAGTATGTTGTGACTTCTGGGTGGTTTCAACCGAGGCTTCCGTCCCTTTGCCCTCTGGCCTCGTCTTTGCAGCCTTCTTGTCCAGATTATTTGGACGTACTGGCCCAGGTCGTTCTAAAGCAGCACTGGTAGTGACATTGAGTGCCTCGGCTTTTCCCGGAGCTGCTGCTGAGACCACGACTCGTTTGCCGCTTGCCTTGTCACTCAGCCGCGGGTCATCCTCTTTGGGATCTGGTCCCTCAACTATTGGTGAAACAGACCGTTGTGGCCCTTGATGCCTCGTGCTTGGCGAGGGTCGCTCATCACGAGAGCCTACCTCCGAGCCCGTTGCAGATGACTGTGAGCTTTGTCGTCGTGGCATGGCAGGCCGTCGCTTATTCGAAGATGCCACGATCTTCTTCTTGGAGATATTACCAATTGGCTTCCTGGGCTTTTCCTTGGTTGCTGAAGAGGTTTTAGGCTTGGGCTGTGAGGATTCATTTGCAGTGGTGCTTGTTGACGAATCGACCTCGCTTTCTTCCTTTTCGTCTTCCACATCTGAGCCAGCAGGAGATACGAACCGAGCGGTGGGCCTTGGACCCGACGATGATGGCCCCCTTGGCTTCTTCAAGATCGGGTGGGCGGGAGGCGGTTTCGTTGAAGATGATGCCAAAGCCTTGGGAGGTTCTGTCTTTGGCGCCTCCTCGTTGGCTGCACCTGGACTGTCGGACGCCTTGCCCTTTCCCTTGTCGGATTGAACATGTTTCAAGATTGCCTGGTATCCATGGTCAGAAATCCCCAAATAAGCTCCAGCGGTTGAGCATACCGGAATCGAGGGCCCTTCGTATCGGTTAGGTGGGCCCCTCAGTGGCACAAAGGTAGGTCCATCGGATATCTGCTCAAAGATCCTGGCGAGTGTCGGACCGGAAAGCTGACTCCTGTCGCTGCCCAAAACATGCCACCAAAAGTTTTCCAGTCGGTTAGCGGTGGGGTCCTTCAGCTTGCCGAAGGTTGTGGTATACACTGAGACTCGATTAGTGTGGTGCACAGCCAGAGTTGTGGAGTGGCCGTCTGAGTACCATGCCAGTAATGCCATATCTTCTCACGTGGGATCACGGGATAACTTGCAATCTCATTGTAGATACGAGAATCGTTGTAAACGATGCCCTTGGGCAAGAGCATCTGCATGGTTGGCGCGTCCATGTTGCTTTTCGGGATGTAGCCAGCTATGTGGCGGACTCCGGCAGGCAACGTCTAAACACAAATTTCGCCAATTCGTTCCAACAACTCATCGCTCTTTGCAGATTGTCAAGAAGCCAGATGTTCTGACCGGGGGTCGGCTGAAGACTGATGTTGGCGAATATCAAGTTATCTGCTTGCTGTGAGAATATCGGTTGTGTGGTTTGTATTTTTCCCCCCTTCTTTCCCTCCTTTGGAAAGCACAAGTTCCACACTAAAGATGTGAATCGGCACTTCAGCACAAAGTATGTGACGTTCGGTGCCTACCTAGTATAGTCCCGATGTGGCGAAGAGAGGAAAACTGGTTGTTTCTGAATGGGAATTTTTGAGATAGTTGAGCAAACCAAGAAAAACAAGGAATGAGCTGATTAGGTATGGATGATTATCTTTTGACGTCTGTGTATCATGTGAATTTGTGGCCCGCCCTGACAGACCGGCGTACTCGAGAACCACTTTTATCGGCAATGGTCTATGTCATGAATGCGCATGCGGAGGTGAGAAGAGTATCAGACACACAAAAAGCTGCTAGAGACAACAGCAGCAAAGGGGAGATTCGACAGACCCTATCTAAGCTGCTGCCCGTGGTGGTTTGTGGTGACACGTCAATGTTGGAGCGTTTTCTTGCAGTCTGAGCAAGCATCAACAGTTGATTCGCCCTTTCCGCACCCCTGGGCGATGCCAGACCGAGCGAACGAAAAGTAAGGACGACAACGGCCCAGACGTCAGATCCGAGACACCAGGCAGGACTATCCACAAGTCTTGCAACGGGGAGACTAGTGGCGGAGGCCGGACCGAAGGCAAGAGAGGAGACAAGTCTTTTTTTCTTATTTGCGTTGAGTTGTGCTGAGTTGTGTAGTCGTGTGTATGTGTGTGTGAGGCTGGACAAGCAAGTAGTACCTAGCACGTAACAAAGAAGGAACTGTTTCCACTCCTTTCTGACGAGAAAAAATAAATTCCCTTTCTGGTATTCCTGTTTCAAAGGGATAATGACTGTCTGGCAGACATTGGCCAAGAACAGGAGTATCCAGACAAAAGTGAAGAAGTAAGGAGACAGGAGTAGTGTTAACCGTAATGGTGGAATAAGAAGTAAAGAAGAAACCCGGTTCGTTGCAAATAGTCAACCACAGTCCATCCAGACAGGACAAACAGAGACTAGGCGTGGTAGCTAGTGGGGGACGGTGAAGACGGATGGAACCCCCATCTGAGAAGGAAAACCGAGCATGAAATTCGAAAATACAATATCTGATTAGAGGCTTGCATGCAAATATTATGTACTTCTCGCTCTCGGGTGTGAGTAGGAGAAAGACGGGACCGCTTCGTAAACATAAGGAGAGGCACGGAGTCGTCAAGGTAGCAGCCAGCAGCCAACCAGCCAGTCAATGTAGCAATGGCCGACCCGGGCTGGGACCTGAGAGCTGGACTGGGCTGGATTGGATGATCTCACAGGCGACAGGTCCGTTTTAGCTGGGCTAAGCTGGGCAGCGACCCCCTGGGCAGCAAAATTTTTGGCACTAAGAATCGAACGCTGGACCCAGTCCCCGCTAGGTTGCAGCACGTTCCGCAGCAGTGAGTGAGCGAGAGTGGGTTCAATTCAATGTTCTCTTCTATTACCTGCGAGCTACGTACACTGATGATGATTACTGCTAGGTAATGTATGTAGGTTCAGGTTGTAGTGTAAATGTTCCTGGCTCGGAGGTAGGTACCTTCCAGTGTGCCCTGCACTCAAAGCCTGCCGCCTGACTGATGCTTTTCTGGCCAGTGCCTTGAAAGTGATCAAAGAACAAGGCCACTGAAAAGGCAGAGCCGAGTTGAAACAAGATACACTGAGCATCGCTGGACATACCCTACCTAGGTAGACGATTGGTACATATCTCGACATGGACTACTTTTGTTGATGGCTCATCAAGCTTGCACCTACATCTACATTAGTGTACCTTGACTGTGTTTTTAGTGAGTTGGACTGCTTCTTGCGGAAGATCCCCGGCCAGGGCGCTAAAGGGTAACCTGGGGGCTTGTCGCCCACCCGTTGTGCGCTAGATTGTACATTGGTCAATACATTTACCTTACCTTACCTATAAGAATGAGGAGACAAGAGCATCAAATGCTCTCACGCTTTCTTCTCGTGGTTGCCTGCCTGCACAGACACTACGGTACCTTGATGCGTCGAAGGTTTGACACGGCCTTTTTTAGATTCATTGTACTTACCGTTCTGCCATCAATAGCTTGCAATTCAGCGAACATTTTGACCCCGTCCAGATCAAGAGCAACCTCCTCTGCCTCATTTCCTCATCAAGGTTTGTGGGGAGGTATGCACATTGGGAGCTACGAGGCATGGGGCTTTGTGTAATTGAGTATGATGTATTTCTCTATGTGATAAGGCGAATAATTGTTACGTTTGTGTTGTATGCGGGAGGCTAGGTATACCAAGGCCAAACAGCAATAATAATACATTACGCAGACGCGGGATGTCTTGGCCGGGGTCGAGGAGCTGTGTGTTTACCTGGTAGGTAGGTATGGTGTAAGAAAAAAAACCGTCACACGGTAATGCAAGGACTTAAAGAAAAGGCCTGTTACTCCACTGGTCCTGTATCACATCAACCCTTCCCCCACCTCGGTACAAATGACACAAGAGAGCTTATTGTGTACCTACCTGTACAGAGTATGGAGGTATGCTCGCACCCGCCCCCAGCATGCCTGGTCAGTTACCATGCAGGCCTACCTTATTGCTTACGGGATGCTCAATACACACAATTGAGTCTCGGGGGGTGTGGTTTGGGGGCATCCTACCTAGGGTAGAGGTGTGTTGTCTTTTTCTGCCTTCGAGCTCATACTTACCTACCTTGGTTATATTATCCATCCAGCAAAACTCTTAGCTATCTACTCACCTAACGGAAATGTCCTCCCTTGCCGAGGTGTTTGCCATGTCCATCTTGGTCAAGTGACCCCCAGAACATGCTTGCTCTTTAAGGTTGACCACGGGGTCGTTTTTGCGAAACCTTGTGCCTGTTCCCGGCAATCTCGCTTTGTTATCCATGAGTAAAGCACATCAATATGAGAACTCAATACCTACTACCTGGCTGGCGGAGAAGGCTCGGCAACCAGAGTTTCAAAACTACCTCCTACCCGCAAGAACCCTACCTACCCTCCCTAGCAGCTGGTAGATTACCTACATACTCACGCCCTATATAGGTAGCCAGCCCAAAACCATCGACAGACAAACAACAAAGTAAGCAATTGGCAAGGTTGTATTAGTAACCCACCATACAGGTATCTCAATGGGTACTTACTGCGAAATAATCCGGTTATCTCGATTCAAAACTTGGCTACTGGATCAAACGTGACAGCCGCACATATCCGCTCTCCGCCCCGATGCACTCCGGGTCACGGACTAGGGCCAGCCCCGATGATAAGGAACAAGGCCGAGTGAGTAGGTACCTGATATGGTATCCCCTTGACGATTTATTGAACGCCGTGGTCAATTTACTGTCATCACATTGTAGATCTTCTGAGAGTGCTGCATTGGGCACAAGTCGTATTCTCGAGAGCAATGGTGGAAGGCAAAAAGGACGTGCCTCGGAGCAGGATACAGCCACCGCCCATACCGACACCCCGAAACCTGGTCTGGCGCCTTGAACTGTGACCCTATCGTGGCCCCGACCTGCCATCTCCGGGATCGCAGCACCATCCCCGTTCTTGCGCCAATGCCCCTTAGGTTGCACTTTGGATCGTCACTTGAGCAAGAAAACACCAGGAAATTTATAAAGCCAAAAATGAGAGATACCCGAACAAGCTAGGTCGCAATGGCATGCCAGTCGTTTCCTTTCCCCCCCACGCCCATCCATCATGGGCACTCGGGTTGTTCTTCACTAGGCGGATTTACCGCTTCTAGAAGGATTCCAGGGTGCCTGGGGGTAAGCAAGGATCTCTGATATGCTGATACAGCCGCATCTGTCAGTCGTCAGAGAGGAGGCCACGCGCCAGGACGCTTTGGCAATAGTCCGGCCTCCAACAAAGCACGGCCAGCAGCCAAACATGCGCGCATCATCAAATCATCAGTCCTAGATCAATGATCCTGCTTGTCTCTTCCAAGATATGCCGCTTTATTTCGGAATCGGCGCTCGTCATTTCTGTCACGTACGCTTGAGGCTGCTGAGCTGGCTGCTGGGCTGGTGCCACGAGTCAAGCCGTGCACAACTCGTGTCAATGGCACATACTGCTAATGGGCCGGAAGCCCACTTTGCCCGCCGGAATCTGCGCTCGTTGGAGTCGAAGCCCTCATGGTCAGCATGAGAGCCAGCTCATATCTGGGAATATATGTTGTTGTTCAATGACAGTGATACGATCAACTCAGAGTTCCAGTCTGACCCTTTTTATTGCCGGTGCAACGATTCAATGCGATGCCAACAAGCTGGGCCGACGGAGTCGCCGTTTCCAGGTGGAAACTCTCGACAAGTTGCACCCGCAACTTCACCGCCCTTGACCTCATTGCCAAGTTATCATACTTGGCCATTAGTAGAGATTCCTTGATTACACAAGTACATTTGGTCATTACATGATAACATCGATTACTTAGCCCGTATTGCCCTGTTTGACGGCATTGAGCACTGTAGGCCCAAGGACGCTCCATCAATTACTAGCGCATGATGTGTTCAAGGCACATGGCAGATGTGGTATTATTGGCTTTGCCCGCCCGCGGGTAATTTGAGCCATGGCAGCCGCTTACACGGACGGGAGTAAGCAGCTGTTTACTCAACCTCAGCTGCCATTACCGTGATGTCGATGCTAATATCGTCCAAACACTGTCGATTGGCTCATATGCCTACATACTACCTAGGTAGCTAGGGCCAAGTCACCCCGCAAAGGAATGAACAGTAGTCGCACGGTTCTGTATCGTGTGACCTTTCTGATCGCGGCATATCCTCAGCTGTGTCCGCCAATCAGGCCACGAAAGAATCTTGATTCGCTGGCTTTCGCTGGATCGCAAGAAGAGAAAAAGCAATCGAACCTCGACCCAGACGACAGGGTACAAGGAAGCATACACGAAAGCCTACCTGCCTACCAAACTGCCATCATGTTCTTATTTTGCTGCTGGACAGCAGCATTAGCAGCGGCGCTGGCGCTTGTCAGGATCCTAGTGACCTGTGATTCAAGCTCAAAAGTGCCAACTCAAATGAGCACGGAATTCATCCCTCGTGCTTGCATGCGCACGCCTCCATTGGCTTTCCCCGCTCTTCCCCCAACGCGGATGAAATCCTTCACCGTATCAGAGAGCTTATTAGAAGTTTCTCACCAGCAACACACAGCAGCTCTGTCAGCGAATTGGTACCTGGCCATGTCCCACAATTTTGGCACAGAATAACAAATTATGTGTCAGCAATGGACGGGCTTACATAGGAGAAAGTGATCTGATCTCCAAAAAAGTTTTCTACACCGAACATCAATTTGCATATTATTCAAATCCCGATACTCATGACGATCATCTCTCCTCGCCCGGGTGGGTGATCATGTCATGTGCGTCGGCCATCGTCTGCCAAACCAGCAACGCATGGTACCAAAGTACTCACTGAGTCACGATCTTGGAGCTAGATACACAGGAGACGGCGCCAACGACTCAGAGCTCGAGTCTTGGAACTTTTGTTATTACCGTGAGCCCTCGTGGCATTATACACGTCCCGAAATATTTGATCCAGCCAACCAATATTGTGCATTGGACACAAATGCATACATACCACTTGGGAAACTTCCTCATGAGGAATATCAATCACACAAGTCCGGCCCTGGCAGATTGTGGTGAGCTTATTTATTATGAGACATGCCATGGAAGCATTTCCTGGGGCTATAGCCACCCTTTCAAGTGCCTCTGGTGCCAATTAATGATTACCCGGGAGACGGGTAGTAGTCGAGGATCAGACAATAGGTCCGCCTGATCCACCTTGATCCCAATACAGCAATATCGTATCCACCTTCATGAAGCACTAGCTGTCGTTTATACTCGGCTCATTCTTGCGAGGAAGACGCATCACATTTGCAGCCGTCGATGCATGAACACTCGTCAGTATCTCTGCGTTGACTACAATGATCGGATGAACCTGACCGCGAACCTACCACCATCGCGCCTGCAGATACGACGTTGCTGCGCAACAAACTGTTCAGGGCGCCGCCTGGTCGCGCGCATCTTTCGTAAGCCACCACCCGGTGAAGCGGCTTGTCGGTGCGCAGGATCACACCCCTCATTCCTACAACTCTACTCACATCTCACATCAGATCGTTGTTTGGTTCACTAGTTGCCATGGCCCGTAGGAAAAACGTGTGCCGCGGCCCGGGCCCTGGCTTTGATCATTCGATCAAACTTAACCTCGCTTAAGTATATCGAAAGTGATCTGCTTCTGATCGCGGAGTGGACCCAGTATAAGTTGGGATGTTTTTATTTTCTTTCTTTGTTTGCTTGTCGCGTGCTCGGCCCATGGCATTTTATTCCTTGGATTCTTGCCCCAATGGCTCGGTTACACACGTGTCGTACTGGGCCCTTGTTTTTCCAAAAGCGAAACCCCAGATCTCCTCCAGGGATGCAAATGAGAAAAAGAACCCCTGAAGCCAAGAACTGCTCTCCAGCACATCTTACAGGACCAAAGATGCGCAGATGTGATGTCCTTTTCCATGGATCAAGAGATAATGTAAGCAGCGGGCGTAAAGTGACTAATGCTGCGCCGCAATGGCGAGTTCCACCACTGAACAGTCACTTGCTTCAAGCCACATGCAACTCTGTCCCCGGGAGATAATGCGAGTACCAAGTTGCTGACAACTCAAGAGTGGTGACTTGCGAACCGCAATATATCCCCTGGACAAGGACCACCAGAAAGAAGCCCTTTACTACGACGTCGAATTGCAGGGCTTCGACACCAATCTACTCAAAGTCACTTCTTTTTCTCAACGCAGTGTAACGTGGAGAGAAACGTGGATCGCAGCACCCGCTGGTCCCCCCTTGTGACAATGCACAGCATTCATTCAAGTACTCTGTATATTGCATACTCGGAGGCACCTGACGGATTATTGTGTCGTATTACTACCGGAGCTGCAAGGCCCATCGCGGGCAGGGCTAAGAATAGATTAAGATCGTTGACGTTTTGTATCTTTGTGCAACTAAATCGTGAAGTCGTTATCGGGGGCTTTCCTGTATATTACCGAACCTCGTGTTTCTCTGCAATTGGCTAACTCGTGGAGGCTCTGCAGCCAAATGCAGCTACATAGATTGAGCCGCTGATCCATGTGCATATTGAGATGCTTTCTATTCGATACTGAACTTGCATTTTAGTCTAGACATCCAGGCATACATACTAGCATCACTATAGGACTGCTCCCGAGATCTGATACAGTATCGGCTCGTCTCAGGGTCCAACGGCGCGAGCATGATTGACTTGTGATCCTTCCATCAGTGTGGGCTTTGCCTCCATCACCCGATGATCGCAGCTTGCGGTGGGAGACTATCGAAAGTTCTCGTACTTGCCTTGTACGGGATGTTTGCAGAGATTTCATAATGGCTTTGTTTACTGATTACTGAGAAAGAGGAAACCAGAAAAGAAAAGCTGTATGCGAAGACTTTCGCGTTTTTATTTGTTTCTCCAGAGATCGATTTCCCTTATTACTATCACAAGAACCATAAGGGTCAGAAAACCCCAGCTGTCCAGTATATCCCCCTCGTCACATGGCTGAAGAACCGTTCATTTGCCCAGGCTTCGCTAAAATGTCCCAAGGCCGTGTAGAATGACCTACCGCCTTCGAATTCGTGGTACCAAGCCAGCGGGTGATCAGTACCCATAGTTCCACCTTGGTAGCACTTCTCATCGATACTCAAGAGAACCTTGACATTGCTGCGCGGGTTCGTCCGGAAGTTGTACCACTCGTCGTGCCATTTCCATTCCGCTGGAAAGTCCTTGGTCAGAAAATCTGCCGTATCTTCGATCTTTATAACGCCATCTTGTGGCTCTGGGTGATTTGTGAACCCTATGAGCCGTGAAGAGTCAGTAAAGAACACAACAGAAATGATATCTTTTCTCCCACGATTGGCACGAGAAGAACGTCGTGCTTGGAAGACTATTATAATGAACATATTGCTCCCAACTACTGACCTGCGCCGACCAATTCTTTGAACCATGTATCGCTGGGCATGCCGTTGCTCGTGCCGTGTATGCCCACAAAGCCCCCGCCGCCACGCACAAAGCCCTTCAGTGCCGAAAGCTGCGCCTCATTGAGGAAATCCCCGCTGGTGTGCAAAAATACGAGGACTCGGTACCGGGCCAAATTTTCCGGGTTGATGATGGAGGCTTCTTCCGACGCATCGCAATCTATGTGACCTGAAGTGGCTGCAAAGTTCTTGAGTGCGTTGATTCCAGCGGGTATGGACTCGTGTCGGTAGCCGGCTGTCTTGCTGAATACCAGCATTCTAAAGGGTGGCGACGGTGATCTCGACATTGTGACCTGTTCAACCAAGGTTTGAGGGTCAAGATGAAGAATAATAACAAAAGACAAATTCTGGAAACGCTTGTCGACTTAAGTATGAGTCAATGATGCAGTGTATAGGCGAGCGAATCAAGGTACCCTCCTAGAGTGGGGCTGCCGTTGCGACAAGAAGGCTTTTGGAGATACGCAAATGTGCCTGATCTGTTTGGTCAGATCATTGCTGGCTACATGGAACACGAGAAGTCAAACTGGCACGACTTATTTGAAGACGTAAACGAAATGAAATGAGAAGCTGGTGTTCGTATCCTTGTAACAAAAGCCGACAGAACATGAACTTCCTGCAAGAGCATTTATAGGAAACACCAATGGCATCCAATGTAACCCGTGTCACTAGTTGAACCTACATATATGTACGGATGAATGTCTAGGCCATTCTTCTTGTAGGAGACTGTCGGAGACCCAAATTCAACGACTCATTTCTAATGTTACCACATATATCCTACAACAAAATCTGGAAATGAATGAAACCAGTCGCGTGCTTGTCGTGTCAATCAGATAAATCTGAACTTGCACTGACAGATTGGGCTTCCCAAGCCGACAATTGTTTGGCAATCAGAATCGTTTGCAAGTTCGGGCTCCCCGAAGCCTCTGTTGTAGACCGTAAGCAGGTCCTCAGAAGTGATTTTGCCTTCACATGATATCCACGCTCGTACCATATAGACGCGAGGTGGCGCATAGCAAATAACGTACCAGGATGCTGGGCGCCTGATCTTGCCTTCCAAGTTTCCATGACATCTAGTGCCAACTTTTCAGCGATTTCCGTCTGACCTTGCGCACAATATATCCTGGCCACTACCATTGAGCTTCGCAACGTGTTGGGATGATCGGCGCCGGATCGACTGCGGTGAGCATTCAATGTTTCCAATGCTAGCCTTTCAGCCTCGTCTAGGTGGCCTTGACTGAGATGTGCCAATGCTAGTTCGAGCATGCAATTCAGCGTAGTAAAGTGACGAACGCCTAATTTCTCTTTGCAATTTTCCACCGACTCAACTCCTAACCTTTCTGCCTTTTGATGATGACCTTGACTGTTGTATACTGACATCAAAAGGCTTTCATCCACAAGCGTATGGATGTCAGTGATGCCGGACGAGGCTTTCTGGTCCTCTATTGCTTTCATGAGAAATTTTTCAGCGTCATCCAAGCGGCCTTGAGAAAGGTGTATTTTCGACAGATTACGTATGAAAACTCGTGTATGAGTAGAATCAGTGCGACCAAACTCTCTCGCGACCATTATGATTTCTGTCAAGATCTTTTCGGCGTCTTCATACAGACCTCGGTCGGCAAATAGCATGGCCAAATTATTCATGGCTATTGTTGTAGCAAGATCAGTCACCCGGCCTTTTGCGTTAAGAATCCTAACCACTTCGGTTTGCAACTCTTCAGCTTCCTCAAGCCTGCCTTGAGAGATACGTATTAGACCAAGAGTGTTCATCGCGAATAAGCTGTCTTTGTGCTCCCGGCCAAGCAGCTTGATTCTGATATCTAGTGCGGCCATCGACATCTGCTCCGCCTCGTTGAATGCGCAGATCTTGTATAGGTACCCAGATGCCTGGTGAAGGATCGTAGCTAACGCTATTGGTGATGTGTCTTCCTCCGACCATAACCTTGCTGCAGCTTTCGCATGGGGAAAAAGAATTTTCCATACTGGCCAATTCTTGTACTCTCCATCGGGAAGATGGGAACAAAGACGGTTGACAAAGTTTTGCTGCCATTCCTCCTTCCGGCCTTGCGTCTCTAACCACCTTCGCATTGATAACTGCACAAGACGGTGCATCTCTAAAGAGGTTCCATTTTTATTGCTGGAGATGAAAGAATAATCTCGCAGAGACGATATGGCTTCTTCAAAGTCCTCATCAGATTTGAAGCTTAAGTCTCGGTGATCAGAAGATGTTTTGGTGTGTTCCCGGGTTTCGTTCTCCTGCTGAGTCTTGCATTGGCGGGATTCCCGATTGCGATCCAAACAGGCTGGCCAAATGCAGCACCAATGTTTGAGTTTTGGACGATGAATCGACGTCTCTTCCTGCTGAGATTTTCGTTCCTCACTTTCTCCTTCTTTCATCTTCACACGACTCAGATGTTTGCCCGGACCTCGTAGTAGACTGTCTGGAATACCTTGACGGTCGCAGAAGCTCATCAGGGATAATAAGTCGGCTGCGCGAGGTTCATTCTCGTAGAGGTGATCGAAGGATATCTGCCACGTCAAAATGATTGAGTTATTGGCCTCGCTATCTCGTCGAAGCCTTCCGCCGTCTTCGTCAAGTAGGCCCATTTTCTTTTCTTCGCTCTCCTGAAGCTTCTTGATATATTGCTTCAGTGAACATCGCGGGGCTCTATGTCGAATATATGATGTGGCTTGGACGATTGCGAGTGGCATATACTCGAGTGCTGATACAAGTTCACCAGCGTTCGTGGTGGTATCCTCTTGGTCATTGAGATCCTCAAGCTTTTGCTGGACAAGCGCTACTGCATCTTGCTGGCTCATGGGCTCGACTGCCACGATGTCGTGGTCCTCGACTATGGATTGCGCCGTATCCCTATAGCGGCTTGTGATGAGGATTGATCCCGATGAGGAATGAGGAAGGTAGGATATAAGAGGTGCTGCGGACGGACTTGTACTGGATGCCACATTGTCTCGAGAGTCCGATTGCACGTCTGGACTTTGGCTTGGAGCTGCCACCAGGAATCCCGCGTCGTCGACGTTGTCGAGTATAATGGTCCATTTCCCACTCTTATCACTACGCAGCCAATTACACAACAGCTGAAAGATATTGCATTGGGGATCTTGTCGCCCAGTTATCTTGACGTGATCGGCGATGTCACGGATACTCTGCTCGTAGCGGGCTGCGTTACTCGCATGCACCCAGAATACCCACGTGTCTGGCGATCGGTCTCGCACCTGGTAGGCATATTCGATAGCAATCTGAGACTTGCCGATCCCGCCTAGGCCCACCAGCGCAACTCGCGCATCAGGTTTGGCACACGCCTCTTGCACTTGGTCCAATATGGTACCTGGTCGCACAAAGTCCTTGTCTCGAGCGAAGGGTATGATTATCGATGGCTTCGGTGGTGTTTCGGGTCGTTCTTAGTCCCTCTCCGTCGTTAGCGATCATCGGAAATGCCAAATCGATTGAGTTGATAATCCAAGACAGGACTCACCCGGAGTAGCGTAATGGTGCTGGTGAAATGTGGTACTAACCGCGCCATGGATCATGCCGGCCTGCAGTCCCGAGTTTCCATCCGCAAAAGATATCGCCGACGCCATGAAATCATGGATTTTCTTTTTCTGGCATCGATGATTCAAATTTTCGTGTTCCGAGAAGACGGGGCAGAATCTACCTATTTGACAAGCAGCACAGCCGCTCTCAGATTCAGCTTACCCCGCACGTAAGGCTGCGCTGAGGACGCCCAGTTACATCCATTTGATAAGCACGACATGCCCATTGAGATATTTTTCACCTGAATAACAACAGTCATACAGAACATGATGGCTGATCCACTGAGTACCGTTGCTAGCATAGCTGGCGCCCCTGTGCCAACTTTACACGCCGTGCGTCTACTTGCACACGATTTACAAAAGCTGAAAAATCTGAAGTCGAATCCCTAATCCCTAACGAAGCACGTACAAGGAAATTTGAAATCTTCCAATATGACTGGTAACGGTAAATGAACCTGAAGGCGCAGAGGAATGCCCAGGTTAATTTTCAGCAGGAAACAGTCAAAGATCCAAAACCAAGGACTAATTTGTAAAACTCTCATCCCACCTATCGTGCGTTTGGTACCATTCTATATGCTCGAAGATGTCTCCTTCCATCTCCATGACTTCGTCAGCATCCTGCTGCTGTCCGGCGAATGTGGTTCCCGAATTCTGGTTCTCTGGATGAACGGACATGTTCATGCCATCTTCTCCGGGCCATTGCAAGATATCCTCTGGATCAATGAACATGTTCATGCCATCGTCTCCGGACCATTCAAAGTCGCCGTTACAAGGCCACAAAGAATGATGGAGTGTGTCCATTCCATCAATAGCATGAAATATCGAAGACTGCTCCATGAAAGACAGCTCAGTATCGAATGAGTATTGCGAAGTCTCATTGCCAAGCAGGTTGACTTCATCACCCTCAGGTCTTAAGAGATGCTGTTAGCGATCCGCATTGATGAAGTGCCCCGAGAGTGAAAGGACAGAAAATTGCTCATACCTGTCAAGTTCCTCACTGTTATCCAATGTCGCATCTGCTATCCTTGCCACCGTTGAAAAGTTCTCGTCCACACATATGGTACTTTCCTCTCCGTCTGAATCTGATTCATTAGTAAAACATTCGGATACTCTGTCGAAGTTCCCCTCAGAAGTTGCAGCCCTGGGAACCAATGGCTCATCTTTCCACCAGCCTAAGCTATGGTGTAGTCCCAACTGCCATATTGTTTCTCCTACCACCTTCGAGAATTCGGCCTCCCGATATTCCTTGGGGTGAAAGAAAAGCCCTCTATCAGGAGGAAATTCGGCGAGTTCTTCATAGATTTCTTGATCTTCTGCTGACCAGGATCTATGGTCGTTGAGTGCCTGTAAGATAGCGTGATGCCCTGATTTCTGAGCATATATGATCGACAAGACATATTGAACTCGACCGTATCTCAATGTAGAGACTCCACTGTCCAAAAGAAGCTGGAGGATGTCGAGGCGTCCCCGACGGGCTGCTTCTTCTAGAGGAGTTCCTTGGCCAGGAATGTCAAACCCAAAGCATGGGTATCTTCTGGCAGACATATCAGCGTCGTGACTAATGAGGCACTTTACAATGCTGATATAACCTTCCGCAACAGCCAATTGAAGTGCCGTACAGAAGGCTTTTGAGGAATGTCCCGTGTTCACATCCGCTCCTTCCTTCAGCAAAAGAGAAACAAGATCAGTGTCACCGGTACTGACAGCTATGGTGAGTGCAGGGAACCCCCATTCGTTGAAAAGTCCGGGCTTGGATGGCTCGTACATGTTGATATCGGCACCTTTGGCCAATAACTTCTCAACCAGCTTCCTTTTTCGCTTTCGGACTGCTGCCTGCAGCGTTGTGTAGTTATGATAGAATGGATAGACCATATTGACATTTTCACATTGCTCAATAAATTTTTCAGCCACATCGTCGCCTAGGTGAGACATTGCGGCATGGAGACTTCCTACATCAGGACGACAGCCTTCTTGCAAAAGTCTTAGGGAAGCTCGTTCGCTTCCACCCATCGCAGCATACTCGAGTGGCGATGCGCCTGGTGATTGAGAATTATGCCATTCATACCAAAGTAGCTCGTCATGAGCCAAACGAGATCTCCAAGTTTTGTGATACTCTGGAGAATCATCCTGTAGACAGTCAACACGTACGGCCAAAACTTGACAGCGCCCCGGTATTCTGCTCTGCGAAAGAGTGTCAATTATATCCAGCCTATCATAAAATGCAGCCATCGATATCGCTGTAGATTCCAATGATAGTTGAACCTGGCTTTTGGTACAAGAGGAGTTTTCTCGCCTCGTGACGAGCTCATGTAGCAGAAGATGCGTGAATGGTGAATGGTTTGTGATGTCCTGGAAGACTGCAGCACAAAGAGCTCCAGAGTCATAGTAATCGTGATCAAACTCAAGTGCAAGAGTCACTATGTCCTCATGCCCACGTAAGATTGCATTCTCCAGATAGCTCCTTTTGGTCCTTTCATCTCTCGATGTCGGAGTAATTGGATAATTGCGGAGAAGAGTTTGTATAGTTGAGGTATTGGGAAGACAAAATAAAGCCGAGAAACTGATATTAATGATTGTAGGTCCTGCATCGAGCAATTGAAGAACTACTGGTTCGTGCCCTTGCTTAGCCGCTTCCTCGAGAGCTGTCATACCACCTCGAATAGATTCATCTGGTCGGACACCCTTTTCGAGCAATCTGGCTACCAGTTCCGATCTTCCTTGCTGTGAAGCTTCAAACAAAACGTCTCCAGAAGGTTTCGCTCCTAAAGCAAGAAGGGTCTCTGCCTTGTCCCATTGTTTCTGTAGAACTGCAAAGAGTAGAGGGGACACCGCGGAACAGGTAAGTGCTCCCTCCCGGTTTGATTTATCGGGCTTGTGCTCAATTGATCGCCATCCGGAGGGTCGCCATTGCTTTGAATATATGTTCGTAAAGAACTCGCTCGGCTGATCAATGTCACATCTGTGATGAATCAGTAGTTCCAGCATATCGGAAGATCCAAACTGAATCGCAATATGCAATGGTGTTGGTAGTCCATGCTTAGATTCAATCCAAGATGTAAGGAGCCTTTCGTCCATTGAGGCACACGCTCCCCACTCCAACAGCTGTCGAGCTGCATCCACCTGATTCCAAAGAACAGCCGCGTACAGAGGTGACATAGCTCCGTTTGTGGAATCAACTTCTTGGCCGAGTTGATTTCTGAGATACGACATGACGCTCAAGTGGCCCCTTGAAGCCGCCAATATCATGGCATCTGATCCGCAGGGCGAGTCTGTCATCTCTGTGAGAGCTTCAACAAGTGTCAAAACCACCACTTCCTTTTCATCGTCCATGACCTCATTCAGTTCGTTTTCATCATGTGTGCTTCTTTGTGGATCGTTTGCTGATGCTGCAAGTCCAAACGGACTGAAATCGCTCAGTGAAGATCCTCTCTGGCTCATCGTTGCACAGATCGTTGCATCGAAGAAAGTACCATTATGGTAAATATCTACGATATCTATCCCATTAAACTCGGAGCGACAGAAGTTGTCCGCGGAGGCCCCTAGCTCAATCAATTGAAGTGCTAATTTATTGTTTCCGTGGCCGAGGCACATTGACAATGGGTCTGGGCTTGCCCCTGCGTAGGGATTGGCCCCATTCTGGAGAAGTATGTCTGCAATCCTGCATGAGAGCTGGTGTGCACGGTGGCAAGCAGCGAGAGATAAGGGAGCCCACCCTGCGATCCCAGAGATCGTGCGGCTAATTCCATTGACGTCGGGCTGAAACTTCAAAAGGATGTTGATAAGATCAACGGATCCCTGAGAAACGGCATAATGCAAGGGCGGCAATGTACCAATGAAGGGTATATGGGTCCGCATCTCCACAGTGATCATCCAGGGTTTCTTTTCCAAAATATTTGCCACAATGTCAAGTGCGCCAACTATTATTGCAGCTTGAAAAAGCTCTTCCACCGCAGCCGCGAGTGTCAAGCTCTCACGGGAGAATTGGATTAGGTTGTGTAGCATGCGCGGCGATCCAAGGCTGATAAGCCGGATCAGAAGGACAAATGCTTCAGCGGTCGATAGGTTGCTTTCCAAGCCATTCTCTTCGTCTAGCACAAAATGATTGGATGCGAGATAAATAAAGATATGTGACAGGGTTTTCTGTTGATCGTGATCCTTGTTGCTAATAAGGGAACTGGCTCGTTGAAGATTTTGTCCTGAGAAAGATTCTGGTAGAATACTTGAGAACCGTGCTGCCATCCACTCAACACTGAGGAAGGCATTTTGCAACTTTGCTATCTCTTCAGATTTAGTAAGTAGCTGTATGGTTCGACGGACAAGGTGGGATAAAACGAATTGGATAGTCGCCGGTGTTACAAATTTGGCAAGATCCTTCTGCTCATATCGTGCCAGGCGAGATATGGTGTCGTTTCCGTGGTCCTCGGGCTCTTGCGTTCTCGAATTTCTCCCACGGGTCGTTAAAACCTTTGGAGCTGGAAGTAATTTCATAGAGACGTTTTGCAGAAATTGGTACCAGGGAAGCGATCTTGGGAATACCACAAGTTCTGCAAGACTTGGGCTTGAAGCACGTGGAGTGGAGACGAAGAGGTCGATTTCACTTCCCGGAGATTCGGGTGTTGTCTCGAGTGTGGAATTCATGTATCAGCGCATGAATCAATGGATTAAAGGCAGAGCTTGGTATCTCACGGCGTAGTAGAGTCGGTCTTTGGTGGCGAGCCGTTTCGTCTGTCACCTTTTTGGTACACAGACGCTTCCCGGACAAAATCACCACGGACTCTTTCCCATCAGCTTTACGCTTCCGCACAGTGTGGTCGATGTAGCGCCACGTATCGGAGGACAAATTCTTGTGGAGTCGCCATTGCTTTGCCTTGTGTTGGAGTTGGGGCTTCCTGTACATAAGTCAACATGAATGCCGTCTCAAAGTGCTCATGTAAGACGTACGTGACATTCAAACCGCGGTTGTTGAGTGATGCGACAACCTCGTCCACAGTCTTGTCGCCGAGAAACTCGGTTCTAATGTCATCTTTCCATTTTTCCCATTCTTGGTTGGATATGCGCGCTGTGTACTTCCGCTGGTGCGAGTCTGACGATGACGCCATCTGCGATTTGCTGTTAATCGACGAGGCTGTGATGGTTCTGCTGGCCAGCGGGGAACAGATTCCCACGAGTGTTAGAAAGGAAAGTGGTCGGAGGTGACCTTTGTAGTCCGGTACAGAGGTGACGAAGCATGATCTCTGAATCTGACCAGAGGTGACAACTCGAATTGCTATGGGGGCAAAAGAATGAAGATCCCGAAAGAGTTTCAAGGTGGACGCGGAAAGATGGGTTATTTCTATTGCTCCCCAGGTATCTAGGTACCTAGGTACATGCCTGATAGGCACCCTGTCATACAGATTACATACATCGGCTGGGCAGCGAAAGTGGGGACTACTCGCTGGTACTCCTTCATTCCTATTGGGCACGAACAAAATCAGAATTCCTGTACATAGTACATAGCACAGCAGCAATGGATGTGGCTAGTCGTCAGCTGCTCCTTGGCAGGGGGTCTGATTGGTCTCTCGCAAAACCAGAAATACACAGTACAGCAGCACACCGAGATCACAACGTAGCCTACGTAGATGGCTATAACAGGGGTTTTCATTGGTCTCTCGCATAATCAGAAATACAGCTGCATACAGAGATCAAAACGTAGCCTAGATTGTCTTGACGCGGGAAGGAAGCGAAACTTTGACCATATCTTTGCTGATTTTATGACTGGATGTGATTGGTTCCTGACATAACCAGAATTCTCCCTTCTACGAGGTCCCAGGCGCCTTGAGGACATGCGTTTTCATTGGCCGTCGACAAAAACTGAAATTCACTAGTTGAGCCTCTGTTTGTCCTCTGTCCTGCGCATCAGAGGTGATAATGCGCAACTAATAAGTTTCAGGACCATGAGGTAGCATGCTAGACTTCCTAGAGTCAGTTTTCGCCGGGCAAAGCATATTAGATTTATATATATGAGCGAAACTGCTGTCAGTGTCGTGTCTTTCGTAGAACCACCTTCCAACTCTCATCACTGCCCAAGGTACCCATCTCACAACAGCCAACAGACTACCTTGTCTCTGCGCATCCTAATCATCTACTTTGTCTTGTACCAGAAATGGGAAGCAACACGCACACTCATCACTCGTCCCAGGGGCGCACCAAGGATAAAGCCACAAAGAACAACACCAAGAAGAACAGAAGATCCGGAGCGTCCTCTGCTACAGCTTCAGTGAAGACGACGGCCGCTACGCGTGGCGATGGAAGTACAATTGAAGCTTCCTTTTGCCAGTCCACTACCGCATCATTTCAACTGAACAACGACCCATCCGATCATACCACTGGCTGCTTGCCTCAATGTGATCACTCCTCCTGTCCAAACAACTTTGATGGATATGTTATGAATCCTCAGGGCATCGATTTCTCGGGCATCGGAAGTCAATTCGACGGCATCAATACCGACCCCGCCGTGTTTGATTGGAGTCAAGAGGTCAGAGATGGCTTATAAGTCATCGCACCTGACAGGAATACCATATGACTGCAAAACATTTTTCGCTTGATTTCAAAACCGGTGTACACCTATCTATGGATGTTGGAATAAAGTGGTTGGGTTTGATATGTGGTTGTGAATAGTGGGAGCTGATCCGCGTTCTTTTGTGTAGGGCTACTGCTAGGAAATGAATGGAACTTTAAACATCGCTTTTGACTGATTAGAAAGTTTGACAAGCAAATGCGAGGCGCTCCGGTATATTGAATACGAACGTACAACATTGAAGACTTCAATGAATCTATTTAGAGGCCCTCCTCATTGAGCTAAAGACAGAGGATATTTCCAAACGAACCTACCCACACGACCCGATCCTACTTGGTACCATAACAAAGATATTAGGCCGGGTCTCTTGGTTGATGTACTATTGATTGTAATTTAGGGAAAAGCGAAACGTTGGCCGAGATGTAAAGATAGAATATGACCGTTACCTGTATCATCCCGGTGTTACCATGCTTGATTCCTGTGCTACGGTATCGTGATGGATATATCCTCTGACCCGCGTGAGTCGCAAATAGCCAATGTGAGAGAAACTGGGTTTTGGCATGTTGGTAGCCCCAACCTTCATGTAAGGGCGGTCAATAAAAATCGGAATACCCTCACGATACAATGGCGTGGACCCAGAAAGACGCGAACCAGACCAAACCGCATATTCTGAAAACTACTTGATTTATTGCAAGTCGGGTTCTGGAAGAACATCTGTGGTTAAAAAAAAAAAGTACCAATATTTCAACGTATTTTACATAGTAGAGTGTTGCTACTACACACATGGAGCACCACAGTGAGCCGGATGAGATGCGAGGCAGGTTTATCCCTGCCGACGAATGTTGCCTCTTCTCCCTTTTGCAACTGCAGCGTGTTCGATTCTCATGCGCAGATAATCCTTGCTAACATGGTTTAGAATATGGTTCCTGCATTGCCAGGCAGAAGCGCCTTGACCAGTGACTAGGTCTAACCAAAAACCTAGATGGTTCCTGCATCAATCTGAACTCTGTTACATGTTTTGTGCTCCCCGCGTGATGATGGAGTCCTTGTTCTGCACAGATCGTGATCTACCTCCTCGGCCTGGATCCCTCATGATTGCCTACTCTTTGGCCTATTGATGAGTCCGTACTTTCTACAGATATATGATGGACTAGTCTAAACAGCGATATGTAGACCTAGTGAATAATGATTCCATGGTTTGTGGTTGTTGCGTGTCCGTCTCTTGGTCACTCATTATGAAGACGTAAACAGTTAATTTTCTCTCGCAAAAGCCTTTCGAAATTGTTTTCTACCGGTAAAGTTGTATTTTTTGTCCACCCTTCTCGTCATATTTACTTAGCTCTTTACCTTGTTTTGTCTCGTACATCTTGGCCACGAATTTTCACCACCTTGACGTCCAGTCTTTGGCGGCGCCTGGGGGCACCTCTGTAACCTTGATCTTACATTTCTCCGCGATTCCTGCTTAATATTTTCAGGCCGTAGCAATAGCAATGTTGCTGCCATTTCTATTTAAGAAAGCATGCCGTGCCGTGCCTTGGGCTACGAAATCATTTCTTGAATATCAAGCATCCAACATAATTGTCAACTCATTGAGCTGTACTGCTCCAAGTACACTAGCTACGCAGGCGTCACACTCGAAGTCCAATAGATTCAAATTCAAATAACAATGGGGATATTCCTACCCCTCAAAACTTACATTTTGTCACTGCTTAGAGGCGAGCCAAAACGTCCTCCTGCCATATATCAGTCACAATGCAGATTGCTTTGTGCGCTGCCGGTGGACCTCATATACGAAATATCCGACCACCTCCCCAAGGCATCGGTGGCTGCCTTGTCGCTCACAAGCAAGACGATGTACCATTTGTTTCCTAATGCGATATCACAACTGGGGCGATCCTCCCACGATGTGACTGATTTCCTTATTCTGTACGAAAAGGATGTCGCTATTTCGTTATATTTTTGCCATCAATGTATTCAACTTCATGATTACACCTCGAAATGGAAACCCGGCACAGCAAACCTGAGGGCTACCCTTCAGCCCCCCTGCAGTCCAAATCGCCCGAGGTGTGTGGACATTCACTTTGAATTTTACCACATCCGCCTCGTCATGAATGCGCACTTTTTCGGTCCTGGAAAGGGTCTCCCTTTGAGTCAACTCAGCCTTTCTCTGAGAAGACTCACAGTCATTACGGTTGGGCTCGTAGTGCCAAGAGTACACATCAGTACCTACCTTGATGGTTGGAAATTAGAGTCGATGGCTAGAATAGTCAATGATCAGTTGATTATTGCTACTCGCCATATGACTGTCTTGCGTGGGAGCAGAATGGAGAACTTGAGGAACGTTCAAGTCCACAAAAGCCATCATGTCTGTCGACACCTGACTACTCACAACCCGAGTTTGGTGCCATATGCTACGGACCGAGGTTGTCGACAAATCACAGTCCTTGGCGATCATCCTCGCATGATATCAGATTGCACTGAGAAATTGGGATTTTGCCGAATCTGTTTAACGGACTACGTTGTCACGGTGAAGAAAGAGCATGGTCCCTTTAGAGATCGCACGTACCCGGAACCACGAGAAATGTGGGCAATCAACATTACAGCCTATCACCAAGTGGGTGATGGCCGAGATCCTTTGGATTGGAAATGGAAAGCCTTCTCATCACGCCCATGGGTGTAGACAAATAACTCCTCTGATATTGGACGTGCGAGGTTTCTGAGATCTTGTCATCCAGCGGGTGCAGTCAAGGCGCGCTGGGAACAGGGTGACCCAAAGAATCAGAGAAAAGTTCCCACACCAGCTTAGGGACCCAGTGGTTTCTCTCTCTTCTCTTTTGGACCAAGTATTTTGTTGCACTGGACGCAGTCAGTACTCCCCGCAGACCACCTTCTCGAGTATGTTAGATACCTCTTCGGCGCCTCTGTTTTGTAGATCATAGATCAACTTAGACATTCTTGTATGCTTCCTCGATCATATTTCCTCTTTCGCACACTGGCTCGGGCGAAATCTTCATAGTCTAATGCACTAAAGTAGATGATATTTCCCAACGGTCAAATCAATGTTATTACATTACTTCCCGAGGCTTCCCCTCTTTGTACTTTTTCTTATATCCATCAAGTATTTATGCATTCCCTACGGAGGTCTTTAAACTAGGCACTCGCCGAATCCATCTAGTTCCTTCCTGCAAAGACCACCGCCTCTTGCCTGGGGGCAGAGGTTATGCTTTTTGGACTTCTGCCATCTATGGTTTTCTGGCCGAGATGAAGTCAAAAGTGATTAGCCACTTTCTCACTGGCGGTTCTACCTGGAACCGCTGCCGCGCCCACTTGCTCCTAGAGCAGTATGACATCTATGACTTGGAGGATGATGATGAGAGCGATGTTTCCCAAGTCCCCGAAGAATAATGATGGACTCGACTTTATCAAGTACTCGCGCTACTACCACAAAGGCACTGATTCCGGACACGGCACGTGATTATGCTCATAAAATAATATGATACAGCTTCGACTGTATGCCCCCGGTATGGATATTGTAATGCTCAAAAATATTTGCAATACCTACAGCGGCAACCAAGATACCAAATGCCGCCCCCCCCCCCCCCCCCCCCCGGGGGGGCTTCCGGCTGCCAACAGCGGTAGTAGTAGTGGTAAGGGTCCTCAAAGCCGAGTACGTGCTTTGCCGTCTCATCTAATTAAGCTAGGTGACCGAACACATCCTAGTTTTTAATCTCTTGTTTTTATATTTATGTCTAAATTTTTATATCGATTTTCTTTCCTCAGAAAAAAAACTATGGTGCTTTCTAAATCCATCTCATGATCCAAGTACGAAGATTAGTGTTCATTCATCACAGATGTCTCTTGTCGATGTATCAGGGAAACCAGGTCCAACAAACGGCTAGAATAACCCCACTCGTTATCGTACCAGGCAATAATTTTGAAAAACTGTTTACGAATCAGTCTTTTGTCTCTGAACCGGCATCGGTGCACATAGGCTTACCTGCTGATTCAACTCCAAGGATGCTTTACTGTCAACAACTGCACTATATGAAGTGCCCAACAGATCGCTGCTGACCAGGTCTTGGTCGCTCACTTGCAGCACTCCGGCCATGGAGCCGGCAGCGGCCTTTCTAAAGATGTCCATGACCTCGTCTAGCGAAGACGGCCGGTCCGTCGCAACTGTGAGATCCACCATTGACACATCGGCTCTGCATGAATGTTAGTCAAAACACATGACGGGTGTGATTAAGAGTAGCGTACGTAGGCACACGAATAGAGATACCCTGGACCTTGCCTGCAAGCTCTGGAATTACGGCTGTGACGGCCTTGTTTGCGCCCGTGGTCGTTGGGATGATGTTATTGAAGACACTGCGACCTAGAGATTGTGCCTCATTAGTCAAGTTGAATGGAGCGGATATGTCACTAGCAAAGTTCTTACCAAGCCTCCTGTTCTTTTTGCTGTAGCCATCCAAGATCTGCTGTGACTGAGTCGCGGAATGAACTGTTGTCAAGAAAGCCTGCGTTACTCCCAAGTTATCGTTGAGAAGCTTGAGTATAGGCGAGACGCAGTTCGTGGTGCAACTGGCAGAAGATATGACACGATTCTTTTCCGAGGGCATCAGATTGTCTGAATTGACGCCATACACAAACGTGGGTGCGTCAGGACTTGGTGCCGATATCACCACCCTTTTACAATGTGCTTCGGTGACATGTCGGATGGACAGGTCTGTCTTGTTGTGCTTGCCGGTACATTCGATTACATATTCCACACCAAGCTTTTGCCAGTCCAGCTGCGCAATATCCCGTGTTGACACGAGTGTAATGGTTTTGCCGTGTATCGGGATTTCCTCTTCTGAAATATACTTGATGTTGAAAGCATCTTTCAGTAGACCGTGTGTTGTATCATGTCGAATCAGATAAAGAAGATCGTCGGCAGTAGCGCAGGTGTGGTTAATGGCCACCACTTCGAGATCATCTCTGAGGAGGGCTTGGCGAAGGGCAGTTCGACCTAGACCAATGTGAGTGGCGGATCATAAGGGATGGAACCAGGAAGCACACCGACCTATACGACCGAATCCGTTAATCCCGACCTTGGCCTTTGGTTGAGGAAACTCCGCAAGCGATCCCATGATGACTAATGAATTGATGACTGATGACCTGGACTAATGTAGTATGTATGCCTGCCGTGCCGTGTCGAACCATTCGTGGCTCAATCCACTGCCCTTTCTAATATTCTTTTTTCCGTTGCCGGCTTGAGGTACATTGATACTTTGAACGGAGATAGTCATATACGGGCTCCGGTGCTATGGCTATGGCGGCGCTTAACCGATGCCATCCAAGCCCAGACTAACACCCAGGCGCAGTAAGCGGTGCTCGGGTTCGGATAGTACGCGCTTCAGCGGAGATTGTCATGCCCGGTTCAGATGGCTTGCTCGCAGACCTACTTGAATTCGCAATATATCAAGTCGGAATCAAACGGGCTACTACAAAGGAGCTTCGGACTCACAAACATCCTACTCTCGTCCGGATTGTGGGAAGCTCACCGGGGCGCACACGCATTGGGAGCATACTGAACCGATCGCAGCAAAAGAAAAACACCGCTGCTATGGCTCCTTGACTTCGGCTTTTCTCGGTTCCACGGTAAGATATAGTTTCCGTGTCGGCCATGCGAAGGCAAACATGACGGAGTGAACATTATGCCGAATCTTTGTCTATGATGCATAGCTCGCATGCTGTCTATGTCAAGCCTTCTCACGATTTTAGCCACGATGAACGCGTGTTCCATAACGGCACTGGCGGGCCTCTTTCCGCAATCAACACCTGAACTCGGTCTAATTGTGACGAAGACCACAATGACGCCACAAAATCCTGATATTTGGTCTTGAAAGGAAATTCAAGTGGTCCGAACATGGTGATGGGGCTTCGAAAATAGGTTGTCGAGATCGGACCATGCAACAACGAAACAGTAAGGAATCGTCTATGCTTTCTCCCTCGATGGGTCTCGAGGACATTGCTGCCCAACAAGAATTCGGGGACACGAGCCTCAATGCTAGCTCGTCCAGAATGTCATTGTATGGAACTTATCTGCTGATTCGGATTGGACAACGTATCCATCAATGTATAAGATATGCGACCGAGCCGTCAAAGTAGTCCCCGCGAGTTTCCGCAGCGCTTCTAAGCCAACACAATATCGTATGTTGTCACATTGTATGCCGGCATCAGATACCGAAAGTCCTTGGCATCGCATGGGCACAACATCAAGCATTGATGAAGAGTCTAGAATAGCCCGCACGTATGGATTTCCGAGGTTGGCTACTATAAGCAATGATGACTGCCACTTTCCGGACCTTCCATTGATGGTTACCCAAGTATTGTAGTATAGTCCTCACTCGTAGCCCCCTTTTTAGAAAGGAAGCAAGTATCCTAGATAGCTAGCTAGATTAGGGTAAGTTGTTCGCAGAAGCCGAAGCCAGTGAGTATCTAGCCCGCGTGTGCGGCGGCATGGCCTGTCCAGGCCGGCCGGACTATTTCATGTCCGGCGCAAGTGGACTAATCCGCTCGGCGAGTTCTGCAATGCAATGCAATACGTACAGCTGAGCCATGACATTCCCCCACCGTGACCGTCGTCGATCTCCTGTCGGATCCAGATACAACGTCATCCCACCCCCCGTGTTTGCCAAGACACGTAGCTTTTCACTCTTCGGGAATTGGTAATTACACGGGCGGATCTGGTCAGTTTCTCGAGCTTCCAACGTGTTTCTCGTACCAGGAATCTGGTTGTCGCCCCGCTGCCAAGCACCAAGCAGGCCAAGAAAGCTTACCCAAAGCTTGCCCACTCCCAACCCCAAACCGCCAGTGTGGTATGAATGGGGGCCACAGGAGAGCCAATGACAAGTCTGACACCAACCCCATTCAGTAATAATCCTCCTTGGGTTCACACCGCGCATCACGCGATTCAGCAGCGTCCGTTTTTCTGGGGCATCATCAAACCTCCACGAATATGGATACTGACCCCAGCTCCTTGCGACCTTGATCCGCAAAACCCGGAGTAAACAAGGCAGACAATTTGCGGAGTAATGGGGAAGTTCCTCGTGTGATTTTCCTTCAAATTGACTGCCAAGCCACTCCTTCTCGGTCGTTGACACTTGTCTTGTCTTGAACTTTCTGCTCTAGAAAGGTTGCCGTCAATCATGTCTTCACCACCTTCATTCCTCGGCTTCAGAGGCCACGCTCTGCGGGTTGCCCAGATTGCCTTGGTTGTAGCTCCGGGATTTACTCTCTTTGGTTATAATCAAGCTGGCGTTGGACCACTTGCCACTCTTCCCAGCTTTGTCGAGACTTTTCCTTCGATCGATACCATCTATACCTCTGGCTCTCAAGAAGCCGTCAACTCGACGCGGAAGGGTGCCGTCATAGCATCGTTCCAGATTGGAGCCTTAATAGGAGCCTTTTCTTGTCTTTTCTTAGGGGACGTCCTCGGTCGCAGGAAAAATATCTTCTTGGCCGCAATCCTCACCATTATCGGACAGGTTCTTCAAGTCGCTTCCTACAATGTCATCCAGTTCGTAGTGGGGCGTGTTATTCTTGGTATTGGTGTTGGCCAGATCAGCGTATCCATTCCAGTATGGCAAGCAGAGTGTTCGTCCGCCGCACATCGGGGAAGAGACGTCATCACGGCCGGTATTTTTATGTGCGTGGGATACGCTCTTTGCAAGTAAGTCTGTTCTGTTTCTCTTTTATTTTGTGTTCTTTGCAGACTTGGAATATTGAAAGCTAATGAATATTCCCATTGTAGTTGGATTGACTTTGGATTCTACTTCATAAAGAACTCGACCCTGAGCTGGCGCTTACCTTTGGCCGTTTCTTTCATCCTCTCGCTCGCAGTCGCCATCTTCATCTTTTTCCTGCCAGAGTCTCCACGTTGGCTAGTCCGGGCCCACAAGGTCTCAAAGGCTACGAGGGCCTTGGCCGCTTTGAAGGACCTGCCGGAAGACCACCCAGCTATTCGAACCGAGATTGCCCAGATAGAGTCATCACTCGAGACTGTGGGAGCCAAGAACACGTCACTTTTGAGAATGTTCTCCAAAGATGACGACGAGAGGCTATTCTATCGCTTTTGTTTGTGCATAGCACTGCAATTCTTTCAGCAAATGTGTGGTGGAAACCTCATCTCCGTCTACGCTTCAACCATTTTCCAACAGAACCTCAAGCTCGGGACTTCGTTGTCGAAAATACTAGCTGCCTGCGCATTAACATGGAAGGCAATGTGTTGTTTTGTCGCGTTTTTTGCGATTGATAGACTCGGCCGTCGTACTGTGTTCATGATAAGTGGTGCAGGCATGAGCCTTTGCATGTGTTGTCTGGCAATCAGTACCAGGTTAGTAATCGTTGTTATTTCTTTCCCCATCGACTGGCAGTGGAGTGCGATGCAGGGTCAGTGGAGAATCATGCACAGAAAGCTTCGCTGCTCTCGAATGCACGACATTCTACTTTTGATTCGGCCCCATGTCACCCATAGAGACCAGTTACTGACACATTGTCGAATAGTTTCCCAACCACCAACCATTCTGCATCCATTGCCTCGGCATTCTTTATCTTCCTGTTTAATGCGTTCTACCCCTTTGGCTTCTTGGGCGGTAACTTTCTCTACTGCACCGAAGTAGCTCCTGTGCATCTCCGTGTCAGTATGAACAGTATAAGTACCGCCAACCACTGGCTCTGGAACTTTGTTGTGTGAGTACCGAGAGCCAAAATAACATTTCCATGTGAATAATGCGCTAACATATTCTGAATTGTCAGCACCATGGTTACACCTGTAGCCCTGGATACTATATGTTTCAGGTACTATATAATGTACGCGATGTAAGTAAAGAGTCTAAAGGACCACTCTCTTTCTTTCTTTTAGTTTTGCGTGTCCCTCCAAAAGAGTAGAATTTGAGAAAAGGAGTGCCAGATGGCTACTTGTGACTCAATTTCTTGCTGAATATTCTATACAATTTGGCCAAGACCCGAGAGCTAACACATTTTGACTTGCAGAATCTCCGCACTGATTCCCATCTCTGTCTTCTTCTTCTATCCAGAGACGATGAACCGCAACCTTGAGCTATTGAACAATGTCTTCAAGGACGCCTCGTCGCCATGGGACATTGTTGCCATGGCTCGAAAGCTACCTCAGGGCGAGGTGGTGGACGGCGACAGTGACGAGAGCGGAGGCAAACATGCCCCGGAACACAAAGAGAATGCCTGAGAGACTTTCTCTTAGGCCTGATTAAGGGAAACGATTGCCTTTTTGCTCTCTTGGTGATCTTCCCGTTGCTTATTGCAGAATTGATCCGTATAAAATAGACTATAGAATTAGTCTCTGTATAGCAACGCTTAGTGAGATCAATTCATCAAAGCATCGTGACATGATAGAATCAAAGTTACTCAAACAATGGCGCAGCATGATTCCTTCGGTGTTCTTAGTGCATTTATCTTCGATGGTGATGCCTTGATCCCTGGTCCGTGGGAAGATACATTCTGTACTCACCGGACGAGTTCTAGTCAGTGGACGAAGCCAAGCCCAATGTGGGCGTTAGCGGCGGGCTTGGAAAAGTCCGGCAGCACTCCAGCTGCCCTTGCATGCCAAATGTTCAACTCAAGGTCAATCAAATGTTATGAAAGTCAATTAGGCATCTGAGAGAAATTGAATGCTAGGCTACATATCCTACTTGACAAGATTTATGTAGATATAAGACGCAGCCTCCCTCAGAACTGACATTGATTGTTCTGAGAATGGTTTGAGACCACGTTTGCGCCTGGTAAGGACAAGGGTTCTCATTGGGAGATTCTGTTACTTCGATGCCTTGAGTAGCCAGCGAGATATGCAAAACTTCTTCTCTCAAAATCCCCATCTAATCAGATGTTGCATTGTGCCTCTGAGTCAAGATCGGATATGTACCTGGATGTTAGTTCAGTAGTAGTTCATGGTAGTGGTGATGCAGCCTGGCAGTTAGCGAATTTCAGCGCTAGCCTAGCAAGAATGAGACTTGAACACAGCATGTCCCTGACCTGCTAGTGAAGGAAATGTATCCACTGTATCCTGTACCATGACACTAAAGACGACCACCAATTCGCCCTGCCCAGGGTTCAGTCAACATCGCATCCGGGGACCCCTCGAAACCGAGTCTTGGCTCTTCCGCGGGGATATGGCCCACTACAACTTGTCTTCTCACATGACTTGCATGCACAACTGCACGTCTTTGTTTCTCGGTCTGCCAATGCTTCTTTGCATGTTCTTTGAGTTACACTGAGGCTCCCTACCGGAGACCTTGCGTTGAATAGATGCATGACAGCTGCCAGTCTTGCAGCAAACCATGAGCGACACCACCAGCCCGCTGGAAACGCGGTCTAATCACACCGATTCCAGGTCGCCTTTGCAATCTCAGCATCCACCAAAACGGAGACGCACCAGCTCCCATACTCATGGAACCCAGGAAAGGGGACTCATGAGAAATGGAGGCGAATCCGGACAACCTCGATTCATCGGCAGTGGTAGCGGCATACACTTTATCCGCACCGTGTATGATGTGCTATCTCGCAGCGCGGCCGGGACGCGCAAGATCAACAGGAATCAGATGAGGGGAGATCTGGTTCCCGGAGAAGATGATCAGCTGGTTGATTCAGCCTCGGAAATTGTTGTCGCTACTCCTGGCACGAGAGCGAGCGCTCCATTCTGGCGTGCAGAAGAAATCATTGACGATACGGCACCCGGGGCGCCGTCTATCAACTTTGATAACTTGACCCGCTGGACACAAAGTTATTTCGTGAATTGGCACCCTGCATTTCCATTTCTCCATGGACCAGAGGTTTTGGAGATTTTTGAAAAGGCTGCTACAACGGGTATTGCCAATGTCACCGAGGCGGAAGCAACAATCATTCGCGCTCTTCTCTCCATATCACTGGCCGATTCGCGCCAGATAGCGCCCAATACACAAGAAGCCATTCCGTCCGGATGGGTCTTCCTCAATCAAGGGCAAATTGCCTCGAGTCTGGTATTTGCACTAGAGTGTCCGGCAACTCTGAAAAATATCCAAGCTGCTGTCTGCGTGCAACTATTTCTCGTGTCAATGCTGCGCTACAATATGGCATCAAGGTTGGGAGGAATCATTGTTCGAATGGTAGGCAGCGGAAAACGCCAAAGGCTCTTCTCTTCGGGTTTTTTGTTCACTAACTGTATTTTGTTCACTGGCTCCAGGCTTTTCATCTAGGTCTTTACCGCTGCCCCGCTCGATACTCGAATTTTAGCCCTCATGAAGCTGCCATGCGAAAGAGGATATGGTGGTCAATTTATTGTCTTGAAAGGATCATATGTCAAGCCTTTGGTCATCCACTGGGTATAATTGACGACGACGTGGATGTATGTCTGCCATCAGTGGAAATCCATGGTGATGCTGCAGCAAGTGCCGTCTCCGATGAAGGCTCAGAAGGTAAGGAATATCTAGTCATTGTGATTCATACTCTACTGACCTTTAAAAGCTGATCCCTTGCTTTTCTTGACTTTACATGCTAAACATGCACGACTACGAGGGCTCATTTTGGAACTCCGTCACAAGTCTATAGCTATCCGCTATGACACGATGGAACGGGCCATGTTGGTACAATCTGAGCTATTAAGATGGGTCAATGACGTTCATGAGAGAACGGCAGATCGTGTTGACATTGAAAGTTCTGGATTGCAACACATCATTTCGCCCATATCTCGCTCCCAGCGTACTTTGCTGTCCCTCATGTACCATGAGTCTGTGATCACGCTCAATCGGCCGCTTCTTGCTTCGGAAACAAAGAGCCCAGCTTCACAAGCCGCCTTTCAAGCATGTGTCAGCGCTTCAAGGTCTATTTTAGATACTATCATCATGATGGGCCAGCACGAAGACGGAAACTCATTTAACAATATCTGCGTTTGGCCTCTTCAAACCTGGTCAGTATGGATGAGTTCATTCATTTTGGCTTATGCGGCCCTTCAAGGGGAGACGACGGTATCTTCGGCCCACAAGTAAGTGCTATTCCGATGGAGACGAACTATGAGCTGCAGTGTAACAAGCACCCAGGTATGCCAAGAAGGCGCTCTACATTCTCAAGCAGCTCACTGCTAGAGGGACATCTTGGCCAGAATCATGTGCCCACGGTGTGGAGTATTTGGTCTCTGCACTGCAAGAAAACCAAGAAGGCTCAGGTCACCAAGTCACCAATAATACATTGTTGTCCGCGAGACTGAATGGACAACGACAGGGTTCGGCATCAGCTGACCCAAGCAGCAATACCCACGCACAAGATGGCAACACCACACAAGACTCGAGATCTGTGGGTCCTGACACAACCCTGAGAAATTTCGCCTTTAACCCTGCCGGGTAAGTTTGGCCCAGTCCTCGAAGTTTTCTTATTCGCTCGCTAACCACGGTGCCATTATAGTCTTTCTCAAGTGTTCATGACCGACGATGTTCGAGCGCGGACACCATTTGAATCACAATCATGGAGGCAAAGTCTAGACCAGACGTTTGTACCCGACGGCGCTTCGTCCATGGACACGTATGGTCAAGAGTGGTTTGATCCCATGGGAGTTCTAGACTTTTCAAATTTTACACAGTTTGGGAGCACGGATACGCCTTTCGAGTTCAGCTTCTATTGAACGAGCGTAAATGTCTCAGTCGGACAAGCGAGCTAAGGTTATGGACACGTCGAGATTCTAGAACCTGCCGTGTCGCCTGCGAAACTCCGGAATGAAGGGGGATGGGATAGAGCAAATATTTATGGACATTGCAAAATATTGCTCTGGTTCGCCAAGAGTCCGTCCCTTTACCAGACCAGGGTCTCTTAGAAAACATGATGCGGCGTGCAAGTCCGAGTCTGTCGGTCCGTGATCATGTCCGGTACATGATGCAGCGCGACTCGGACTGGACATGCTCCGCCCCACCAAGATTGGGGACCGCCAGTATGACCCGGACTTGCCATAGTCCGGCTTTCTACATTGTAGACTTGCATATAGTACTACTATACACCGGACCTCCAAATAGCCTGAAGCGACCGTCCACTGCCGTCCACTAAAAGTCGTTCGGTCAGCCACCTGACACTAGGTATTTAAAACAACTTCCACAATGATGAATGCGCTTTTCTACTGTATGGCTCTTCTTAGCCTGTAAATCAACAAGCACACAAATTGCTAGGAATAGTTTGCGAAAGTCTTCTCTCTCCCTTTTTTTTTTTTAAGTGAAATTCACTCCCGCACTCTTCTCTGTTCAAAACAGACGAGAGCAGGAAGGAAGGAGGAAGGCGGATAGAAAAAGCAAAAGGAGAAAGAGACATAATTAATCAGTCAAGCCTTTTACCAAGAAATTTCCCATCTCAGTTCATCTCAATTTCTGCCCATGAAAGTTGGTAGACAATGTTGCGGGATGGTGTTTCCTTGGGCAATCAGGGCACCGTATCCGCATTCCTGACCACAAGTGATGCATGCATTGCGAGAGACACTTAGAAATACATTTCTGAGTGAAAAACCACTGAGGATATTGTAGCTTGTCCACGGGACTCTGAAATACTTGACTATCCCATTTGCTAGCAAATGAAGCAATCGCCATTCAACTTGACAAGAATCCTGCCAGACGAGAGAGCGAAAGTCTCCGGCGACCAACCAAACCAGATTCAAACAATTCCACATTATATGGCCATTTCACAACTCCTAGCGGTTGCATGGCTAGACAGACAGAAATAGCTTTAGATGATTCACCACGTGATTGTCAACCGACGCGACTCAAGTCTGCGTGGAATAAATGATCAACACGGCGAGTTAAGGTACACAAGCGCTGCGACCGTGCTCGCCCTTCAGCCCAATGTTATAGCGGGGGATGGCCTAGAACTGAGCACTAAAACTCTCTTATATAGTGGGTAGCATAGATTGTGGGGTTAAAGTAACACGGCAGGTTTGGCAGGTAGGCGAGCAAAAGCGCATGAACCGCTCTCTTTCCAGAGTAGAAATAGAATTTTCTCCTTTGGTATATAACATGAATTTTTGCCAAGACGAGATTTCTTCGAGCATTCATTCACATACACATACTCGGGCTTGAACAAGTCCTGGGGGGAACCAGTATACCGTTGTCGTCAGCTCCGGATGTCCAACCCAAAGACCGTTAGAATCTCCCTGTAGCGACGCCCGCAATGAGAGTCATGCTTGATTCCATTCTACCTAGTGGCCACCATGCCTATGCCAACGCTACACGTTATGGGCAAAGAGTGATACCGATGCAGTGGGCTGGTTCCTGCGCCAAGACCCTCCCCCGCAAACGCCCAGAGACCAACCTGCGCTGCTCATTGGTTTCCAGAGCCCTGGCTTACACATATGACCTGATTAGAGCTGGGTTCAATGGGCAGTTTTTGGCCTTTCTCTCTCTATCTCTCGCTCTCGCCCACTCTATCGCTCGCGATATCCATGATTCCTACTCCTCTCCAACTTTACCGCTAGAATAAAGAGTTGAAGATGCGGAGATGACTTTGTCCGTTTTCTTCTCCTTCTTCCCCATGGGGTTGAGAGTCTGGGGGGAAATGGAGTAGCTGAACCAGTCTGTCGGTGAAGTATGTAAAGGGCCACTCCTTCGCAACAAAAAATGCACAATATCTTGTCGATCCAAGCTCGCTCAGGTTCCTCCAAGCTCAGCCTACCCCGACAAACCAACCTCAGGAGAAACACTCGCCTCCCCTCACGAAAGACACCAAACCGCAGTCATGACTGATGTCCAGTCTGTTGTGCCTGGCAAAGCGGCAAAAGCTAGCGAGCCAACGAGCCAGCAAATCGAAGCCATTTACGACGAAAAGTACAGCGATGAAAAGGCAGTTGATGCGGATTACTCTGGCGCCACCAAGAAAACCGATCCCGCCGAGATCAAACTGGTCAAGAAATTGGACTATAGAATTATGCCCATTCTTTGGGCCATGTATTTCATGAATTATGTGAGTTTTTGTATATGGCACAGATTGTGAGATTGGGCCGGGCAAATTACTGAAACGTTGCACAGTTGGATCGCAACGCCATTGCCAATGCCCGTCTCAACAATTTGGAGAAGGACTTGGGTCTGGTCGGCTCTCAGTATAACACCTGCATCTCAATCTTGTTTGTTGGGTACGTTTTCATACTTACACTGAACGCAACATGCCATTGATCTATTTGCTAGATATCTGCTCATGCAGATTCCGTCCAACATGTTGATGTCGTCTGGAAAGATGCGCCCATCCTTGTATATGTCGAGTTGCATGGCGGCGTGGGCACTCGTGAGCGCATTGACTTCTATTGTGCATAATTACACAGGTGAGTTGCGTGATGCAAAAATTGTACACACCGTGGAGAATGCTAATACTCGTTCAAAGGTCTCGTTGTGGTCCGATTCTTCCTAGGTATCGCCGAAGCGCCTTTCTACCCTGGCGCACTCTATCTGCTCTCCATATTCTACACTCGAAAGGAGATTGCGACTAGAATTTCGATTCTTTACTCCGGAAATATATTCGCCACCGCCTTTGCTGGTCTGATCGCGGCAGCCACCTTTTCGACTCTCGACGGCGCACATGGTCTTGCTGGCTGGAAATGGCTGTTCATCATTGAGGGCGTCGTCACCTTTGGCGTCGCTGGTATTGGAATCATGATGCTGCCCGACTCGCCACTGACCACGTCGTGGTTGACCCCGGAAGAGCGACAGCTTGCCCACGACCGCATGGTCCGGGATACTGTGGGCAGCGAATCCAGCAAAGGCACTAGGGCAGGATTCTTCCAGGCGATCAAGGACCCCAAGCTTTACTTGTTGTGCTTTATGCAGAATATGCACCTGTCGGCTTGCTCTTTCAACAACTTCTTCCCTACAGTGGTTGGCAGTTTGGGATTCCAGACGACAATCACGCTGGTTTTGACATGCCCCCCCTATTTGGTCTCTGGCATCGTGGGATGCATAGTCGGGTTTACTTCTGGGCGATATAACGAGCGCACCTGGCACATTACCCTCAGCATGGGCGCCGCCCTGGCCGGCTTCATCATCAGTTGTGCCACGCTGAACACGGCCGCTCGCTACCTGTCGTGCTTCCTCTTTGCCAGCGGCGCCTATGCTGTCAATTCCGTCATTCTGGGCTGGGTATCAGCAACGCTGGGGCAGACGCCCGAGAAAAAGGCCGTGTCCCTGTCCATTGTCAATGTCGTTGCCAACGCCTCGTACATTTACACGGCCTATCTCTACCCCAAGAGCGACGGCCCGCGCTACCTCATTGCCATGTCTAGCAACTGCGCGTTTGCATTCTTGACGATTGCCTCGGCTTGGATTTTGAGGTTTTGGCTGATTAGGATCAACAAGTCAACTGCGAGGGACGGACAGCTTCAGTTTGCGTATTAGATGATGCAAATACCGGGTCACATTGGCTGGCACAAATTAACTCAATGCTTCACTTGACAGCCATCCAAATGGGCAAGCGAAAGTCTATGCTCTGTGTATCTAGCGACAAGAGGGCGAGTGAAGAAACAAAGAACCACCCCCGGAGCGCAATAGCCGGGTCCTGGGACAGGCCATTTGATACCTCCGCTCTTATATATGTATACACATTTGAAGACTCCAATTTCGAAATCATGCCCGCCATCATGATACTTGACTTTAAGCTGAACGCATCAATGTCTTCGCAACCACTCACTAGGGTATGAACGTCGAAAGAGTAAAGCCTCTCTAACGCAACCTTTTACCTCAACTGCAACATGACGTTTTACGAGGCACGAAATCTGATGTGTGCAAATACACAACTCCCGATGGAAAACATTAGTTGCAATAGGTATACACTTTGGATTCTAGACTTGCCGTTGGTAGTCGGTCTCTCCCATTCATAAAATTCACATCATTAAACATGCCATGCCAATTTAGAATATTTGTGCCAAGGAGTGCGACCTGTCGACGATGTAAAGATCGTACACGCACCCTTATTTGTGCCTTTCTGTGCATTGACTTGTGTGACCAAGTTACTCTCGTGAACAAGGATATGCCCCGGCAGTATTTGCAGTTCCGGTGGGATGCATATACTCAAGATTGGAAGAGCGGTGGAACGGCCAATCAGCACACATTATAATCCAGCTCCACTCTAGAAATAATTACCATGCAACTATATCGTATTCGGTTTTCGATGAAACAAGGCTTTCTCAATGTTGACTTATAACATAGTTTGCCAAGTCATAAGCCGGGCCACGACGCTCCACGATACCGTAATAGTAAAACTGTTGGTGTTTTCTGGCTTGTAAATGAATCGAATTATTCGATTTGAACTGGACGAGTTTGAATGAAAAATGCACCAATGAGAAAATCATGGATGTTTTTGAGAGATATGGGAAGTATAAAACTGCCTAGGCAAACGAAACATCAGCCATGCCGAGCTTCAATTGAGCAACCTAGACCAGAGGCTATACACTTTTCTCCGCCAGTCTTTGTTTGTTCCCCTGATCAATCTTTCAAGATGAAGTTCACTGTCAGTGCCTTGTTGTGCCTTGTCGCCTCGTCACAGGTTGCCGCTCTCGGTACACCAGTGAGACGCAGCCTTGGCACCGCAACTGTTTCCCTGGGGGCAGCCATAGGCACTCCTTCCCAGTTGGGGTCAGGGATTCTCTACGGTATTCCTCCCAACGACGACGGTAGCGCATCGACACAGATACCAGACCATTTCTACACGGATATCGGATTCAACCTGGGTCGTGCTGGGGGTGCGGCCTGGGGATCCCCCAACCGGGGCTGGTCATTCAGTCCCGCAGAATATACGGTGGGCTTGAAAGTCTAAGTTTTTGATTTCGAAGCTTTGAAGCAAGTCTGACGTTTGTTTGCCCTCAGTACCGTTTTCAAGTGACACTCTCAAACTATCGAACCACCAGGCAACACGGCGGTGACTTTTACTTGTTGCCCCATGATCTTTGGGGCATCGACACGGACGGCAAGCCCTACCCTGGCGACGACGGTGATTGGATTTACTACGACCAGTTTCTTGACCAGCTCATAAGTGATATAAAGGCCAACAGCATGACCGATGGCTTGATTATTGATATTTGGAACGAGCCAGATGCATCGGGGCTCTTCTGGAGACGAACCCAGGCCCAGTACCTGGAGATGTGGGGCCGTACTTACTATCGATTAAGGTCAAGCCAGCCCCTTGCAACATATTCAATGTGTATATCAACTAATAGTTTCACAGGCAAGATCTACCTTCTGTTAGTCTTTCAGGTCCCGCGACGAGTTGCGGTCCGGCGGACAACAACCCAACCTTTACTGGTTGGGCAGAGTTCGTTGCTCAAAACGGAAGTATCCCGGATATCTATACTTGGCACGCTTTGAACCCAGCCCTGAGCCCTTCCACCGACGCCAGCTATTTTGCAAGTCTGCGCAGCTCACTGGGATTGCCCTCCAAACCAATCTGTATCAATGAGTATCTTGCCTATGCCGAAGAAGGGCCCGGACCAGTAACGTACTACCTGAGTCAATTCGAGCGCTTGGGTATCAGTGGCGTCAAGGCGAACTGGGCCAAGGGTGAAGCCAATGCCTTCGCTCTGCATAATTACCTGGCCAACATTCTCGGACCCGAAGGCGCCACGTCGGATTACTACGGCAACGGGGAGTTTCAGCTATACAAGTACTACGCATCCATGAGCGGCGAGCGTGTGGCAACCACCCCTTCCTCTGATGGTGTCTTTGAGGTCTTTGCCACACGGAACCCGGTTAAAATGATCACTGCTGCTCGTCTGAGCACTGACTCTTATACCGTGACGGTGACAGGGTTTGCTGCAGCAGGCTTTACCGGAACTACAGTTACAAAGCATGCCTATGGCTTTGAGTGGGACGGTGTCTTTGGAGAGGTTGACGGCACGGTAGATTTTGGGACCGAGGTGCACACTGTCAGTGGTGATGCGGTATGTCTTCCGTCTGCAACACCTATCAGCCATCCAAGCTCACTTTTGGTTAGATTTCATTCGATGTATACCCACGATCAGTGAATGAGGCATACGCATTTGAATTTTCCTAGAGACGGTGCTAATGGTAAAGTACTGATCGGTTTACCATGATCGCTCGCGATGCCTCCCTCTATCTTCAAGAACCGTTAGTCAAGTAACGCCAATCAAGCTTTCATTCCGCATCGATCTCCTCAAATGGAACCGAGAAGTTGGGCCAGCACTGGACAACAAAACAGGGCGATGCAGACTATGGCGAACAAGGCGCTCTGTTTGTATAATTAAATTGAGTGAGCCATAATCGAGCAAGGTGGCAAAGTTTAGTTTGTAATACTAGTTTATGATACTTATTACCATTTTACACATGAGAACACATGGAATTTTCAAAGGCCACAAATTATGTGTGATTTGCTATTGATTCCTCTTAGATTATACCTAGACGTCATGAGCTAAGCGCATCCCTGCGCTGCAACTGGAAAGGTAGCATATTGGTACGTAAATAGTTCCCAGGATCCTCTAGTAGAGTTCATGGCGGAGAAAGATAAATCACGTTGGCTCAATCGATGTGAAATAAATGTCTCGAATTAAGATTATTTACATGCCATCGATGTAGACAATCACAGCTTCGCTATTCAACACATTGACAGTGGCAACTCCATCGTCCACATTGATAGTCTCCATGACTGGACTACCCGTAGTATAGTGACCCTTGCCGAGATCAACACTATAACTCCACTGCTCCCCAGCCCAGCTCACATTGTGGGTTGGCCCGGCGTAGTCAAAGCCTTGCGCAGCGGCGCCAAGGTCAGCGTGAAGTCGCCGAACTGTAACGGACGTCACGCCCGCGGGGAGTGTGACATTAAAGTCTTCACTCCCCCGTTCTCCTCCGAGAGTGCCGTTATAGAGACGCAGATTGACGAGTGCCAGACGCAGGAGCGCACCAGACGCATTGTCGTACGCCGAGTATGCGCTCAGATACGGCCGATCTTCTCCGAGATCAATCTCTTGCACAGCAGTGTCGCCCTCGGCTCCGATGAAATCCGCCACGTAGGCGGCAGCCGGGAACGGGGCGCGGACCTGAGGACCCGTGTTGGTGTCGACCGCCGAGTCGTCAGGCACCCAGAACTGGCGACTGGCCGAGGGCCGACCTGCCAGGTTGTTGACGCGCGCCACGCCTCGTGTCATGCAGAGCAGGTTGAAATCGACAGCCCAGAGGGCATAGCCGAATCCGCTTTGAAACTGTGGTGGTGCGCCGCCTAGGACTGCTGCGTCCTCGTCAATGTAGTAGGGTAGACCCATAGCCTTTGAGGCTTGGATACTTTCCGAGTAGTTGGCGAGGCGATTGGTAATTGTATAATGATTGAGCATTCTTGCTGTGCGTGGTGTGAGGAAATGACACCATCCTTTGTAGATCTCATCACTCACCTTGCATTGTGGCATCATTCCAAGTCTGGGGTGGTTTGACCTGGTAATAATGCTCGGCTGTATTCTTGAGCAGACCATTGTTATTCATTCCGGCACTGAGTGCATCTGATCTGTGGAGCACGTCAATATAGTTTGCAATAATAAAGACCAAAAAGATTGTACTCACAGCTTCCATTTGTTTCCGGTTCCCGCATTCTCACTTGCCGTGTTACTCGCTTCGAATATCTTCCGAGCATCGCCCGTGAGATTCAGCGCATCGATGATAGCGGCTTGAATCTGCAGAGCGTCATCGACATACTTCTCAGCCGTGGCATCGTACCACTCGGGCTCATTGCCTAGAGCAATGGCATCGACCCTTTCTGCCCCAACATTCTCCCAAGCCTGCGTCACGTAGGCGAGAGTCATGGTCAAGTTGACAGTGGAATTGAGAGGCGCCTGGATGTTGATCTTGGCACTTTGAAAGCTTTGAAAGCCTTCAAAGAACGAAGGTCCTAGACTGTAGTATGCATCGCTACCGTTTGGGCAGTCGCTGCCGTTACGTTCGAGGCAGATCCTGTTCTCGGTCTGTGATGGATCATACGAGAACTTATCACCGCTTGTGCCACCAACTCGAAGGACTGGCGGGGCGCCCATGCGATCCGCGATGGAGGCGATGAGGTTGTTGGAGAAGTCATTTGCATAGTTATTTAGAAAGGCATTCTCAATGCCAAAGCCAACAAAATCCTTGGGGACTATAGGCGCATCATCGTCCTTTGTTGCCGGGTCCAATGAAACAGCCTGGGTTGTTGTAGCATTGAGGAGAGGAAGGCAAAGAGACAGGTTTGAGTAATGCATCTTGTAGTTTCGCATGAAGTGCACTGACTCAAGAAGCAGTAGACCTGGAGTAGATTTGCGATTCAAAGCATATTTATAGCGGCAAACTACGTCAGCATGATTGACCAGTCAAACGAAACCGAGCCCTATAAAATGAGCTAACGTTAGCCCGTCTTAGGCGGCCGCATGTGTAGGGGCCTGTTAAGATGTGCTGTGTATAATGTAGTCTAGTGCTTACATACAACGGGCCTCGGTCGCCACCTTCTATGATTGGCTTGTCCTTGCACCTCGAAAGGCGAATCCTGCAATACAGGCACACAAACCAATCCCATTGACATCTCATACTTGAATTGTTTCTTTTTGGCTTTGTTCTCCTTATGTGAGATGATATGACGGCGAGAGACTAACCCGACCAACGTTGACATGCGACAGAGAAAATGTTGGTAGATCAGGGTGCGAAAGAATCTCGATCTACCGGCCACCGTGCTAATCACAAGCCCCCGGCTCTGTCAATCCTCAGCACTTCTTGACCCACAGCACCGCTCAAAATTCAACCCTTTGAGAGCATTGGCGGTGACTGCACGGTTAGACAGGTCAGCTGGATGGTATAACAACTGGCCCTAGGCCGTTCAACTGAATACTATACATACTTTGAATATATTTTATTCCGATAACGATCAACACTCATGCTGACATCTTCCTACCCCTTGACTTACCAAGGATAAGTGAACACAAAAGCTGAGCTGAGCTAATGCAGATCAGATGACGGGTGGAAACAATCTGTCGATCTCAAGTCGGCAGTGACAGAAAACCCTTGTTGTCTATTAGTAGTCGGTGTGAGCGATGGGATTCGGTACATGGCCGGTTTTAATGCATACATCAGTTCGTGCCTCGAATAAGGTGTGCAAATTTATATTCAGAAACGCGGACTTGGTACCTGAACACAACCCTGTGATTGATGATCCGAAAAACTTATACCAGGCGGACATCAACTTGCAGAATGCTAGCTAAGAGTCAAGTCCTCCGATAGTGATGCTCTTGACATTTGTGTATTCGGCGAGCCCATAACAGCTTCCTTCCTTGCCGTATCCACTCTCCTTTACGCCCCCAAACGGGGCCTCTGCAGCGCTAATCTTGCCAGTGTTGGCGCCCACCATGCCGACCTGCAACCGCTGCGCGACGCGCATGATGCGAGCATAGTCGCGCGAAAAGAAGTAGCCAGCCAAGCCAAACTCGGTGTCGTTGGCCAGACGAATGGCTTCCTCTTCGGTATCAAATTCAAAAACTGGCGCAAGGGGACCAAACGTCTCGTCTCTGCTCACAATCATGTCCGGTGTCGCTCCAGAAATGACCGTCGGCGCAAAAAAGTAGCCCGGCTGCTCTGGGGCTTTGCCGCCTACTTCAATCTTTCCACCCTTGGCCAGCGCATCCTCGATGTGCTCTCTTACTTTCTTCACGGCGGCCTCGTTGACCAATGGGCCTTGGGTCGTCGAGGGCTCATACCCGGGACCCATTTGGAGAGCCGACACCTTTTGGACCAGCTTGGCCGTGAACTCTTTGGCGACGCTCTTTTGCACGTACAGACGGTTTGCGCACACGCACGTCTGGCCCGAACAGCGAAACTTGCAAAACATGGCGCCCTCTACAGCAGCATCGAGATCCGCGTCCGCAAAGACAATAAACGGCGCGTTGCCGCCGAGCTCCAAGCTGACCTTTTTGAGCGTGCCCGCGGCGAGTTTGGCCAGCATCTTGCCCACGCCCGTAGACCCCGTAAAGGAAATCTTCTTGACCAGCGGATTGGTCGCCAGCTCCGTGGCCGCCTGGCGGTCCTTGGTCGGACACACCTGGATCAGGCCGGGCGGAAACCCGGCCTCGACCGCCAGCTTGGTCAGCGCCAGACAGGTAAAGGGCGTCTCGCTCGGCGGCTTGATGACGACGGAGCAGCCCGCCGCCAGAGCGGGTGCCACCTTGCGCGTAATCATGGCCGCGGGGAAGTTCCACGGCGTGATGATGCCGCAGACGCCTACCGGCTCGCGAATGGTCATGAGCGTCGTGTGCGGCATGGATGACGGGATGGTGACGCCGTAGGATCTGGTGGCCTCCTCGGCGAACCACGCAATGAAACTGGCGGCATAGGCCGTCTCGCCTCTGGCTTCACCCATCGTCTTGCCATTTTCGAGGCTGAGAATCGTGGCAACTTGTGAAATAAGACTTTTAGTCATGAAGCTCCTAGAAAATGACATGGTGTCTGCTTACTATCTTCTTGGTTTGTCATGATAAGTTCATACCATTTCCTAAGCAAAGCGCCCCGGACAGCAGCCGTGGTGCTGGCAAAATATTTGTCTCCGGCTTGACTAGCATCCTGGATCGCCGTTTGAAAGTCTTCAAGACTGCAATTGGCTACTTGGCCCAGCACCGAAGCTGAAGAGGCCTCTGTAAACATGTGCGGTAAGAATCATGTTTCGAAGTGGAAGTTAAGAAGAATCAGATCATTTACCATAGACATCGAATTTTGCGTCTTTTGATACCCATTCCCCAGAAATGAATGCATCTGCGATGAAGAGACTTGAGTCTTTGAGCTGTATGCCACCAGTCAGATGCAAAGGCCGGCCGTGCGACAGACTATATTTGGTACTGACCTTGGACTGCACATCAATCTTGCTTGTTGACGCCATTGTTAATGCTCTTTGAATAAAGCCACTTGGAATATGTTGCAAGGTTCTGCAGGATTCTGCTCTTTACGATGTCGAGTATAATACCGTGACGTTCAGCGATCTCAGTGGCTACGATGCCTATATCAAAGTCGCAAACAACCGTCTTGGCACCATGGTTAGTGCCAATCCCGAAACGGAAATCACAGGCCGTCCTAGCCGGAAGTCTAGAGAGTCTTGGAGAGCACCATCCTCGGAATTAGCTCCCGAATACTTCAATTGAACGGGAAATGATGTAAATTCCGCTAAGCTGCCGAGCTGAATATCAGCTGCTTTGTAGAGAACAGGAACATATGTATTCCCTGTTTCAAAACCCCTAGCCAACGTACTAGAGCACGCCACGATCGCCTTGAGACAAGGGAAAGCAACAACAAGCATGCACGTCTTGCTCCGAGTTTACAAACCACGACAATTCGACATCATACTTGAATTTTTAGAAAGGTGATATTAGACGAATTTCTCTACATATTGAAGCCCGCGAACCCCGTAGTCTCTCCGGTAAACACCCAGTCAAGGTCAAGGTCGACCTCATTGTTTATTATATTTATGGCATCGGAGCTTTGCGGGTCTTCGCCTAGACCATGTCTCGTGTCTTGTTGGGACAAAGGCCCTCCCTGAGACCGAGCCCTCTTCCGCGGGGATGAATAGTCGTGCCCAGAAGAGACGGACGACCCGGGTGGACGACCTCGAGCGGCACGGACCTGGACGTCCCATTGCCGTTGAAGAATGGTGAGGAAATCCCGGACCCGTTTGGCGCTCTCCCATGCTGGAACATACTCGTCCAGCGCTCGCAGGCACGTACTGAGATGGAGGCCAGTCTCCTCTCGACTAAAGTCACCAAAATTGGTGAAATTGGCAAATATGAGCAACAAAGCAGCCGATCCCGTACAGTTGACGGCCTGCACATTTATGCGTCGAAGTGTGTAATGTATTTCGTAAATGTTGAGAAGTTTCGCAATGCTTATAGCAGCATCTATACATCTCTTCCGCGCATATTCAAAGGAGAGGCCTCGTGTGTCCAGAGTGTCAGTTGACTGCCTAAAGCTCTTTGACATTAGAGGTCTGTGAGTGTATATTATATGTTGGTAATATTGCATGCTTTAATATCAATCAGTGATCCGGTCAGGCATCATTTCGCGTCGAGAACATACTGTAATAGTAGAACATAAGGTAAATATCGCTCTGTCCGATTATCGGGGTCGACTTGAAGCGATGGAGGCAAATTGAGTTGCCAGTTGGTCAACTCTGCAGATGCCGTGTGTGTCAATTGTCTGAGGGTGTCAGTGGAAGACTTCAGACTTCCATACCTGCGAGACACCAGATGTCAGTACATTCGATGTGTTTCGGGTCGATCTGACTTACAGGCCGTAACCAATAGGCGCCATAAGCTGCCACAATAGTGCCCTATGTTTGCTCAATGTGTCCAAATCAGTTTCCAGTGAGGCAATGCTTGCCTGACGATCGGTGGGTTTTGTGACAGTCACATCCTGCATATTGATTCGTGAAGGTCTACCGAGGTGGAAACCCCACATTCTGTCCCCCGATCAGTCTCTCATGATTTTGAAATCATGGTCATGGCAAAATTACGTACTGGTCAGTGGTGTAGACACCCCAAAACACCAATCTGCGAAGATCTGCCTCTTTTTGGCTCAGTTTTCCGGCGCTGACATATGGAGACATGTCAACGTGGAGGGCCAGATCAAACGACAGGCGTACCGCCATTCCTTGAGACATGTCAGTTTCAAAAGCTCCAACAAACTTTCCATTGTAAAGTATTTACCACTATACAACCATCCTCTGGCGTCTCGCTTGCACCCAAAGTCATGCCCACTCAGAACAGTCATGGCTTGCACTGTAGCAAGACTAGGGGAATCCAATTCAATCTCCAGCAAGGCCTTTGCCCTGTCGGCGAAGAAGTCGGAAAGAGATTTGGGAAATGTAAGGAACCCTGGGTAATATCGAGCTTCAAAAGCAGCACCAAGTGCCAGTCTGGAGAACGCGTTAGCCTCGAGTCATTGCACAGATTGCTAGTAGACTTACATGGCATTTTCCAATGCCTCGGAGAAATACGGGGTATCCTGCTTCTGTTCTTGCCACTGGACCATGGCTTCTTCATACATTTTGCGGTCTACAACACACATTGTTGGATTTTGCCACGTAAAGTAGAGGTCTGTCAGGTGCTTTCTCAGACTGTCGTCGACATCCTTGTGTAAACCCAGTCTTTCCAAATACTCTTGGCCATCGTTGCGAACGCTCCGGTGTATTGTGAGGTTATCAGACGGCGGCATCTGCACCAAATGAAAGTCTGAAGTAGGCCCGAAGTAGCGCACGTTGCCCCCGGGCCCAATCTGTAGACTGCCCATTCGGTCAGAGAGTTGTTCAACAAGCGCGTCGACCACATCCGTTGCACTATCTGCCGTGCTCGATGTCTCTGGTTGTGGTGTTTTGATCGCCAGAGGTGATGCTCCAGTGTGGGGAGAGGGGATGCTGCCCGAGACCGAATGGTTGTAAGGTTGCAGATTGGGATCTTCGGGCGCCGCCTGAGTGTCAAATATATCTCCGCGAAGATCATTCCAAGTCCAATTCTGGGAAGGAAGACCAGGAAAGGCCACATCTACTGGATCTTTTGCTCTATTTATCTCGTCGATGATGCCATCGTCCAGACATTCTAGCAAAGGATCCTGCGTGGTGCTATCATTTCGCACGTGGGAGGTCCGTGGCGATGTCGATTCATCACGGCCGGACTGGCAAGATTGAGGAATATCGATGTTGAGCCTCAAGGTTGACAAGACGCGCTTAAGAGTGGCAGCCTGCTCATCATCGATGGGTGGTGGCTCAAGAGAGTTTTCTGATATGAATTGAGATAATTGCTCAGTGCGACTGAAAAGCACCTCAATTGCTACTCGAGCGGACAGTCTGAGCCAGAATTAGTCGTTTCATTCGTATATTGTCAAGATATCCCTACACTCACTTGCGGCGATCATCACTTGCTCGGTACCGGCATTCTCGACCTCTGTTCTGGCAATTGGAGCAAGTCGGGGTAGTTCCGTCACACTGCAGAACAATCAGCTGCCAGGACGCGACTGAAAAGAGAGAGGTTCTTTTCATCTTACCTTGATCTTGCTCTCTCTGCAACCTACGCAAGCCGTAGTAACATACTTTCTTCTGTTCCCTGTAGCATTTGAAGACGCCATATTGGTTCAAGATGCGATACTACATATCAAAACATCGGGAAGGAATTCTGGCAAAGACATAGCAACAAGTTGACGCTGGCTGCTCCCCTCAATCGTGGGGAAATGACTACTAGCGGCGCGGGGTTATGGGTTACCCCAAATTGGCGTCAAATTGGGGCATGAATCGCCGATAGATCCCTCTTGACTCGCTCCTAGGTACCATTGCCCACTGAGAAGGGGTCACTTTTACCAATTGACTCCTATACAGTCACTTGGTAAGGTGAAAACACGATTGCTCATTTGGGATGATGTAACACTTGGTATCATGAGACGAATATTCGCCAATTCTATCTTCGTATTAAAGAACACAACACGTAGATGATCGTGCCACTGCACAATAACTTTAGTGATATCCAATTGACAGCTTCGTGAGCAGACCTCAAGGGGGGAAACCCGAGAGAGATTGGGCAAAGTTCTCTGGTTTCAAGGGTCTAATATGTACCAACACTATGATCTTTCGAGATTATGACATATTTCAAACCATACCGACGCGGAGATTGGACCCTCTCTAATATCTCTAGTCCTTTAATTAGCAAAGCGCAAGTCATAGGACACCAGCCATTGATTTGAATGACTAGTTATCTTTGCAGCGACTTCCAGGAGCCTGGTCACCTATAACTTTAAGTTCACGGAATTGATGTCCGCGCACTAAAATGCCTATCAACTAGCGCCCGTAGGCATGGGCCCAAGACTCTTGGATCACGATATCTGCCCACGGGGTAAATAGCTGAATCTGGGGTAAGTCTCCATTACGCGGCACTTGATTCATGATTAGAGCCGCAATATCATGGCTGTGAGAACTATATCAAGAAGCTCAAGAATTTTCAATATACAAAAAGCGCTCTCATGTTCTTTAGAACTCCAATCATTCCACTGCATCTATCAGATTGGACCTTGATTGACAATTACGAAACATCACCCGACTCAAAGTAGCATTGTGTCCTATTCAACAATGTCCTCGTCAGACTCGCAGGAAAAGCGAGTGGATATGGGACTGACCGTTGAGCATGCTGAGCACGACAACAATGCTCAATTGCCCCAGGATATTAAGTCCATCCACAGCAGCCAGCCGGTGTGGGCTGAAAGAGAGACATATGGAAAGTCTGGTACGCATGTACTGTTGCTTGGAAACTCGATAGAAACAATACTGACGATTGCATTGATTAAACAAAAAAGGTTTTCGCGGCATATTCACGAACAAATATGTCTTTTGCTGCGCAGCATTCTCAACCCTCGGCGGTGCCCTTTTCGGATACGACCAAGGTGTAATGGCCATAACACTCGGCATGGAGCAATTTCAAGACGTCTTTCCCGAGGTTCGAACCAATGCCGCCGGAGCGGGATTTCAAAAAGGCCTACTTACTGCCATGATCGAGTTGGGTGCATTTATCGGAGCCATGAACCAGGGTTGGATCGCCGACAAGCTGTCGCGTAAGTGGTCCATCATGGCAGCTGTCGTCATCTTCATTATTGGTTCGGCCATCCAGACTGGATCCATGAACTATTCCACCCTTCTGGGAGGCCGGTTTGTAGGTGGTATTGGCGTTGGCATGCTGGCCATGGTCGCTCCTCTCTACATTTCGGAGCTCGCACCGCCCGAGATTCGCGGTACGCTGTTGGTGCTTCAAGAGCTGTCCATTGTCACCGCCATTGTCGTTGCGTTCTACACCACCTATGGTACAAGGTTCATTGCGAGCGACTGGTCCTGGCGACTACCATTTCTTATTCAAATGGCTCCCGCCTTGTTCCTCGGTGCCGGCGTCCCCTTTCTGCCCTATTCGCCTCGCTGGCTTGCCTCCAAGGAGCGCGACGACGAGGCTCTGCAGGTACTGTCAAAGCTGCGAGGCTTCCCCACCACGGACGCTCGAGTTGTGCGCGAATGGATTGAAATCCGAGCCGAGCACCGATACTGCAAAGAGACTTCCATGGAAAGACACCCGAAGCTACACGACGGTCGCTTGTCCAGTCGAATCAAGCTATACATCGTCGGCTACCTTGATTGTTTCCGCAAAGGGGCAATCAAGAGAACTCACGTCGGCATTGGTCTCATGTTCTTTCAGCGTACGTTGCAGATTTCGCGGTCGCTATTGACCTTGCTAACCTTTTTCCTAGAGTTTGCTGGCATTAATGCCCTCATTTACTACTCGCCAACTCTGTTTGAGACTATGGGCCTGAACACTCAGATGCAACTAGACATGTCGGGCGTTCTGAACATTTGCCAAGTAATTGCATGTTTATGGTCTCTTTATGGCATGGACAGATATGGCCGCCGTACTCTGCTCCTGGGGGGTGGCGTCTGTATGATCATTGCGCACTTGGTAATTGCCGTTCTCGTCAGCCAATACTCGACCAGCTGGGCAAGCCACCAGGCGGCCGCTTGGACGTCCGTCGCGTTTCTGCTATTCTTCATGCTGACATTCGGGGCTGGTTGGGGTCCTGTTCCCTGGGCGATGCCCGCAGAGATCTTCCCTGCCTCTCTCAGAGCAAAAGGCGTGAGCTATTCCACAATGTCCAACTGGTTCAATAACTTCATCATTGGTCTTATAACGCCTCCTTTGATTCAAAATACCGGCTACGGAACCTATGTGTTCTTCTGCGTCTTTTGCTTACTCGCCGTCGTCTGGGTCTGGTTTGTCGTTCCAGAGGTGAGTCTTGCCTTGCTGAACAAGTATCATGGCCAGTTGCTAACTTGCGGTAGACCAATGGCAGAACCCTCGAGCAGATGGATGAAGTCTTCAACGACAACATTGGAGATATCGAGATTACTCGCCGTGCCAGAATCGAGGCGGATCTTGCCGCTGAATTGGGGCACATGTCTACTCAAAATGCTGTTTGATGGAATGTACAATAGTCACCTGGTGGAGAACGATACGTTACATCTTTGTAGGCAAGGCAGGGAATCTTTTTTCCCCTCCAAGTCAATACAAACGGGAATTTCCCCCAGACCACCATTATTCCGTTCTTTGGTCTTAGCTAGTTGAATGAGAACATTTCACAAGACTACTGAATTTCGTTTTAAAAATACACTTTCTACAAATCTATACGGAACAAAATCCCCTCTGATGGTGCCACCCCACTCACTTACCGCTGGTGGCAGTAGCAGAGACTAAGGAGATGGCTTTGTGGTATACACTCAATGCATTTCTCATGGCATCTTGAACCAATGATTTGATAGCGCCGACAAAAAAAAAAAAAAAAAGGAGGTAGGAAGTTTCCCGATACTTGCAGATTGGTTCTTTGTCCAATCCATTTTCATAGCTCCGTCATGGATACCAACGAGGCAGAGTGGTTGACCTTCCTGGGAATTCCCAGTCTAGGGGCTTTATTAATTACACTGACCTTCCAAACGATAAGGAATTTGAAACGGGAATTAACCGCAGATTCCAATAAATGTGAGAGTTCTGTAGCTACCTAACATTTCGCTAATCATTACCAAAGACGAAAATTGCCCGCATATGAAGAAGCTAACTTCCCATGCGGTAACCACGGGCAGAATCATGATTGTCAAGAATTTATTCCTGTTCATTTTGTTCATCTCTTTGTTCATTCTACATGAGTCGACCAGCATGGATACCGCCAGTGATGAGAATATCATCACCGGTATGATAAGCACTAGCATTCGACAGGAGATATACCACGGGGACCTTCAAGTCTGTACGATCTCCCATCCGTCGCATCGGAGGCTCATTGTTCATGATATCGCCCAACCACGGAATTCGTTTACACAAATCAAGGGTCATATCAGTAACCATGTAGCTAGAGACCGGATCAGTGTGGAACTCGTTGCAAAAGCAGGATATACAGCTGTCATCGTTACTTACCCTGGTGAAATACTGTTAACTCTGATACCGTACGCAGCGAGCTCAACACCCAGCGCCTTGGCCAGCGATACCACGGCGCCTTTGCTGGAGCAGTAATCACTCGTCGCCTGGCCTTTGCTGGCCACATAGGCTGCAATGGAAGCAATCATGACGATCGAGCCGCCTCGCGGATTCTCGGGAGTGGCCTCCTGCTTGACCATCTGCTGGGCCGCGAGCTGGGCAGAGTAATACGTTCCGAGCACATTGACATTCATGCATTTTGCCACGGACTCGGGTGAGCGCTCCAGAAAAGACTGGTCGGGACAAATACCGGCTGCGGTGATTCTGCGCCAGGGTTCAGCTTGCATGCTTGATAGTACAGTCTCATTGGCATCGCGAGTACTCACAAACCATCTATGCGCCCAAAGTCGGCAACGACCTTGTCAAACGTCGCCTTGAGCTCGTCATATTTGGTCACGTCGGTCCTGGAGATATTGCGTAAGTAATGGGAAGACAATTTCCATTTCTGGTCGATTACTTACTTGTAGTATTCAAGCTTGACATCAAACTTCTTCTGAAATTCGTAAAAGTGCTCGTGTGGCGAATCTGCAGCATCAAGCACGGCGACGTTGCCCGACTGCTCAGCACATGCCAGGGTAAATGCCAAGCCCAGACCGCGAGCCCCACCAGTAATGACAATGGTGCGGCCTTTGAGGGATAGTAGATCAGAGACTGAGTGGTTCAGGTACCTGTTTGGCTCGGGGAATGTGCTGGTTGCCATTTTGTGAAAGTGACGACAATAGAGGGTCCTTGGTCTACTGAGGCACAGATTTTGGGAAAAGATTTTCGGGTGTGCCACGGCGTGAAAGAATCAAGACGATGATACTGCCAAAGAGTCAAAGGATATAGATTTCATCATAAAATGACCTTTGCCCAGCCAGCGGTTCAGCGGCAACACATTTTCTCGAAATTACCCCAGAATACCCCGCTGAAACTAGAGAAGCCAAAATCACGACGGTTCGGAGATCATGTCCGCGCGCCATTCTAGTCGGTGTGTGGAGAAGGGAGCGCGGGGAGTACCGGGAATCAAACATAGGATCAGTATCGCAAATGCCGATGCCGCGGAAGCATCTCCGACTTGGAATTCGTTGCAACTCCAGATGCTGCTAGAATTTGTGTTTTGGTACGGTGATAACAAGAAACGTCTGTTTTCTTTTCCATATAGGTAGAATAGCGGCAGCACAAGTTTGGTGATATTCCTGGGATGCTTTATGATTACCCCTGCTTTCATTCTTTGAATCTGATTATAGCATTTGTTTGCTCTGATATACCAATATCTCAATCATTCGGACTGAATCAATGCCAAGATGCCGTCGGTAGCACCATGGCTCAGTAATGAAGGCGCCACAACTGCCAGCCCCGGCGAAGTCAATGGAGTGGACAATGCCAAGCTCAAAGGTTGGAGAGCAGAGCTCGACGACGACGACTATGCAGTTCTTGCGCTGCGAAACTTCATTTTTGACATTTGTGATCAAAACGGCGGTGGACATGGCGGCTCTGCCATCGGTATGGCTGCCATTGGAGTCGCTCTCTACAAGTACACCATGCGATACAATCCGTCTAATTCGGATTGGTTCGATCGCGATCGTTTTGTGCTTTCAAATGGTGAGGATCCATCTTTCTCTCCCCATTTTTGTTTTTCTTTACCTTTTTGTATGCTTCTCTTCTGTCGAGATGTTCCTAACACCGATATCAAGGTCACTGCGCCATGTTTCTATATGCATTGAATCATCTGACGGGCTTTGACAACTGGACCATGGACGAAATCAGGGGCTATGGAAGTGCAAAGCTGGGCGACTACAAGACAATTTGCCATGCACATCCCGAGATTGAAGTTCCGGGAGTAGAGGTTACGACCGGGCCTCTTGGCCAGGGAATTGCGAATGCAGTTGGCTTAGCCATTGCCTCCAAAAACCTGGCTGCTAGATTCAACCGCCCTGGCTTCGACCTCGTTTCCTCCAGGATATACTGCATGAGTGGTGATGGATGTCTCATGGAGGGTGTGGCATTGGAAGCAATCTCTTTGGCCGGAAATCTGCAATTGGACAATCTCGTCATACTCTACGACAACAACCAGGTCACGTGTGACGGGCCCTTGGACTGGATCAATACCGAAGATGTCAATGCAAAAATGAGAGCTTGTGGATGGCATGTGCTCGAAGTGGCGGATGGCAACTATGATGTTCAAGCCGTCACTACTGCACTAGCTCATGCCCAGTCACTCAGAGGCAAGCCAGTCTTTATCAACATTCGCACAGTGATTGGAGTTGGGACTCAGGTAGCTGGTACCCATAAAGCCCACCACGGCACGTTTGACAAAGAGAGTGTGCAATTATCAAAACAGCTTGCTGGACAAGACCCCAACCTAACTCACGTCATACCCGAGAAGCCGCTCAAGTATTTCAGAGACTGCAAGGCCAAAGGCGAGTCTCTTGAGAGCAAGTGGAATGATCTACTGGGTGAATACAGCACAAAGCATCCAGATCTCGCCGCTGATTTTCGGCAGGCTGTATCGGGCGACTATGGTACGAAGTGGCTCGATATTCTCAAAGCCACAGATAGTGCGCAATTCAAGGGAACAGCCACCCGGGATGTGAACGGCAGTCTGATCGAAGCCATCTGGAAGGATTTCCCAGCGCTCTGTGGTGGCGGTGCTGACCTCGTCAACTCCAACAAGGTTCACTACACCGAGTCGGATGTGTTTCATCCCTCAGTCAGCTATGCCGGGCGTTACGTCCGCTATGGTATTCGCGAACATGCCATGGCGGCCATCTCCAACGGTCTGGCTGCCTACAACCCCGGGACCTTTCGGCCAGTCACTGCGACTTTCCTAATCTTCTTCCTCTATGTAAGTTAACTCAGCAGAAACTTTCGTCTTTCAAAAATGCTAATGGGGTACAGGCTGCTCCGGGTATTCGGATGGGTGCCCTTAGCCACCTCCCAGTGATCCACTTCGCAACTCACGACAGCTTCGCTGAAGGCCAAAATGGACCTACCCATCAACCTGTCGAGCTAGACTCTCTTTTCCGCGCCATGCCCAACCTTTCTTACATGCGGCCATGCGATGCTGAGGAAACCATTGGCGCCTGGATGCTTGCTCTAGGCAAGACTAGCGGCCCTTCCATGTTGTCCCTCGGACGAGATCCCACTGGTCCTGTTCCATCAACGGATCGCTACAAAGTGGCCAAGGGCGCATACGTCGTCGTCGATCAGACAAACTCCAAGCTCACGCTCGCCAGCTGTGGCACGAACCTTCACTACGCAGTAGCTGCTGCGGAGTTACTCACATCCGAGGGGTTGCCGACGCGTGTGGTGAGCTGTCCTAGCTTTGAGCATTTTGATCAGCAGGACCAGCAGTACCGTGACAGTGTATTCCCCAAGGATGGATCCCCGATTGTCAGTGTGGAAGAATATGTTGCCACAACTTGGGCGAGATATGTGACGGCTAGTATCGGTATGCAAAGTTATGGCTTTTCTGCATCGAATCCTAGTAATTATGCTCGATTTGGGCTGGATTCGGAGGGGATAATCAGAAGAACGAAGCAGTATCTGAAGGACATGGAAGGAAAGAACGCGCGTATGGAAGGATGGCGACAGATTTGAATCGTTGAGTAGCATGAATGTATTAGTCGAGTCGGCAGAGCTGAATCTGCAAATTCCATCATAGATAGATTGCCAGTGATCATTGTGCCCATTCAAAAAACGGGTGGGTTTCATCACGAGCCATTATGACGTCCATGACACGACTGAGTTTCGAAGCATCAATTGTCTTTCTGATTTTCTTCAACATTATGATAGGAATCGATTAAGTCTTGATTGAAAGGTGACGTACTTCAGCCTTGATCGCGGTGTATAGGCTGATTCGATATGATGATGAGAACGACAATAGAAATTTCCAATCAGCACAAGGAAGGGTCGTAAGGTTGGTCCTTAGCATATGAGTGTTTTTTAAGCAGAACTATGTTTGATGCTAGTGTTTATTTGAGATAATGCTCTTATCATTTCAACACGCCGAATTCAAAGATTGATCACTGCTTTGATCACAGCAGTGCCGTGCTTATCACGAGTTGCCAGCGCTACATCAAATGCTTCTGCCACAGATTGAAGACCCTGGAAGCGATGAGTAATGAGCTTTCGGATATCCGGGAGTTTTGGTCCATCTTTCTTCCCCGTTACTGACGCGATAGCTGTGTCAATCGCCCTTTCATAGCATGCAGCATATCGCCAAGTTGGAATCAGTGCGACTTCTCTCGTCATCATTTCTGACATTGGTATCTCATGCACGGGAAATCCCAGGCCAATCGAGATGACTGCACCTCCCGACACGGTAGCCTTGAGATATATTCATTAACCATACGTCACGCGGCCGAGGGTAAAGAAAAGCTGGCTTACATAGAAAGACGCTTGGATACAGGATTGTACGCCAGTGCATTCAAAAACCACCTGCAGCCGGCCAACTCGCGAACCTGTGTCCGGCCAATCCATCTTGGCGATCTGTTCCGCAGTTTCCTTGGCAACAGCCATCTTATTTGTAGGATCGAGAGCCTTGGGCCGCTTAACGAGGTACGCAGCATCAGCAAAGCCATGATCCATGGCAAAGAGGAGCCTCTGCTGATCAATGTCAGCAATGACTATGCGCTTCCATCCTGACGCCCGCGCAGCAAGACAGCACAAGAGCCCGACGGCGCCGGCGCCAAAGACCAGGCAGCTCTCGTGGACAGAAGGCAAAGCAAACTTCTCGGCCTTGGCCACAGCCTGCACGGCAACGGCCAGAGGTTCCAGTAAAGCTCCGACCTCACAGTCGAGGGCGTCTGGAAGTTTGTGCACCCACTGGGCAGGATGGTTGATTCTCTTTTGCAGGGTTCCTTGGTAATGAGGAAACTTTGAGCCCGAGCTGCGGAATCTCAGTTGCGGACAAATATTGTAACGCTTCGACTTGCACACATCACATTCTCCGCAGGGGACGCCGCATTCGATGGCCACGATGTCGCCTTGCTGGAGATGTGGCTGAGTCTTGTGCACGTCAGAGCCCAGCGCAATGATTTCACCCGCAGACTCGTGCCCAAGACATAGAGGCTCTTGCACGGTAATATCGCCATTTCGAAATTGGCTAAAGTAATGGAGGTCTGAGCCGCAGATTGTGTTGGAACGGATGGCTATTTGCACCTCGTCAGGTTGAGGAGCCTCGAGATCTCTGCTTTCGAGATGTAACTCCTTGGGCCCATGCAAGTATAGGCCTTCAGTCTTGGTCGTAGTTTGTGTTGCCATTCTGAAAACTTCGGTCTGGCTAAGGGAATATGTGGGGCTTATCGTATGGCACAAGCACTGTAGCCGCCGCCATGGTTATAGGCGGGTAGTAGTATATTTTCGTCGATCTCATCAACCACAATTCCTGGGCAGGTACTTTGAAGCAATTCCAGCTCGGTGGGTGCGACTATGACTCGGCGTCGGGAAAATGGAATTAGCGACCGTGGAACCCCTGACTCTTCTGCATGACACTTCCAGTGTAGCATCCGGAACTCATGTCCGACCATAACCGAACGCATGCCGCCGCCATCTCCCCACAAACTTACCCCATGGCCCCACTGACTTCCCCGGAACTGCTTGATTTCCGGTTGTGGCGATTCATTGGTTAACCTGGTGTATGCAGGAAGTATAGTCGACCTTGTGATCCCGAGATTGCCTGTTGTTGCAAGATTCATGCCGACATAATAGGGTCCAGAGAGAGAATGCAAATTTGTCTCTGCCTTCCTGTCTCAACAGTTACCTCCAAAAACCAAGACCTTCACTTTCAAACTTTACAGGATGGGCCAATCAAGCGATTTGAACGCCATCATTATTGGTGCTGGACCAGCGGGCATTTCAATTGCATATCGTCTCAAGCATCAACTTGGGTTTCATGACTTTACAATTTACGAGAAATTAGATGGAGTGGGTGGAACATGGAGGACCAACACATACCCGGGATGGTGAGTCTTTATTCCTTGTTGAGCGACTCGTTTTCCTCACCGAACTAACATGTTACAGTGGATGTGATTTGAAGTCGCATCTTTACTCTTTCAGCTTCAATCCAAACCCCAACTGGTCAAAAGAATTATGTGAACAACCAGAAATTCTACAATGTGAGTCCTCTCCTACATCACAGCGGAGGCCTGAGCTCATATGATGTTACAGACATGGAAGACACAGTCGACAAATTTGACATCAGAAAGCATGTTCACGAGTCTGTTGAATGCACTGGTGCATTCTGGAGAAATGACGAGTCAAAATGGGAGGTTCGGCTCAAGGATCTCCGGACCGGGCTGGAGTACAGCCGAATGGCCAACGTCCTCGTATCCGCTGTAGGAGCCATTTCTTTCCCCCGCGACGTCAAGTTCCCGGGAATGGAAACCTTCAAAGGCCCCATGTTCCACACTGCGAGATGGGACCACAGCGTAGACTACACAGGCAAGCGGGTAGCCGTCATTGGTAATGGCTGTAGTGCTGCTCAGGTTGTACCAGCAATGGCTAAGAAAGCGGCTTTCGTCAAGCAATACGCACGCAGCGGGCAATGGTTCCACGCCCGTCCAAATCGCAACTATACTGCCGCAGAGAAGTTCATGTTTCGCTGGGTCCCTCTGTACCAGCGACTTCTCCGTCTAAGCATCTTCCTCGACGCGGACGAGGAGACCACGACCTACTTCCCCACCCCCAAGGGTGTCAAGGCTCGTGCCGAGAAGGAGGACGAGTCGCGGACCTACATCAAGTCCAAAGTGCCCGAGAAGTACAGCAAGTTCATTATTCCCAATTTCCCACTAGGATGTAAGCGCCGCATCTTCGACCCCGGCTACCTGGACAGCTTGAACAAGTCCAACGTCGAGCTTCTCGCCGAAGGAATCCAAGAAATCACCGAGACGGGCATCATCAGCGCTTCCGGTATTCGTGATGACTTTGACATCATTGTCCTAGCTACCGGCTTCCAAGTTTCTCAATTCTTGACTCCCATGCACATTGTTGGTTCCACTGGGGTCTCCCTCCACGATCAATGGGCACAGTGTCGTGGTGCGCAAGCCTACCTCGGAACTCATGTCCACAATTTTCCCAACATGGCCATTCTCTTTGGACCCAACACGTTTCCCGCAAACAACTCTGCGCTATTTGCCTGCGAAACGCAAGCAGACTATGCCGTGGCCTCGCTCTTCAAGCCACTTTTGGACAAGAGAGCCAACAGAATCGAGGTCAAGCAGACTGTAGAAGACACAACAACTAATGCGATCCACAAGGAGTTGGCCAACACCGTCTTTGCCGGCGACTGCTCCAACTGGTATATTGGCGACTATGGACGCAACGCCGCGTCATGGCCGGGCCTAGCCCGCTCCTACTGGGCCGCAACGTATTTCCCTGACTGGAGCGCTTTCAACATGGACGGTGGAAGTTCATTCTGGCCAGTATTCAAGACACAGCGTTTGATGTCTACCACCTCTACCTCGCTCAAGGTGCTGATTCTGCTTGGTTCTGTTGTTGGGCTCATGAGATGGAGGGGCCCAACGTTCATGTCGATACTAGAGATTGTGAAGAGTCGCAGCATTCGGTCAGGGTAGAAAATAAGGGCGAGCAGAATTTTTGCTGTACCATTGAATTCCAATTTACTCCTCAGTATGTGATATATAGTTGTCTTCGCCTTTCGATGTCTGTGCAGCTGATTCAAGTCTGGTGCTACATCCCAGACTTCTTTTCCAAATTAGCCAAAACAGCGGACCATCGATTCTGGTCACTTCCAACATTTTGCACAGAAGTAATAAACCCCCTCAGCAACAAGACCAAATGGTCCTTCTTCCTTCTCGGCTGATTTTTTGATGCAGAACAGCAAGAGCTGGGTCTTTTGTTAAAACAAATTCATAGATACATATGTCTTGAGAAATCATGTTTTAAATGAGTATGATGTATTATGTTATTGTTATAGTGGACAACCCAGGTAGCTCTTATTTTCCAATGTTGCCGATACGATCAACAAACTGGTGGTTACTAGTTGTTTGGTTGTACTCTAGGTACTCATTAACAAGAGCCGTAATATTTCCCGATATGCCGTCTTCTGCACAGCTGCCTGGCACCAGGTTTGATCCAAGCACTTCAAAGGTCAAATGAGTGAGAAAGCTCTCCGTGTCTGGAATGTACCCGGAGGGTGCTTTTCCATTACTCATTGTGACCAGCATCGTCTTGTTCATGGGCGTCATCTCCTTGATCTTCCATCCAATCTTGGTGTAAATCTCAGCGCCCACGGTGACCAGGACAATATCGCCAATGCCCAGGGCACCGGTACGTATCTCAATCGGCGCCACACCTTGGGTTGTGTAGTTGCCAGGCCTGCCCGCACGATTGACAATCGAGTTGTCCAAGCGCTTGCGCCCCGGACAGGTCACGTTTTGCTGCTTGGCCCATATCGTCGGCGCGTCTTGCCACTGATCTGTTTCCGACATGACACGAATCACTACTTCGCCGACAATGATACCCAGCGCCTCGATATTGTCAAAAGCCTGCTTGATGTACTTTGGATCTGCCCGTCCCAACGGGATCGAGTTGTTGCGGGTGGCCACCTCGACCGTTTCGTGGTCCGTCTCGTACCCGGAGATGGCAGCGTGGCGCTGCGATAGCAAATTGTTGGTCGTAGTGCGCATCCAGCGTGGGTTCACGTCGCCCGAGGCCTGTTGACTATAGATAGCCACCATATCGTCGTCGAAGCTATTTTCGATCCAGCGCGACATGGCACCAGGCCAATCAGCAGAAGTATATCCCGTCAGATAGGACATTACGGGGTGCATCGCGTACGACGTGTAGGAGGCAATGGGAGACTTGTCGGAGGGTCGAATAAACGTTAGGACCTCGACTTCGCGATCGGCGGGTGCAGTCAGGTTCAGGGCTTCGGTCCACAGTCCCGTGATCGGGGAGATGGCGTCGCGGTTGGCGTTTGCATTCGAGCTACCAGTATTGTATCCTACCCAAGCCGGCTCTAAGCTGGCAAGGGCAAGTTCAACAGCTTTGACAGCGGCGTCGGAAACTTGATAATCTATAGATATCATTGGAATATGCCTATTGGCAAGTAAAAGTCAGAAGAGTTGTTAGCAGCCTGCTTACATCCATAGTTCTCTGCAGTTGAAAACAGAGCACTACCACACGGTGTTGCTCCATGAGTATGTGTGCTTGATAGAATGATGTTCTCAACAGACGTATTGAGCAGAGTTGACACACGTGCAACTGTATCTTGGTAGATGACTTCCTCGATATTGCTCAGATCCGACCCAATGATGGCGGATGTAACGCCCTGGCTCTGGAACACTATCGCACGAACCCACAACTTTTCATGTTCGTACTCATTTAGCGGTAGCCAGGTTCTGTTGACAGCAGGTGTGATATCAACGCGACCTGCACCGGCCACTAGAGCCTTTGCGACCGTCGTGTTGGTAGCAGTCGGAGACACAGGATCTGATGAGGATGGAGCTGGCCAGGCAGCGGTTGTTGTCTGAGGGTCGATATCAACACCGTAAATGTTACTGGAAGCTGAGCAAACCATGCCATACAGGGCAGTGGCTCCCGAGAGAGAAATAAGCAAGCCACGCATTATCTTGAACCGGACCCAAGGGTCTACTTTGATTGAAGGGGCTACACATGTCCACCCGAGCGGCTCTGCATTAAAAGCAAGGAATGATGCAATCTATTTATACAGGTACATGGGCGGATATTCTGCAACATCATTCAATGAACCTATGCAATCCCTTTCTTCTATCTCATTAACTAAAAAGCAAGCCTTCGTAGTAGAAAGTGATGGTAGCCACTACTGGTACGAATGCGGAGATATCTCTGCGGAACCCCGGATTCACCACAAGCGACAACAAGCAGCCAGCAGCTTGGTCAGTAGTGTATGGTGTATAGGCCGTTGCGGAGTGCAAAAGAAAAGGCCCGATTGCGGTGGACCGGGAAACCTACATTGGTCATATAATCCTTGGAAAGGGTGTGATGCTTGTAAAAATGGGAAAGAAAAACAAAAGCCCAGCACCACGTGAAAAGCACGCAAAATTCGTTAGTCATCTAGCTTCAGTAGATTAAAAACATACTAGCATGATAGAAGATACCTTTTGTTAGCTATCTTCATCCTATGCACCCCGAAGCCCCCTTTTCTGTGTGTACTAGGCTTCATTAGTGCAGGCTCCTGATGAACTAATACCAAGGTAGATAGGTCTACACATACGATTTGCCCTTGCTCTCCTGCAACTGTTCTTCTGAGAAATACCCAAGTATGTCATCTTTGGCATGTCTGATCTCTGCACTATAAATCACGCGATTAAATACAAATCCCAAGTCATATGAGATGTACGCTGCTCCGTCTATACAATTCAAGACGGTGTCATTTTTGCTCGTGGACCTGACACTGAGCTCGCATGCGCAGTTAAATGTGCAACCCCTGTTTTCGCTTTCTGGACTATTTCCCAAGCCATTCAGTGGTCATGATTAGATAATAATTCCCAGCAAGAATTCAATGTATTTCCGTTGGAATTTTTCGTCACTCTGGGAAGCTCATCACCGAGCTGTCTCGCTGAAGTCACGCCATCATGACCAAAGGAAACATCAGACAATAACGCCATCACAAACCAGAATTCTTGCCACTGACGAGAACGGAGCACCAAAAAAGTTTGGACTAGAATCATGGATCGATTGGTTCCAGGTGACACCTGGGAAAGCCAGTGTAGTAATGGCAGGAGGCGAGAACAGCTCGAAGGGATATGAACCAATTGCCTGGATTTGCCTACTAAGATGTCAAGATGCTCATACAAGAAAAGATTATAAATTCATCGATGCCCTCAGATATCTGAATTTGACTTCTCTCCAAATATGTCTTTCCGTTGAAGCCTAATCATGGATCATGAGGCTGATAATATCTCGAAAACCAATGAAGAAAACGGGTGCCATCGTGCCGAACTACTTGATTTGGCAATATAGGCATGTTTCGGCACTAGCTCCTGTCGATCTCAAGTGTCATACATGAGCCGGCCCGGAGCCTTGCCAACTTAGAAAATCAGCCTTCGTGTTCGTTTCCGGAAACCGACGTTGACCCAGCCCCGAGTCAGTTAGGCAATTGGCGCCCTGGGCTCTTATCGAAAACGGATACTGTTTATACTCGGTTTTATTGGGAATGGTCTAATGCCGAGCTTATCACCGAGTAGCCACAAAAAAGTTACCACAACGTCTGATGCTATTAAAAACGTTTTTGGTGGCAAACACACATGCCGATATTAATTATTGCGGGGTAGATTGCGGCTCTCAGTATCTGCAAGGGAAAAAGGCTTGATTTAAAGGGCCTTGACTAGCTGCTCAAATGAGTGTTTTCGGCTGTATGGCGGTCTGAGTCGTTTTAAGCTTAACGGCGAATTATACTGAGCACCGGATTTTCCGAGTTGAGTGAGATTCCATGCCGTTCATCCGCCTGGTTGACACATGAAGTCATTTCTATCATGCCCTCCTTCAGTCAGTAAGAGAATTTCAAAGATCTTTCTGTGCAAATGGAGACGATATACCAAGTCCGATCTGGAAGACTGCGAGTTGGTATCTTGCCAAACTCACTGTCTTTGGGTTGCATCGAGCTCAAATGCCTACTGCGAACCGATTGGCCGCTTTGGTAGCTTCCGTCCGCCTACAGGGGGACAAGAACGGTGGTGCTCAGCGGTAATCGCATAGGTTAGATCAAACAATGACGGCCTCGACACGGCCCGTCCTGATCACTAATAGGCAAGATGATTAGTAAGGAGAGGCTGCATCAAATAACCCACTTTGTGCACAAGGAAGATGCCTGCAACTCATGGGTAACGCGGCAGCAAACCTTGGTACCCACGATTTATACCTAGTATGTATCCCCACCGTTAAGTGCATTATGTAAGTCTGTGGGCCGAATCTGGCATGTAGTATTTCGACATGTAGACGTACGTGGATGCCACTAAAGGGATTATATAATAACATACAGGAACCACGTATTCTTTGCATTCAATTAGAACCTCGACAGCATATGTTCATATCCTGGCGCAATGAAGTACTCAAACTGGTTTCTGAGCATCAGCCTCGGCCTTGCGGCTGGTGTTGCCTCTCAAAGCACCTGCTCACTTGCTACCTTCCAGTCGTTTCTCGATACCAATCAGACCACAGCCGTAGTACAGCGGGCAGAGCTTGTCGCAGACAACGGTACCTTCAAAGTAACCGGTGACACCCCGTATCCTACTTCGCCCACCGGTCTGCGCGCTCTGTGTGCAATCCAGGTGAATGTCACCTCGGAAGCCAATACCCACTACAGCTTTGGCTTGTTTCTCCCGGTCGATTGGAATGGGCGTTTCTTGTGAGCATCTTGACACTATGCGATCCGAGACACGGGCTGTCAACTAAACTACAATACAGATCCGTGGGCAATGGAGGTTATGCTGGCGGCATTAACTGGATAGATATGGTATGAGCATCTTTATCAACTTTGCTCACGAGTTCACACTAATCATGTCTAGGGTGCCGGAGTTGGTTACGGCTTTGCCGTCATGTCCACAGATACCGGGCACAGTGGCAGCTACTCGGATACAGCTTGGGCTTACGGCAACCCAGAGTCCATCACTGATTGGGGATGGCGCGCAATGCATGGTTCCACTGTGATCTCCAAGATGCTGATCGAATCCTGGTACGGACTATCGTCGAAATACAATTATTATAGCGGGTGCTCCGTGGGAGGTAGACAAGGCCTGAGAGCTTTGCAGCTATTCCCAGGTGACTATGACGGTGTTTCAGCTGGTGCACCGGCATGGTGGACGACGCACTTGCAATTGGACGCTGTCAAGACATTGACATACAACCAGCCCGTTGGCGCCGAACACACGATTCCTTCGAGTATGTTCACTGTCATTGCTGCTGAGGTGCTCAAGCAATGCGATCCCCAGGATGGCTTGACTGATACCATCATCTCCGATCCGATTGGGTGCAACTTTGATCCCACCCCATTGTTGTGCAACAGCACGGCCACAACTGGATGTCTCAATGGCGAACAGGTCAAGACCATGTACAAGATCTACAACGACTGGGTGGAAACGAATCAGACTTTCGTCTTTCCTCACTACCTGCTTGGCACTGAAAGTCAATGGAGTATGAATATCGGTGAGGGCAGTGAGAGCTCGTTGGAAAACCAGTCTGGTTTTGCCCAGAACCTACTTCAGCTCGGTGCCAACTGGACTTGGCACGATCTTGACTATGAGACGGTACTTCTCGCCGAGCAGATCAACCCGGGCAATGCTACCGCCGACGACTTTGACATTTCGCCATTTTACGCACGTGGTGGAAAGCTTATCCACCACCACGGCCTCGCCGATGCTACACTTGCCACTGGCAGTAGTATCTACTTTTATCAACAAGTCAAGGCTGCTATTCTGAGCCAGTCTATCCAGCTCGATGACTTTTACCGCATGTTCTTGGTCCCTGGTCTCGAGTTAGCCAGCCCCTCCTTTTATGTTCCATGCGTTTTCTTTGGCTTACATGATAATCTAGGCATTGTATGGCATCCCCGAGTAATGTGAATGCACCATGGTACATCGCAGGCGCGAATCAGGCCGCCCAGTTGGGCACGTCTGCTTCTGGTGTTCCCGGCTTCCGTGACGCCCAGCACGACGTCATCCTCGCACTGATGAACTGGGTCGAGAACGGCACGGCCCCAGACGCCATTGTGGCTACGAAATGGGACAATGACGATGTAACCAAGGAGGTTTCGCGTCAACGTCCAATCTGCCCATATCCACAGCAAGCCAAGTTTAACGGTTCGGGAGACCCTAACCTGGCCGAAAGCTGGCAGTGCGCACGCTTGTATTAGAGCCTTGAGTTGTATTTAGATAGGCACTACTCGGAATACGATTTTAACGGAAACAGTTCCATGAAAAAGGACGTCGGCTGAAAGTTGGATGCTCGGAGATAGAGCTTTGATACAGATCGACAAGATCGATAGGCTTGCTGTAAGTTTAGAATGGGGTGAGCAAAGCACCACCTTGAAGTTGGTGTCGCCCCGATCGAATGTTGCAATGACGAGTAAAATATTCAGTTCCTCAAGTCTTTTCTTCATGTGCATGTGAGCGAGGTTTCTTAAGTTTTGAGCAGAAGCGACCTCGTGGTTAATTCTTGGACCTACGTAGGTATCTTTAATGCCAGTGGACTAGTCGAACCTTCAACAGTGATTAACATGTGTCGCAATCCATTCATACCCCCGCATTTGTTTGAGGGTGACAGGTACAACTCTGTCACCTTTTCAACTGTAATAAAAAATGCATCTTTACATTGCGTGCTCGCAGTTTGACAAAGAGGCAAGAGACTCGGTCGAGACGTCGTAGTGGACCGACCGCTTGATCAAAGCTTTGCGCTCATGTTTGCAGCGGTCCAAAAGTATTTGACTGTTCATGAGGCCCAGTGTATTATTGACCAATTCAGTTCAAAGTCATGGCTTCCCAACCGCCAAGTGCTGTGGGAGAGCGTCGACCATGATGAAGTCGAGGCCTGGGCAGAGCGTCATACCATGCAAACCCTCTCAATCGCACTCGGCCCATTAGTAGAAGAAGGGAATCACGGAATCTAAGGGCTGGAATGAGCCCTTCCCGTACTCAAAAGTTCATGAGAGGCGCTGGTGCGCTTTTTCACCTGGTATATGTCGTTGGGAGACGAGTTGACCATCATCTACCGACCGCCACCCGGGAGATTCCATCCAGGCCATCACACCAATTTTCAACAGAATGAACTTCCAATACTGCGGACTGCGATAGAAAATCTTTTAATGACCGTGTACATGGCCCATCCGGAGATCAAAAAGTCAAAAGGATTTCGCTATCAGGTTTGGCCTCATAATAATGTTCAGAAGTGGAGCGACAAATATGGCAAGCACCCATATACACCGGGGCCGTGGAGAACTGTCTCGGAAAAGTCCATTCACATTGAACCACTAGAGCCATCTGCCATTATGAAGGTGAACAACATTCTCATGCGGATAAGCATGCGACAGGTGAGTTCTCGTGGCTCCAAAGATTGTCACATTACTTTTCCATCTGGGGCAAGGAGTACTCTAGACGATACTGACGGATAAAGATGACTCACATAATGCAACATCGTCTTGAGCATTCCATGTCTGAACTATGCTCAGATTCAGAATGCAAACAAGTCATGCAGTCGTCAGTGTCAACTGCTGAAGAGATGAATACCCATCCCACAAGAGCCAAAATTCAACTCTCCGCAAGGATACCAGAAAACGCCCCAGAAAGCGGGAACAAGGAAAATAATTCACCTCAACAGTCTGGTAAATCGAAGGCAGTTTCGGCAGGAACAAGCATTGAGAATGCTAGAAGTCAGCCAAACAAGAATTAAACAGGATCGAAAAAAACGTCCAGATCGAAGCAGGCACCGAATTCGAAGAGAACACCACAACCGAAGAAGGCACCGGAACCGAATAAGGGACTCGAAATAAAGGAAGCAGTAGAAACAAAGAAGGTACAGAAAGTGAAGGAAGGGCCAAAAATGAAGAACGGGCCGAAAAAGAAATGCCAGTCGAAAGGATGCGAGCTCAGGCCGAGACTGCAGCCTACATGTGCAACAATCAAGTGGGAAATATCTATTGGCGCACAAAAGAAGTGGATTCGGGCGATTGATATTGTAAGTGGAAATCCTCATATCATTAAAACGAGGAAAGAACTCTATCGGTAAATATTACAACAAAGACTTTATGTATTGTGCATATATTTGAAGATGCGTCCTCAAAAAGTCCATCCTTGCTGATAAGTTTACATCAAACAATGACGACTTGTAATATAGACGCCTCGGAGCGTGATGCCTTCCACGGTTTTTTATTCGACTCGTTTAGCTGCCATGATCTGATTTTAGCATTTACAATTGCTGCAATATGTAAGCCAAATATATCGCAAAAGCTTGCCCCGTTGTGACATAGAATTGAGAGGATGGGCTGTTCATGGTGGTAATGGCGTTGCGACTTGATAGTTGATTTCTTGTCCAATACTCTTATGATGAAACAATCAACTGGCCTATATGACCTAGACAACATGTTTGATATACATTTACATTCCACAAGTGGTTTCCTGTTGACGTTGGGTTACGAACAGTACGCAGACAGAGTACAATGAAGTAGATACTTGATGTTGAAATTATGATTACGAACAATGAATGCGACCCTAGGCGGTTCCAAGCCAACATCACCTACCTAGGCTACAGCTGGCCGGGTGCCGATCAACCCCTACAAATATGCACAGGGCTGCATTAGCGCATCCGTAATCACTTTGTCTGACGTCTGCCCGCCCATCTTTAGCGCATTCGTAATCGTGGTATTACCGTATTTTGCCGGGTGCCTTCAAGGTTGGAACCTTTGGTGCAACGGTTCAGGACCAGTGGCAGCACATTCTGCAGGTTTGAAAATGTACAATGAGACAAGGGCCCCTCAAGTGCACCAACCATCCGTTCCGCGTCCTAAGGGCTCTTACTAATCGTGCAGAATTCTCTGCTATTCTGGGTTGTCAGCGTTCCATTCCTGGATGATCATGTGCCAGTTGATGTAGTACGTGTTAGGTGCTAGGCACCACCCTACATTACTACCATAGTGGGAAAATATGGGGCTTGACAAGACTTGTAATCCTTATCCAAGCGCTACAAGCCTTCTGTAGTACAGATATCTTGTGAAATAGAGATTTCTTGTGAATCTGACAATTCTTGTGACCCCCCTGAAAGCCCACTGGAAGCCAACACTACGAGATATATAGCAGTTCAAGCCGCCTTATTCTCGTTCCTCGTAAATCCGTAAATCCGCCGTAGTATAACTGTAAATACGTAACTCCCGTGATAATTCTTTAAGTCGTACGTTCAATTCAAGTTGTTGTCAAGAAATAAAAGAAAAAAAACCATATTTTTGACTTTTTGCCAGCCTAACTTAGTGGATGGTTCTAGCGGACGTTATAGTGGACTTATAGTGGGTGTTATAGTGGGGAATCCACAAGAATTGTGTGGCTCACAAGAAATCTCTATTTCACAAGATATCTATGCTACAGAAGGCTTACGGTGGGCATAAGGCTTAAACTCTTAGCAAGTAATAATATACTACAGAAGACTTGTGAGCCACCACAGACCCCCGCAGCGGTAGGTAGGTACTAGTACCTAATTTCCCCCGCAGCTGCTACAGCTTTCCGCCCTCTTTGGTTCATCAACCTTTTGCTACACATTGCCACAATAAGACTGAGAGATCATCAAGCCTGACAATCATCAATCCCGTGGCCCGTAGCTAGTTACATTTTCATTGTCCATCATAAACCTTCTTTTCCGTCGTTTTCCGTGAAGTACCGGTACTAATCAGCAAGGCTCTAGCCTTACAGTACGTGCCACAGAGTTCAAGACCCCGCATGCTATATTGAAGTTGTGCTGATTACGAACAGATGGCATTACCAGGGTATTCGTTCAATAGACGTTACAAAAGTTCAGGTACAACTAAATTGATTGCCAAAGAAGTGAACATGTGAAGGATATAGATATGGAGCTGAAACCCACAAACTATACTCCGTGCTAGTCCAGAGGTCGAAACTCTTGTCGAAATCAAGTAGTATCATATTTCAGAAATTCTCGCATCATTTGTCACCACCAATTTGTATATCAAAATGCCTTCAATCGATTCTATCAATCTTCATCCCGACACTCATCCCCCATCTTCTCTAAAATCCACGACGTACGATGTCATCTGTCTCGGTTCCGGATGGGCAGGACGCATAATTGCTTCTCGCTGCGTCGCTGCAGGATTATCCGCGCTCATCATTGAAAAGGAGCTCGTCGGTGGAGACTGCCCTTATTGGGCTTGCGTTCCTTCAAAGGCTCTTCTGCGTCCTGCTGAAGCCCTAGACGATAGCCGGCATGTGACGGGTGCTCGCGAGCGTCTCACGAACCCGGAACTCGGCGTTGATGCGGAAGCAGTGTTTCGGCGCAGAGACACATTCACCGCCGGGTGGGATGATACCAAGGTGCTTATCCCCATGGTCGAGAAGGCCGGCGTGCATTTGGTCCGTGGCGTTGGCCGAGTCACCGGAGTGAAAAAGGTCAGCGTAACGCTGGGTACAGGGCCCCAGGAAAAGGAGGAGCTCGACCTAGAGGCGCGACAGGCCGTGGCAATCTGCACCGGATCTGAGCCCACCATCCCCAACATCCCAGGCCTCTCAGAAGCCAAGCCATGGACACCGAGAGAAGCAGCTTGTTCAGGCATTGCCCCCGAGACACTGTTCATTATCGGCGGTGGTGTTGTAGGCGCTGAAATGGCGACTGCCTATACGAATCTGGGATCGCATGTGATCCTAGCCAGTAGAAGTCCGGAGTTGCTTCCAAACATGGACCCTGAGGCTGGCAAGATTGTGAGGGAAAAGCTTGCATCCCGCGGTGCTCAAATCATGACATCAACAACAACCACAAAGGCAGAGCGGAAAACACCAGGCGGCCCAGTCATCGTCACATTTTCCTCGAGCGATGGCGAACAGCAAGTGTCTGTTGCTGAAGTTTTGGCTGCTACCGGCCGCCGTGCCATCACTCAGGGACTCGGTCTGGACCTCTTGGGCCTCGATGCGAAGGCGCTTCAAGCAGGTGCTCCCATTGCCGTAGATGAATCGCTCCTGATCCGTAATGTCCCATCTAATAGTGACAGCCCATGGCTGTACGCCGCGGGAGATGTCAATGGTCGCGCCATGCTCACGCACACTTCAAAGTACCACGGGCGTGTCGTCGCCAATGCCATAGTCGCCCGCGCCCAGGGCAAATTCCCCGCCACCGCATCCCATCTCGACAAGTACAGTGCCTCAGCTGATAACTTGGCTATTCCGCAAGTCATTTTTACGGACCCGCAGGTGGCTTCGGTTGGCTTGACACGTACCGCGGCCAAAAAGGCTGGAAAGTCCATTCGCGTCGTCACGGCGCCGGTCCAAAGCTTGGGAGCGAGTCTACATGCAGAGGGATACGAAGCTGGTTGGGCACAGTGGGTGTTGGAAGAGAATACTGGGGTCCTGCTTGGGGCGACGTTTGTTGGTTTCGAGGTCGGAGACTTATTGCATGCCTCGACAGTGGCAATTGTCGGTGGGATGCGGATCGATCAGATCGTTCATGCGATCCCGTCATTTCCTACCATGAGTGAAGTCTATTTGAATTTGCTGGATGCGGCAGGAATGTAGGAGTCTGGAAGCTAGTCTTGTAGTATTGACGAGATGCTCTTTCATTTTTATATGACCGCTGGAACGAAATCGTATTGTAGCATCTTTGAAACTATCCAATTCGTAGTAATTATGAAGAGCAGACCGATGGTGAGGCATTCATAAAGTATTTTGATGCTGGGCACGGTGAATTCCGACTGCATGGAACTTGACACGCAGAAAAGTTTCCGGACACTTCACGACAGCAATCAATTAATTCTCAAAGAATTTGCTTAAACATTAAGTGAAAGGCGAAGTTTCACAGATGAAATCAGCAACTGAGGCAAGCACCCGGGGTATGATATTACAGTACGTTGCAATGATACAAGTTGATTTTCATGAATTAGTCCTCATTTCTATCTGTCGATAACGACACAGCTGATGCCTTTCTCTTGAATGTGGCAAACAAACATGATGTTGACGCCAATGATTTTATGCAGCGTGTTTTCCAAGAAACGATAACATGGCCTCGACGCTCTTGGGGAAACCAGGGTTGAAATACTGCGCCAGGTGCTCCCCATCCAGAACACAAATCTCCTTGGGACACTGCAGCTTGTCATACCACCCTCGAGTAAATTCTAGCGGTCCGCAGACTACATCATTCGTCGCCATGACCCACAACACCGGCGCCTGAATGGCAGCAAACCAGTCTGTCGGTCGAGTATTGAAATCCTCCCAGAAACTGGCCAAGGTCAGCCGACCGGTAAAGGACGTGTTTCCGCCCTGCTTCGCCAATGTTTGCGCAACGACGGACCAGTCACGCACATAGTCGCCTGAAAGCACCGAGCCCCCAACGCCGGCAGCTTGATCATCAGTCAGCGGCCAAAATGGTATGGACTCTGCGTCGCTGAGCTTCCCTTGATAGCGATGGCGTTGTGCGGCTTTCCAGGTTTCTTCGCCCCAGCGGCTCTTGTCCCAGGCGCCGTCAATACAGGGCAGGAACATTATGATGCCGGCAATGCGCTTATCTAGGGCAGCTGCACTAAGAAGGAGAAACAAGTTAGCCCATACAGATGCGGAAGAAGAGAAAGGGAGGAGTGAAGGGAAACAACTCACATGGCAATCAGCCCTCCCGAATGGGCCACCCCCCATCCAAAGACTCTGTCCGAGTTGACCTCGGGAAGACTGCACACATATGTCACAGCATCGATAAAGTCCTCGGCCTGGAGCACCCAGTTGAAGTGATTCCGCGGTAGACCATCCGAGTCTCCGAAGCATCGGTTGTCGTAGGTGAGGACGTGATAGCCCGCCTGTAGAAAATGGCGGAACCAGTTTTCGAGATACTGTTCCTTTACCAGCCCGATCCCGTGGGTGAAGATGACAATGGGTGCTTGCTTTGGCGCGTTTGTGCCATGGTACAAGTTTCCTCTCAAAGTTGTTGAGTCGTACGTGCTGAACTCGACACGCTTGTACGGGAGGACCGAGTCGTAGGGTCTTAGCTGAGCAGAAGGACCAGCCATTTGTGATGTATGCTGACCAAAAAACGGAGTAATGTAGAAGCTTCCGTTGGGGTATACAGAAAAGCAATACGTAGATGATGTGCTTAATCAGGCGGTTGTGATTTCTCGAGGTAAGCAGGTCGCTTTGGACGATACGCGGTGATCAGGTATATATTATCATGAAGCTCCCTTATAATATCCATTTTGAGGACATATTCCACCAGGCGCTGGTTATTAATCAGAAGTCGTCAGAACTCCTGGTCCGCCATGTAGGTGCTGGAAAACGGATTGAGGAACCATCGCTAGATCAAAAGTATGAGCAGAAATCTTGACCAATTGCATTTGCGATAAAAGGTCTACGTTGGCCATCATGCAAAGTTTCCAAGTTGATGTCAAGGGCGTAAAGTGACATCAAACAGGTGATTACGGATGCGCTAATGTAGGCCTACAATACTGATCAGAGCCTATGGAAGTGTTCAGTGCAGGTGGGGTGAGTCAATAGCGGGTTGATCCGCTAGCTCGTCAGTTCGTAATCAATCTCAGGAAGTCAAACGTGTCTAACCAATCATTCCAACGATGAAGATTGAGTGTCTTGATTATATGGGTCGATTATTTAGGCAGTCTCGTCTCCAGACTTGTTGACATGTCATAGTCTCTAACATATGAGGGGGTTACGGCAATAGCATATATATGCTGGTGCCACGGTTAGATCTGCGATGGTTCTTCTGCCAAATGATCTGCAATCGTCCTGCCTGTATACTCGCTCCTGGGCGGCCATATCTTGCTCAATGCAATATACAAAGCCGAACTGCTCAGGAATGCATAAAAGTACCCAAGAGCATACAGATTGGACGCACCCGCCGAGACGTTCAAGCCCGATGTCACGGCTTTGGCGAAACCCGGCAGCAATGGTGCAAAGCCCACGACAAAGGCCACAACAGATCGCCAGTTGGTTCCCCACTTCTCATACGAATACATGCCGTGTGGCTGGTACATTTCGACGACATTTGCGCGCTGCTTGTTGACAATCCAGTAGTCGGAGATTAGGATGCCAGCCATGGGCGCCAGCCAGATTGAGTAGCCGTCCATGAATGTCAGCAGGGACTCGGCGGATGCGAGAATCTCCCACGGGCACATTGCCCAGGCTCCGAGAACCGCGCAGACATATTGTGCCCTGCGGATGTTGAGGTATCTCGGGAAAAGAGTCGAGAGATCGACAGCGACAGAGATGGAGTTGGCACTAATGTTAATTCCAATACTGGCAATCAAGAAGCCCAGGGCGATAAAGAAGGCCGCAGCGCGTCCTCCGGGCGACGTCCAGTTGTCAATAATCAGCATGGGATCCCAAAGCACCTCGTCGTAGATAATCCTCGAGCCATTCGCACCAATGATGCCAAATAGCATCATGACGATAAAGGCCACTGGTATGATGAATAGTTGAATGTACGGGCTGTTTGGCTTCTTGGAATACCTGGCAAAGTCATTCATGTTGACACCGAGGGTGGCAAAGTTGCCAATCATGGCGTTGACGCCAGACATGAATGCCCAGCCCAGCGATGATCCCGAGTATGAGTTGCCGTAGGTGAAGACTTGGTCGCCGCCGCCTGTGCTGTGAATCACCCATCCGAGAATGGCAAAACCGGCAATCGGTGTGACGATGGCTTTAAAGGTAAAGAACCAATGCAGTTGGTGCGCTGGAATCCAGTGGAACGGAAGAACCAGGATGAAGTAAATGAAGTAGCAAATCATGAAGCCGGTATCAATGTTGGCTGACTCGGGCAGGTGATTTGGCACATTTCTGAAATTTGGTGCCCAGGCGTATATAATGCTGCGAATACACTCTGCGCCAGTATATGTTCCAATGCCGTACCAAAAGATGCTCACAATGACTCGAAAGACGATCATCACATATGAGAAGTAGAAGCCGAAAGCCGATCGCGCCTGGACGGTGAAGGGAATGTGTAATCGAGCGCCTGTTTTTCTACAGTCAGACTGGAGAGGCGCCTCATCTTATCGATTGCACTCACCAATAACGCCATTGTAAGTAACCACCAATGCAGTGACAAAATTACCAATCACAACGGCCACGAGTGCCAGTTTCCAGGAGAGGCCAATCGCGACAAGCGACGCACCAATTCTCCAGTTTGAAATGGCAAAGGCATCGGAAATCCAATACGTGACAAAGTTATACTGATGCTCGGATTAGTCCCGGCCTCTGACTGATGAAATGTCGAGGGTGCAATTACCGTATGCCAGGTCTGCATCTCTGGCGGGACTGGGTCGAGGTCCTTGTTGCTCCATGATGTCCCCGGCGGAGCATAGCTGCTCTCTTCCACCTCGAGGGTCGCATGGCTCTTGATTCTGGACCATAATCCGCCCTGGTGCGGCTTCTCCACCGATCCCGCGACGGCGACGGGGTGAGCGTCGCTAGTAGGATAACCGGAGTCCTTCTCCATTTTCGAAACTCGACCTACACGCTTTTTGTTATGCAGTATGGGGTAGAAACAAAGCCGTCAAGTACGTAAAGGAAACACAAAAGAATGGATCCATGGCTATTTAATAGTTATTTCGACCTGCAGGCATCGAACTGCATCCCTGCGAAATTGCTTTTCTTTTCTTTGCTTGGACCGCGCTGACATATGCGAGGGTGGCAAGGGTAGTATTGATAAGAGGCTCCCCACTTGATCTTGAATGGGAATGATACCCTCAATCCTCGCAATCGGTATCCAATGATGAGTCTGGTAATTGTTCTACGTACTTACTTCGAAGCGTCCCAAGAGACTTCAGTGCCTGAATATCATTCCAGCTAAAGACTAAATTAAATAGCAATAGTCGCCTGATAAGGACAAAGGCTTGTTGGTATCATGCCATTGTGCGATACCCTTGCCGGAGGTAACCGGATAACCCAAAAGAGTATTTGCTATTCCTGAGGGTGTTGAGTAGCAGTGAATGCTTTAGCGGAGCTGACCGATGCACTTATCATTCGCCAAGTGATTATTGATAGGCGTCGTCTCGTCCGTATGTTGGGCAACACAATGTGGCGCTCGCTACTAGGTCGCATGGCCGGTAAGTGCTTCCGATACCACGGGACCTATGCTGCCTCTCTGCCGCCGGCATTGCATAGCGCGGATAGCGCCATTCCACCCATGTTTGTAGGGATATGGAACCACGACCTGTCAGTCAAAAGTCAATATACCGAATTGTCTGCATTCACTGCAGAATATCATGTGCATGTAGTGCATCTCGAGTCCAAAAAAGATGTCAACATTTTCGACAGAGTCCAATGCCACTGGATCGCATTTGGCAATTACTGCTGAAGAACTGTTCCAGCTCCGGCATGTTGCTAGAGGTACTGCGCCGCCAGACTTGATCATTCAACATGGCATTATCCTGTCAGTTCACACAGGCGAACTTCTCGAAAGAGACGTGATCATCAAGGGGCGCCACATTGCTGCTGTCACACCATGGGATTACTTTCAACGATCCCGATATCCTGATGACGCCAGCATTGAAATCATCAACGCCAAGGGCAAGTTTGTCAGCCCGGGCTTCATCGACACGCACATTCATATCGAGTACACAAAGCTGATTCCTGGCGAATTGGCAAGATTGAGTGTTGCACGGGGCACGACGACTGTCCTGGCTGACGCCAATTGCATTGCAAACGTATGTTCCAAAATTACTGCATATTTGTGCAACAGCTTTCTAAAAATGATCAGGTTCTTGGCGGTAAAGGCATGGATTTTATGGGTAAGAGGACCAACTCGTTATTGTTCTAGCCAATCATCTCATGCTCTGCTTTTTAGGAACAACCACCACGCCACTGCGGATATTCCGCCAGGTATCCCACAAGGTCCCCATGAGCGGTCCCGAGATTGAACTCGGCGGTACCTCGCTCGCCACGGAAGAGATATGCGACCGGGTATCGCGGTGCCAAGCCGCAACGCTCGGCGAGTCGAACCCGTTCTCGCTTGACATGGCGTCGGCCGAAAAGCAGGCTGCCGCGCTGCGTGCCGGTAAGAGAATTACTGGTCATTCGGCTCTTTTGGTGAATGAACCACTTTGGGCGTATTGTGCTGTAAGTTTCTGGTGTTGTGATATGTTCCGAAGGCCTCCTTTTTGTTTTACTTCTCCGAACAGCGGTTGCAACAAGTATTAGCAATCTCACAAAGTGACTATGTAAACTAAATACGGAGACTTCTGCTAATATACTACACCTATTACTAGGGCGGAATTGGTGATGATCATAATGCTCACAGGCCTGAAGACGTAATAGAGCGCCTACGTCTGGGAATGATGCTCACGGTCATGTCTGGGAGCATGAACTCCAACATTGAGCCTGTTTTCAGTAACTTTGAGCTGTACAAAGACGGCCTCAGGTACATCAGCTTCTGCGCCGACGACAAGTACTGTGAAGACTTTGATAAGACGGGCCACATTGATCTTCACGTCCGTAGAGCTATCGAATTGGGCGTGCCCATGATGGAAGCTTACAAAATGGCCACCATTAATGCAGCTTCGTATTATCGACTTGATCATTTAATTGGCAGTATTACACCTGGAAAACTGGCTGACCTGCTCATCTTGGATAATCTGGAGAGTGCGCTGTAAGTTGTTACGTGGTTCAAACTGCGCATCTCGTATACTGATACTACACAATAGCCCTGCCATTGTCATTGGCAATGGCTCGATTGTTGCCTCTGACAACAAGGCTCTGTTTACCAACACTGACACAATCCCCGAGTTTACCCTCAACACAATTCATATCAACGACCACCATCTCAAACCCTCATCGTATCATCTTTTTGCGCCGCCATCATCATCTGGAGAGCCATCTGAGGAAGCATGGGTGCAGTGCGTGGAAATGTACGACGGCTATTTCAAGCGAGCTTTCCACGCTCAACTTCCCATTGATCCAACCCCTCCTCACAATATCCTCTGTGATACAGAGAACGATATACTAAAAGTGGTCATTGTCGATCGCCATCACGCAACTGTCAACCGGGGCATTGCTTTCGTGCGCGGCTTTGGCTTGAAACGAGGGGCCATCGCAACCACTACCAACTGCGAGAACCAGAACCTCGTGGTCATTGGCGTGGATGACGAGTCCATTGCAGCGGCTGTGCAAGCAATCAAGGAACTGGGCGGCGGCATGCTAGCAGTAAGCGGCAAGGGTGAAGAAGTGTTGGGATCTGTCAAGTTGGATGTTGCAGGATGCATGTCCTCTGCACCGTGGGAAGAAGTCAGAGACAAGAGTCTGGCGCTGGACATGATCGTCAGGACGGAGCTGGGCTGCACGATGGAGCAGAATCCGTTCCTGATTGCCAGCTTTGTGGGCTTGGTCGCAGTACCCGACTTGGGCTTGACAGAGCTTGGTCTCGTGGTGGGTGGTGGTGAGGCTTTGATGAACCCAGTGTTGACTACGGAAGCGGCAGATGTTGACAAACTTGAGTCTACCTCGCAGGCAATAAGAGTATGTTGTAGATGTCCAAGCCATATACATTAATTGTTTTCAATGAATGCATTATATTTATGTATTCGACATGAGATAATATCGTTCAGCTGACATGATAGTCTCTGAGATTCCAAGTATTAGAATAGGTGTCGCTCAGGTTCCCCCAGAAGGCCAAGTCCTAGTCAACAGTCCCCAATACATGGTTGTGCCCTTTCGCGAGATTCGACTCCGTCAAACGCGCTCAAACTTCAGTATGGAAGTTAGATCGTGTAGCCCGGATTCATCTTACCTACATGTGGAAAGATTTGAACCCAATTTCGAAGTAATGAAACTCCAAAAGTCCATGTTATTCCTACATGCTTCCGTCAGAGGCGTTCGCTGGCCCTCTTCCACAGCTTTTGAACAAGTATGGTAGCCCTGTTTGTCCTCTTTGAGTTCCTTGCGAAGTCATCCTAGCGTGGGTAGTGAAAATTGGGCATCAGGTCAGCTCAATGATATGACGAAGTAGCCTTGACAGTGAAGACCTGATTGGTGAAGGTCGATCTCGGTTATTATCAAAGGTGTAGTTCCAGCGTCACAAGGTTGTGTAGTCCTTCGCGCTCCTATCATTTCGCTTCAACACAGGATGTTTGGCATGTTGAATGGTGTTTCTTTTGATGTATGGTCCTGCCGTATCGCTCTTCAACCCGATGCCGAAGCCTTCTCCGGCTTTTGTTTGACGGGCAGATTCAGGTTCAGTGGTGCCGGCTGCGTACTCTTGATGCCGCACTGGACTTCGATGCTTCGAATGACGCCCCCTACCGGGCGGAGTTCCTCCATGAAGACTGCAAGATTCGTAAAGCTCTTGCATCCAGGCTCGGCAAATACTCTAGCCTGACATCCATCTTCCACTACAAAGACACTGTTAGCCATTTTCACGTAGACTATATACAAGTTTATGCGCCACTTTTTCTAAGCCTTTGCTCCGTAAAACCCCTTAACTAAGCACGAGTAGATATTCTTTCTTGTTGTGAGGGAATCTAGTAATGTCCGCAAAAGTCTCAAGGACTGTCACTTACTGTTTGCCATAAAGGTCCCACACTCGGCCTGCGCGGCTCTCGTGACATTATAACACGTCGGCCCCGTCGGCGTTGCAATACCTGCACCCTTGGGAACATTCAATTGAAAGACCGGTGTACCGCGACATTCCTTTGGTCCTGGCGAGGAGCTGTAGAGCAGAGCGGTAATCGGTAGTATCGGTTTGGCTGGCATGGCCTGCGGCGTGGGCTGGATCGCCGGCCGCGACGAGGGCAGAGTCGCGTTGATGACGGGGACGATGGTTTCGACCATTGCTTCCTCGCCAATCTTGGAAACATCTTCCTGTGCTACGGCGCCATCGACCATGAGGGCCGCTTGCTGGTCGCTGAGTCGACGCCGCTGTGCCTCGCCGGGGAGGGCACATGCGGCGATGAGCAATGCTACGATGGGCGACGGAAAACGCATCGCGTCTGCTTTGGTGGAATTATCCTAGGCAGAGTATTCTGGGGAATCAATCATGCTCTGCTTTGTCTTTTTGAAATCTGGGGTTGTTGGATTTTTATATGCCGTCTCATGATACGCCAAGATGGCGACTCCGCATGCTTGGCGTTTCATACCGAACAACCCTGAGCATCTGAGCTCTACGCAAGGAGCGATGGATTGTGTGAAGTTTTTAGAGTTGCAGCCAGCGAATGAAATAAAAAGTTCATATCGATGCGTCCTACCACTTCTTCAATAATCTTATTGTGTCTTGTTCGGCCATGGAAGACTTGTTGTATCAGTAGTTATTCACCTCCAACTTGCCAACTTTCAGCTATTCTGTCGCGACTTGCCCACGAGCCAACCGTGCGCGCCATGTCAAGCGGTGCTGACTTCCACATGTTGTGATTGGGGGATTGAATGGGCAGTCAAATAAAAGTCGAGTAATCTGTCATTGGTTCACTGGCGGGTTTACATTAGGTCTGGGGACAGGTACAATATTGTATCAGTAATAAGCCAGTTGAATCTGGGAGAAGGACAGAAGAGCCTATGGCGTCATGCGGTAAGAGCCAAGCCATGAGCTCCAAATCCTCAGTGCCGATATTACTGCCGGTCGCGTTTGGCTGCATTCATCCTCTACCTTGTAGTGTTTGATCAACCTGATGGCATTCTAGAACCTACACAAACACATGTATAAATAGTTCCAAGTCACAAGTATTTCTTCGTGTTTGCTCAAGTTAGCTCTTAGGTAAGGGGACAATGGAAAACATATTTGCCTTAGCATGAGTTTCCTTACTCGAAGCGGTCCATTATCTGCTGTTAGTCGAGCGACCTAGTGCGTCAGGGCCCTCAGGTTGTCAGGATTCAGGCCGATCTGGGGACCAGTGATGAACAAAGTGGTGCTAAAAGTGCCCCTCAATTCGGGAAATGCCGCCCCTCACTTGCCCCAGAGGCGCTGGCTGTTTGTTCGTCACACCCCTTTGCTTGTGACTGCTCAGCAGCTACGTAGGTAGCCTAATAATGGGACAACACGGAGAAAGCGCCGATGCGCTGCGCATTAACTGACACCAAACTACAATCGTCACTTGACATCGGGCCGCCATTGACGACCTCTCTTGCATCTCCTCCTTCGCCCTTCTTTGACTCGCCCTTGACTCACCCTTCTTGTCTTTTGTTCTTCTTCTCAACTCAGCTACAACCACAAATCACTAAACATCACAACGCTGCTCTCGTCCTGCGCAACCTACTGCGAAGACCGCCGAAAAAAAAAGTACCCTTGTTCCTGTACCCGCTCCCCCCAGCGGTGACCTCGATCCTTATCACCAACCGAGCCCCCCGATAAGCCGACTCTCCGACACAGGCCGTCAAGATGAGTAGCCCTCGCAGACGTATTGAGACTGATGTAAGTCCCTTCGCAAGAGATAGTCGGGTCAACATGCATGTTGCAAACGCCATACTAACCATGAGTTTTGCCTCCAGGTCATGAAGTAACCATGACCCTCTGCCAATGGCTTGGTGTACATTCGCTGACCCGATCTACAGGATGTACGGCGCAAACCCCCTCGACAACGACGATTATTGCCCCGGACCCTCTGGATGCTAATGCTATGTCGAAAATAGGCTCATGAGCGACTACGAGGTCACTCTGGTCAATGATAATAGTAACTTGGATCCTCCCTGTTTATGCGACGCCAGACCGCAGGCAGACTAACCTTTGTTACAGTGTAACACGCGACCACTCTTTTCTACCTCCGATAAACAAGCGCTTATAATGATGTAGGCAAGAGTTCTATGTGCGATTCAAGGGACCGTCTGAGAGTGCGTATTTCCTATCCGTCACTGACAACGCCAAGTCTTTCCGCTAATACGTGTGACAATAGCACCCTTCGAAGACGGAGTGTGGAAAGTCCACGTCGAGTTGCCCGACCAATACCCGTATAAGTCGCCCAGTATCGGCTTCGTCAACCGCATCTACCATCCCAACATCGATGAGCTGTGAGTGTTTTGGTCTCCCGAATGAAACACATAACAGCAGTTCAAGAGAAGGAACAGTCACTAAAAAGAGACGGTTTTCTTTTACAGGTCCGGCTCTGTCTGCCTGGATGTCATCAACCAGACCTGGTCTCCGATGTTCGATATGATCAATATTTTCGAGGTCTTTTTGCCCCAGCTTCTACGTTATCCCAACCCTGCGGATCCTCTGAACGGCGAGGCGGCGGCACTGCTCATGAGAGAACCAAAGAGCTACGATGCAAAAGTCAAGGGTACGCGGCCAATCGCACCGATACACGAAGTTTTGGAACAAACACGGCTGACAAGAATCGCAGAATATGTGACAAAATACGCCAGCAAGGACGCTGTTGATGAGGCCGGCGCCGAGAGCGAGGACGACGACGACATGTCTTCCGTGGCCAGTTTCGGGGATGAGGAAGAAGAGCCGCTCGGTCAGATGGACGATGTATGAACTGGCGGCCAGCCATAATGTTTTCTTGAGTTATCTGTTTCACACGACCACAAGTCAGGATCAAGGAGTCCCGGATTGGTATCATGGCTTGGGACAGGTTCATCCGTTTGGAGTTTGCATATAATTGATTTCTAGGGGTTTAAACCTGTCAGCGAGTCGCCATGTTGATATTTTTAGGTGGTCCTGGTGTTTTGCACGTCGACTGGCTTCTGAATCTTTTACTAAACAGTTGTCTCCATTCTCACACTCAGCAACATATGTTCTATTCAAAGTGATCAGTCGTGCCGAAATTACCCAACTACGGGGTACCCGGGTTGTTCAAGATACATTCGTCCGACTTCTTCTTTGGGGACGCTCTCTGAAAATGAACAGCCTTCATGCCAATGGGCTTCAACAATTCCAGTCTCTCAAGAATTGTGTTCATCTCTTCGTCATTTCTCCAACCACCGATCTCAACGACTTTGGGAGCTTGGTAACAAGGACCTCCAAAGTCTTTCTCGCACCATTCAGCGTTGACTGGGCCCTTGAAGCTATCTGTGAGGGTGTTGAGTACCCACTCGACCTTTCTACAGCATCCAAACCCGCAGGAGCACTCATCCAAGTCAATGTGTAACCTTTCCAGACTACGCATCTCCCGCATTGCGAGTATCTTTTGAGTCCACCTGTTCTGCAAGGAAACATTTCTACTGTTGTGCAGACGGCCTAGAAACTCCTGCACGGCCGGCGGCGGTATGTGGTCGAAAGCCCCTATAAACTGACCCTGGTTGTTCTTCATAGTGGGGATATAGGCGTCAAAAGTGTAGCTGACATCGCGCATTGAAAGTGTCAGCTCCTTTAGCTCTACGTCAAACTCGTTCTTTGGATCTTCGCCATTGAGGAACCGGGGCCATGAACAATCGCGGCCAGGAAGGATGAACCTGTTGTTCTGGAAGAAGACACGACTGGCCTCAAGATGGAATTGCCTGCTGACACCTCTCAAGGCGCCCGTGCAGGGAAGGAGAGGCAAATTGGAGCCCAACAATTGATTGTTCCAGAGATTCGGACATCGGTCGTGGATCCGAACCATTTGGTTGAAATCTTTCCCTCGCGCAACGCATATTCGCTCCCCGAATCGTTTGGCGTCAGTCACGACGAGGTGGCGATAGACCATATCGCGCAGCTCGCGCGGCAGGGACATGAAGCCGTGGAACTCGGTCACGCTCTTGCGAAGTTGTCGCAGGTGGTGTACAGGCTGTTCCATCTCGGTGGTATCCCGAACTTTGGCCAGTGAACCCGAACTCGGGCCCTCTTCCTGGCTTCGCCGTTGTTGCAGCCACTCTGCCGTGTCAAAGGGGCCATGGTAGTTCTTTACACGGCCGCGCCACTCCACCAGGCGCACGCTGGCAAAGTATTCAATGGCTCGCGATTGTAGTGTTGGATTGCGTGTGAACTATACGGTCAATTCTAATCAGTCGTCTGTTACAAGGATGAAGCGGAAATATAATGCATCCTTACAAGACACTCGGGGAGGCTTCCAATAATTTGGGTCTCCCATTCTTTTGCTTGCTCATATGATAGTTGAATGGCCATGATTACGATTGAAATCAAGAAGAATATTAGAATGTAGAAAAGGTTGAAGACAATTGGGTATTAATTGGTGAACTTCAAAACCAGAAGACTATAGATGAGTACGGATGTGATGAGAAGAGAAACAAAACGGTAATGGGATGCAAAAGAAGCGAAGAGCAAGTTCGAGGGCATCAGTTCGCGTTTCTCCCCCTCGGTATTTGTAGTGGCCCTGGGCGATCAATCCTCCACTTTGTCAAAGCAATCCGAAGGAGCAAATATATTTGGTTTTTGATTTGATTTACTTCATGTGAAGATTTCAGTGTTGCGAGAGATGGCTTCGGAGTCTTTGGCAAGCAATGAAGCTGGCAAAAGCAAAATCTATATGCACGACCACCTGGGCAAGGGTCAACAACAGCCAACCACTTGCATATTTCTTATGCACTAGAACCATTTAAGATTGTGACGCGAACACGCGAGCTGTGCCCATAAGACTGCCGATGATAAGAATTTCTTTTTCATCCATGGCAGAACATTTCGGTACCTCCTTTGAGCCGTGAGTCACATTTCCAACGCGTGAATGGTGGATATGGATGTCATCACAGCGATAGGACCCAGCAGCATGTTTTCTTTTTGTGGTGACTAAAGGACATGGGTCAAAGTCCGTACATATCAAATCGACTACGGAAGATTCGGTGGATGGAGCATCCCTCTGGTAGGCGATGCTTTGAACCAATTCAAATTCCCATTTTTGGGCTTGCTCATATGGTACTGCAATTGCCATGATTGTGGTGGTCGAGCCAAGGGATATGAAGAAGAAAGGTTGCTCAAATTGATCAAAACAGCAAATATTGAGAAGGCTTATGAGGGAGGTATCACAGGTCGGGATGAGACAAATTGGTGAACAGCAGGAGGTGAAAGACATGCAAAAGAGAAAGAATTTGCATATTATACACGGAAGACGTGTACGCGCTTTCCCAATTATCATACGAAGAAACCTTAAAATGCAACAGCGTAGGTTTGCTTGGTTTGAAGATAACTTCCTCACAACAAGACTGCCGGAAAGCTACATGATAAGAGCCCGAGGTACTATATACACTTTGGAGGAATACTTGTGAGCCACTATTGCCACTACTTGCAAAAGCATTACCAAATTGACTTTGTGACACGAATCCAACGCGAGCCATGTTTACGCGATGGCTTGGGTCATGAATCAACAAATCTTCCAAGCAATAAGTCCTGGACCTTCATGCGCGTTGTGAATTACATTCTCAGTGAGCGGATGTCAATTGCGGCCTCGTCACCGCGACTTAGCCATTCTGCTAACTGGTTTAGTATGGTAGAAATCACAGAATAAAATACCATCCCTGTATCATTAATACATGTCTCTGTTATTTCACTGTGAGTCTACTCTAAGTCTAGATAAATAAATGCTAGTAGCGGGGGTATCATTGAATCCATTGTCCATAACGCCTTACAAAACTCGTTGCAGCCCATAAATATCATCAGTCTGTGTCAGAGTCGTAGCTCACCAAAGCCACCGATGCCGTGTCCCTTTTCACCTTGTGCTCCGGGGACGATCTGCCAGTCTCTGGATCTTCATCTTCAACACGCTTCCGCTTGATACCTGGCATCCTATGGGAAGCTTTAGTGACAGACGCGCTCCTGTCCAAATTCAAAAATGGATCAGTGACAACTCGCGTATTCCCGACTAATTCAGACACCAAGTTGTCCTTTGTCTGCTCCGCCTTGACTTCGGATTTGAGCCGCTTTGCCCCAATCAAAGCTTCGTTCTTGGGCCTTGGGGCCTTTTTGTCGAATAAAGGTCGGCTCAAGCCTTTTCGTTCCAAATCGTCCTCTCGACCGTCTTGCAAAGTCGAGCCAAAGTCGATTAGACCGGCCCGTCGCTTGTCCTCTTCTCTCTCGGCCACAAGTTCAATACCCAAACTCAGTTTGTCTTTTAGTTCCTCTGTCTTGAGCGCGTCCTTTTCCCGCTCGTGCCGACCGACCCTGAATTCTTTTCTCAACCGTCGGTTCATCTCGTAAGGATCTTCCCACGTCCTGTTATTGGTCTCTTGCAGCTCCTCCACCCTCTGCCTCCCGACAATCAGCTGTTCGCGATCCTCGATGGTCTTTTCGAGTCTCGCAAACGAGTTGTTTCGGAGCTTCTCCCGCTCGGCGTCGGTCAAGATCTCCAAGTCGCCCTCGCGGACCTTGCCCTCGGCATCGTCGCGGCGCCGGCCGCCCTCGGTCACCACGTACGCCGTGTTCTGCGGATCGGTCCGGACCTCGATGGTGCCGCCGCAGTCGGCGTGCTTCATGCGAAACGCAAAGATGGGGGTCGAGTAGTAGGAGCCCACGCGGCTCTTGGCGGCGTTGAAGCGCACGCCCTGCCCGATTATGGTCGGCTTGGGGCAGGTCCCGCACCACACGGCAAAGGGCATCTCGAAGCGCACCGTCAGGGCGCCGGGCTTGGACGCCCGCGAGCCGAGCGGGTGCTTCTTGTGTAGCTTGTTGCCCGAGACCGTCCCCTCGAGGTCCGGGGGGACGTACCGGCCCATGTTGAAGCCCTGCATCTTGAGCTAGGGAATGGCGCCGGCGAGCGCAACTCGATACTGTATGTTGCCTAGTTGTTGCTACGGGCGGATGGACAGGGCAACGAGGGACGTCGTTATTGAGAATATTGTCTGCGCAGCTGCTTCTGCGCGATGCGCGCAAGCGGACAACTTTCGAGGGTTGCCACTGGTGAATGCGACTGACTGTGCAAAAGGATATTTCCTTTCCGGGGTGTTTGGAGGGACTTTACAAAGTTTAGGCAGCGGGGTGACAAGTGCGTCACAGTCTGGAACCCGCTAATGACCAGAGCCGGCAGCCAACTTTAGGTAGGTCCGTTTACCCCAGATTTTTAAGTCTATAAGCTTTGAATTTGGTTACCTTCTGCTTCTCAACATTTACCGATCATGCATCTGCATCTGCATTGGCGTCTGCATTGCATGGTCGACGGAAAGCCTAATCTGCCATCTTTTGCATGTAAACAAAGACACGGTATTGAACCAGAGCACCATTTTTTTTATTTTTTTAACACCAAGAAGAACTCCTTCATCGGGAATAATAGATCGCGACCTCGATCTCTGGATTGGACACAATGGTATGTGCGTTTGGATATATGGGTCTGTTCAATAGAAACAATGCGCGTATGAAGTATTATGGTGTCGGGACTAGATTGGAGAAAACGTATTACTTTCATTACCTGGCATCGGCCGCGATCACTCCTCAGATTATTTCAACTTGAGCAAAGCTACGATTTCTGTGAAATCGTTTTGGAATTTTGACATCTAGATGAGAAATGACCACTAGGTAGACGCTGCGAGAGCCTGAGCGACGTCCGCCTTGAGCTCAATTCTCGTATCTTGAACGATCATTGCCAAGCTAAGCTTTAAAGGCCCAGAATTCTGAGATTCCAATCTGCCTCAGAATGAGTTTCGCGGTTAATGGTAAATGGTCTCTCGCGGCTAGTCAACGACTAAACACCGAGGATCGACACGGCTTGAAACATTCTAGCGAACTTTCATCCGTTCGTAACTCCGTGGCATCGCCGGATCGTCTATTCCCACAATGCCAAGGTGGGAAAGATATTCTTGGCTGACGGCACTTGACTGTAGCAAAATGGATCCTTGAAAATAATCATCGGCGCCATGCCCAGGTCCTCTCAGCCAGTCCCAATATTCAAGCGTTCTTGGGGATTTCCATTTTTATTACAGCTTGACTAGGTGGATCAATGCCTTGGTATCTTGATTGGATCGTATATACGAGTTGCTCGCCTGCATTGCAAACGCAACATGTTTGACGGTACAATATCATGTCATGGTGGACAACAGATCATGTCTGGGATTTATGCTTGGCCAGGAATCGCTAATTTCGCATCCCTTGGCGTGTAGGACCATCAGCACGCTCTGGAGTATGTGTCTTTTGTACAGAAATATGTCTCTTCTCGAGCCATCCCTTTTCTTCTTTTCTTGTACAGATAACGTTGACAGGCAGTCATGACGATACGATCAAGATGGTCCAGCGAGCTGGCCAAATTCATACTTCCAAGCTTTGCCCAAGACTGGCTACACACTACTCGCCCACGGCCAAAGAAGACGCACTCGACATCATACCTCGACGGGCTTCGAGGTTTAGCAGCTTTGGCAGTGTTGGGCTACCACTTTACCGACTATAACCTCAAATTCTTTCACCCAGGTTATGGCGTAGAAGAATCCTCTTCACTATTACAGTTGCCATATGTCCGTTTATTGTATGCGGGTAAACCCATGGTTCATCTTTTCTTTGTTGTCTCTGGGTTTGCTTTATCGATTCGACCTCTACAGCAGCTCGTGGCAGGCCAGCATGATGAGTGTCAGGAAACACTATCGTCGTCGATCTTTAGAAGACCAATCAGACTCTTGGGGCCATGTCTTGTCCTGACCTTTTCACTCGTCTTTTGGGCCCGTGCTGGATATTTTTTGCATTACCTCAAGTATCAACCTACCTTGTGGGCTCAGATCTCTGATTGGAGCTCCGACTTCTTCCTTCGTATTGCTTGGCCCTGGAGTTGGGACTTCGGGGAGCGACCCAAGTACAATGTGCATCTCTGGACAATTCCGATCGAGTTATCGCACTCTTACCTCCTGTTTCTGACCATACTGTTGATTGCACATCTTCGACCTACGTTTCGACTTCCGATTCTGATTTCAATCATGAAATACACCCTGCAATGCGGACGATGGGCAGCCTTTGAGTTTATAGGGGGTTGCCTACTGGCATACATACATATTCGCCAAGAGCAGGACTCTGAAGAAGAGACAACGAAAGCCCAAAGTCTTTTGTGGTCGATTTGGCATGGTCTTGTTAACATCATTCTCATATTGATGTTTCTGGCAGGTGCCTTCGTCATGTCCTGGCCGACGGACTTCAAGCAACTTCCCGAGACATATCAATTCTTGGTAGCCCATGTACCAGAACCCTTTGCCAATAATGCGTCGGACTTTTGGTTCGCGCTTTCGGCCTTTGCTGTCGTAGGATCAATAGGCCACTTGAGAACCCTGCGCCAATGTCTTGAGCTGCCCTTTCCTCAATACCTGGGCAGGATCAGTTTCTCCCTTTATATCCTCCAGCATCCCTTTCTGAACCTAATTCAACCTTACCTCATGGGCGCGGAAGCACGGCCTGCCAGCGGCAATCAACCGGCTATACCCGGCTGGGGTCTGAGAGGCTGGCCTGGCGTCGAGACATGGCGGCAACGCGTCATCACGTGGTTTATAGGATGGATGATTGTGGTGCTGCTGCAGATCTGGCTGGCCGACATGTACACGCGATGGATCGATCAGCCGTGCGTAAGGCTCGCAAAGGCGGCAGAGCGATGGATGTGTCTTCAGGCTGATCGGCAACCCGAAAGACTTGGCACCGAGGAAAAGTCGTTGTTGACTGACCAACTCCGAGTCAACTCTGAACCTAGTAGCGACTCCCCCGTCTGACACTTTTTTTTTCTTTCTGGCATTTGGCAGTAACGTGGCAAAGAAATTTCCCAAGGGTATGCAGCCGCGCCCGAATGACCGGTAGCTCAAACCTTGACATCACAATACGAACATTGGCGCGGCCTTTTTACCTTCCAGTACGCACGTTGAGCGCATTCCTTTTTTGCATCATCTGGTTTGGAGTACATATGACCTGGCTTTTATTGTGACAACAACCAAAATATGTTTCGACGCAGCATCACCAGCTCCGTCGTCACGCGTCTGGAGTGTAAATAAAACACCATAGCCAGCCCACCTCCTATTGTCGTCGCTCTTCATCCGCCCTCTGAAATATCTTTGCGATCAATACACACAAGGTCCAGACAAATCAATTCAATCCATCATGTTGGGCTTTGTCATTCGCCTCACTGTCGCTCTGGCGTCAAGTGTCATCTGCACCATGGCAGATGCTGCGGCCGTAAGCCATATGGTTGAGCGCCGCGTCACCAATGCAGACGGCAAAACCGCCACGATCCTGGTGAACCGCGAGCTCACTCATACTTCCAACAAGGTCCTCAGAACAGACTACGGGCCCAGCAGTACCTTCTTCCCTTCCGATCAGTTCGTATCGCTGTGCACTCCTACCAGCGACATTGGATCTACCGTCATTGACAGCCCCTACACCGAGGATTGTAGTTACATTCTCAGTTACTACCGTAGCGAGGACCATTGGGGCTGGTGGAACCTAGACGGTCTCGTCCCTGGTGTAGACTATGCCTTCATCAAGCACAACACTTGCTCCCTGTACGGCCGAGTTCCTGACGGTCATACATCCTTGCAGTAAGCAACTATACTCTCTTGTCACGAATCTTATGCCCACTAACACGATCGCCCGTAGAATCTCCAATGCTGATGCCGAGGTTTTTGTCAACACAACCATCAAGAAATACAGCACAAAATTTGACGATGGCAAGTTCGACCGGGTACAGGGTGATGGGACTATCGACTGCTGGGAATCGAATGGAGCCGTCGAAGTGGTCGCCACGCTGAGTCTCAGACGCTAGGACAGCTTTCATGACCTTGTTTTGATAATTCCTCGACTGATTAGCATTGCGCCTCGCGAGCCCTTCAGCATTATTTCTAGAACGAATTCATCATTTTTGTATTGTTGGATTACCCCATTAACCAAGGAAAATAATTTTCACATTGTGCTCAACATGTCACCAGTGCATAAAATAATTCGTGGGGATTCGTTCTTTTTTACTACGTCTAGATACTATACTTACCGCGTCTAGGCAGACTTCTTACATTAGACTTACCGATTCTTACCCAAGTTTTGGCCAGTTCCTGCAGCATTTTAGCTGGTAGCCTGCTGAAATACCTGTCGACGGGATTATGTTAATAAAGTGCAAATCACGGCAGCATGGCTGGCTTTATCTGAGGGATGAGTTCTGGGTTCCGTCTCCATGTCACCTGATCTCCTTTGAGCGGTGGATAACATCGCTCATGCGGAGTCGTTCTCGCGATATAATTAGCAGTCTCGGGAAGCTTTAGGACATTCCGCACAAACGCATCAATGGTCATGGCACCTTCGGAGGCTTCACCATTCTCTCCAATCAACGACAGCGTGGGGACCAGGTGCAGCCAGAATAACGTACCGTTGGCCCGGCGGCCCAAGTCGACGACCGCCGCCAGAATGTGCGACCAGTGTAGTGCCCACTCGGGGTTGAGGGTGCCGGCGCCCTGACGGCATTCTATAGTTGGCTTGACGTGATTGAGGAGGTTGTCAAAGGTATAGGCAGGGCGGTCGGGCGCCGTCATCATCTTGATCACGGCGGGCACGCTCGTTGTTCCCAAGAGCGCCTCGACGCCGCGCTGGAGGGTGGCGCGGGGGGTCGGCACTTCGGGTTCGTACTCGCGCGTCCATTCATCCCACGTGTTAACAGTGTGACGAGGGTTGTTGGCCTCTTCAGCCGTCATTCCTGCACCCGCGTTGGTCCAGTTGCGGATGCTGGGGTGGTTAAACGGGTCCAGGCGGCGGTGTCCGGGATGAAGGCTATTGAAGAGTCTCTCGACGCACAAGAATAGGGCGGCGAGTTGTTTTGCGGCGTCGGCGTCGAAAAAGACATTTCCCTGGCCAATGTGAATATGTAATCCACAGCATTTCGGTGTAAAACACAGGAATACATTCTGGATTATCTCCAATACCGTTTTGATCTGCTTGTCAGCATCGGGATCATTGTCGAGCAGAGGGGGCGATACAATCTCCACGTCGGCGAGTTGATATGGTCCGGCGTCCTCGGACCAATGATCCGCCCAGAGTGCCCCGAGACTAGCGTCTGATTTGATATTCCAACGATAGTAGACCGGAGCGCCAGCCACTTGGGCGTTCGGGTGACCGGGCTCAGGGGGGAGGGTATCGTAGGTCTCGACGGATCCGGGGTCGTTGCAGTCGATGCCGTGCATAGTCAAGAGCCCGTACAAGATGTGATGGCACTCGTTGCGTGCGTCTGCAAACATGATCTCCGGCACATCATGGTAGAAATTTTCTCTGGGTAGCACAATACAACCAGCGTACATGGTAAAGTGTTTACCCTCGGGAATGACAATGTCTTGGTAGCCGTCAACCTTGTCAAAGCGAAATGGTATAAGGAATTCAAACTCAAACCCTCGAGTCAGAGGAGGGAAGCGCGTCGCTTTCATACCAGGTGTGGGAGGCTGGGACGACATGATTGATTAGGGGGACTTTTGAAGAGGCGTATTCAGTTTCTCTGCATTCGCGGATGATTCTGAAGATATAGTTTCAATTTCAAAGCGAATGCTAATACTAGATGTACTCCCTTATATTTATACATGATCCTATTCGATACAACGTGCTTGATGCCTACTACTTGACAAAACAATGTATATGGTGTAGGCAACACAGAATCCTTTGCAAAAGAATACAACTCTTTGTCCCAAGAAACTCCCGTAATGGATCTTTGTTGGGCCCTGGCAGCGCAGCTCCAATTCAATAGGACCCTTTGTCGCCATCAACAACCTTGTGTTTACAATGTCATTGTACCACCGTTGAATATGATTCTGAATATTTTCCGGGCTATCATGAGCAAGAGATTTGCGCAAATGGCAGAACCATTTTTCCCTCAAGAATCGGTATGAGAGGCGGGAACAAGATTGACAGCCTTCCTAAAGACGTTGTTAGGGTCGTAAACTGTCTTGAGTTGCCGAAGCCTTTCGACGTTTGGCCCAAATACACGATCAGCCTTGACAAAGGCGCGGTCGCTTTCCACGACGGGGTCTGGGGTTTTGTTGTCTTGTTAGCTAGTGCCAAAACATGACTCGAAAGCCCAGGCAAATGGAATCACTTACTTAGGTAATTGTAGTATGTACCACCGCGATCGCCAGATTCATCACCCTTCCATCCATTTTCCTTCATGAATCCGGCAATCGCGGCGCAGATTCTCTTGGCTTCTTTGTCTCGCTCCTCGGTATCCCACGATATCACAATGATGACATTGTATGCGGTGCCCCCTCGGCCTGCAAATGCCGTATGACTTGTAGGGACGGATCGGACTTTGGTGTGCGGTGTGAGCTCGAATCCCACCATGCTCCGTGCTTTCAATTCTTCATTCCCGGGCTTGGAAAGCAGTGCGTGGAACATGTCGGATGCCTTTTGTATCAGATCAACATCCACCGGGCACAGAAAGTTGGCTCCACTAAACAAGTATCGCTTGCCGTGAGGAACCTTTGGCTCGGGAAATGTGTTGGCCTTTGGGTACGGGATGACGGCCGTCTGATCCATCACCTTGCCAAGCGCCAGGACTGGAGCGTAAAACGACTCGGCGGATTCCTTGTCGCCGTTGTAAAATAATGATGCCGCAATGACTGGTTCCAGCGTCTTTGGGTGACATGCCAGCATCGGCATCATGTACTGGTCGCCATTCGTCTTGCGGACAAAGTCATTCATGAACGACACGATTTGCGGTATGGCCGATAGCGGCCAGACGACGACGCCTCCCCAGACTTCTCCCTGCGGAAAGATGCGCGAGGTAAACGATGTCACGACGCCAAAGCTTTGGCCCGCACCACGTAGTGCCCAAAAGAGATCAGGGTTCTCGCCTTCGTTTGCAGTAACAACGTCGCCGTTTGCCAAGACGACCTCACAGCTGATGAGGCAGTCAATACTGAGACCATATCGTCCGGTCAGCATTCCATAGCCACCGCCGAGGATCAAACCGCCCACTCCGGTATGACTGACAGTGCCACCAACAGTTGCATAGCCCCTCTCCCATAATGCCGAGTCGACATCACCCCAGATACAGCCACCGCCGAATGTGGCGGACTGTGTCTCCTCGTGGACATATACCGAGCGGAGAAGACTGAGATCAATCACCATACCCCCATCCGAGGACGAACCACCGCTTGGGTTATGGCCGCCGCCGCGAACAACAAACGGGATTGAGTTTGATGTTGCAAATTTTACAGCTGCGCTGGTTTCTGTCGAGTCTGCTGGCCGAATGACAAGTGCCTAGGCTGGTGTCAGCTTTAAATAACTTGCAAATTGCAATGGTATAAGGTCACTGTGATTAGTGAGGACATACTGCAGGACGAACACAAGTGGCGCTCCAGCGTTGAAGACTGTCCGGGTAACCCTCATCTCCCGGTACTAAAACATCACCTTTCGTAATGAGATTTCGAAGTTCGGCGATTATAGGGGCCATTTCGTCTGTCTTTTGTTTTTTTTAAATACGAGCAATTGGGAACAAGTACCCTTCAAATTGCAGCTACAATAAACAAGGTAATATAGCTGGCACGACAAGCACTTTGAACAAAGGAGTCAGAGTAGTCTATTATAGCAACCAACTGGAGCTCGAGCTCCAGGTTTTAAATGCCAATCGCTGTACATTCATCAGTGACTCGTTACACATCCATTGCAGCGCTGACACCGCCATGTTGAATGCCCAAAATTGCCTGACTCGGAATCGTGCATTGTAAGACCGTTTTTAGTGCACGCCCTTACCCACGCTGCTGGGTCGTCTTTATGTAGGGGGTTTTCCTCAAACGCCTACATTGGCGTGCCACTTGGGTCTAATAAAGACTCAGCTGTTAACCATCAGCATACTAGATGCGCCACAAATCAATCGAAACAGCAACAGGTCAGCGAATGTAGCAAGGGCTGATTGGCTTTGTGTGTCCAAGCGCGCAATCACATGAGTGACACGTAGCGCAGCATTTCAGCTGGTCAGCATGTCTGTGGCGAGTTTCTATGCAAGGCGAATGTCTGGATATGCTTTGTGTAACAAATGTTTATTGATGACCTGATACATTTACCGGCTTACGATAGATGAAACATGCACGTTTCCGGCAATGCACGGCAATAGGTGAGAACGTCGACATGTCCGAGTATGAATACATCAAACTTGCCTCAGTTTCGTGAGTTGAGATGACAAATAAGACCCCTTTGTCTACAGAACCAGCTGCCCGTTACCTCCCACTCCTTCTTGGGGTCTACTAGTCGAATGTCATATCTAGACACCAAGGTGGCAGTAATCTTGTACACCTCCATCAGGGCTAGATTCCGGCCAATGCAAATGTGCGACCCTCCACCAAAGGTGAGGTCAGCCGCGTTGAAGAGCTTGAGCCGCTTGTGGTACGCCTCGTCGGTCTCGTCCGCGGGACCCGGGCTGTGCCCCTGCAGCCAGCGCTCGGGTCGGAACATCTCGGCGTCGTCACCCCAGACGCCCCGGTTCCGGTGGACGACGTAGGGGTTGATGCCCACGGCCGTGCCGGCGGGGATGAAGCGCCCGTCGGGTAGCGATAGACCGGACTCGGGGACGTAGCGCTCGAGGAGCATGCAGACTCCGGGGTGTATGCGTGTGGCTTCACGGACAACAGCTTCCAGGTCTGAATAATACGTATTAGTGTATGGTAACCAACGAAAGAGACGGGAACATTTACTCACATGGCAGAGCTCTCGCAGCGCTAAAGGACGCGACTTCTCCGAGATTGGCAGCAGTGATTTCATCCTTGAGTCTGCGGTACACCGCTGGGTCTCTGAGAACATGATAGAATATGGCCCGGACCGTAATGGCAGTAGTGTCTGCGCCGGCAATGAGGTTCACAAGCATGTAGCCAATGATGACGCCATCGTCAACCGTGTCTGGATGAGCCTTTTTGGCGTCGAGAAAGTGCTGAAGAAAATCCGGGACTTTGGGGTCAAAGCTTTTATCGTTGCCCTGAATTCGTGCCACCAAGTGTTCCAGTGCGATGCGCGTCACGTTGTTCAAATTTGGTGGTCCGATTCGCATCACTGGGTTCTTGTCTAGGACGAAATCTAGAAACGGGATTTGCCCAACAGCGGAAAAGCTGCGCGTGTATCATGGTCAGTTGCTGTGGCCTTGTGAGAGACAAAGAAAAAAGGCTTATGTTGGTGACCTACTAGTCCAGTGTCTTGTCTGCGAACCCAATGGTTCCGTCAAAATCATGGCCCTTGTCCATGTACCCAAATCGCTGGCTCATGGTTGCGGCACCGATCAAGTCCCAAGCATCTTGGGATTGACATGATTAGTATCAGAAACATCATAAAACTGCGGCATGCGTTAACCTACAAAAGGCAATCCATTCACCCAGGTCGCATACTCGGCCACTTTGGGGGCCCTTGGCGAACCGAGTATCGAGGTGTGCACAAAAGTCTTTAATGGTCTTGTCCATGAGTGGCTCCAGCGCCAACACACTTCCCTGGGAGTAGTACCTGATGACTGGACGCTTGATACGGGCATGTTCAGCATGGTCTGTCTGGCTGAATAGATGGTAAGTAATCTTGCCATTGACGACGGCGCTGTTGTTGTGGTAAAACTCCGTCTTTGAGACAACAACCAACTCGTGTTAGTCAATCTTAATATCCTCGTTTACATATAGGTACGTCTACTTACCTTGCGCCATTTGCCGTCCGTGCCGTACATGATCTTGATCAGCTCGGGAAAGTCAAGGTCCAACAGGTTCGGGCCAATCCGAATCACCGGCCCGTACTTGTCATGGAGATCCTGGATCCTGAGGTGGTAGTTGCCCGTCCTGACGAGGAAGAAGCGCCAGAGGTTGGTCCATCCTGTACATTTCGCTTCAGTATCACGTCAAAAAGTCATGATGTAAAAGGACACGCAGTAACTCACTGGCCAGGGGATGGCCTGGGTAGCCTCGCAACGGCGACAACCACTCAGAGACTAAAGATACACCAAGCCATGTGGCAATGGCTATAGCCAGGGTTACAACCGCGGTAGATCTCAAGTCGGGAGGCTGCTTGAAAATCTGCATGATCCTCTCCGTGTATGCAGAATAGATGACAGTGTGCGCAACCGACATTTTCTGCTGTGCTGTGTTTTTTCTTCTTCTTGTCTGGGTATTCCTGGAACAGAATGCGGGTGTGCTTTTTCTTGGGCAAAATATCACCGGGACCTCGGAATACCACGCACATTTAAGCTTGATCACTTGTCGAATGTGCACCGCAGCATTGGTTGGAGGCTGTTGCATGCACAGAACTTTTGTATTAATGGTGACATTGGAAAATGCCAGCCCTGCATGTGGCAACAGGCTTTGGGGGTCCCCCCTTATCCTGCGTTGTAACTTGAGCCCTGCAGACGGTATCAAGGCTGCAGTTGGCTATGGTTTCTTCTTTTCCGGAAAAAGTTTCCCCTTGCACAGAGTGAGGAAGTCATTATTTTGGCATTGTGGTGTGGAGTGATTCATCAAGTGATTGATCTTCTTTCCTCAGGAATAAAGTTTACTATGACTAGCACTCTTGTAATGACAGAATGAAGCCCTTGTCGGAATGTTGAGCATGAAGGCTGATGATACAAATCTCCCGGTCGGGCAACCACATGAACCGGTGGACGAACGGCAACGGCGACAAGGCTTTGCCCACATCGCCCCCGACATGGCCAAGAGCCTACGACCAGTGAGCATAAGATATTACTATGCCTCCGTATGCAAGGAGCCGAAAGAGACGTATACCTGGCCGCAGGGATATCCAAGCAGCCAACCGCATGTCTTGGATACGGCCCGAGATGCAGAGGGGCCGTTGGTATAGCCTGACACTATCAACTGAAACTGCAGAATGCAACGCGTCCCGAGCCGGTGAGAAATCCTTTCAAAAGACATCCAGGTGCCCGGGGGCGGTTGCGGGGGAATTGATATACTGCAAGGAAGATTTAAGTTCTGGACAATATTGCAACCCTGACGATGTCAAATCCTGTTCGAGACAGCCGGATTTGATACCCTGGTTTTCCGCATTCCGTTGCCCAACCGCCAACTATAGACCCCGCCCCCCATATGCTGGGTTGTGTAACGACGACAACAAATCATACCTCATGCGTCGGTGGGGAATACGGATAGCTGCAGGTATCAAAGATTCCCAATCCTCTGATGGGCTGGATCGTCAAGGGCTAGTACGTGTCTGGATGCGGCTTTGCACGAACGCGACATGATTGGCATAGTACTCTCTGGATCGCTCATGGATGGTCATGTTCGTGGGGGCAGCGGGAAAATGTCTTCGTGATGAACCAAGAAGTTGAAAAATAAATCAAGTAATCCATGGTGTTTTGATAAACCTCCAACACTCCAGGAAAAGGACCATTCTATTATATCTGCAGCATTCATTCGTATGAGAGCGCTCTGCATAGGTTGACAACAAATCGAACCTACAATTCATGACGGGTTATTTACGGTTCACTATTATCAGAGATACCCGCGATTATCATTGCTTCCATCTATTATGGGTTGCTATATGATTAGTAAACATGGCGCAGGTTGTAAGGTCACAATATAAGTAACTCAACTGAAGATCGTCCAAAGTACTTCAAGGGTTATGCGGAGTACGCGCCAGACTCTTCATAACCAACTACATATGGAGTATTTCAGTATTTGACGATGTCATTCTTCAAAAGTGCAATTCCATGACCAGCCTTGGGGGCTACACACCATATTGGGCAAACCTCGTGGCAAGTAGGTACCATGACTGGTAACAGCGCTTGGGTGACACAGCAGTATATGCAATTTTAATAGAATCCTCGACAACGGTCCTATACAGGGTCATGGTAATTTATATCCCAATTCTGCAAAAGAGTAGCCTTGCAGATCCGAGACAACAGGCAGAAATGTAGGCAAAGTAGATGATTTACTCAAGAACATTACTTCCAGATACGAGCATTGAGGATGCAGTTCCTGGTTTCCGCCCGCGTTCATTACTTCCATCTACTTGGCGATGGCCCAATAGCGCTCGCAGCCAAGAATACTCCACGACATTACCAGCTCATTATGAGACAGTCTCTTTGTCTACTGCGCCTCGGGGCAGTTTCAGCATGTGCAATGAGCCATCAGCTCAAGCGTCTTGCAATTCGAGTCATCACAACGCGCATATCACTTTTTTCTCGGGAGAGTCGCCAACAGACGAGAGAGTGCTTTGACTCAAAACAGGTCAATAATTGACCGGGGAATCGCGTCACTACCCGAGCCGTTTTATGCGCTGCAAAAAAACGCAATGACACTCGAGGACGAGGCTGGATCACGGACCAACGATTACTACTCCATGATGTCGCATTGCATATCTCAACCTTAATATAACTTTAAAGGAGTTTCTTCTCCCCCAGCGTCGAACAGTAAAATATGGGAAGTGATTCAACAGTATAGAGATTCGTACATCAACAGAAACTTCATCCTCTCAAGCTGACTTGCAACATTCTTTCTGTAATTTTCTATCACCAACACGAGGCCGCCCACAGATTTTCGTCGAAAGTGCAGCTTTATCACCGCATCAAATTCAAACTCCAAGGTCTAGCAAAATGGCATATGGCGGCGATGCTCCATCTGCCGTCACGGCCATGTGGGTGTTGACAGTTCTGACACTGGTATTTGTCGTCCTCCGCACCTATACAAGAGCCCATGTCGTCAAGGCATATGGTATCGACGACCACGTCTACAATCTGGCATTTGTACGTCTCTAACCACTAAACCAATCCAACGACGCAGGGACAATACAAAAGACAAACTAATGACTAGAAACCCAAAACAGATCCTCCTACTCTGCTACGTAATCTTCATTACCATCTCGGGCCACTACGGCTTTGGCAAGTCCATGATCGACATACCCGAGGCCGAAGACGCCGTGCGCGCCGTACTGTTCGAGGCCATTGGGCAGACGTTTGCCGTGGTCGGCATGGCCGTGGCCAAGTGGTCCCTGGGCCTGTTCCTGCTGCGGCTCGTCACCGAGCCCTGGCACAAGGCCGCCATCTGGACCGCCATGTGCGTGCTCATGTCGGCCTCGGTCAGCGTCTGCTTCGTCTTTTGGCTGCAGTGCTCTCCGCCCGCCTACCTGTGGGACAAGCGCATTGTGGGCGTCTGCAAGGTCAATAGCACGCCTGTCAGTATGCTGCTGTGTAGTGAGTGTAACGTGTCCCGGTACTCAGTTATGTGACAACTAATACTGTCTCGTCTAGTCTTGTGTGTCATGGTTGATTTCTTCTTTGCCTTGTTCCCGTGGTTGTTCATCTGGAAGTTACAGATGAACAAGAGGGAGAAGCTCGTTATCCTTTCCAGTATGAGTCTGGGTGTCATGTAAGCCATGAGTCTTGTACTCCCTTCACGACTGTTTCTAGCATCAAGAACTATACTCTAACGAGAAGACAAAAGTGCCGGCGCATGCGGCATCAAACGTACGCTCGAAGTCCCCGAACTGTCAAGTCCCGACTACTTGAGTGAGTGCCCTCCTCCACTCTCGGTTTTCCTCTGAAAATTTCAGACGTGAGAAGCAATGCTGACTGTTTTTACCTATAGAGGCCACAGTCGGTCTGATTGTGTGGTCTGCCGCTGAAATCTCAGTCACCATGATCTGCATCGGCATCCCTATCTGCCGGCCCCTGTACCGGACATTTCTGGAGAAACTCACATCGCAGCTCTCGGGCAATGGAGCTTCGGGCAACAGTCGTGGGGCCGGCAGCGGCATCAAGACCTTGGGAGGCTGGTTCCCAAGTCACAGTCCCAAATCATACGGCCTGCGCACCTTGGGCAGCTCCGAGTACCAAGGTCAACACGCCCACGACGACGACAACGACGAAGACCATCATCACACGGCCGTGGAGCTCGAGGGCGGCAAAGCCGTGATGGAACAGGAAAGCGTCTTTGCCCAGCCGGATCATCAGTCCGAGACCAGCTCAAGCCCGGGCGTAGTAGGCAGCTATACGGGCACCAAGACCTTTGCCGTCAGCACCGGCCGTAGGCACAGCGACGAAGACAGCGAGCAGGAGATTCTCGGTCTCCAAGTTGAACATCATAATTGTAACAAGACGGATGGACACAACAGAGATCGTCGCCATGCAAAGACCATCAAGGTTACGGAGGAGTATCAGGTTACTAGCAGCACGCGTCGCTTCAATTGAAACAGCTCCGTTCATCTTTGGCTCTGACGAATCTAGACCCAAGCGAGAGCAGGTAGGAAACGATACCATTGACAGTATTGAGCTACAGTACAGCGTAGCGTCGCATGGGCTCATCGACCTCTGTATTCTTCACCAACTGGGTTTTAGCTACTGTTGAATAGACTTCCCACTAACAAATCCGACTTTGTCGTTTGCCACATCATAATTGCAGTAGAATATATTAATCATTGGCAATGATGAATGAGAGCAAACACATCTGTCCATCCTTGATCCCAACCACCCCCCCC